TACGAAATAGGTTGTATGTCTAAATGGAAACAGCCCAGAACAATATTCAAGCTTCCAAAATTATTTGATGTGCTGGCAGCGGATTTTTTGTCTACCTAGGGTTAGTGGAGGTGAAGATTCATTATTGACCATCGATGGCATGAGTAAAGTTGTGTAAATTCCACTACTTAGGTAGGTTCATACTCACTATACTAGTTTACAGTGTGCTATGTGCAGAATATTGCTTTTAACCTTCAACTAATATTCAAGCACATGATCAACTAACAGCCGTCTTACTGTTAGTCGGCTCGGGTTACTGAAGCATCTCTGATTATCTCTTCCATCAACCGATGCTATTCTGTTACCACTACGGTCAGTACTCGGCCAATTTGTGGAAGTAGTTCATGATGATCTGAATAACCTGGATCAATATACCACCTGGCACCTCCGGATTTCCCCCGCCTCCGCCTCTCCACTACATTGCTTTTGCTGATACCGGAACACAACGGGCATTTGCAACGTCTTGAACCTGTTTCTGCACGATGATGAAAATTATAATAGACGGGCTTGACCCCGGTCTCCAGATAAGCGCCAGAATCCTCTCTGTTTTGTGATGCATAATCGAGAGCATGGTACATTATAACGACGGCGAGTAGTTAATTAATTGGCATGTATCTTTTTTTGAGACATAAAATAACGTTCCGTATCGATTGAAAGAAACTCGTTGCGTTGTGCCGAAATCTCAAAGTCAATCCGAGTGCTAGACTGCTCTTTAGCAAATCGGCCTCAAATGCCAAGTGTTGCGCTTATCTGAGCCACAGTGATAGTGGCAACCCAGTTCCATAAGCATTGGTATATACACTCTCAGGAAAGCTTCTTCATTTATTGGCAAAGATGCTTGATTGAATGAACGCCGAAAATGAGGCTCATCTAACATCAAAGAAGTTTTGATAGATTTACTGAAAGTCACATCTAATCTATATTTTAATATTCTTGTAATATCTGCAGATTCAAAAGACGGCGATATCACGAATTCATATCGCCTCAGAGACACATTCGGAAATATACTTTGCCCGCACGGTGAAAACTGGGGCGACGTCATTCAAAGATGCAGGTGCAGATCAACGTCGGTGTTGAGGGGGAAACTTAAACACAAAGCGCAATGCCAGTGAATGCTTGAAGGATTGCATGAGGGGGTGCTTAGCGATCCGGAGCGATTCTTGCGATCAATCAACGTCTCGCTCAAAACACAAATCCTATGCTTGAGTAATCATGCCGTTATTTCCGCATTCTCAAATCAGACAGTCCATCAGAAATTCGTCTGACTCGTAAGACCATTCTGGGGCGATAATCCTAAATCTAGGTAGGTGGTATGTTTCAGTGTTGTAGGTCCTCGAAGTAAATCAAATTGTTTTCACACGTTAAATTTAATGTCCTTTTTTTCCTACGGATATCTGTAACGTATTCTACTGCAACCTCGCTTTACTCGCTCTGCTCGCTCTGTTATTCGTGCGAGTAAGTAGAGCAGTTACTCTACTCACACTCTCTATCAATCTTGGTTGCTTCTAGTTCTAACTCTAGGTATGTCTGACACGAACTATTGACCAAAACTCAAACTACGATGTACTCGTATGATAAAGTATACTCGTATAAAACTTTTAGCCGCATTAAATTTTGGCAGGAGAAGTCCCACAACTTGATTGGTTGTCACTCCGAAGCAAGATGATGGGGTCGATCCTACCCCCGGGGGACTCCAAAAAAAAAATGGGAAGTCACATTGAAGGGGCCCTGCATATAAAATTCAAAAATGACGTACCAAGCGGGAAACCATGAATTGATATTAGATACATTGAACAAATTCACTACTACTTCATCTTCTGCATCTCCTTTATTGAGCTTCAAGTTCTTCCATTCTTCTTAGTATGATACTTTGATATCCTCTTGAACTATTATTGAGAAAGATCAACTAAGTTTTGCTTTTCTTCTCGGGCATTTCTATACGAGCCATTCTTATTAGGGTTTTTGATACAAGGTCTGGAGTGCGGGGAACCGAAAAGTCCTAGAAGCTCTTAGATTCACTGCTTTGACTACTAGTTCTAGCCCTGCTTTTAGTATTCATCTTATCGATCGATAATCTTTTTTATCAAGAAAGTATGTATTCCGCCCGACCTTATATATTCCTCATACAAGAACCAAAATTCCTTCAAGAAGTTTCTTTCCAATATCCTTTTGCACCTCTTACGCAATCTTATATTTCTAGCCTTCAATATCACAAGAGAAAAATCATACCAGGAGACTAACGATAAATCGGGTAGTATCAAATAATACGAAATCAAATGGCGGGTGGTATTCATACGCCCACCTCCAGTGAAGGAAAGGCCATATTCCAGGAGTCTGATATATCTTCACAATCATCCAAACATGGCGCATCAACCGGTGCAGGATCTCACCTCGAAAATCCTAGTACTCAACCACCCCGCGCAAATCGTGTAGCACGTTTCCCATCTGGCGACAATGAAAATGTAGTGACTAATGTCAGAGAGTCCGACAAAATCGAAATTAGCGAAGAAGATTGTTGGGGTCAATTGGGATACTCTTTTCCTACCTGGAAAAAATGGATGATCCTGTCGGTTATTTTCATGGTTCAGGTTTCCATGAACTTCAATACCAGTTTATACTCAAACGCTATTGGTGGCATAGTTGACGAATTTGGCGTCAGCGCACAAGGCGCAAGAGCTGGTGCTATGATTTTCTTGGTACTATATGCATTCGGTTGTGAATTATGGGCTCCATGGTCTGAAGAATTGGGTCGCAAACCTATTTTACAAGCTTCTTTATTCTTGGTCAACATCTGGCAAATTCCAGTTGGAATTGCTCCCAACTTTGCCACTATCATGGTTGGCCGTGCGCTTGGTGGTCTCTCATCGGCAGGTGGTTCCGTTACTTTGGGTATGATTGCCGATATGTGGGAATCTGATGATCAACAATACGCCGTTGCATTTGTAGTATTCTCATCTGTTGGTGGAAGTGTGTTGGGCCCCGTTGTTGGTGGTTTCGTCGAAGCTAATTTGGCTTGGAGGTGGAACATCTGGATTCAACTTATCTTTGGCGGTGCCGTACAACTCCTTCATCTGGCTCTTGTACCTGAGACTAGATCGACCATCATGATGGATAAAATCGCCAAGAAGATGCGAAAGAGTGGCGAAAATCCAAACATTTACGGTCCAAACGAGATCACGCCATTCAAGGAACGATTCTCCGTCAAAGAGACCTTGGTTACTTTCGTCAGACCTTTCAAGATGTTCTTGACAGAGCCAATTGTTTTAACCTTGAGTTTGTTGTCTGGATTCTCTGATGCACTCATCTTCATGTTCATTCAATCCTTTTCCCTTGTTTACAAGCAATGGGGCTTTGGAACTGTCGAACTTGGTCTCTCTTTCCTTCCTATTCTTGTGGGATACTTCATCGCTTGGTTTGCATTCATTCCTGCCATCAAACGCAATATCAAACAACGCGCCAATAAACCAGATGATGAACACGCTCAATTCGAATCTAGACTTTGGTTCTTGCTCTACACGGCACCATGCTTGCCAATTGGTCTTATTGGTTTTGCCTGGACTTCTACAGGCCCACCAATTCATTGGATCGGTTCCTCAATTTTCGCAGCAATTGTTGGTATTGCCAACTATAGTATTTACATGGCGACAATTGATTATATGATTTGTGCCTATGGACCATATTCAGCTTCTGCTACAGGTGGAAATGGATGGTCGAGAGATTTCTTAGCCGGTGTTTTGACAATTCCTGCTACTCCTTTCTTCCAGAGTACGTATTCCTTTTCCAATAACTTTCATCGGTGAATGCTAACACAAAATTCTAGACATGTCATCTGACCCATCTCGCTCACTTGCTTACGCATCTACCATTCTTGCATGTATCTCCTTCGTCCTCGTGATCGCCGTCTACGTCATTTACTGGAAAGGACCTGTTCTCCGCAAACGCTCACCTTTCGCTCAACAACTATCTGACGCCAAAGCTGCCCACAATGAAGTCGTTCATGAGAAAGGAACTCGTGTTGGTGAAGGGTCAACAGCGGTAGATGGGACTCACCTATCAAGAATGCCAACCGGAGCAAGAGCAAGAAGTTTCGCTCGCAGTCAACAAGATCTTAGAGTAAGACAAAATACGGGAAGTAGACCGCATAGTACACATGAGAAGAGTAATCCAAACAGCAGAGTAAACTCAAGGGCAAACTCTAGGGCAAACAGCCCAGTGAGGAGGGACATGGCGGAAGCAAATCATGTAGCGGCGATTCAGGAAGCGACGAGCCATGAACGTAATGATTTGAATGAGAAGAGTATGGTTTAAAAGTGTATGGTAACAAGGAGGAAGCAATGAGCTGTTAATGATGGGTAATGTCAAAATGGCATTGGATCAGGCGTTCGGTATTGATATCCTAACTTAATTGTATTTATAAGCAAAGGAGTTTCAAAGGAGCCAAAGGTGGGAGAGGAGGAAAATGGGATTGTATAGAAATGATAGGCTCCAAAAACGCTAGACAGATACACGAATAAATGAAATTATACCGCTTGTACTATTAATATTTGATTCATTGCGAAACATCTGCGCATATGTTGGAGTTTGGAAATGCATAAACAACTTCAGGGAAACATAGCAGAACCATGGCAATTTCTTGGGCCTCGAACAGAATTCCACTTGAAGATCTTGGGGGAATAATATCTCTAAGTTGTACGTCTCAGAGATTTATGGTAGATATAATCATCCACTTACTACGCACCCTAAATCAAACACCTTGAAATGTTCACTTGAATATTCATATAATAAGCAAAATCCATCGTTTAGCACCGTAGTGAACACAAACAGAAGGAAAAAAGAAAGAATGATACAAAGATTGATTAAGAAAAGCAAACAAATCAAACTCAAAATCAAAATCACTAAAAACGCGTTTGCGTTTACCGACGTGAATCTTCACAACCCAGCCCCGCCCGTATCAATCAATTATGGCGGCTAATAACACTGAAACTATCACCAAAAAAGGAGCAAGGCCTAAGAGAATCATTATTGATATATCAGCATCTTTCTCGCTATCTGCCATTTCGACTTCGAAAGCTGAGAAATCTGAAGGCTTGAAATTTGGGATTAATAGTACATGGGCGATACGAAAAGTGAGTAAAAGGAAAGCATCTCCATCGACAAAATCGAAAATCGGAACATCTGCCATTGTAGCCGCGATTGCGTCTGCGCCTACGACGACTGAGGAACCAAGAGATATTGCCATACCTGCGACATCTACTGCGATTGTCGCTATACCAGCTAGCAGCGATAGAGAAAGCGACGTGAAATTGGACGAATTGATAGATTCATTGGATACGAATATGCCGGGCATATCAAGCGCAAGAAATCGATCTTCCCTGATCGCAAACGCAAACACGATGATAGCTTCACCGATCCTGGCACATGTACAGCGTGTCCAAAGTATACGTTCTGCATCTACTCATGAATCTTCTGCTCCTCCACCTTCTCAATCTCCCAAATCAAAGCCCTCCCAATCGCAACCCAAACCTGCTCGAACAGCGACGAAGCCCACGAAATCTGAGCTCCCTCTCAAAGCTCTAAATCAATCTATAACCTCGCGTTTGACCACGCCCGCTGGCGCGCGCTCGATGGGTAGAGGAAAAGGAGAGAAACCTTTGCCGGGAAATTATCAGAGTGTGGCGAGGAGAGTTACGATGACGATTGTAGCGTTGCCTATATTGTTTGTTACGAGTTGGGTGCTTTGGGATAGGTGTAAGTTGTTTTTGTTTGTTTGGGTTCGTTCTTGCGGGGCTTAGAGGTGGCGAGGGAGAGGGGGGGTGAATGATTGAATATATGCTAATGAGTATGCGACAATAGTAGTTCTGGGTCAAGAGAAGAAATCACTTCTCCGCGAACCGCCTATGGTACCTGGACCACCAATGGCTGCGGAGATGGAAGCGCGGAATAATAGGGAATAATAGAGTGTGAATTTAATTGTGAGTAGCGTTTGACGATTTATGAGGGTTGAATGTGGTGAATACATATATTGTGCTGATGGAAGCTCCGTCTCACAATGAAAAGTCTGGTTATTTATGGATGAATGGATAATGGGATGGGAGTCTATTTGGATGGAATGGCATGAAAATGGCATGAAATAATATTTGATACCCCCTTCATCAGAGATTAAAATCGTCGCTTGAAGCTGTTGCATTGTATCCTAGTGGATGCGCATTCAAAGTACTGAAAACCTGGAGGTTGGATGCATTAACCTGATCATTTGATGAGGTCTAATTCTTCGTTGTAATATTTGCAGTATGCTCCTTGTGCGTATAGCACAATACTCTCAGTTGGAGTGTCTTTGTTCAATTATACATCCACAGCTGCCCCGCTCTCGAAGACCCCTAGAGAGACGTTATAGAAATCCATGAATACTAGAGTATGTAAAATTTCACTCTTCTTTCTTTCCTTCTTTATCCTCTTTCTCAAATTCTTAAAACATAGGGAATCTTGCGCTCCGACTCCAAACTCCAATGTATGTAACCCATCATCTATCCAGATCCAAAACTCCTGACGTAAATGCTAGTGCAAGTGTCCTCATAAAATATACCATATTATAACATTAAAGAATTCATCTATAAAGCTCTCAAATTAAATCCATCCCCTTTTTTTCTTGCGCAATGACTTCATCGTAATCGACAAACCCGGCTCCTTCACCATCGCGATCAACCATGTATCCAAATTTGGATCGGTGATCTTTGATATAGCTGGGGATGTCGTTGTTGTTGTCTATTCTTTTGTACCACTGTTGAGAATGGAAGGTTAGTGTAGCTCTCTTTTGGTGGTAGGAGATGAATAGCGTAAAATTTCAAGGGGTGGGTGGGTTTGACAAGGTTCGCTTGAGACCTCTTGGATTTGTGAAGATGGAATGAATCTTCGACCATAATTCCAAAAATTTGGACCTAGCAACCCATTTCCCCATTTTAATTCTCGGAGAAAGAAGCATTAATCACATACCTGACCGAATCGATCCCATAAATCCTTCCCCCTTCCCACTCTGTCCACAATCCTATCTGTCATTCTGAACTCCTGCTTATTCAAGTTCGTATGGCTGAAACTCTCCATCTTCCTTCTCATTTCATTGAGTGTACTAAAACAACTACTACAATGCCAAGCCGCATTCCATAAGTTTCCGATACTTTTACTATCTTTTTCATCCACCTGTACGTGTCCTCCATGGCGACTACGTAAACTATGCGGTTTGATGGTATTTTCCAGACCCCGATAAAACGTTGCTTGAGGATGTGCCCACTGTTCTCCTCGGTGTCGAAATTGAAAAGAATAGTAGTAGAATTGCGAGCGCAGTGTAAGGATCACAGGGAAAACGCAGTTGCGCAGGACTTGAAGAGAAGCAGGTCGAATTACCTCGTCAATATCGGAGACGAGTATTACATCTCCTTCGTTAGGTTTCTGTGCGTCCACCAGCTTGGGGAATACCTGGGTGAACATGGCGTCCCGTTGGAATTTCTCTTGGATCCATGCATTCGCTTCGTATTCTTTGGAGCCGGGTAATGTGGTGTTGGCGACTGGGGGAGGAGCATCGGTCAAAACGTGATAGATAATTTTATCCTCGAAAGCAGAGAATTTGGCTCGGTGTTCTTGAAAGGTCATGTTTTTCGCAAGACCGGTAAAGGTAGTTGGCGCTTCGAGGATGACAAAATAATCTACCTCGGTGTTCATTTCATTGAGACGAATTTCGAGCCAATCTAGCTCGGAATTGACCATGAAGAGATCGTAGATCTTACGTTTTTGCGAACGATCGGGATAGGATGTAAGGGAGTGAGAAGCACATAGTTGGTCTGAGCTGGAGGCGGGAAGAAAGTTGTTGTAGATGTGAGCAGTGCGTTGTTCAAAGGATATATCTTCTTCGGTGATGGTGAGAGGGGTGAATTGTATTCGGGGTAGAAGGAAATACGTGCAGATGTAGAAGAAGACAATAATAGAGAGTATTTTAATGATACGAGTAGTTTGGCTTTGAAGGGAATATCTTGCTTTGGATAGTTGTATCGCCATCTTGGATAGCAAAATGTTATGAGATCCTCAGAAGGTGAATCAGAAGAAAGGGAGTAAAAGAGAAAGATAAAAGAGATGGATTAGAGCTAAATTTCACAGCTTTGTCATATCTGAGTGAGATTCAATGTACAACAAATGCAATGCCATACCTGAACCTATTTCAGTAAATCCCTAATAAACTTCACCGAGGACCTTGCACACTGCACAGTCCTTCGTGGCATAGTGTTTGCATTTACTTCATTTCGTCCCACTATTACTTGCTGAGGTTTTTTACCCCTGAACTCGCTAGGCTGCTACATTGAAAACCCATCGAAGCGCTCCTTTTTTGGTTGAAGGAGTGGCCTGCGCTTCTGGAAATTGGCTCGGTAACCACCAATCCGATAAAACATCGCTGTTATTCTACTAAACTTCTGCCCAATAAAAAGAATGTTGCTACAAATTGTGGCACCAGTGATCAAAGCCTTAAATCGTAAAAGATTTACTAATCAGAGTACAAGTGCGAACTTCCTTGAGATGAAATTGCATCTCCTACCTCGTATTACCAGTATTATGAGAGCATCAGCCTCCAACAACTCGCTTAGTGCCAACCGTCCTCTTCTTACCTGTCATGGAGATCGTGGGTCAATTTCTGGGTTATATCCGTAAAAATGCATGAACGAGGTTGAAATTGACATTGACGGGCCACATGTAACCTTGGAATAGTAACAAAAGAAAATAGCTGCCGAGGTTGCCCATTGGCTCGTATGGTGCAAGTCTAGTGGCTTTCCCGCTCAGCCCCATATCTCAGACGATATAAGTCTGTTCAGGGACCTATATGACAACGTTTGGGCATTCGAAACACGCTTGAATCCTTTGTTGTATAAATAACCCTGAAAAAAATATCAAAGCTTTGTTGGAGGAGAAATTGTCTTCCTTATTCGAAAAATTTAATAAGAGAATTCGGCTCTAAATGACATGCATTGAAATTGCCATCGGATTCATTAGATTTCACGATGTAGGGAAGGACTGGCAAGTTCAAACCCGGGATTTTGACTCTATCCGTAATACGGACCTGATGTACGAGTCCGACGTACGAAGTATTATCACAGATTGCAAGGACCAAGTACTAGGTAATCTTCAAGGGGTGAGAACCCACTCTCGCGACCGAAAGTAAAAAAACGAACACCGAAACCGCAAAATTGAACGAAAATCTTAAAATAAATCTTTTCCAAATTTGATTGTAAATTTAAGTTCATATTTTAAATTCTCTTAAATGATATGTTGAGATTGAGTCTTCAATAAGTAACGATCAGAAGGAATTTTAGAAAGTTATATTGATTTATTGTTTTGATACCACATTTCGATCGAACTGTAGATTTTTGATGTTCGGCTCTTTCCCTCGCTGCCTGTTAAAATTCAAATGAACCCTAATCAGTGACATCCCACCATCCACATGAGCAGTAGAGGAGGAAGGCAACGGTGAAGAATCCCAGCTTACCATGTGTTAACTCGGTAATATTACTTAAGTTGACTCCACAGCATCATTCAAATGGGACTTGATCATCTAAACCAACGGGTAAAGACATTCCAGAAGAAAGTAATTGGGGCTCAGAGCTTCCGAGTAGATTAATGGCCCAATGAGATAATCGCATTCGGTCACTGTCAATCTATTCAGTATCCATAAATAAATGAATGGCAACCCCTCATCTACTCCAGCGAACTATATTTTTATGCTTATTGAATTAAGTTTGATTGTTTGGAAAAGTCAGTGGGGACGTCAAGGCAGTAGCGCGAATCTTACTTGATCAAGATTAAATAGTAAATGTACGGTGTATTTCCGTGGAGGAAAGTGGGATTGTGTGTTCGGGAAAATGCGAAGGGAAAACATCGGTTGCGATAGGGAAGAGTTTGGGAACCATCTCTCGCATATCTGCAACAGATGTCCGCTGTTTCTTCTCCGATCAATAGACAACGTATGAGGACCGGGAGAGCTAAGGGAATATGATAACTCCAATGAGCGATTTCGAAAGGGGTTTCCTGGGTCATTCATCCACTCTCTCTTCATTCTTTCAGACCCCCCCTCTTCAACCACCCATCAGCCAATACGTTGGACTACTTGGAACGCAGAAACTTGTCAATAATCACTTCTCGAGCTAAGGAAGAAAAATGAAATAATAATCCGAAATATGAGTAATCTCAGTCACCCGTAACAGCACAAAAACTCTGCAAAATTACCCCTTGAAAACTAGCTGAAATGGCAACTTTAGTCCATTCGGCCGCATACGAACAAACCAATCAATGAATTGAGAGATCACAGATATGGGTTCCAGTAGCTGCTTATGTTATTTCACTCCTTCTCGATTCGTTCTCACTTGCATAGCGTATGTTTTTGTTAGTTCGAGAATGATAGGAGAGGATTAGACTCTTCCTCTGTGCACGCTGAGAACTTCGTGAGAATTCAGCACCCTGTCAAGTATCTGAGCCTAGTGTTGAAGAGAGTATCATCGTCACCCATCATTGATGAGATAGTGAGGTTACTGAGGTGTGGGTTCTTGCCCCGGTGAAATTTGAAGAAAGGCAGTGAACGACATGACAATACTCAAGCTTGATTGAACATCCTCATCTTGTGGTGAAAATGAATAAAATATAAACAGCAATTTAGAAGAAAGACAACCGATTTGGATTCAGCTAGGGGATGGCATTAGCTTAAGTGAGGAAACTTATAAACCCAGCCGTTTCCTAGTCGTATCTGCACCAATCGGCTACGAAACCTGGAGATGAAAAGTTTTGCGCTATTGCAGTACTTTCATAGCCGATTCTACGAGGGCTGTGTACTCCTATCGAGGCAGCAGGACGGCGATTTCTTCCCAGGTAATAGATCGTCTTCATGAACCGAGAAGTGAAGACTGGCTATCACAACTGCTGCACCAGCCGGCTATAGTTGTTGCTCGGATATTTCCGGACAAGTCATTACAAGCCCCAGGAATTTCACATCGATTCCAATTGCGATCAAATGCTCTATTGATAGTTGGCTTTTCGTTCTAAACTTACCTTGAGGCATGTACACTCTTTTGTCTGTCTCCGTAATACCCCCAGGTTGCAGTTTCTTTCATGAAACATCCAGTTTTCAATATTCTGCAGTCACTCAATATGGGGAGCCAAGTGTACATATCTCTTTGACTTTCAGAAATTCGAATGATAGAAAACAAGACGCGGTCTAACCAAACAGGCTAGAGCATGGTGGTTGAACATGAGGAAAGTAGAAATGACAATTCTCAGGTTGCCATAGGACTACAAACTCTTCAAGTTCGAAGCTGTGTCACACCATATTCATGTAGTCAGTAAAACTAGTTGTCTTTGTCTGGTTAAGTATGAAGCGATGAAACTTTGCTATACATTTGATGTGAATGTAGAGTTGTTTTTAATATGTCCTCGATTTCGGGCTAGATAGATCTGATGGCCGTTATGCGGCTGAGCCACATTTCAACAAAACGTCCAGAATCTTGAACTTCAACAACAATCCTTTCCATTTTGCGAAAGATTAAGTGCAATTTGGTGGATTATTGTAACCCGTACTAGTATCCTCAAGCGTCACTATCAGCACCGTTAGCTTTGAATTATTTGCGACCATCGAAAACAGTACATCATGGCTGTACCCACAAAAGATCTCGTCGACCTACTCGACGATGTTTTAGCAGTTATATTTGATCAGATACTAGTAACAATTGGAGTATGGAAGACCATGAACTTACGAGTTCTTTGCAGTATGTCTAGTTCTTGTCGTACCCATGATACATCCACAATATTAATCTACTATCAGGACTCTTCAACACAATAGTCCCGAAGACTTTATGCCTCGACCATATGGCAAACTCAGAAGGTCCAGTTGATGACGCTCTTGAAATATGTCTTAAATATCCCGAGAGCAAATTACCTGGCATCGCACATCTCTTCATTCATCTAGAAATGAAATACAACCCCCACCACACAATACTCTCTCCTGTCTATTATGCTATCCAATCTGTGAAGGCGCGTATTAACAACATTCAGACAAGAGACGAGCAAACAGCTTTCGAGATCAAAGTTTGCCATGCGATAGAAGAACGCTTAAAGTGGGGCTCAAACGATGACCGAGACCCAGGTGCGTGTGGCCGAAGGAGATCACAATTTCGTAATGCTGTTGTCGGTGAAGATGGCGAAGCAAGGCTAGACATCCAAACTATTCTCAGTGTAGCTATTATTGCAGGAGATGCTTCCGTTGTACGAGAGCTACTTGTAAATTGTAACGCTGATGCCGATTTAGACAACGAATATTTTGGAAGACCTATACATCTTGCCGCAAGTTATGGAAGAACCGAAATTATTGAAATTCTGCTTGAGTGTGGTGCGGATTTGAGTTCAATTCGGCCATATCTAATCCATCAGTCAAAGAGATTCACAATGCACCTGCAGAAGTTCATTTGCACTTTCGAAAGCCCTTTGCGAATAGCAGCATTGAATGGCCATCTCAAAGCTGTAACACTTCTCACCGAACCACGTTACAATGCTGTATTACCATTTCCAGAAGAGGAAATCCAGGAAGCTTTTCGCGCAGCAGCTAGAAGTGGGAGCATAGCTTTGATTTCTATTCTCGCCGAGTCATTTTTAGGATCACTACCCTGGGACTTGCCAGCAAATATCCGAGAGGAGATGCTTATCCAAAGTATATATTGGGAAAAGAAGAAATAATACAGTTGATGCTTTCAAGTGGTGTAGATATCAATTTTGCGGTATCTGCTACTTGGGAGACTATGCCAAATTGGTCGCCCATTCACTGTGCCGCTTATAAGGGCCGCTCGAAAGTTGATCAGCTGCTACTCGAAAATGGCGCAAATCGAGATAGCTTTGCCACCGCCATACGTGTGCATTGCAACAGTTTGGATGCAATAGGTTTTGCCGTTTCCAAGGACCATGAAGATGTCGTTCACGTTCCTTTGAATCACGGTGTTTCATTAGCAAGAGACAGAGGATAGAACACTGCACTGATTAGTATAGCCTCATTTTGGAACCAGCATCATATCATGAGGCTACTGTTAAAGAACACGGCGGATTCCGACAGATACATGGACAGGTCGGCTCTATCATATCCTATTGAAGTTGGAGATCCCCTAACTCTGCGTCTCCTGATAGAAGCCGGCTACCCTGTCGAGACCATCAAAGACGTTAAATCTATCAATTACAACTCTTCTCCAGTCCTTCTAGCAATGAAATGCGGGTGGCCACATATTCTGGAGTACCTTTTCAGTGTCAACAGTGAAAAGATTGATCCATTGGATGAGGAGCAATTTCTCCTTGGCTCGACTGTCAGAAACGATTTTACGAGTGGTCAATATCCCCGTAGACACGCAAAAGAACCATATCAGCTTTGGTATATACAGGGCAGGTATTGAATCGCCATAGACATGAAATTGTTTTGGCTTACACTCCCTAGCTGGTCATTACATGAGCGTAGGTTTGGAAGGGTTACGCTAATTGAAGGGGGGAGGGGAGAGAAAGACTCAACCAATTTTCGAAAGGTTGATTGCAATTAGAAGTTACACAGTAACCAAAAGATTAATACGTTGAGATCACACTAAAGAACATGACCATTATACCCTAGAACGTAATTTTTGCCTTAAGAATTATACATACAACTTTCTGTACGGTGCGGTATAGTGCCGCTTGCACAGTTTAAGAAAAAAAAAAAAGGGAACGACGGGATCCTAAAGAATGAACAGACACAGGAAAAAAAAGGTAAGAGGGAAGAGGGAGAACAACACGGAGTTCAAATATCAAAACTTCAAAGCGCAACCCTTACGGTGTTCTACGATACGAATGATATAGTTATTACATGCGCGAAAACTCACTTGAATTCTTCGAAAGTTGTAAAGACGGGAAGATGGGGAAATAACGGATGATCCTCAGGCCTTTACCGATGCTTCTGGGATTACGAGCGAATCTTGGAGTTTGGGATTCATGCTCGTTGTTCTATCACGTATGCCTGGCCTAGTTTGATAGATGAGTGGGCGGCCAGCATAAAATTTGGTTGTACAATGCCTCGTGCTATAGGTGATATCTTCTGCTCCTATTCAAATTTATATAGTTCATAATGTCTGGGAAACACAATTTATCTGTTAAGACCCGATTTCCTAAACACGTCTCTGCATTGAGATCCAGAGCTACTGGGCTGCCAACAACTGAAAGCTCGCATTGTAGACTGAAATCTGCCCACCTCATCAATCTAGCTAAGTAACGTGCACATATATGTTGACCGGTTTTCACGGCCCACTTGGGAACGAAATGGTTGCAAGAATTTCAACATATCCATATAAAGGTTGCGAAGGAGAAGTCGAGGATGGATTAGCATCTTTGTAATGGTCTTGATGATCGGAATTTCCTGAGTTTGAGGGCTTATTTATCTGGAGTGAAGTTGCATGTGCTCGCGACGTCAGTTCATTTGGTGGCGATTGGCGATATGACCAGGAGACTCGATTTTTTTGAACTCAATGTTTGACTTCTGCTTTATATGTTACAGCGACTCTTTTCCCTCAATCTTGGGTAGATGTCTTCCAGTGCTAGAAGCGCACTCCATTTCCCTATTAATATCATTCAACGATGAAGATTCTGTGTGTAAGTGAGCAATCGTTTGGATCCCGGACTTCCTATAAAACGCCTAGACCTTCGGATTGTTCCTTCCCATTACACTGTTATACATTTCGGTCTACAGAGAGACATTATGGTTTTTGACCAGGTGCCCCTGCCCCTATAACTTCTGGCATCTCTTGCGCCCCTTCAGCCTTTAATTTTTGCAATGTTTGTTCACGCTGGTATTCCATCACTCTTCGTTTCTTGAAATATTGAACCTGATGAGGGGGGCGAAAATCAGTAATGAGTCAATCCATAACAGCAGTTCGAATATCTTTCAATGGCGAAAGAAAAACTTACCCAACTAGTTGCACAATTTTGTTCGAATACTCTTGCCTCAGACCCGCAAGACCTTTCGGCCTTGGTGTTCTCCGTGAGGCTATCAATGATTTCATTCTTATCCAGACACTTGAAGTATGCATCTCTTGCTTCCCAACACTGTGATCTTTGGCTTCGGTCCGGTGCTATGGGAGCACCATCTGCGCCAATCTTTGGAGGGGGCAGAGAAGCTTGCGAAGAGCTGAAGAGTCCCATGATAAATTGATGAATAGACGCAGCAATTATTAGACTTTAGAGAAATGGAGCCTCTACTACCATGCTATGTTTGTGTGCGGGGCGGCAGAATAATTTGAGCTAAGCCTAATTGACTTCTCCGCTTTTACCTCCTCCCGGTGAGCTTGATAACTTTATCATCCCCGATGAGCAATTTTGGATTTCCTCCCAGTGAGCTCATTGTATGCTCGAGCAAATCCGATGCCCAAATGTACCAGCCGATGACAAGACTTCCATCGAACTGAATTTTAAGACAATGAGATTATCTTGCTTAGAACTCCTCCCACTTATCAAAGGATTAGCTTCGGAAAAGGGATTGTTTATCTGAATCCGGATAGCTTTATCTACCCAAAATAGAATATGCCCAGCGCCTTCAAAGCCACTGCTCTACCCAATCGCTCCATAAAGGAAATAAAAGCATCGAGAAGAGTCAAGTATCCATTCCCAATATAGTGGAACACAAACGTTACTGGGTGTATTAATAGTAAAGAACCAGATAATGTCCTATTCAGAGATCTAATACACTTCCACCTTCATTGGCGCCATACGTTGCAGATGTCGATCTTTACCTTGTGTATTCACTAACATTATGCAGATCTAATAGCAATACGCGATAGCATTCTCTCAAACTACTGTCGCGTCTTTAACAAGCTTTGGTGCAAATTGCGCAGCTATTTTTTGAAGAGCAGAGAGCATCGTGGTAACCTGGACGAGTCTGATACTGTTGAACAACACATCCTAAATAACACCACCAGGGAGTACTCATTGGAGCTCCCCAGCGACAACTCTCCACCACCCCAGTTGCCTTAGGCGAATAATCCCATAGCCTTGGCCTTGCGCCCACGCATAACATTTCCATATGAGGAACATTTCTCCCTCTCACCAATATTCAACAGCACAAGGAAGATCTCTCCCACGTCATGCTTGCACCATATTTGCTATTTGACTGATGAGTCCACTAACCTTAAAAGTTTCACTAACATTTCTATTCCTAGATCAAAGCAACGCTCGACTACAGAAACCATGCCTTTCCCGGTACTTTTGTACTTCAAAACGCCTTGATTGTTTTGGATTTGCATTCTACACAGATCAATTACTTCGCAGACTTATATGGTCTTGATCCCCTCTATACTATTTGAGAGCCGATTGCGGCTGTTCCCAAACCAATATTTTGATCTGATGTCGTGGGCATGGTCATGGTTATGAATGGTTTGATCCCGGCCCCAAAAGGTCGAGTTCGAACAAAAGTTGGGCATAGATATCTGGAGGCTTTACAATCGAAGGTAAATGGAGGTTACCAGAGCTCAAGCTCGTCATCTTCAGATGATGGCGTGCAAAATTCTGTGGGATTGAATCTATTGGTTCTTGGTATCACGTCTGGAACTGCTATGGATGACATTGATTTTGCACTCTGTCGCTATACACAAGAGTCTCCAGAAGCACCACTACACTTGGATCTTATTCAGGTATACAGCAATATTCGTTCTACCAAAAAATAAGCTAATATTCCCTAGTATGATTCAGTCGTCATGCCTTCGAAAATTCGATCCGAGATCCTGTCGATGTTACGAGAAGACGCCGCTCCGCCAAGTATGTTATCGCAAATGGACGCAGAAATGGGACATACTTTTGCGAACGCTATCCATATTTTCGCACATAAGCATAGGATTTCAGTGGATGACATTGATTTGATTGGATCTGGTGGACAGCTCGTTACCTTAACAGGTGCCCCACCACGGGGACAACATCGATCGAACATGTGCCTAGGAGAAGGGGCTGTGATATCTGCAAAAACAGGTGTCACAACTGTTTCTGACTATCGAACGGCAGAGCAAGCTGTCGGTAGACAGGGTGCCCCTTTATTTGCGTACTTGGTCGGACTTTTGCTGCACCATCCTACCAGATTACAGATTTGCATAACTATTGGAGGCATCACAACTATATGTTTCATCCCTTCGGATAAAAAGGGCGGAATTGACGCAATGTACGATTGGGATACAGGGCCAGGCACTTGTATGATTGATGCAGCCTATCGTCACTTTGGCCTCGACCCTCAAAAAGACCAATCCTCTTTCTTACACGGTACAATTTGCCATGAAGTAGTCGAGCAACTCCTTACCAATGATGAATATCTCAGCACACGGCCACCGAAAACCACAGCTAGAGAAATTTATGGTGACGCTATGGCCTTCAAAATCATAGGCATGTGCGCTTATCGAGGTTGTTCGCCCGCAGATACAATATCTACCATTACACGCTTCACCTCCGCTAGTATTGCCCAGCAAATCCTTCTCTTTGGTCCCGGTCGTGACGCTGTTAACGCAGCTGATATAACTGTCGATGGTCGCGGCATGTCTCACACTCCCCTTATCTCGGACCTTCAAGCAGAATTTCCAGGAGCCCATTTTGACAGCTTCGATAAGACCGGTATCCCATTGAATGCAAGAAAAGCAGTAGGCTTTGCGATGCAAGCAATGGAAGCATTGTTGGGAAGAGCTTTGCCAGTCCCGACAAATGCGGATGTAAGAAGACCGAATACTATTACTGGAAAGTTGGCCCCTGGGCTTAGGTGGAGAGAGGTCATGGAGAAGAGTGTTAGATTTGGAGGGAACGGGAGAGGATGGGAGGGACTTCCCGAGGTCAAAGAGTTGATCGTTAGGCAGAGGGATAGGAGTAATGTCTCGGGTATGGAAAACGAGAAGGAGGGGTTTGTTTGTTAAGTCGGTATAGATTCCGTGGAGGCTTTCATTTTACTTACTTTCTTAGTAGATAGTTTTAGTGAGCAAACATACATTTAATTTATAATCCCATATTACCTGTACTTCGGAAATAATATGCGATATTGGCACAGCCGCATCATACTACATTCTACAATATTGAACTTTCGCCACAGGTCTTAATTTCGATCAGTATAAGAATAGGTGAATACAAAATATCTCAGAGATAGCAACTCCAACCCAAGTTCACACGTAGCTAACGGTAACTATACATCATGAGGCACAAATTATAAGTTATGCACTGTCGGAATACACGTGTGATCTTACCTTCGGCATTGGCTATCTCACGTAATCCGGCATGACACTGCCGCGACAGCCGGAAGCACCAAGAGGATCCGGACATACTTTTAGACGAGGGGAATCGTGAAGCTACTCGAAAGAGTAGGTGTCGAGAGATCGGGATCCCCTTTAGGCTTGTTATTAATAACTCTTGGGTTTCGGCATTTGCGGTGTACCGCAAGCGGCTAAATCAAGGCGTCTCTCGAACTTCTCGATCTTGATCACTCACTATGACTATGAGCACGATTACCTTTTTTTCTCTTTGAGCAGAGTAGGCAACTAAGAGGCCGTCTTAAAAGCAGTGGTAGGTCGCCACTCGATTCTTTTACCATTTTTGGAGTGCGGCACCATTCACGTCAGCCGTCTCATCAGATGGGAGCTACAATATACACGTTTGACAAATCCTTCCTTCACCTGGTTCTCATTCGTCTTTCAACGTAACGCTAGTCAATATAAAAATGGGAGAATCTAAGCCATATGAAGCATTAACATGTTGTTGGGGCGATGCCGTATCAAGTTTCCAGTCACAGTCAATGGCAAGGGATTTGGTGACACCGCCAATCTCTTTGCTGCCATGCAGAAACTGAGGAAGACAAACGCTATTCAAAGAATATGGATTGATGCAATATGTATCAATCAGAACGATAACGACGAGAAAAATACACAGGTTCGACTCATGCGTGATATCTATCAGAAGACTGAAAGGTGTTTGATATGGCTTGGAGAGTTCGAGGATGCGAAACCGGTGACCACTATGTCTGATCTTATACGCAAGGGCAAAGAATTAACGAGCGCATCCAACATAAAAATTTGCCATCTAAGGATAATTATCGCTTTTGGGAGAGCCTTGGGCTTCTAGATATAGACGATTCTGCATGGGAAACAGTGAATTAAATCATGACTGCTCCATGGTGGAATAGAGTGTGGGTTATTCAGGAAATCGCATTCCCGAAAGAAGTCATGGTTTCCTGTAGAGATGAGAAGTGGGACTAGGACGAGATGATCGAGCTCCAGAGATTTGTGACCGAGTCAAATGAATGGACATCGTTCGATGATGGAAATCTAGGTATAGATATGAACTGGGGTGGATTGAAGCAGTTAAGCGATACGAGGAGCGAAAAACTTCAACCGCTACACGAGCTCTTATTGGCATTTAGGGGTCGAGACGCTACGGATCCGAGAGACAACAAATTTACGCTTTTGAGCATAGATTTTGATCAAGGAGAATCTACTGTACCCTTACGCGCAGCACAGCCATGGTTAAAATATGTGGAGGAATCAAGTAATTCAGACGAGTTCCGCCACAAATTCTCAAAGACTCCGCGGAAAGATCTTTCTGAAAAAGATTTTAGTATGTCGTTCCGTGCGTTGAAGGCATTTCTGCGTGCGAAAGAAGCCTATACAAAGTATGGTTCTACGTATGGTATAAATCTTGTTGCAGAAGGAAGCGCATTAAGGGGAGAACAGGATGCTTCACCCTCATTTGAATCACTCAACAATCGTCGGTTTCAAGGAAACGAGCTGAGGAGAAGGATGCGTCACTCGGACCCGTTTGACTCAATTCGACTGCCTGGTAATGGCACTTGATCGACTTCGCATGAGACTCTCAGGTAAGGGCAAAGTCTGCTCGCTGACTATAACATGGATATCGCGAGAGTCTACATCATGCCGATTCAGAAATTACTATATAATGATTCTTATCTGCATTTGCTCAAAGAGATTGACCACTCTCTATCAAATAAGCATGAGCTTTCTTCATGGGTAATTGATTGGAACGTATCCGATGTATTGATCGGGAAATACGACAAAGTGAATGAATACTCCGTAATATGCAACTCGCGACTTAGTGGACCCCCTGAAATGAGTGGTATTAAAACCCGGCTTGAGGGATATCAGGTCGAAACCATCCGCTATATCTCGCCACCTCTGCTATCATACGCGTATGGAGAAGAGACGCCTTCGTATCCCAAGTAGAAGGAATTCATCGCCGAAAATTTCAAAGATGTTGTTACTGCAGAGGAGCTTGGGAGGATTTTTACCAAACAATTTTCGGGCGCACCAAGCTGGAGGAGATGGGCTCAGATGGAATAGAAAGATTTGAAAAGGCTATAAAAATCATAATGAAGCAGACAGCGACGGACAACGATTGTTAACATTTAAACGAATGTTGAAAGAAAAGGGATTGGCGTGTCTATATATAGGGAGGGCCAACATAAATTGCATGAATAGAGAGATGATTGTGACATATAAGGAAAAGTTCGGACTTGCACCGGCGACTGCAGCTATCGGAGACCGTATTTTCCTGCTTCGAGGAGGATACATGCCATTTGTGCTCAGGGAAAAAGAGTGGAAAGGGAAAGAACGCGAGGCGGAAGAGCAGTTGGGAGAGGGGCCACCAAAGCAAGTAACAGAACAAGATTTGATGTTGGGAGTTATAAAAACTATCCTTGAGATTATGAATATAAAAGCGTCATCTTCTGATGAGAGCCCGGATGCTATGCAGAACGAGAAAGGTAAAGCATCGAAATGGGAATTGATAAGGAATTGCTACATAAATGGAATGATGGATGGTGAGAAATGGGTAGAAAGTAAATACAGTGATATGTCTTTTGTCTAGGGATTAGAATGAGTGGCTAGCTATTGAATTAGGAGCTGCTTGATAACGACGGAGCAGAAGTTCTTTTGGAACGATGGTCAATTTTCAGGTGGAATTAAGGAAGATAATACGAAAAGTTGGAAAGCAATAGAGGTATATGATTAGACTAAGCGTGGCCTATGTCTCTCTACTCCTGAGACGAGAGTTATGACAAGTGTAATTTTGTCTGAAGCGAAGAAAATACTTATATGTTGACCATCTAGGAGGATAGAAAGGGGAACGAAAAGATGCAAGACCACACGTAAGCTTACCAGGTTGCCGCGCATTTGGTAAACATTTATAGCCCTGTTGGAGGAGTTGTCCGCAGTTTTGGTCGCTAACATTCACATGGGTATGATGCCACAGACTGTACTCATCCGATATGATTACATTGACAGCCATCTCAAACAGTAATGTCGGGGGTACTCTCTCGTCAAAGGAATGGTACGGATAGGTACTAAAGCTTGTTGTCATGATATTTCTCGATTGAAGAACGAGTCAAATAATGGTGAAACGAAAAGCCATGCGTCGTAGGACTCCACCAAACCATAATTTACAAGGCTCGGAGCTTTTCATTGATCTTGTGATCGCACATGAATCGATGCAGATACCCATCTCCTGTTCCTGCAGCCCTTCAACAAAGTACAGACCACAGCATGTGACAGACTAGGCCTCCATGTAAGTATACTTCCTATACATGTGCTATGTAGCAGTACACATGTCATATCAAGGTGCTCTCCCACGAGAATTGAAGTCTTTGACTTACGGTAAGATATGTAATGAACCAGCGAATACAATACTCATGCGCCGGACTGCAGTGCTAAGATTGGAATACCCCGAATTTCGAATAATTGAATGTAAATTAAACTGAAACTTAGGAGGTTGCCCCTCGATGTGTTCCTCAGGGGCAGGAAATCAAGATACGAATTTGATTCTTCGGGTGCTACCGGTGTTTTGAAGAATTCCAACCGAGATCTTGCAACTCGCGAGGCATGCTACCCACATGTGGATTTATGATCTAGATCACATCCATGAAATAATACTTCATTCGGTCCGCCCACCAAAATGTGGAACATTGGCTCGTTGTGGAACAGTGGCTCGTCCCCAGAAAAGCCTGAGGCGATCTACGTACAAGGTGATCATGTTTATCATTGATTTTCAAAGAGACCCTGATGTGATCAATGCCTTGTGGGCCTCTGGAATATCAAAATTGAAATATGAGTGAGTTCTTGCTCCTAGAACAAAGGAGTAAACTTCTCTCCAATGTTGCCAAAATATGCAATGTTGTTTTATTTCCTCCCGGCAGAGAAACATTCGAAGGGCTACCTGCCGCTTTCAGAGAAGTAAAACGTTGTAAGCTGTGGGGATTGCCTTATCACGGGAAGAATGGAGGGTACTGCCTTAAAGGGAAGTGATATCGCTCACAATTGACGCACTTACATGGTAAGCTGGGCCCGCTAAGAAGAAATTGGTGGTCTTACGCGTATAGCGGCGGGGCAAAACGACTCTTTCTGGATGAATGGCTTGATTATAAGCTGGCAGATGAACGCATTGGGAAACTCATGCTGTATAACGTTGATTCGAGATTCAATTCCTTGATTCTCCAATGCGAACAATTGATGATGAGATGAGCTGAGATTTGAGAAATGGAAGGTTAGATGAGTGAACGCCTGAAAATGTGTAACGGATAACGAGTGTACATTGTGTTGACCATGCATAGCGGACACGAATGCTGACGTGCAGTACCTCGTACAAATGTAACAAGTCCCTCATACGATGATGATAGAAAGGGGAATGAGGCTCCGAGAGTGTTTGCTCTCAAATATTTGACAATTGACGGGCTTGACCCTGTCATCCATCCATGATATTCTCCTAGATCCGGGTCTGGATACCGAGATAACAAGCAACATTAAATGAATCCGGACAACCGTCGGATGTGAATACTTTGCTGGGTTTTGTCCGAAGACAAAAGATGTTGCAATGTAAGCCAAGTGCACGGAAAATTCGGTAACAAATGTTAAATAAATGAAAGTCGAAACACAATGAGTTGAATTAATTAGCCCATCTTATTAACAACAGTTGGGGGAAACTTTCCGGCATGAACTTCTTATCATCGACGATAAAGAGACCTGATTGGATTAGATCGATCTTGCCATGAGATCCAGGTAGGTATGTATGTAGGTAGGTAGAGAAGGCATTCTCCTCGATCATTCGTTTGAGACTGGGTTGCTAAAATGCAGGAGGTATTATTGCCACTACTTCGCTACCTCAATGGAACGCTGCACAATGGTTCAGAGAAAACGAACAGTTAATGAAGCCATTAAGCCATAGAGGCACGAAGTCATGTCCAATCTAGTCGTGTCAATTGTGAAGTTGTCCTTGCGACTACTGTAAGCACATGAGATAAGATGAACCATATAGAAGATACCTTCCATTCATTATCCCCAGGCCTTCCTGATTCCCTTCGAATGTTTCATGCAATAGAAGCCCTAAAAGGTTCTAAACCCATAAACAATCCAGGGCAGGCAGTGGGGCCGGATGTAGCGTGCATACCCTGTTGCCATAGTGGAGATAGCAAATGCAAACATCATGGATAAATCGAGACAAACCCACTGAAATTGACATAGATAACGGATAAGTGTTACGAGGTGCGGCCTGGGAAGCGATTTGAAATTGCATTGAGTAAGAAAAGTAATGATGCTCGCCAACTTCAAGATTTCGAAATTATAGACAAACAATGAAAAAAGGCAATTGTAATAAGTGATAGTAGAGGAACAGTCTAGTATAAGAATGCTCTCGTAGAGAAAGCTCGGGAGTCCATACTTAGGTAGACTGAACTGTGCCATCGGCCGGCACCTCTCGCCTTATGCTTACTTTATGCATACCTACACGGAGTAGTTGTCTGGTCTGGCTTTCCTTCACATGCCTATTTCTTGGCCCCCCTTACCTTCCCAGCCCACACAGAACTGACAGATCCTTCCTTCAATATCGGTATGTATGTGTGTGCTTCACTGTATCCTTGAATACATACCTCGTACATGAATTACTCATTGGATATAAACGAAAGCGTCTGCAAAAAAAGCAGCTAAACGCCAAGCCCCTTATCGATCTTGATCATTCCGTTAAGCCATTTTCGGTAACAACATCATAGTGGTGTGTATAATCAAATCAATTCTCTTGAACAATATAGCATACCTTTCAACTAATTGCACTCAAGATTGATAATTACTTAAGCTTCATATATTATAGTTAAGCTTCAAATGTTATACCTAAGCTTCAAATGTTATACTTGAAGACTTCAGGATAGCTTTGATTGATTCAAATCCAAATGATTCTTGTAATTAATAAGTAACTGAGTTTATCGAAAATCCAGAAGCCCTAAAAACCCTATAGTCTTTTTAGGTGCTGATCTGAAAGATAATCTACAGAGTATTATTAGTGTAAAGAAAAGCAAAAAACTTCTGAGTTTCCATTTCAGACATTCCCATATAAACCAATAAAGGTTACAAGGTCTCATATTCTAGCCCTTAAGTCGACCGTTAGCTTCCCAGAATGCGTGGTATCCCGTCTTCCGTTTTGAATCAGTCTAACCTATCCAGGCTCTTCCGTCAGATAAAGGATACCCAAGGGGACGGAAAGCAGAGAGGGGTGCCATACCAAAGTTGCGGGGGACTGCCAATATCAAGAAACTCCACCAGAGGATCCAGTTATAAAGTTTCCTTCTTCGTGCTACTAGCTCGACTACGAGTGCAACAGATGTATCTTGACCCCCAGTTCATATGCAAGAGCATATCATTCATGTCAAATCTCACACATTGCATGGGGAAAAGAAAGCCCTCTCCTGGTAGTACATTGTCAGCCTTGAAAGAAAAAAAGCAATAGACTAAGAGCAATCATCATCCTAATCCTTGTGTCATTCCCCAGTACAACTTACCTCCCTTCCCCACCATCTTCCAGTTGGAAAAGTTTCAACATTGACTTCACTTGTTTCGTTTCTTCTCGTTCTGTATCATTATCTTTTAGTTCTTTGAGCATCACAACATCTTCAGTGTGTTGAAAAGTCGTCTAACCCTAATTATACCGGCCACTCTTCAACATATATATATTTAGATCTTGGTATGGTAGCTGAGTGTCTTCACTTGGGAAGTTCCTTGGAAGCGTGTTTTGGTCGCCCTTGTCTGGAGTGAATGGCGACAGTGAAGTCTAATTTTCATCCGAATAACCTCTTATTTCGGAACAACCATATGTCCGGACCGCACAACACCCACGCAGAAATAATTAATCGACAAACAATACCAACCTGCTCTTTTGACTCAATAATTCCTTTTCACTTCGGTCTTGCGCAAATTCTTCCTATCTACAAATTCTGTAGACCGAAAAAGTATTGCTCTGTCCTCTCTTTGTGAATAGCAATTCGACTTCATCTGACAGTCCCTTTACCTCTTATTCACTACATTCGATTCTTTTTTGCAGAGCTCATTCCTTTTGCAGTCTCTGCTTTCGAAATCTGCTGGATGATTCACATACCAATACCAACTACTTCAGTTCCCCTCGAAGCTCTTAAACTTCTCAAATTCCAAGTTCAACTCTCAACATCCACCTGTTGAACAATACGCAGCTCTTTCTACAGACCAACAGTCATCATGTCGGGAAGGTCAGCCTATGTTAGGAAGGTAAAGGTGGACAAGAACAACAAAGCAGGATATGACTACCTGAACAAAGATGACACTCTCAAAGGAAAAGAGCGTACTCCCTCCTTCAAGTCCGATCCATCAATTTCAGATTTTCATGGAGTGGATAATGGCGCTTCAATAAATTTCTCGGATCATCATGATTTCATGAAGTCAGATGAGCCTTCAGCGAGATCACTTAACAGCGGTCACTATGAGCCCGAATTTAATCCTGGATATGCTCGAATCAGAAGACCTGAAATGCCGATCATCGAAACCTCTGGAATCGAAAAATCAGCTTTTCGTTCAAAGATGGAGAAGAGCAGCGAGAGTTTTCGTCACAATTTCGCAAATGTCTTCAAAAAGAAGAAAGGCAAAGAAGTACCAAATGAAACCCCACCCACAACACCAAATGGGGAAGAGAAGCATGAGTTAGCAGCAGAAGGAATGCACTATCCAAATCAACGACCTATCAGCCCCTTACGACGAGCCCCCAGCCATGAAAGCCAGCCATCCTACAAACGAGGAAGAGCTCTCAAGGGAGACATTCCGCCATTACCTCAAAAAATGAAATTGTGGAGACGAAAAGGACAACCAGTTGTATTATGGGATAAACTTGATGTCAGAGATCCAGATCTTTGGGACACAAAAGGAGACGCTCTGGTATTTTACGCCAATGAGACAGAAGACAATGAGATGCCGCAGCCCGCTTTCAGACTGGGATCTCATTTGATTGAAACGATAGGATCACCATTGGTAGATTCACTACTTCGCGACGGTTTGACCGACGATATGGACAACATGAGCATCTCTGAATCTTACCGAAATGGTCCCCCACGACCTCGACAACCGACTCCTCCTGGATCCGAATCTAGCAAAAGTTTCGACTCTTCCCAAATCTCGTATAGATTTGTATTACCATCTGCTGGAAAAGTCTCAAAACAAGATCTACTAAGATATAAGCTTTCCTGGAGAAATGTCTTCGCGGTATGTTCCGGCAAAGGAATTGTTGGATATACCTTACATCAAGCAATCACCGATGTATACGAACGCTTCTTGGCAATCATGCCTCGAAATCAGAACCTGTCACACATTCCTGTTAATTACACCAAAGCAATGGGATGGCATGATCTCCGGGATGATCCGGAGTTGGCTTGTAGCACGTTAATTTGGAGTGAGCACAAGAAAATACATTGGCAACAAGGATGGCACGAGGCATTTGTACATTGTGCAGGGATGTACAACCAAGTTGCCTCATTACCCAGCTGGAAGAACGTTTCACCAGCTACAAAGTTGATGCTTGACAAGGCCAGCGTCGAAACTTTAAGTCAGGTAGCTTACTGTGAAGATTTGTTGGCTAGGTTTGACTACGGATCTTACTGGCCAGAAACTTTAGGTCATCATGGCGTAAGCTCTCGTGAAGCTTTTGTCAGACTTCAGGGATTTTTTCGCGACCATTACTCAGATATGTTCGGGACATGGCCTCCTATGCCACCGGATTCTAGGAACGTCGATGGCTGGCTTACAAGACTTATCGTCAAAACTCTCGCGGCCGATTTCTATGCACTTTATGATTATTTAGTCGATCGAAAAGTTGTCTGGAATGGTTCATCCAGAATCAACAGTCGCAAATCCAACATTGTTCGTCTTGGTACTCCAGAGTTTCGTCCTAATAGCCATGACTGTGATTTCGTAGGTCTGATCGAGCGATTTGACAGTCATCACAACATTCCTTCCATTCCTCATCCTTATGCTCAACTGCCACAATCGTGTCCACCTACCCTAGGTAGAATTACACAATTGGAAGCTAGAAAATCAGCTCTAGCATATACCGAGGCAACAAATATTTTCCTCCTTGGAGACGAATACGAGGGCAACGAAATGGTGGAGGCATATATGCAATGGGAAAAGACAGACAGAATTGGCGAATATGATCCAAGGAGCGCCCGTAGAGCTCGCTGGGTTCTTGTTTATTTCATCTTGCAGACTTTATCAACACTTGTTGTTGACACGCCAGGATTAGATTATTCTGACGGAGTCGAATACTTCTTGTCCGGGAGAATAGAGCAACAACCTGCATGGATTGAAGATCAATCACTCAGACAGCAAGCTGAACACAGTCGAAGTCACTGCTGGACCGTATCTTCGGCATGGCGAAAACAATCCAATTTTGAAAACAATGGACTTGATTCTGTACCAGAGAGACTCGAACCGACTGCCACAGGTAGATCTTTGTCTTCCGTCTCTAGCTACGAGAGTATGGCTAGAACAACCACATTTTCTGAAGCTGAAACTGCCAATGATATGGATACCGCTCGCACTTCGACTGCTGTATCTGTCGCCGAAAGCAAAGCAAGTTATCAGACCATTCAACGAGCAGAAAACTTGAGCATCCGCACACGAGATATATCTCCCAAGTCCAGACAATCACCAACACCGAAGACTGTCTCACTTTTCCCTGCTCCTCCAAAACAAGTCATCGATCCACAATATTCCTCAAGATCATCCGACAAATACTATTCTACCCCCAACAACTACCCACCATCTCTCCCTCCCAAATCACCTCTTCCACAAACCCCCTCTTCCTCTTATGGATCTACACGCAACTACCCAAGTTCAAGCCGCAATGGGTCGTCAAATCACCAATCCCGTGCTAAAACACCCACCCATCAAAATCCTTCTTATTTCGCACCCTCGGGCAATGAAGGAGAAATCATGGGGTTAAGAATCCATAAAAGCGCTTCTTCTACCCCAGTTGCATCTCCTGTCATTTCTTCTCATCCTACTGGTCTTCCGCAACGAAGCAATACCGGCTATGCACCCGGAATTGAGAAGTTAGAAGACCCGATTTGGAGTAGTAGTGGAAATAGTAGTCCTGTTGAGAACTACAAGAGCCATCAGAAAGGAAGAAATCCACAACTTTCTGGTCAGCAAGGAATGCACGCTAAGCATATTAGAGATTTCGACGAGCAGGCTTGAGGAACGTACCACACCGGAACATCAATTTCTCTTCTTACATTTTTTCTTCTTGTTATTTACTCTTTTTTTCCTTCTATTCCGATCTGATTCAATGCGTTCTGATCAGATTCGGTAGATCATTCTATGGATACCCAAAATTCAATGGTTGGTTGCTTTGATGGTGTCATGGTGGATTTTTTCTTCTTTCCTCTTTATTGTCCTTCTGTTTTTCCGGACTTTCTTTCTTTTCCTGGGGAACTTTCCTGTTTATATTCATCATCTTCATTCTTTTTTACGGTGCGAAGAAAATGAGAGATAGATATATCTGGAACTTTGAAATTTGGAACTTGTAGATGGAAAAATTTGGCGTCTATTTCTTTAATCTTGGGTTGGGTTGGGAGGGTATATTGCTTGGAAATGCCTGATGAATAGAAATTCTAGGAAGGGGAGGGGGGAGGAAGGAAAGGTCATGGATGATGACGAATAGACGCGAAATGTATTTATATGAATGAGATCTATAAACACAGAATTCTTTAATGTGGTGTGATGTGCAAGACTGTCTTGAGATGCATTGTTTTCTAGGACTTCCAGGATAGCGTAAGACGAATGATTGATTATGTTTCGCCGCGGATGCAGTCCACGAATAATGACATGAGATTCTCACTTCTTGAGTGATATTAGGGAATTGTGATTATTCCATTCAGGTCTCGCATTCATACCAAATATTGAATCTATTTGCAACAATGTAACCATGCCAATAATTTAACCGGAGTTCAAGAGTGAAAAAGATATATCTAGCCCATCATAAAATACCCCCCCAAAGTTTAAACGCACAAAATTTACTTAAATCAAGATAGTCCGGGTTATTGAGCATAGTTCTTGTCATTTCTATAGCACGATTTGATGGCAGCCAACCACACAAATAGTAGATATTTGGGCACTTGATTTGGGGATTTATGCGGAAGTCAATGGACGAAATAATGGTGTATACGAATTCACTTGGGTTGGGAAAAACGGGGAGCCTCGTTTGTATTCTAGCCTGGTTGTATCGCGCATGCCGGCTTAGTATTCATTTTAAATCATAAGTTATTCCAACGTAAATCGGGAAATGGCATGTATATTGTTACGAGACTATCTCAGTTGTACCAAGTGATGAGGACTTCCAATTGTGAGAATGGCAGGGTGGAAGCTCATTTAAGCTCCTCTGTTATTACTCCATACTACGTTAAGATATCTTTATCAAGTCCTAGCTCCTCAAAGGTTATGTCCTTAGAGATGTCTCGTTCCGTATTGAATATTTCATCCAACCTTGGCCCGCGACCTTCAAATTGAGCCTCGTCATCGTCATCTTGCTCATGAATACAATAATCTTTCATCCCAGCGTCTTCGAAACATGCTTCGTCTTCCTCGTAACCATCTTCAGAAATGCTATTGTCGTCATCTTCAATCCCTCCTCGCACTTTGCACATTCTATCTTCGGTTTCCTCGATCCATCCTGCAACGGATGAGCCTTGCTTTACAAAACCCCTACATTTTTCCAGAAATCTCTCAAAAAACTTCAAAGCTTCATCGTATTGTGAAAGTTGTAAAAACCAATTTACAATCATCTTGCAATGTACAAAAACAATTGAATGGTCCCATCCGTACATTTTGACAGTTGACTTGAGAGATTCTTTGAAGCAAACTATAGCTTCCCAAACACTTCCCTGTTTCCAAAGAGCGTTACCCAAGACGACTTTAAACTCTACCTCTATGAATATTTTCTTCGATCCATTTGCGTAAGGGGAATTTTGGATACCCTTAAGCATATCAACTGCCTTTGAAGCTTCATTTTGTTTCAAGAGGGCTCTGGCCATTGTCGTGTGATAAAGAAAGTATGTATACTTTTTATTATCAAAGGCTTCGACTGCTAACTTAAAAATCTGATGACACAGATTGGAACTTTCGTTATAAAGTCACCGGGCTTCCAATATCTGCATGAGTGTTTCTGCGCTTCTAAGCCAAGTCACGACCAATTCCGATTTATCCAAAACTTGAAGACTGTACCTAGCAAGCCTCTCGGCCTCTGCTAGAGAACCATTTTTTCGCAAGATCCAACAGAGTAAATTTATGACTCTAATAGTTAATTGATGGTTAGGCCCTAATGCGACCAAAGCTATCTGCATCACGGGGCGGATTGTAGCTTCAGCTTCGTGATACTGGCAAAGTCGATAAAGTATTTCGGCCATCAAGTAAGATGAATGAATATGTAATGGATGTTGAGGCTCCATAACATTTTCTATCCTCGGGTGTAGAATAATATGCAGATTCATCCCAATCTTCAGATCATGTGAAATAATGTAGGAATCGACAATCCAAAGACATATTTCTACCATTTTTTATGTATTGCGGCATTGTTCTTTTTGTCTTGCATACAAGAGCGTTCTGCATACCATCTCGAATTCTCTACTCGTGCCGAGTTGGTGATAGACAAAAGTCAAGCACTCCAAGGTCGAAATTATTGCCGGAGAATTCATTGGTAGCACTCTTTCCAATTTTGACAATTTCTCCTGGCACACTATTGACTCTCTTTTGAATGATGCAAATAAATGGATCCAGCTGCTTTGTGAGCGTTTATTGGCGCTTCTCAATGTTGGGAAGATGTCAATCTCAAATAGGGGACTCCAGTATAGTTGCTGCATTTCTGGATTGTGGGATTGTAGCGAGGTACTCTTAGCGGAAAGATGATGTGAAGAGTGGTTGCGTCTTTGAGCCAGGAAAGACCCACCGCACTGTGAAGTGCTACTACATGGTCTGGAAAGTTTCTTCAGTTCAATTCTAGACAGGTGTCGTACCTCTTCTACACCCTGCTCTGTTTTATTATCAATACTTGTGGATGTAATGATTTCTGCAGTCTCAAGCTGCACGAACAATTCAGCCAACCATGAATGTCCGGAATAATCTTCAGCAGACTGACTGAAAGGCCATTGATCGTCGGTGTTGGGTGCAACTATGTCATGACGAAGCTCTGATCTTGGAATCTCTTCAATAATCATATCGCGGTCGTCCAGTGCCGCGTTTTGGTGCCCGATCATGATATGGCAGGGCGTAAGATCCAATGAAGCTTCTTTGATTGCGTTCGTTTTTGGAGAAAAGTCCTGGCCCTGTACGAGAGATCTCTCGTTATCTTCGCTTTCGACTCCAAGACCCATGCGTGCGGAATTTCTTTTTTGCAAGCGCTCAACCCTTTTTTGGTTAATTCGTGAGTCGTGTATAAACCTTTGAGGAATCTTTCCGCTCTTCACAAGCTCATCTCTTTCACTTTTCCTAAAATTCTTTTTGAAGCCCCAGCTTTCGACCTTTCGAGTGAATTGTCGTTTCCTGTTCTCGTCAGATCGTAGTTCTCAAGTTTAATCGACGGGAGCCGAGTCAACTTCGAATCAAACTTACGTGATATTGTATCCGAACTCCAAGTTGAGCGCCTCTTTAAGTTTGAGAAAAGTCAACTTATCAATGATGTACAGACGTTGAATGATTGGTTTTAGAGCTGGCCAATCTGCATCGGTAATAACCTTTCCACCGTGGTGTGGGTGATGATCTGGGGGTTCTGGCGCGAAGCGATGAGATTCAAGAGTCTTAGATTCATCGATGGCATACGCAGATGTTGATGATGCTTTAAAATCTCCGATTGAGAACGTTTTTGAATAATCCATGAGCGCGAAGATATCAGAAACTAAGGAATTATGACCGAATGATAGGAACGCTGAATTGTTTCTCTAACAAAAAGAGTGATCAATCAACTCACTGGGGATGGGGATAAGATGAAGAACAAGTATTTGAATCATTTTTCATATATCCCCGACGATTCGTGCGTGAACGCAGGCTGAGCAGAATTACCTTGCATGAGAAGGACTTTTTACTGCCCCCAAGTGTGGGATTAACCAAATTCCCCCGCATGAATCACCAGTAAGGCGCAAAAGCACATTCACTGCAAATCAGCCGAACAACATTCATCGACAGCCTTACCATGCAGTTGACTAATTGGATGATGCTAGCACTGGCTCGCATACAGTTTCTTTTGAGGATGCGTGATACTTCTGAAATGGCTGATCGGCATAGCAACATACCACAAGCAGTATCAAAACCACTCAGAGGACTTCAAGCTCACTTCTACATCTTGATCAGTATTGATGCTTCAAGAATGGCTATGGTTGGGTATTGATATCTTATTGCCAGCACTTGCTGCACGACTAGCCTTGCGGTCACTAGAGCTTCCCGAGATCGTAATTATTGACTTTGAGTTGTAGATCAAGGGCACTTGACATTTTAACCCAATTCTACAATTAGGTCTACGATAGAAAATGGAAAACTGTAAAAAAGAGTTGAGATTCATTGGTATTGAGGACGAAATGAGAAAGAGAGTGGGAGTGGATTCTCTGGTATATTATATTGCCATGCTCACCGCCCTTCCCCGCGGCGAAAACGGCAATATAATTTCAACCCCGCCATATGAATTTTCTTTGACATACGAAGTAAAATGATGGAACAACTAACCACCGCCCCAGTTCTATCGACTCCAGAAGTACATATATTTGAAGATCCCACACCTTCGATCAAAAAAGATGATCTCCCTAAGCTTTCAGACGAAGAGTTATACGATGTTTACGAGATTTCGCGGACGGTGAATGAGATTCGAGAAGGAGGATGGAAGAAAATAGCTTTACAGTTCTCGGATGGAATGTTATCAGATGCACCGAGAGTTTTTCAAGAATTGGAGAATAGACTTCGAAAATTACCTACGGAACCAAGTTCGAGCGAAACCCCAAAGGATGAAAGCTCGAGCCTAGAAACAGACTTCAGCAATCCACCTACGAACGTCGCGACATCGAGTATTCGACATAAATTATACATATTGGCAGATACGTCTTATGGATCTTGTTGCGTCGATGAAATCGCCGCTGAGCATGTCGATGCGCAAGTCGTCATTCATTATGGCCGCGCTTGTCTATCCCCTACCGCACGATTACCTGTGATTTACGTCTTCACATCCCGCCCGCTGAACCTTGAATCGGTCATTCAAGCTTTCGAAAACACGCATAAAGAGAAGTCCGACAAAATTGTCATTATGGCTGATATTACATACCACTCGCATATTTCACCTCTAGTCGCCCAATTACGAAATAGAGGCTTTGAAAATATACTTGCGCCGGAAATTACACACAACCCCAGTGCCACAATACCGAACCGAAAGTTAGATGAAGGGGTAGATATGAAGGATTATAGTTTATTCCACATCAGCGAGCCACCATCTGCGTTACTACTTACGTTGTCGAGTAGAGTTAAGGAGATGCATATTTATTCTACAGATTCTACGACCGGAAACGAAACGACGAAAACGAACACAGCAAGAGCACTCATGCGGAGATACGCCTTACTGACATCACAGTCTTCCTCTTCAGTATTTGGTATCCTGATAAACACTTTGAGTGTAACGAATTATTTACCCACGGTCAATTCCCTGGCATCACTTATAAGATCAAAGGGAAAGAAATCCTACACGTTTGTGGTAGGGAAGGTCAATGCTGCGAAGTTGGCGAATTTCAGTGAAATTGATGGATGGGTAGTGGTAGGATGTTGGGAGAGTAGTTTGGTAGAAGGGGAAGCATTATTCAAACCAGTTATTACACCCTTCGAATTAGCGTTGGCTTTACAGAGTGATGATGAGCGAGTCTGGGGTGGTGATTGGGTTGCAGACTTCAATGCTTTGAATTTGCAAGCTACCACTGTTCCTACTTCGTCAGCGGAACCGACTGAATCAAACAATCAGGATTCCGAAGCAGCAAATCCAACCGAGGACTCAGAAGACTCCGAGGAAGAATCGATGCCCCCAGAATTTGATCTTCGAACTGGCCGATACGTCTCACATTCTCGACCTATGCGCTCTTCTCAGACGACTTCGTCAGAGCCCAAGAAAACGTTGGAGAATGGGTTACAGCCCAACGCATCGAATAAACTGGTCAAGAGAGCAAAAATGGAAATGGCGACCGTCAATGGAGAGGTTAGTCCTGGTGCAGAATATCTAAGAGAGAAGAGAACTTGGACAGGTTTGGGTAGTGATTACGATAAAGAGGCTATTGATGAAGGCAAAGAAAGAGAAGTTGCTGCGGTTGTTGAAGAAGGGAGAAGTGGTGTAGCAAGAGGATATACGGTTGGTGAAGACGCTTCGCGGAGTTGAACAATTGCTTTCTAGATGCGATTTTGAAACGGCCAACATCGAACAGAATTTGGCAAAAGACTGTTCTAAAATGTTGATACCCTTTTTCTCCTCAAATCAAACATGACTCGTGAGAAATACTGGAGCTGTCGTCACAAAGTTGACTAGTTCTGGACCTAAAAATGGATCTAGCGGTACGGGCCTGACTTGCAGCATGTACTAAACCCCCAAAATGTACTTTTCGGGTAATTGAAACATCAGGAGAAGAAAGTCGGCGAAAAATGGAGTCAACAACAAGTTATGGAAGCTCTTGACGATTCACCGCCGATGAAGTAATAAGTTTCGTCAACTCGGCGAACAGGTACAACGAATAGGTACATATGATATTCCCCACCACTGTACCTGTCGGTACATCGGTACCTGGAAAAGTCGAGAATAATCGAATCATCTTGTTGAGCTGGCAAAAAATATAATGAAACTTTAGACTCTCCATCCAATTGATCCTAGATCAAGATGTAATGCCAGATTATCCCAACTACCCAACCTACCAAGATCTCCTTCCAACATGATAATCTCGGTGCCTTTTTTCTTCTTTTTTTTTCTTTCGCTTTTCATTGATATCTGGATTCTGGATTTTGTTCCGAGTTCATCGGATATTAAAACAGATGTTGTCACCCTGCATTGACCCAGTAGTCCAGGATCTTTGGGCGCCAATAACCTGCCACTTCTTTTATTTTGACACACTAAACCCAACCCCGCCATTTTTTGATAGCAATGAAATTGATTGTTGGGGGGTAAGACTGTCAGTTGGTGGTAAATATGTGATATAAAACGGGATGCAGCTTGTAAATGTAGGTATAATCCGTAAGTAATCTAATTATATATAAAAACTGTCTACCTAGTATCTAGGATTGTATTCCCATTGTAATCCAGCCATCTCTTTATTTGATGTTTTGACCTGTGCATTTTAGATGTTGTAGACTGTCTATAGATACCGTATAACATATCAAAGTGTATATCGTGTGAAAAGGAGACGAGGCCAGACGAGACCAGACGAGACCAGACGAGACGAGATAATCATGACCACTACGCAATTCAAGCAAGCAAACAAGATTCTACTATCGATAAGAATCTCAATCAACCAGATCTTCACCGACGTCATATAAAACCTCACATATACTCCGTAGCGATTTCACACACCGTTACCCTTACCGTTACACCCGACCCATCCATCCACATCCATCCAGCAGAAAAGCAAAGAAAAGAAACTTTTCCCAAAGCGAGCCTTGTCGCTTTTGTCGTCAGCATTTACCCAGCGCATCGCATATCCATCCTGCTCTCCACATTCTTGTTTTCCACCCTTGTAACTCTTCACCTCGAAGGAATTAGACTAGCAAGTTCGAGGCAAGTAACCAAGCAAGCACAACCCACCATCCACATCCTATCCCATCCCAAATCCAAGATCCCATATCCACCAACCATACCCCCATTCCCTTCCCAAACGACTAGCTCGGTAGGCCAACAAACAAGGCTGCATCATACCCAAAAGCAGGGCAAATCCATCCCAACCTCAATCTACCTAGGTATCCAGTCTGTGTCTGTGGGTTCATCTTGAACTGGATTGGAACTTGATAAGAGGACATAGCTTCACGTCTTGTCGACGAAGTTTTTTTCTTCTTCTTCTTTCTTTTTATTTATCAAGTATCTAGTCTTCACTGCTGTGATTCAGTGAGCCTTTATTTCTCGTTGCTTACGAATTGAAGCAAGCACCTGCATCCAATTGTGTGGAAGCGAATTTGATTCGTACGTTTGGGACTCGGCTTTCAGCATCATCATCATCGTCGTTGTCGCAAAAGATAAGCCGACTTCAGCTCCAAGTTATATTCCACCATAACTATATCACAATCGCAATCATAAAAATAAAAATAATCGCAAAGATTCGATCCTCGCTGTCGCACCCAATAATAATATACTTCTCTCAAACCCCCCACCCAAAATCTGAAAAGATAATAAACTCCTCACAATGCTTTTCGGAATGTTCTTCGCCTTTTGGCGATTTTGCGAGATCATTACTCTGGTATGCGATACCTTACTCATTATGATTTCCCAACTCCTGACATTTAACTAACCCTTTCTCCTTCGCACCATAGATCCCAACACTAGGCATGCTCGCCTTCTTCGTCAACATCTACGCATCCAACAATGCGCTCACCCCCAACTACATCCTGGTGCTCTTCATCGTCTCCGTGCTCGCCTGCGCCTGGGCCATCGCAACGCTCTTCACCTACCACCGCACGCGCTCCAACGCGCTCTTCGTCTCTTTCATCGATCTCTGTTTCGTGGGCGCCTTTATCGCTGGCGTCTACGAGCTCCGCTTCATCACCAACTCGGATTGTTCCCATTTGACCACTACCCCTGGTTACTATATCAATTTCGGGGCATTTGGAAATGCGAATATCAATGGCGTGAGTGTGAAAGTTGATAAAACGTGTGCGATGCTCAAAGCCTGTTTTGCGTTTGGAATCATGAATTGCATTTTCTTCTTTATAACGAGTTTGTTGGCTTGTATGGTGGGCAAGGGACATGAGAGATCGGGGAGGAGAGATGAGAAGGTTTATGTGAGGGAGACTCATGTTACGAGACATGGACATCGTAGAAGTGGAAGTCATAGGAGTAGAAGAAGTGGAAGTCATAGGAGAACGTATGTTTAGGGGAGGTTAGGAAGTGGATGTGTTTATGATTGGATGGGATGGAATGGGAAGGATGGGATGGGATGGAGAGGGAGTTACGGCCAATTTAATGTTTTACTTTTTGAGAAATGAATGAATGGAATGGATGAATGAGGGGTTGGGAATGGAATGAGAAAAAGATAGGGTTGGTCTGGATAAATAAGTAAGATATGTCATTATGTATCTTTGATATGAGGACGAAATGAAACGAAATGAAATAGGATAGGATAGGATAGGATAGGATAATGAATCAATGCGGTAATCTTCATACATGCACTGCTTTTCCTCCTGTGCACTTCTCATGTGACGATATGTCTATTTGACGCTTACGAAGTTCGATTTACTCAAGGCAAGCGCCAAATCGATCTACCATACCGAATCTTCCTTTCCCTCCTTCCCATCCAGTATCTAGTAATTCCCTCCATCTCTATCTACTCTACTAAATCACACCTCATAAGTATCTTCCCTCCATACGAGGAAAAGCGTTTTCCCTCGTTGATATCCTGATCCTTGATATAAATCGATAAGGTCATTAGAGTCGTGATATAAGTACATCTCCACGAAGAGACTAGTGATTGTGAATATATCACTGCCATTTGTTGGTGGAATGCAATAATACCGAGTGATGAGTTGAGGTGCGATACTTGACCCAGTAGTCCGAGTCTGTCCTTCGCGGATAAGCGTTTCCGAGGACGATGAAGGGAGCGGAATGCATTGTTCTGGGGTTTGGTTTAAAAGGGTGTTTTTGTTTTTGTTGTATGGAATGAAGATTTTGCGAATCTTTGTATTTCGGGATGAATCGACGTGGGAAAGTGAGAAGATTGGAGACTTACTAGATGAGTGTGGTATTGCGATTGGGGTTGTGGGTTTTAGAGATTTGATCTGGAGTGAGACTTTTGTGTTATTCATGAGGAGCTGTTGTTAATTGACGTGAATTCTATCTTATCATCTGGTATATAGAGATTGGAAGGCTTGGATACATGTATGTATTATCCAACAAAAGATCAAGCGATCGAACTTCGATGAGTCTTCCACATAGAGATTTTACGGGTCATAATCTACACACATTCTACATTGATTCTCCCATCAAACAAAATGACCCCCTAAGCCCCTGTTCTCTTCTCCTCAACAACATGTTCTCCCTCCTCGCTCCTCCCTAACCCACTAAAACTCATCTCCCTAATCCTATGTCCCTTCCACACCAACAACGCAATACACAATAGACCTGCCACCTCCAAAAATGCCATCGTTCCATACGTCCACCCTACATTCACATCCGCCACCCATGGTTTGATATAAAACGCAACGCTAAGACCGAATCCCACCCGGTAAAAATTAACAGCAATAGATGCCTCTGCCGGATTACCGATAAAACATTCATTAATATAATTTACGGTGATGGGTGTAATACACAAGGAGCCGAAAGTGACGAGGACGGTAGCGAGAGCGAGAACAACCCAGTGGAGATGATAGAGGAGACCGGCGCCGAAGAGACCGAGTCCTATGGGATTGAGGATGCCTGGGAACCAGAGAGCGTGGAGACGATATTCGGGGACCCAGATACCGTTGTTGTATTTTTTGGCGATGTAGAAGGGAAGTCGATCGGAGAGGTATTGGCCGTAGAAGAGGGCGAAAAAAATACCGATCCAGTGAGTGAAAGAGACTGATGGATGTGTTAATTATTTCTAGATGGGAATTTGGGAAGGACGAACTGCTTACATTCTGCATTTTGCCAGGTTGTGAAACCGTATCCGCCTGTTGCAACTGGCTTTTGAAGGAATGTGGGAGAAAGCGAATTCATGGCGACGTAGAAGCCGAAGTTGGTTAATGTGAAGATACTGAGGACTAGACAAACTGGGGAGATGGCAATAAGAAATGGTGTCTTTGCGATTTTGAGCTATCTCGGAGTTAGCATCGTCAATAGGTCGATAGATACCAAATGCATGTGTTATGACTTACAGTCTGCGAGAAGGATGTCTTTGGTGTAACTTTGGTACCAGGAAGAAATGTTGCAATTCTGTTTGCAATAAAAGAAGATGGTGGATCGGGGTTCATAGCTCCAGGCGTTCTATCCCAAGAGGTTTCATGGAGAAACAGAAATACCAAAATGACAGCCAAACCAACCAATCCTGCCGTCCATCGATACGCATTCATCCACACCGACTTTGCAGAAATGAGAGCCGATAATGTTGGTCCTGCCACTGTTCCAAAATCGAAACACCAATGAAATACAGTGAAAGCTCTTCCTCGTTGGTGTAGGAAAAATAAATCAACCAAGATTCGTGGACCTAATACTCCAGTAATGGCACCGAAGAATGCACCAAAGAATCGAGAGACGATGAATGCATTGTATTGACTCTCGTGTGTCATAAGTGCTGCCCATACATTGCTTAATATAGCACCAATCAATGACCAAAAGATAGCAGAGCTACGTCCGATGACATGTGACAATGGGAAGAAAAAGAATCCTCCTGCTGCCATACCAGCCGAACCAGCGGAATTCTAGATCATTATTTAGCTTGTGCCTTTTTCGAGGGCAAAGTTGTAATATCATACTTGATAAGCGATCTGGGTTGTAGTCTTGTTGTATAATTCGGCCTGTGGCTCAACTTGAAGCTGACCAGCAAGACATGCTGAAAATCCAGCAAACGTCGCAAAACTAATAACGGCGAGAATCTTCAATTTCTTTTGCATAGTCCAATTCTACGATTGTTATCAGTATTCAATGTTTTCGACTTTTTGGTACTGAAACTTTGAAGTTATTGGTAAGAGAAGTACGTACTAATGGGTCTCTTGGATCATCACTTGGCTGAGGAATAAGCACGACTCCATCTTGATTCTTCTTCATGGCAGGACTGAGTTGACTACCATCATCTTCCTGCTTTGAGTTTATCTCCGCATCGGATGATACAGCGTTGCTTTCTTTGGCTTGTTGAGGAGTATCCATGTCTGCAACAGCCGATAGAGTCAATGGATATCGAGCAAGTATAGAAGACCTGTCTTAGCTGAATGAAATTGGGATCACCGTCGAGGTATCGAAGGGATTTTGAAGAAAATCGAGAAGTGGACCTAATCTACGCTCTCCAATCATCGAAGATGAGGTATTCCAAAACCAGATATTTCCCCGGTGTACTATATCGTGTGGGTGTATTGTTCCATTTGAGTGGAGTTTCAGTTGAAATCATGGAGATGAATGGAGATGGGATTAGATTGGAGATGCATATTGCCGGTGAGCTTCATGCTGGATGTACATGGGAATAAAGTATTGCGGTAAGGGACTAACTATCAATAAGGAAGTGACTTTAACATCAGACATGTCACATTAGCCACCCGGTCAAAGAATCATTTATTTATCTGGAAAAGCTGACGCCGCGCCGGGAGATTACCGTTGCCGAGCCTATAGTCCCTGTAATTTTGTTGAGTTTTGGAGCTTGAAACCCTAAATGCGTTCAATGCCCCAATGAGCTTTTTAAACTTCAGGCTTACATGGACAAGCCACGAAGCTTATTTTGACACAAGAAAACTCAATCCCCGCACATTGGGGTAGTGCGACGCTATTATTTAGTATGGAATATATCATCGAAAATTCTGACACAAAGGCTGACTTCATATCAAATTGATACAAATCACGACATTTTGACGCCGTAACCCGCTACACCTGAAGCCACATAATCACCTGGACCATACATCGCAAAATGTGCTGCTTGCAGTTAATGCGGAAAACCTTCCCTGCAATCACAGAAATACCGAGGGGATTACGACAATTTGACTTCAAGCCACACACCAGAGTCTGATGAACCTGTCACAAGTGATTTTACGCCAAAAGAGTGATGATCTTTTCTCTTCTCCTGGCCTTATCATTCTTACCCCGGTATAATATTCCAGGGGACCCTATCTCATACAAGGAAGAAACATGGTCTCGGGAACCTCGCTACATATTCCCCATATCCATGAATTGCCCATTTCCACCAATGGCTCCGAAGATCGTGGGGCATCAGGATCCAAAGACCGATCTCTACTGAATCTAGAGTGTGCTTTCTGAACTGCTTAATCTATTCTTATGATAGGCACCAATTACTTCGCTCCCGAGATCTAGATGAAGAGCAAATAAACCAAAGGAGCAATAATACTGCTACTTTATACTCAAGCTCTGGGGTGAGAAGGGCTAGAAGACCATTGTCCTCTCTTAAGTCCATTTTCATTATATCGAATCAGGAAGGACATTCATTCCCGTTTGCTCCCATGTATTCACCTCCTGTGTGATGCAGCAGACCAATTCACAGAACTGCACAGGTAGATCATTGAAAAGCATGGTCTACATTCTGATACATAGATGCTTTAAAATATGCAAGAATTTCAACGTCGAATAAACCATCGAATCATGATCTTTACCTGAAGTTCTGCTTCTATTGGCAAAACTACACTGGTTTCTGTCTACGAGACAGTTTTTAAAAATTCATCTAGCTCATATCCTTGTTTCGTGCGCTCCACTGACTGCACTGCGTCAAACGCGCTCTACAATCTTCGGACTACACATCGAACTTTTGCACAATGGGTACGGCGCATCTCGATGACCTTGGGGTGCAAGGCAAGAGATCACTTGTACTGGTTTCAACGATTTTTCTTCTCGTCTTATCCATTACCTCTTTTGTGTTGAGAATATTTGCAAAACTTTATACCGTTGCCAGAATACAATACGAAGATTGGTTTATGGGTGTTGCGTTACTGTTTAGTCTGGGTACTCCTATCTGTGAATTATATGGTATGTAGTGTTCTATCTCATTCAAAGTTGAGGGACACTTGTCTTGTCACTATCACGATATCATCATGTACTGAATGATCAATAGGATTGAGTGTAGGGCTGGGAGAACATCAAGCGAACGTTTCTGTAGACGATCAGAAACGTCTAAGTTTTGTTCGTAGCCCAGTTTTCCTAGAATTTCACTAGCAGCTAACCCTTTTCAAAGTCAATATGGATGATTCAAAGACTTCAACCATTCTGTCTTTTCTGCCTCAAGACTTCTCTGATCCTTCTCTACGTCCGTTTATTTCCTACGACAAAATTCAGAAAATTTGCTTGGGCTATCTGGATCTATACACTATTATGGACGATTGCAGCTTTGGGAGCATCAACTTTTGAATGCACTCCAGTGTCTTATTTTTGGAACAAAGATCAAAAAGGCCATTGCATCCCAAACGCGTTAAGAACGATATCTTTCACGAATGGTCTTTTGAGTTTTCTCGGGGATTGTGTGATTCTCTGTATGCCAATACCTATGATTTGGAAGTTACACATGAATGTGAGAAGAAAGATCGCGCTTATAGGTATCTTTGCAGTTGGCGTTTTGTAAGTTTCTTCATCATATACTGTGATATAAGGGAGTGAGTATCATATGCTGACATTGTTGAACTTTCTTCTAGTGTTATCATAACTAGCATTATTCGTCTAATTGCTCTCTTTGCTATTGATACCGAGGACCTCACTTGTAAGCTTCATTTTCTGTATAAAATCCTCCAAGAACGTGATCCAAGACCATTAGATAATTCGACCACTTCATCCATTGAAGCTATTTTCCACACAAAACCATTTCAAACAAACCACTAACACACACCCAGTCTCCCAAGTGGAAGGAGGAGTCTGGACCTACATGGAAGAAGCAATCGGCATCACCTGCGGCAATCTCGCTCTCCTCCAACCCCTCTTCCGTCGTTTCTTCTCCAACAAAGATTCTCGCCTCCCAGATCGACGTTCCATCCCCCCTTCATACAGCTTCACCGCCACGATCAAATCCGGCTCCAACAACGCCACTTCTGCAAAAACCATCCTTCCATCTTCTCGGCTCGCTTCCAAGACAGGCCGCATATCGGGATTATACACGCGTATGAGCGAAGATCTAGGATCGACAGATCGGTCCCGCAGGAGAAGTATTGTGGGAAGCGATGCGGAAGCGGGGAGTGGGGATATAGAAATGCAGGATCGGGGATCCTCGACGAGGAATTTGGAGGATGATAAGATGAGAGAGGGAATTGTTATACTGGTGCAGACGGATGTGACGGTTGAGAAGGAGAGGAATAGAGATGATGAGGTGTATAGGTTGAAGAGGGATTTTATCGATCCGTTGAGAGAACTGCCCGCGAAGGCTAGTTGTAAGACGGATAATGTGCGGAGTGAAGAGGAAGTTCAGAATTCGCGGGCGGATTTTAGGGTGGTGAGGGAGAGGGTGGATGGTTATAGTCGGGGGAGATAGGGTGTGGAAGTTGGGAAATGTATATTAGGTGTTAGATATGATATAGAAATAGGATACAATGACGGTGAAAATGATATCACTGGGTTAGAAGAGAATGGGATGATTCACATAATGTTGGATACCAAAAAGACTACCCGTCGCGTTAATCATATGCTTGCTCATAGAATTACCCTCAATGTCATGATTCTTGGTCACTTTCAACGGAGCATCGAAACAAGCTCGCACTTCTGAGAAATGAATGGGTGAATGAATGATTTATTTATTTATCTAAAGACAACCCTAAAATGTACCTCCAATAAACGAGTGTCAGGTACTGGTATAGGATGAAATATATTTATGTATATCTAACGAATGTTAGATATATAAATATGGTAAAAGAATGGTAAACCGGGTATAAACGAATGATAGCGCCCCATTGCCTGTGTTTTATCCCATCCCCGATATAGCATGCACTGCCAATCCCGACCCAAACAAGAATGAAAGATTCAGGTCTCTATCCGGAAACTCTAGACTCGTGTTTCTGGAAGAATCTTGTAGAAAAGAAAATCGCGGTTTCAGTATTCAATTTGAGAAAGTTGAATCAGCGCGTCGCGTCATCATCTTCTCATCGTATCATTTCCAATACTCCTTTATACTCCATGTGAAATGTTCATACGACAACAACACATAAATCTCCAACTCATTCATCATCATCCTCCTCATCGCCATCCATCCCTCCAATAAAAACCACCTTTGATCTTGGCTCACCCGGCGCTTTAGGCGCCGATCTCTTCGGGATAAAAAACCCAGGTCTCTCATAAAAGTAATGCGGTTTAGGACTATCTGGCATTCGTCTGTAGATGAGTTCACTCGGATGTCTCGATTCATATCGTGAAGGCGGTTCTAGGAATGGTGATGAGGGCTGAGAAGTTCGGGATTGCGTCGAGGATGTGGAGGATGTAGAGAAAGAACGCATGAGGACCAGTGGTTTGGGTGTAAATTGGAAGTTGTGAGATGAGGGTGATGGCGAGGAGATTGTAGATGAAGTTGAGGAGGAACGAACTGGTGTTCTGTTTTTTGGGGTGAAAGAAGGGTTCGAGGTGAGATCGTAGGAGGAAGTTGAAGGAGACATTTTGGGTGATGTTAATGACGCAGTTGTAATCGAATTGACAATTCGAAATAAATTTTAATGATAGTTTCTCCGAGACGTAGAGCGTGTGATATAAGTAAAGAATGTGTATCAGAATGCACTCTCACAATCCAATGAAGTTCCAACAGCAAAGAAGAACAACAAACACGCACGTCATTCAAGAATGCCAAGTACGTAAAGTGACAAAAAGTAAAACGAATGAGACGGATTAAAGAAAGACAAGAAAGAAAGAGTGGCCGTAAACTTATCGGTACCAAGAGTGAAAGATATGAATGAAAACTGGGAGAGATGTCCAGTACATAAAGACCTGGAATGAGGCTCATCGACCTTCTTACATCAATCTTCCCTGATTCTTCTTCCTCAACTTCCTTCCCCATCACATATTAGAGTGTAGGAAGAGATTACTCCATCATCTAATTCCTACAGACCACATGGTATCCATGCACTCTATCTTTCGTGCGCATATGATGGTGTTGATAAGGAAATCCCGTAGAAAATGCATGAATTTTTGTGGGGAGATGCATTCTTTTCATCCATAGCTTATGCATGGGAACTCTAAAGACCTTTGACGCCGGGAGAAGAATGGCATTGACCAATCAGAATGGTGGGAAGGTTCAGATGGATGTTGTGCCTAGTGCGGGGTGAGATATGGCGCAGTAACCTATGAGTGGTGGGATAGATGTGATGATGTTGGTCAGATGAAGATTGTTTCTTGTAAGTTAATTTACATTGACAGAAGTTGAAGGTGGATGGAAAGTGGGAGGTGTGATTTTAGTCGTGAACTCTCGGCAGTTGTCAAGGTATAATTTCACATTTCATTGAGTTCGAATATGGTAATCCAAGATGAAATAACGTTCCAATCGAGGGTATGCAAGATACACCTCAAGGTTTTCACATCTCATCGCTCCATGTTCTTTCTATCAAGTTCATGATCAATCCGCCTATCGTGACGCGCTTCCAAAGTTTAGTTGGTGGTCCCACCATCAAAGACCAGACCCACATCTGAAAATAGAAACAAAACCAGCACAGGACATCACCAGGCACTTGCTCAGTCCTTTTCACATTGAGCCTCCCAACACTATATTATTTCTGCATATCAAGCGTATCGACAATCCTCAGTTAATCATTACCAAAACTACGGAGTAATACCGGACCGAATGTGATTTTGCAGTTCGGTGGGATATTTTCCGGGCGTTGTAGGCAATCCAGTAAGGTATTGTGAGAATGCCAAGCTGCTAAAATGCTACGCCAGGCTTCCAAATTCTAATGCGGATCATACATAATTTGTAAGAGTTGAGGACTAGGAAGAAGAACGATGGAAGGGGAGAAGATGATGAAGCATTATGGGACGAACTGGATCGCATGACTAGAAGCTAGTACGTGACGTCGTAAATCATGTGTGATGAGATGAACTAGGCCCAGTTTAAGGGCTGGCGTTAGTCAAAAAAACATTACAGAGAATATTTGAGTTGTGAAGAAGTACATGGTAGGTTTGTGGACATCATCTCAAGTTGCTCTTGTAAATCCGTGTTTCTAAGTGTTAAAGATTTTCATCGTCTGGATCCGCAATAGTTTTTCGGCTACCTGTCGCATAGACCCTCAAATTGGCCGCCGGCCCGTTTTGAGGCAGCACGATGAAGAATATACAATTGTATCACGAGTCGCGTCGGGATCGCTTCTTTAAAAACGAATAAGTCCAAGCTGTAGTACAATTGGCCATTGCCGTGGTACCCCCGAATTGAGGGGTCAGTCCAATAGTAATAAGCGAGCCCCTTCATCTTGATTACAATATAGTTCATTTGGTATGCTGACTAGGTTTAAAAGATGAATTTTGTATATCTAAAGTTGATGTAATATGTAGGGGACTTATAATTAGAATAATTTCCATTCGATTAAGATCATTCAAACGTATTCAACAAACGGTAATCCAGATTGCTCTTGAATAATCTCCAAAGCCTGGATGACTTTCTCATCCTCGAACCTATGAATCAAAATATGTTAGCCAGAATTCTTTACAATTGAAATAACAACTAACCGTCTTCCTATTAACTGCAAGCTAATAGGAGCGTCTTTATAACCTTCAGCTCCATATTGTTCCCATAGATCCCAATTGTATTTGTCCTTGTCGTTTCTTGGAGTGTACGTCTCTTCAGTGCTATCCTTTTCCACATCAACCTTGTCAACTGGAAAGACTAAAGCAGGATAATCTAACAAGTTCCACTGCGAAGTGTAGCCCCACCATTTACTGGTGTCTAGTTTTGGTGCACTTCCTGGTCCAACTGGAGATAGTATGACGTCGACCATTCCTTCCAGCTCACCGTTTGCACCTTTCGAAGTCGCTGTTTCGTTCCAAATATTTGCATACTCTGTACGATACATATCCCGTTGAACTTGAGAGTTCCACATCGATGCGATGCTGTGAGGTTGTAAATGCTTGTTTTGAGTAATGATGTGCTCAGTGAGGGGTCGAAGGGGCTCCCCGGATTCCTTTAACGCATCGAGTTCTTGTGATCCACCATCGGAGAAATATAAATTGGCCTGAATCAAATTAGTGATGATTGCATTTTGGAAAACATTACTCTTACAATTATCTCCCAAGCTAGATCATGCTTATATGGCTTCCACTCAACCACTTCTATATTTGTGTTCGTCTTAAGTTTGTCCACAACTTGTTTTAAGGCTCTTGTGACTGGGGGATGTGGCTTCACAACCCCATCATCCCACAAAATTGCAACTTTTATTTTTTTGCCCGGAAAGAAATTCTCTTCTCGCCAAGGAAAGGGCAAAAGAGATGGTTCTTTGTACCATGGTTTTGCATCAATGAGTGCTTTCATGAAGACTTTACAGCCATCTAAGCTTGTTGATAATGGTCCGATCGTGGGAACGATGTGCTCGGCACCAGCCATAGTTGCAGTCCATCCATCTACTGGTAAGCGACGAGCTGTTGGCTTCATGCCATATACACCTACGCGAAGGTAAGCATATTTCATTTCAATTTCCTCGCTCTCATTTACCATTATTTGCTGCCGGTGAACGGATGGAGCCACCAATATCAGTACCGATACCAAGACACGAACCCCTAAATCCAACCAACGCCCCCTCACCACCCGAAGAGCCACCACAAGTCAAAGTGGTATTGAATGGGTTTACAGTCACTCTAAGAAACAAATTAGCAGTGCCAATGTCAGTTGCTTGTCAAATTTACCCATATATGTTATTACTTGTCTCTAAATGCATTAAAGTTTGAGGTTGTGTAGTCCTAGCATACAATATAGCACCTGCATTCAACAGAATTTCTAAAATATGGGAATCAACTGGACTTGTTTTGCCGACCCAAGCAACGAAGCCCGCATTATGGTCCAGGTCTTTGATACCAATATGTTCTTTCACGCTGATCGGTATACCGTGAAGAGGGCCAATAGTCTTTCCATTCGTTTTCAAATATTCGTCGAGGAATTTTGCACGAGAGAGTGCTCGCTCGGGAAGTAATTCGGTGATGCAATTAGTCTGAGTTTTGATTAGTCTGTAGTAAAATTGCCTGCTAAGATGAACATACCACTTTTTGGGCCAACCCAGCTCTTCTTAAGAATGCTTTAGCAACCTCGGTTGAACTCAAGTCTCCTTTTGCAAGTTTAGACACTAGATCTTCGACTGTAGCTTCTGTAATTTTAATCTCCTCGGATGTAAGTACTTTTCTCGCAACTGATAATGTATTCAATGGAATATTCGTGACATCTGGGATAGGTGGCTCGATAGCTGCGATAGTCTCATCTCGATATCTCTGTCTATCTTTGGCAACCTCTTGCCAAGATGCACCGGATGCTGTCGTTATTGTTGCAGGTGCCATACTAGCGATAAATGACAGTTTGAAAAATAACGAAGGAACAGAGTAAATCCAGGCAGGTTTGAACTTTGCAGACTATTTAAACGGAAATTTGTACACAAACCTAGTGTATGTCGTATATACTTGTAATAAGAGTTTACCTTGACATTATCAGTGGAGATGATAAGGAAAGAGAAGCTTCAAATGATGAATGTGTTATCACACATCCTCGGACAACGGCGGGGTAGATACTAGATAGTAAGGAGCTCGTGGGTGGGTAGTTGGAAGTGCCATCCCCAAATTGGAAAGTCCTCGCGATGTGTTGGAGGTGGAAATTGGCAAGACATGCTGAAGATTTGAGATTGTAAATAATTGTATTCTAATCTATTAGAAACAATCTTTCGGGAGCCGCTTCTTTCAAACCGTTATCCTATTTCCAAATCTTGTTCAAACTGTAGATTTCAAACTCCAAACTCCAAGCTCCCATTTCCGTTTCCATAAGCCGGGTATAATTCCACTATTGTCCTCCCTTACTTCTGAACTGTACGATCGTCGGCATTCGATTGGGCCGTCTTAGAATGGGTGGCCCCAATTGAATGCGAAACCAACAGCAATAATTGTCAAAGTAATCAAAATCATGCTAACCAGCCATTTGCAGACATCCTCGGCATGGCTTATATCCGGATCTATCTCCTCGTTCAATATCTCTAATTCTCTTTGTGTTTGTATATATAAAGCCTCGTAAGATGGTGGAGGAGGTTGATTTGGATCTATCGTAATAATGAAGGGGTCATCTCGGTAAGGTTCTTGATGCTGAAGTGGTATGTCGTGTGTATGGTCCGGCGACGATAATTCATATTCGGGAGGCCTCATTTGAGCTAATCGACGTACTCTACTGACCAAATAATCGTGCATTGGCTCGTATCCAGGAGGTTCATTCATATCGATATGGTTTCCTCCCATCCCTTCTATGACCTCCGCACCTTCATTATCTGCTGGATCATCATGGTAAGGTTCGACAGGCACTGCATCTTCTTCGGGTAATGGTGGTAACGACTGTGTGAGTCGTGCTCGAGAAATCGAAGTTGATGGGTGATGGTTGGACATGTCGAATATCGCAATAGCTTGGTATAAGTCGTGCCCGATTCGCAGATCCTCAGATCCTTTCACGACTGTCACCCGAATTCCCTGTCGAATATCCAAACACAGCAGCAGTGGGTTAAAGAAAAGGTAACCACATGAAAAGTTAGATGGGCATAGCAGCCTGTTATGATTTTACTACGCCGCTCTGTTCACGATGATTTTAGTGGCTATGAGTTATCCCCTGCACTGTAAGACCCGCCAAGCTTCCCTATAACCTTGAGACCCCTGATGCTCTAACACAAGGCATATTTGCAACCACAACTCTGAAAATTGGTGTTTCATAATGTTCTACAAACGAACAACATCAATGCCAATGGTGTCGCAAGTGTTGCACCTATTGTGTTCGGATAAATTGGGTTGATTCGAATTTGAGTCAATACTTTTAAGCTCAAAATCCCGTCAAGTTTTCACTTCACAATATCCTCCCATTTAGTTCCAGAAGCATGCATAATTCTCTTTACCATTCATTCGTTCTCAACCCTGGTTTTTAAAATCCTACTGTACCCCCATGACAGCAAGTGTTTCTCCACCCAATTATGAGTTGTAAATGCATGGCATGATGTTTTGAAACTAAACCTACATTTTTCAAAGCCTTGCTTATGACAAAAGGACCTTTGACAATCATCCAGCCAGTAATTGGAAGGTTATTGTTGTTGTTCGCTAGATTATGACCTGTGGTAGTTCCGCCGAGTCACGACAAAACATTGTTTCAAGAACAAAGAAGATTGCCCAATCAATTCTAAAGTTCTTTGTATTTTATTTCATTGATCTAGTTGGTCCTGGATTATTATATAAATATGACAGAGATCAAGAACAATCCCAATCGTCCGAGTATATATGCCTCGATGACTCTCCATCTTTCTTATCATCACCAACCACACTCCTGATTCCATCCTCAATCTTAAGATGCTTCCTGAACACATTGCCATCGTTGCCTTCTGCATGATCGTGCTTGCCGCCATGCTCGCATGGGCTTTCTTCTGGCCTCACAAACACCACAGATACGGGATGGATGACTCTAGAAAAGCAGCAAAGAAACGCTCGCGTACCGCTGGCCGGTCACATCGCGACGTCGAGATGCATCCGAGAAATTGGAATAAGGTTGAGAATCATTCCAAGAATGGAAAGACAAGAAAAATGCCTGTGCATGATGAATCCGAAAAGTACGAGACGTGGGTGTGATTGTGCTACGGCATAATTGGAGAAACTTGAGACGACATCATACATTCTTCAAGCGAACTCTCATTCGAATATGACAAGTCTACATTTGTTTCTATCAAAGACTAAAATAATCAATCGAGACTTTACTACAAAATATAACTTTGCTTATTTCCTCCACCTATTCGTCCTTCATGAATTGTGACCCAAAACCTGACGAGTCCGAACTTTCCCCCTTGAACTATTCACTGAATCACGCACTTGTCGAGGAGTAAGTAGCAAGCGCCATTCCTGTATAATCACATACTAGAATAGATCTTCGGCATTTTCAGAAAAAAACAAGAATTAAACTACTTCCATTAAAAAAATAAGAACCAATGACTTCACCTCATCATCGCTCGATCTAAGAAGCGTCGCCTTGCCAAAAAGAAAAAGCTTGTTTTGGCCATTTTTACATGTGACATTTGTATATGGTATGAATATACGTATATGATGGGCGAATTCAGCTGTATAACAAAACTTAAGTGGGGGTCTCTCCAATGCATTCATTACATGTCTGTCTAAGATTAATTCGTAGGATTCAGGACAGAGTCGTGATATGGTGAAACACTGTCATTTTGATAGCTGTCAAAGGCACCATATGTAAGTAAGAGCAGAACTGAGCATAGATTCGATTTCGACATAAGACATATGATAAGACATTTTCTGTAGATCGAAGTTTACGATCTTGCTGTTCTTCATGTTCTAGAGGCTGCCTAGACCACAAAAGAACAAAAAAGACGTTGTGGTGTATGTATTGTCTTCTTCAAAATCGTTGCTATACACATGGAAATCAAGATCGCGCATAACTCGATGATGATAGTGGGACATGTCTTGTTAAGCACACTCAAACGACTAAAACTACTGACCAATCTTTCTTTTCATTTTTCGAACTGCTACATTACTATGTTGTCATTATCACTCAAATATTATTATTCATTGATTGCATGTATAGATTTGTTTAAATTTGCAAAAGGAGAAGCTTTATTTTTTTTGTCCTCATTTGCGGAATACCACCACCACATTCAAAAACACTCTCTTAAGGAAAAAGCGAGATCAAGGAAGGCTCATGTCATAATCATAGATATCAAACTCATCCTCAGAACTGGAATCATGGATGACTTCAAGAGGGGCAACGACTCGCCCATTGTTAGCCGCACGATTCGCAGTCCGCTCGTGTAACTGATGAAGAAAGCCGTGATACTGAGCAATCTGAAATTCTCTCCCCATCATGATCTCATGACGAGAAACTATCCACTCTCGTCTTGCTTGTGGTAGTTCATCATCCGGAGTATCTCCTGCGCCAGGAACATCTTCGGGAAGCTGTGTAGGAATTAGTCTTCGGAAACCTCCAAAAAGCTCACCCGGGTGAATTGGAACCGTGTTGAAAGCAAGAAATATGGGCAGGAGGACTACGGAGATGAAACATGCATAGATGAGTGCCACTAATAGGCTGATGGCTTGAGTTAGTGGTCCCGGCATGATGTTTTCGAGACTTGATTTGTGGATTTTGGGGTTGTTATGTTAGTGGGTCTGAATGTAATATTTCACTTGGTTCTTTGAGGAATTTGGAAATGTTACAGGCAGAAGTGGCTTGATGGAGGATGATTGACCTACAGCGAAGCTACAGTGTCTTTTATACATATTTTGGAACTGATAATAGATTTGTTCAGGATATGTTCAAGAATACTTCAGAAATACTTTCGAGTTGTTGAAGTATGTAGCTTGGAAAAAACCTGAATTGTATGTTAGAGGGAAACGCTAAAGAAATAAGGACTACCTCGCCTCACTGTAAGTATCGCTCATGCATATTATACGTTTACTGGTTTTCTGTACGTAACCACTCATTGTGTTGTGAGATAATTAGATAAGAGCATGATTTCTTGCTGGACAAGTGTCGCGCTCACATCGCTCACTCACTTGATACCAAATTTATCAATAGCATTATCATGATCTATATATATACTGTATACTGGTTTGAACCAACAATTCTACTAGTAATTACAAATTCACATCACCAGCAACACAATATCAAGATCTGTATACTTGACTAGTCTTTAGCAATTACGTCTCTATTATATGATTATTCAAAACTTCCACTATCTATGCACACCATCAACTCCCTGTGCAATTTTTAAATAGAGGATTAAGATAGTATACATGCTAGAACCGTTTTCACAGCTACTTCTTTAGTTTGTAGATTTCTATTCTTCTCTTTGCACGATCCCTCATATTTACTTCGTCCATTAAATCAATTCTGGTTGTTTTTAAGAATGCATATTAATCCTCTATGTTTTCTCCCGTTCAGGCAAGTTTTAACGTCTTAGCGAACAATATTCTTCAAGTTCTTGGTCTCGAACCTTGCTGAATTGACCAACAACTTCAGAGTCATATTGCTGAGTCTACCCAAAGAACCATATCTATGGAGAGTCGCATGGTATCTTGCGCATGAGTCTGGCAATTAACAAAGCAACTACGATAATCCAGACGTCGAAAATGAGTGATATATATGCAAAGCAGAAACTACTCGCTGACCTCCATTTCCATGAGGGCTTTTTGGCACAATGCTTAGTATGATTCGTCATGATTTCCTCAGGAGTGGTGGAGAGGGGAAAGATGGGAAGATGTTCGATTATTTTTTGTCTTCGTCTATATCGTTTCTGTTTAGGGGTTGTTTCAAAGTTTTTAAATTGATGGATAGAGAAAGTTGCTGGGGCTCGCTTAGTGTTTCTTTGTGACTTTGTTGAGCTTTTGTATGTATTGTATGCAGTGTATTGATCGATTCATTGGATTTAATTCTTAAACACCACGGTATTCATTCTTCAAATGGGTAGATAATCAATATTGAGTCAAGCCTGATATGTATCAACTTTTATTTGGTACGATATCAACGTAATGTCACTGTGATACACCCTAGAAAAAGAATAGGTATCTATTTCCTATCTTCTCTGCTGACTTCCTCACATCAACTCCAGGATACAATATGAATGGCTCTGCAAGATCCTACGGGTCATTTTGACTAAAGCTATGAGCTTGAAAGACGCAGAGCTGCGTCGCTTACAAAAGACGAAGAAAGACAAAGGATATCACCATGATCAAGATGTCCATAATGATTATCGTTGTTCCAAGTCTACGCATCAAAGACTCGAGTCAAATTACTCGCTTGATCAACTTCTACAATTTACACTTGTATTTCCATCATTCATATTCTATTCACAATATCACAACAATGTAAGCTCAATTTTATTCGTAAATTTTTAAATGGTTTAAATTAATCCAGTACGATTACCAACGCCCCAAGACCGAATCAAAGAAGCAGGAAACCCCTACAATCTCTGAAGTCTCAACGCCCTAATCCGTCTCTCCAACCGTCCCGCCAGCATATGAAACACGCCTCTCCAGATTTGCGCATAGAAAACGATGCGAGAAAAAACGAGTATAATTGCATCATAGAGGCTCCAAATGACAAGAAGAACGAGCAAAAAGCCAAAGCCAATCACGAAGCCATCGACGAAACCGCCGATCAATGATGCTATGAGGGCGTGCGGGTCAAAAGGACTGAGGAGAAAGTGATGGACAAAATACAAAATCCCAATGAAGGAGCCGATATTGATGCTGATGATGAATGCTTGTAGGTAGAATTTCATGAGACACCAGCCGTGTTGATGATTGTGATGATCTTGATCTTGATCCATGATCGAACCGAGTTATCTGTGTGTTTCGGAGTTTGTATTTTAAAGTTCTCAGAGTTTTGAGTAGATCTCAGAGAGTGTTCAAGTACTGGAGAAGAAAAGAAAAAGCATGAAGTGTTGAGTAGTCATTGTATATATGTACGCGATAATTGAAATTGTTTTGATACTGTTACAATATTGTCCTCATATTGTTATATCACCAAGGTATTCATATAGCCTATTCGACTTCTGTTCTGATACTAATTCCTCGAGCATTTTAAGAGCAAAGTGACGAACCACGGACATTCTTAGAAAATCAGCAAAGCTAAGCGCCTGAAATCGATCCGCCTTGACTGCTAATCAAGACAATTCTGGGGAACAACCCCCTATACGAGGTTTTATAGCTAAGACGAATCCTTTCTCGAGATGAGAGTCAGATCGTACAATGGGTTGTTGACCTAAAACAAGCATGCGTTCGAATATATCCAAGGGAGCAATGTTACGAGATAGATGATAAAAGATTTGTGGTTACGAACAGCAGAAAAGTACATTTTCGAATCGACCACACAAATCCTCATACATTTCCTCACATTCACCGGGCCAAACTACTAATCCAACTCTATTCCATCTTCACCAGAAAAGACATCATTGCCTTGAAGAACGCAGGATAGCGGTCAATCCAGGTATCAAGAGTTTTCCCCCTCGGCGAACCTCTTGAGTGCCAGGCAACGAATCATTTACGCGGATCGTGCCGAACCCAAAGCTGCCGAGAAGGAGAAAAAAACTCACATTATATCGATCCTATAATCCTACAAGTATAAGTTTTCCAGGCTCTTATAAACTTCAAAAAGACAAGATACAATGCCTGCTAGTATCCCTCATCTAGCACACAAGAAGTTCTCTGAACTAGAAGAGAATCCTGAGAATTAAGATAGGATAGCTGCCAGTATCACAGCAACTCCAAAACAAAGTTCAAATAAGGATACAAGCATAGTAATATGTGATCAGCCCTAGAAAGATGTTTCAGAAGTGTAAGCAAGATCTTACAATTGCGATGACAGCCAACTCCGACCATATAAAAACTCACGAAGAGATGTGAAAGAACAAAGTCAAGGTAATCCCAAACAAGTGAGAATGACCACTTAGTAAAAAAATAATGCGCACTTGCAATGAAGAATAAAACACGATGCACCTCGGTGGGTATTGTGGGGACTTATATTGTTTAGTAGCCAGTGAAAACTGTCATGCTATACTATATCATTATTTTCATTCTCTCATATCTCATACAAATCGATTAATTTATTCGATTCTTGAATGCAAACACCTTGCCTCGCAGGTATATTAAATCCCGCACCACAAAATGCAAAAAGATGCCCTGCTCACCTATAAATGACCCTTTTCATAGAGAGATAATGCCTCTTCAGAAACCAGTCTGATGCCAATGTTCATGCACTCCAAGTCTTCCATTACACATTCCAGGTCCAAACCAATCAAACAATTCTACCACCATGAAATGAAATGCTAAAAGACCGCCAGATATGCCCCAACTTAATTTTGTGCCGAGCCCCAGTTCAACGGCGGCTATTACGACGAGAGGATACCAGATCCATCGTCTGGCGAGAGAAGAAAGACATGGTTTTGTTATCATGAAGACTTTGAAAAGAAAAATTGATACTCTAGCCAATAAAGTAAGAGATTGCTTATTGTGATGAGCCCACGTTTCGCAATAGTGACGGTAAAGAGATATGCGATTCTTGAAAGAGGATATAAGCGTGGTGGGTGGTGGCATTAACAATGGAGTGGTAATGTGAGGTTTTGTAACAGGAACAGCAGTGCGACTTCGACTGATTTCCAATGCGAGCTGGGAGGTTGGTGTGGGCGAGGATGAACGAGATGAGGTCTCGGATGAAGCATCTTCAATATATGCTCTTGAGCGCACTCGCTTCGGTTCTCGTTCGTTAACTGGTGTTGCGGGTGGCATGGGTGAGTCAATTGCTTGAATTCTTCCACGGATTCCCGATGAACTACCATGCCGCACACGGGCTGGATTTTGTAAACCTCTTTCTGTTCTGATTGCTTCTAAGATCTCATTTGCACTAGGTCGATCATTAGGGTTGACAGCAAGTAATCTCTTGAGAAAGTTGTAAAGCTGATTTGGTAATTCTGGTCGCTCTCGTCGTTCGTCTTGAAATCCAGACCATGTACTAATTTCAGCCCTAAGTAGATCCATGTCTTCAAAGTCTTCCTCGAAGCTGTCTGCACTCTTGTAAGGGAGTCGTCGGAAACACATGAAATACAGTATCATTCCCAAGCTGAAAATGTCAGATTTCGTAGTGAAATTTCCATATCGACCAAACTGATCTTGCTTCAAAACTTCAGGAGCACAATATGATATTGTGCCTGTGGATCCTGTCGATTTCCTCACAACATTTTCCGCTTGTACTTCTCCAAAGTCGCTTATGAGGCATCTCATATCACTTCCATCTTGATGTAGCAAGCAGTTGCTTGGCTTCAAGTCTCGATGAATGTAATTCGAAGCGTGTAGATGTGCAAGGCCCGAAGTAATATCCTTGAAGAACGAATAAATTTCCTCAAACTGTAATTTCCGCTGCGATGATCTCAGATCGGGTCGTTCTGCACCCCCTCTTGATCTTCTTCGCATTTGCTCCTTCAATTGTTCATTTGTTGTCTGCATGTTCGGTGTAGGTCCAGCAATATAACGTAGTAGATCTCCGGAGTTGCAATACTGCTGAAGAATGTAGGCGCATGGTACTGAGGGACTGAACCGATTCAATTGAACGTCTTCCAGCCAGACATGTCGATAGGATACGAGGTTTGGGTGAGAAAGCCCCTGTAAGAGTTGAACCTCAATGAGAACTGTAGAAGTTAGTACAGGAATCGCGAGTAAAGAGAATCGTAATACCTTTCTCTAACCATGCATGGTCATCTCCAACTGGCACTCTCTTGCACGCAAATTGACCTACAACCCGTCAGCACATCGTTTCGTATATTCTTGGATCTTCATACCTAGAGACACCCCATCGAGCTCATGGCGGACTAAAAGAACTACTCCCTTTCCTCCACGGCCTAATTCCTTTTCCTCAATGAAGAATCTCTTGAAGTAGTTTGGGCTGAAAGCTTCCTTCTTTATGGTATGTCCTGTTTCTACTGCCGGAGTACTTGCCACAAATTCTACGTGGTCTTCTGTATCATCTACATAGTTCGCAGATGGAGAGGCAGGTTGTACGAGTCTACGAATCGGACTGGAGGGTGGCTGTTCATTCGGACCACTATTTGCAGCATGAAGCATGCGAAAGTATTCTGGAGCTATGAAAGCATTTGCACGAGCGGAAGGAGTAGGCTGCTGTCGTTCGGGAGAGGGTGCGCGCAATGGTCGATGGCATGTCGGACAATCATTCAAGGCGAGACCAGGAGGGGCACTTCGCAGAACTAATTGTTGAGTATTAGGATCTCTTATAACGATCGCATCATCATGGCGACTGTAACATTAAACGTTAGCATGTATGTGCCAGCTATCTTCCAGCTTCTACTTCATCCAAGTGTTCTATGCAGAAAAAATGAGGTATAACCTACAGTACAATCTCTCGACTGTCTCGAGATGAATATGGGACTAAAGACATGGTGGAGAGTTGGAGCTTGTTGAGGTTAAGCAATCGATTGATGTTATAGAACGAGATCTTCTCAATCTTTTATGTCACATTGTTTATTATTTGAGTGATGATTTATAAGATGATTCAAGTGTGTATACAAGAAGTGTACATGCAGCAATTGCAGCAATGTGAAGATGCACAATGTTCAACACAATATCCAATTCCCGATAAACTTTTTATCTTTCATATGTCGCAATGACATGTTCATGTTATCGGGTCGGGGCGATCATTCTAGTGACTGCCATTGTTGTCCAGGCGTTTCCCTCTCCCCACATTCTTGACCTCAGCCTCACTAAAATGTCGATTTTATAGGTCTCCGTCACTAAGGTGATACTACCGACAGGGGCCGATCCCATCTTTCAAGCTTCCGTACCCATTTTTATATTCCATCTTCAATCTTCATCCAATCTTCAATCTTCAATCTTCATTCAACATTTACAACTGCATCCAACCATGGCTTTGATGTTACGAGGCCTTCAGGTTGCAAGACCTTCATCAATTACCATAAGCTACGTGCGTTGTCACTAAGCACTGGGGCATACAATGAGTTTTTGGAGATGCAATCAACTTTCGATGACTTGATGGATGAGTTCGTGACTCTGTTTACGAAGTAAAACCCTCAAAGTCACAGTAACGGCTGGCACAAGGCGGGTACCTACATCTATCCATCCTGCTTAAACCAAACATTCCGTATCATTACATTGTGATTCACATGTGGGCAGATAATGTGGAAGTCGTCTCAAAGAATGAGCTCCATTAGGTATCTAGAACCTCTCAATGCTGAATAGCCTTAAAGCTAACTGATATTGATGTTTGGGGGTTGATGTCATTACAACTCTTCTACTACTTTGAATTGTCCAACAGTGACAACAGGTGTGACATTGTATTGCTTTCGGGGGAGGTCATTAAGAAAGCCATGCCGAAGATAATCGGCGAGGATTGTTTCAATGTCTTACTGTACCGCATGATCACCTCGACAACATCCACCAAGATTCTCCTGTGCCGCATATGAAGTTGGTCATTCTACTTCGACATATGCCGGGCCCAGTGATATGTCTCGCGCACATGGCAACGCGATTATGTACGGGTCTCGCATGCTTTGTACCGAATTCGAAGGTTAACATGCAGCCTACCGCATTAAGCAAACATGGGATATTCCTTCTCGAAGGCGGAAGCTTGCAGAAAAGGATTTGAGGTGCGGCTAATCATCTCGACAATCGTAAGTTTGATCGAAGGAGCAACAAAGAAGATCAATAATTCTCATCTTATGATTATCGAGCGATTCTGCACCAGATCGCTTGTAAATATTGGCTGATTCAAGATGTATTTGGCTACCGACCAATCAATAACCCGTTCAAATTCACGAAGCCCATTTCGAGACGAAGAAGTTCTTTGTTTCCAAATTTGGATCTGGGTCCTTCCTTACATACTTCGGCTTGTACCTCGACTAGTTTGAGGCCACAAACGAGTACATCCAGTGGATAATATACAGAAGGTCTGATTTTGCCAAGGAACAAAATCTTCGATAGAACAAAGGGTGAAGTTCATATTGTTCCATTGCGGCTTCTAGAAACCCATCTTTATTGAGAATAATTATTTTGGTGCTTCTATCTTTTCGATGAAGCGTTATATATGAATTTGAAAGTAAGAGAGGATCGAGTGCATCTTCAATTGCAGGCGGTATGGGTAATGAATGTTTGATAATCGGCGTGATCATCATTGTTGTTATGGTTATTGGAGGTGCAATCGGCTTTTTCGTATGGTACCAACTACGAAGATCAAGACAGTACAATGGAGGCATCCAGATGAACCCTCTACAAGAGCGCCATCCAGATGGTCAACGTGGTCGGGTACATGAAGAAGATCGCCGCACACAAAATCGTAATCAAGGTAGCCTGGGTTTGGCTGACATTATTGGCAACTCACTTGGCCATCCTAGGGATAGAACAGAGAGTAATGATGGTCGAAGCCTAGCAGATATTGTAATTCCACCACCCAAACGGCGTGGAAAGTTATCTGCAGCTCATTTAAAGAAAGCGACGAAACGAGACATCACAGAGGAGCCGCAAGATGGGCCAAGTACAGCTAATGTTGCAAATCGGTCGTCAGATCGCGTGCGCATATTTACTGGACATGATGATCAGTCTACAGTAGGAGTTGAGGCAAAAGGCAAAGGGAAACCAGCCCCCGAAAAGTTTCAAAGAGCAGTCGTCTCTCCTGAGAATACTGATACTCCTCTCATTACGGTCGAATCTTCTCCAAGCTGTTCCCAAGAAGATAGCAGTCTTAAATCAGAGTCTTGACCGATCGAACTAGCAAAGATGGGGGATAGCTAATATGCTGATAAATCATGTCAATTTGTAATCTCGGGAAAATAATGACTGCCAAATTGCCGAACCCTGCATGATCAAATGCTACACAAGTGAATCAAGGGAAACTGCTTGCGGATCGAAATGTAAGATCTTCCCTAAACATATCAGGCTGCGACTTCAATACCGGAAAACATTTGGAGTATGGAAAATGATCAAGTCCGAACCTAGTAGATATCAGTCAGTGCAGAGAGGGATTATAATATGTTGCAAAAAGAAAGAGAGGGCTGTTTGTATAAAGTACATGATATTCCGAGGTGGCAGTTTCGGATTCCTTGTGATACTATTTCTCATTCCAATCATTGCACAATATTTAGGGAAGGGGAGACAAATCGCCTTGCTAAAACATGTCGAAACTTATTGTTATAACCAGTGTCACCGGTACCCAAGTGCTTATCCCCATAACTTCTAGATGTACGAATACTAAACAAATATAGGGATCATCAATTGCCGAGACATTTCTCCGCTTCCCAGAATGGCGAGTTCGAGGCACAACACGCAATCCAGCAAGTGTAACTGCTCAAGTACTAGCAGAAAAAGGAGTCGATATCGTTCAAGCGGACTTTGATGACAAGACATCACTCTCTTCAGCTTTCCAAGGAGCTAATGTAATTTACTCCAATACCGATTTCTTCGTGCATCTCTTCACAGGAATATCCGAAGGTGCCCCTCCTGGCCGCACAATCCTCGAACACGCCTATGATCGTGAAGTCGCCCAAGGCATCAACATCGCAGAAGCAGCCGCATCACCGAGCGTTCTCGAAACATTGGAATATTTCATATACTCCTCTCTGAGCGATGCAACGAAATGGAGCAAAGGTAAATATACCATGGTCTATCATTTTGATTCGAAAGCAGAAACAATACGGCAGATTGAGTCTCGATTTCCGGAGTTGGCAGCGAGAATGAGTACCCTTCAAATGGGATATTATGTCACGAATTGGAAAGCTTTTCCACCCATGGCTCCGCAGAAACAGACTGATGGGAGTTTTTTATTCGAGAGACCTTTGAGTCCGGATAGTATAGTTGAGTTTGTCGTTACACAGAAGGATACAGGAGGGTTTGTTAAAGCGTTGATTGAGATGCCGCCGGGAAAGAATCTCATAGGTGTTTCAGAGAGAATGACTTGGAAAGAATGGACGAAGATTTGGGGAGATGTTTTGGGAGTTAAGGCTGCGTTTAAACAGGTTTTTGAAGAGACGTTTTGGAAAGGGGTACCAGAAGCTATGAGAGAGTTGCAGCTTGCTTGGGAGTATGTGGATGAGTTTGGTCATGCGGGTGGGGATCCGGATGTTTTGAGACCGGAAGAGGTGAGTTCGACCCTTTCTTTATGATGTTTTTAGTGCTAATTGTGATTTCTAGCTTCCGTCCAAGATTGCGCTGACGTCGATGGAAGAGTATATAAAGAGCGAAGATTGGTCAGCTGTCCTGAATTCTTGATGAAGAAACTCAATTTTGTAGGAGCAACTAAATCTCCATATTTTGTTGACGGAGAGTACTTAAGACGAACAAAATGTTCCGGAATAACAATTTTATAATATGAACGACGATGATTCATCTTCTTTCCCGCTTTCAAAGCTCTTATTTCGTTCGCCTCCTTGTCTTTCAACACGCATCCACATTCCTGGGGATGGAAACAATGATGGCTTGGGCTGGGACGGTGGTCCTGCTTCAGTATTTAGTACTTTCCTTGATGTATTGTTTACATAGCTAAGATAATGAATTGGTATTAGTGATTATGTAGTCGAAGTGTGATGATCCTAAAGCTTGTTGTAATCTCTGGGGTTCTAAGTGGTTTTATTATGTATTCTTGATGAGTAGGAGTTACGGCTTCGAGCAGTACTCGCAAGAAATGGGACGAGTGAAATAGTTGATTTGGATAAATCATAGATTGGTTTGGACTAGACGTTATGAAGTAGTAACTCGTAAATTGGTTTACTAATTAGGCGGAGTTTTAGACTGAGAGTTTGGTGGGTTGGATGTGTATTTAAAAGTCTTAATAATAGTAGTAAACCTTTTATCGATTCAGTCTATTTACAGCTAATGCTACACTGGTAATGCGATGCACCTATATATATCTCGCCGAATAGAGTAAATGAGAAAGATAACCCTCCATTTTCCCCTGAACACCTTCCGAGTCTGTCATGATAAGGTCCGTCCAACACTTATAGCCCATGATACCTATACTTTCGAAATTGATTAGTATTACATTGCTTCAATTCCATTCTACAAGTTAATATGTGTGACCCGCCGAAAGGGCATTGTAGTTGCTAAATTTCAGCCTCGATCTCAAATCTGTTTCGATTTTGTGAGCTTATTTCAGTTTTAAGTTTAATCATGATTTATCATAAGTACCAATAGGTAATTTTAACTCACTCAATGAATAGGATCATGAGTAACCCAATAGCCTCTTTCGAACTGATAGTATGGATTGACTTTAGCTAATGAAATACAAAGCCCACACATTGCAAGTACGGATATCGAGTTCGATAATCTCGAAAATGTAAGTTATAGCTTTATTAGTATCTGTTGGTATCACCTCGGTCATAATCATGTCGTCTTCGTCCTGAAGGAACTGTAATGACCTTGTGTGATCGTCTATCCCAAGTTTAGAACTTCAAGCTACAGAAGCTATATGCAATAAATATGAATCACACACTAATGCTCAAACGTGTATGGATATTCAATCGTATTGTAACCGTATCAGGGATAGATACCAAATTAGATAAATGGTTCTTCCGAGAGAGGATGATTTGATGCTGGGAATAATGAAGCTGGCTGGATGGGTATCGAAGTCACCATTCTATTGCACCGAAAATATGCTTCAATATGGTTCGTCGTATAGTCTCTCTTCGTCTACAGTTTACCCGCAGTAGCGAAGATTTGTTACAACAGATGTGTTCTATATAACTTACAAGTATGATCAACCAGGAACAAACTGAATCCTTCATCCCCATTTTCAACACCATCAGAATCTCAACACTCAACACTTAGCACTCTACTTGACTCATCTACAACAACAATATGTCTACCAATAACTCCCAGTTACTAGATTCTCACGAATCAAGCCCAGGATCCTACACCCCAGAAGATAGCGGAAGCGAAGATACAAGCGATACCGGTGTGCCGAATCCCGCAGTTCTCGATACACTTTCTCAGCTTCGTGCTCAAAATGCAGAGCTCCAGGACAAAAACACCGAGCTTCGAGATCAGAACACCCTGTGCCGCATTCGACATGCTCAGCTGCAAGCTCAAGTCGAAAAGCACGTCGCCATTTCGCAAATGCGAGATCAACTTGCGCAGCCCGTCAAACAGGTCAACCAGGAGTGCCGATGGCATTTTTGGATTATTTGCGCCTTGATTGTTTTTTTTGCATTGAGGATACCTGCCTAGGTGTATGAATTTTTGGGGGCTGCAGGGGAGGGAAGTGTGGTATGTAAATTGGGATTATGGGGAGGGTTGTGGAGATTGGTGGTGATCCTTTGGCTGGGTTATTCGGATTTATTGGCTTATTTGATGTTAGGTTGGAGAATTGATGGGAGCAGTTTATGGATTGGTACGGGGGATAAACCAGGTGTTCATACTGGGTTGGAAGAGTTTATTCTGTTTGCTAGGGTTGGGTTTGATGGATGTGAATTATGATTCGGGAAAATATTTTCTTTATTTGGCACATACTCGTAGCTTGTTAATCACAAGTCAAATGATAGACTATCATAGATTACCAGATATCATTCTCCTACTCTCATCATACTCATAATGCTTGAGTAATAACAAATTCATTTATATGATTATGAGATCACGATTTGTATGATAGACTTCAAATGTACGTGAAGATGATGATGCCATATGCATGTAAGGATGGAAGTATAAGACAATATCCAATGTCAATGTGCATTTAGTATTGAGAAATAATATGATGAGGGGGAAGAGGGGGGAGGCTGTCAGAGCTATCTTTGATCTTGATGAAAAATTGATGAGCGAACTAGACGTTAATTAACCATTTTCATTATTTTGAATACTCTCATGCTATAAAATTGAGGTCTTTGATATTGTGTGTCGCTTAAGTTCGATCAATGATGAAACACTACAAAGACGTTGATATGTCATCCTCAAATGTCCGCTTGAGCAGCCTGTCGTCTTCACCTGATACCATGTGACTACTGCTCGATTTCTTCAATACTGTTTTCTCTCGTCAAGATAGTGACTTATTCGCGAGCCGCTCAGATAAAGTTGATGGAAGAGTATATCAAAAGTGAGGAGTGGTAGTCTATGTTGAATTTTCCAAAAAGAAATGGAAGAAGGGGGTCTGTATTCGAAAGAGTCCTTGGTCTATGCATTTTATTCGTCGAAAGTGCTGGCAGTATCGAGATATTACGAGAAATGCAATCTATCAGTGGCAATTAGATACCTCTTGTACCACAGAATTGGGACTTTTAAGGCATCTTTATACTTGCGTACAAGCGGGTTATTTTGGGAAGAGGCAAATAGAGACTCAAAGTCATAAGAGACTTCTCCAACATGAGCTTCTGCTTGCAGGGCCTTTGATGTGTACCAGTCACTGCTGAAAGGAAGATCGGATTTCCAGGAGATATGTGCCTTATTTTGTAAATCCTTCCAACAACTTGCAGGACAAGGGTGAAAACTGATTTAAGATGATAGTCAGCTGTTAAGATTTCTTGTCTGTTTTATCAAAAACGAAATGTTTAATCTAAGCAGAAAACATGCTGTCATCCTGTCGTTCGGACTGGGAATATCCTCTACTGTTGCTTCGAAATTCATTCTCACTCGTGTCTCTACTCGCGACTTGTCTGAAAGTGCCCTTGAGAGAGGGAGAAAAAGGATCAAGGATAACGCAGGTGGCAAGCATCAAAAAGGCTCTTCAGGAAGCCACAGCACTGAATTGACGATCCGCCAACATCAAAGCCTGGGTATATCTTGTACATGCTCACCAGTCGCTTCCGAAATAATCAGTCCTCAAGAACTAAAAGTGATCATGTCAGTATTTGAAGAGGCGGACGCAAACGATTGTATGGGATCTCAACAAGATGTAACCCGAGACAAGATAATCGAAAGGTTCCGTTTGGGTGTCGAGAAATTATCGTGTAAGACACTCAGAGAGATTGATGAAAGCATCATTGAGAAAACCTGTCAGAAGAACGGAGCACGAATAAGTAAACAGAAGTGAGGAGACAGATGGGAGAGCAGCTGAGAGACTTCATATGCAGCCGAGGATTATGTACATCGTGGAACGTCCTGCACTAGCTGGTCTAATCTACTTGTGAGTGAGTAGAGAAGAAGTGAAGGGGAGGTGCAGAAAATGGCAAATTCCTAGGGCAAACGATCTTAAAGAAAAGGAAATGAATTGATACTAGGTAGACATATCGAGCAAGTAGAAGGTGTTCGTTCGAGAATTTCCCCAGTAGCCCATGAAGCATGAATCAACGATGAATTTTGAAGTTTCATTCCAAGAGCTCACTAAGAACCCATTGTATTGGTCTTAGACAATAATCACTTGACCTATCGAATGTCAAATTCATAAGGTGTTCTTATTTTCAATTGATGAAGATTCATGTTTGTTTTTTGTCAAATGGATGGAGGAAAGAGACTCACTCGCACACCTTTTGATAAGTAGGAAGGACTCACCGCCATTGTGGCAGAATTTTGGAGAAAATTCGCAAAACTCCCCCTCTATCTCGAGAGTGAACAATTGGAATAAAATCACGACAGTCATGTTGTTTTGTCTTGGATATTTCTGATATCAGACTATTTACATAAACATGCAGATTTTGATCAAAATCTATCAATATCAATGTCTTCTTTCAAGGTCAGCAATGTACCAAAACTCGACATGAACACTAGCTCACCTGCTTCAATATAGCATAACCACTCATTGAGCCCAATTTTGGCAGTGGAATTTTACCATACTTCTACTGGCGCACTGTTGATCCTTGCGGCCGAGGGCTCTTTTCTAAAGATATATGATGTCAAAACTTCCAGCCAGATTGGTCAATGTAGAGTCTTTGACTCACAGGCGATCCACGGTATCATTATTAGAGAATTGGATGGTGATTCTGCAGGTGATCTACAGGTAGTTGTTTGGGGTGGCCAATGTTTGACCTTAATCCGCAAATCGCAAATTGAGGAAATCATATCTCAACATGTGACCAGTATTACGGAAACTGCGACATCAGCCAGTGACTGGGTTCTCAGTGTTGCCTTTTGTCCTTGGGAAAATGATGGCTGTGTCATGGTTACTGCTCACAATGCAATGGTTCAAGCAACGTTATCAAAAGAAGACGGAACCATAAGATTGCGTCAACTACAACCTTCTTCACGATCTATGTTGTACTCTGCAAGTCTCGTTTGCGAGAACAAAAACACTGTCATAGTTGCAGCAGGAACTATTTTCGGTGAGGTCATTGTTTGGAAATGTGTTGCTGCTGAAGATAACTCTACATTCCACAATGAAGCCCTCTTCGTTTTCACTGGTCATGAGGGTTCCATTTTTGGAGTGGATATATCTCCACTGATCATGGGCTATGATGGAAAGACCACACGATTACTAGCGAGCTGTAGCGACGATCGTACAATACGGATATGGAATCTTGCGGAGGGCTCACAAAATGATGCAGATGCTATGAAGTTAGCTGCCGACTTATTGCCAAGAGAGACAGGCTTTGGAGAGACAGCAAAACCCCAGCAAGACTCCAAGGGCTTCAACCGATGTATTGCGGTAACAATGGGTCATGCGTCTCGTATATGGGGTGTCAAATTTCACTGTCCTGATATATCAACATTCGGCACCTCGCCAATCACTATTCTTTCTTTTGGGGAAGATTCAACAGCGCAACAATGGACACTGGAACTTGGGAGCGAGCTTCAAAATGGAAGCAAAACCTCTGATGCTTCCAAACCTAGCTCAAATAATCTTGCCAAGTTAACACATATCAAAACTTTTGCATTCCATACCGGAAAGCACATTTGGTCAGCAGCTATAAGTCAAATAGAAAACAATCAAAATTTGCTTGTCACTGGTGGAGCAGATGGAAAGATTTCAACATATTGCTTTGAAGAGGAAAGAAACACAAATCCAACTCCTATCACTGCGTCGAGCAATAATGCCGTGGAAGACTCTGCAATAATTAATTCTGTCGAAGGCTCATATCACTCGGTAGCTTTTGAGCTCGAAGATGTGTTGAAGTCTCTCAATTCAACGGAATTCTGTTACAAGGAGGAACCAGACCAAGAATCCGCCGGATCGAAAAAGAACAAGAAGGCGCCCAAAGATGCTTTCAATCGCTATGCATTCGTATCTGAAAGTGATTTCCTGATCACGACAACATTTGGAAAAATTCTGAAAGCGACTGTTGGAAATCCGGTCAAGTTCAAGGAGCTTTCCCTACCCGAATCCAGTACTCAAGATCTTAAATCATATTCTATTTTGAAGGGAAACTCAAATCTCGGATTATGTGTTTTGGCGGGTACTAACGGGAAGATATTCTCGTATCAACCAGGACTGCCCATCATTCAAATTGGACAAGTTGAGCGAAAACCATCTGATGTATTTGTTGTCCCAGGAAATGATAATCAATCAGTTGAATTATTAGTTACATTATTAGGATCTGAAGACTTGACAATATTCTCTTTCAATCTGGAATCTCCTGGCTCGCGACCTATTGTCGACAGAAGGACTCTCTCATTGCCCCCGAAGTTTATAGTCACAGGTGCTGGTACATGCAATGGCCATCTCATCATTGGCTCTAGAGAAGGCCAAATTGCAGTACACGACACGAAAACCAATACTATGAGTACCTGGAACTCGCCTGGTAAAAAGGATGCCATTACTTCCATTGTTGCTGTACCCAGGACAGATTCTCAGCAAATCACAAGCTATTTCGCAATCACAAGTCGAGATGGGTTGTATGCCATATTTTCATACAACGATGAAGCTACGCCAAAAATTTCACGCGTACATTCTGCTGCACCACCATTTGGACCCATGATTGAAGCTTGTTGGTTTCAAGGTTCCGATCTAATTCTGTATGGATTCAAAAGCAAGAGTCTCATCGTATGGAACGAGACAAAACAATCTGAGATCATGCGTATTGACTGCGGAGGTGCACATCGAGCTCATGCATATTCCCCACTTGAAGGGGCTCAAGGAGGTGGTAGTGGTCACTTGATATATACAAAAGCATCACAACTATTCCTGCACTCTCAAAAAGTTCCTTCTCATCGCACCATCAAATTCGGCGGCCACGGGCGAGAAATAAAAACTTGTGCTATAGGAGGCTCACCACAAATGATAGCCACCGGTGCCGAAGACACCAATATCAGAATCTGGCGTTACGAAAGCACCCATCCCCAGACCCAGGATCAAAACCCCAACTCACAAACCCTCACTTGTCTCTCCACAATCCAAAAACACACAGCAGGTCTCCAACACCTTCACTGGCACAACTCGCACTATCTCTTCAGCAGCGGCGGGGTCGAAGAATTCTACATCTGGCGCATCCAATCAATCCCTGGCTTTGGTCTCGGAGTCCTATGCGAAGCTTCTTGCCCCGATTCTACTGCTGAACAGGATCTACGCATTATGTCTTTTGACGTATCTGATATTCCCGGAAGTGAGCAGGAAGAAATGATCATCACGCTCGCGTATTCGGATTCGACTATGCGTACTTATCTTTACTCGAGAATCCGTGGATGGAAATTACTAGTTAGAGGTCAATATACATCTGCATGTTTAATGCAAATAGGCCATCTGCAAGTTTCTCGCTCGGAACTCACCTTCCTAACTGCGGCTACGGATGGAAGTCTCTGTATCTGGAGTGCTCCTCTCCATCTTCATCAAACTCAAGAGCAAAATCAACCTCAAAACATAGCAGAGACCTCGGCTTCGCCCCCACAAATCTCCGAACCCATCCTCATCTCCCACACCAAAATCCATCAAAACGCCATCAAAACCCTCGCCTTCAAATACACCTCTCCTTCCACTTCTAGCACCACCCCTCCATATCTCGTAGTCATCACCGGCGGCGACGATAACGCAATCGGTGTAACGCTCTATCCCATCTCCATCTCCTCGTCTGGCCTCAATACAAAGCCCAATACTTTCCAGAACCTAATCACCATACTCATCCCCGATGCACACGCGGCCGCTGTTACAGGCTTAGTATTTATCCCAGATCCTCATCTTTGTTCTGCAGATACTACAAATAGTCCAGAGCATAAGAAGAAAGAGGAAATGTACATCGTATCCTCCAGTACCGATCAGCGGGTAAAGACGTGGCGGGTTGGGATTTCTTCTTCTCTCGCAGCTATATCTACAGCAGTCGAGACAAAAGAAGAAGAAAAATGTCCGGTAGACATCGAGATGATTGGGGATGAATTTACGGCGGTGAGTGATATCGGGGATGTGGGTTTAATTCCTGGGGTTGATGGGAATGAGAATGAGGCCAAAGCGATTATTGTAGGGAATGGAATGGAGATATGGGGATATGGGGAGACGAGGTAAAGGTTTGAGATTTGACAGTGATCGGCGAGAGAGGTAGCATAGTATAACTTGATATGATGCAAGAAAGATATCAAAAAGGGAAAAGATTCTTTGAGAATTCATTACATCATTATTCTAAAAAGCTGCGAGCCAACTATGATAAATGCCAATTAGCTAGCTAGCCATTCTACTCCTCTTTCTCCATGCTTTAATTTCCTTTAGCACGTTCATGACCAGCGGTACACCCACGGGTCCCAACAATGGCATGTAAACCGCGACTTTATGTTCATCCGGGAAATACACCTGGCCCACCATACTCTTTTCGAAAAATGCTTTTTCTGCCGCTTCTTCCGCGATACGTGCATGAACTAATCCGTCATTGCCTCCTAATCCATCACATGCTTTTCTCAAATGTTCGATGGTTGTGTAGACGCCATCTTGCACGGATTCAGGTATGCTAATCGAGGGGAGCGCTTTAGTTAATCGCGCTAGACTTCCCAGTGTTCCGCTTGCTTTCAGGAGAAGACCTGCGCTGCGCACGCGCACTAGTGTCATTAGGCGTAGAGGAAGAGATCCGGTTTCGGGGGCACCCATTAGGGACATTAGTTGATTTGAGAAAGTAAGCATTGCGGGGCGTAAATCTGAGATGTCGGATTGAATTACTACGCCACCCCATTGAGGAATCAACCAGCTCTTCCCACCTCCTTCTACTTCCATATCGCCTGCATAGAGGATGAAATTGATTGTTGGGGCGCCGCCAATACTGGGACTTAGAGGCCACTCTGCGGCATTGATGAAGCCACTCAGGTCTTCTTTTCGCAGGACGTTTCCGCTGACACCGGGAGTGGCGTATAGTTGAACTTGGGTATCGATTGTGAAATTGCTGATTGAAGTGAAGCTTTCAAGTAGTGGTTTCATATGTTCTTCTAGCGCAGCTTCAATATCCCAAGATGAGGGGGTGGCAGTTGGAGTAAAGAGGGAGAAGGTTAAATGATAAGTTCCAGAGTATTTTAATGAGCGCGTCGTCCATTTGGCTAGAGTATCTGCCACTTCTGGCGCCAACGCTTTTGGACTTCTCTCTGGCGGGGCGGAACTAGTAGAGAGTAGATATGCAATCATAGCTTGTTCTTCGGCAAACACGCCCCTCAATGTATTCGCAATATATGTCGCTAAAGAAGAAGATGATGACGAACTCGAGGGGATCTGATTTGGAGGATAGTATATATCTAAAATGGGCGCATATGCTTGTAAATTTGCCGATGATGCTGTTCCAGGTAAAAGTCTAATAGTCAAAGCAACATCCTCTCCCATGCCCCCATACGAGAAATCATTTGTAGTCGCGGAAGCATTGTTAGGCGGGGAAAGTTGTAATCGTAGATGGTGTGCGGAGAAATCGTTCAAATCATCTAAAGCATGTTGTGTAGTTCGTAGAAGATTTTGAGCTTCATTCTCTTGTAGTGATTCGGCATCTATTGAAATTGTGAGCGGAAATACTGGTCGACATGCCTACATTCTTCAGTTAGTTTAAGCTATCTATGCAAATGATATTAACATACCCTTCCCTCAGCCCAATCTGTCATTTGGTCTAAAGGTAATGGCGCTCTATAAATTGTAGTCGTCCTCCACCATATCGGCACACCAAGCAACAATATAATAGCCCAGAATGAAATTAGAACTTGGATTCGCATGCGAGCATTTTCGGGCTTCTCAGGAGGTGGTTCCTTTCTTTTCTTTACTGCTGTCACGGCATTGTCGGGTGATCTATCATCATTAAAGATTTTTACATCTTCATCTGGGTTTGCTGTCGGACCTGAGGATGCAGGCTCATTTGTTGATATTGACATTATGAAGTTTGGGTGTCCATTTGTTAATAAGTAGGTACCTAGGTATGTATTGACATCGTGGAAGTTCCGAGCCGAGTCGTGTCTGGATGCGCCGCTATTTGCGACAAGCAAGTTTTAGCGATGAGAAGGCTGCAATGAAATAGATTGAGATGGCAAGGCTGAGTGAAAATGACAAGGCTGAGCCGATGCTTCCCATTGAAGCTCGAGCCCGATAAGGTTAAAGTTGCGTCCAAAGCCTCTAATAGCGGGGACCAGCACACACTTTCACTAAATACCTAGTATCTACCCCTACTACTATAGTATTTCAAGGGAGTTTCCGTCATATGTCAACCTTCATTGGGGAAAAGATCCGAAGATCCCAAAAAAACCGTTAATTGATCAGGTTTCGATTCATCCAACCAGATATACGAAATCAATCAGTGAATCCACCATCGAGGGAGGGTCTTCATCCCATCAAGTTGTCGTACGAGGCCAATTATCATCCGTCCATATCCGTCCATATCCATACATATCCATACACGAGGAGTATAAGCATACAAACGAATCAAGAGAACGGAGAAGACATCTATCTGTAAACTCCACATGAATCGCATAAATTGCCAATTTGTGCTATGATTCGTAAGTAAGAGGAAAGGACTGTGCAATGACCCTCAAATCCTGACTCTGCACTGAAAATTATCGTCGGATATGGAACCGCTTTCGCATCATCTGCAGCTTATTCGTTATTATATTCCGAGTGCAATGCCTCAGAATAAGCCATACTGTGCGAGGAAAGCATCCTCCGTGCCGAGGCATGTGTTACCATTTGAGGAATGAAAGTCCCCAAAAGGGTCCAACGGCGAGATGTACGCATGCATATTACCCAGACTTCACCCATATTAATGTATGTACGGTAAGTTTTTAAGGTACAGTCTTTCTCATCTATCTTACCTGCTGTCGTCCCTTTCTCCATTCAAGATACTTTTTTCGCCTTGAACTCACTCTCTGCATCAATGAATCTGGGATTTTATAACTGCATGAATATCGAATCTCTTATCTAGGCAATCAATTTTAACAGCATTGCTGCTTCATCCTCACTCGGAAGCTGAACTGTCTATTGACTATAGCAGTCAAAGATTAATTGAATACCAGATACTGTATATTAACGGAGCTCTTTGAGTGTTCATTTGACAGCTGGAAATACTTTCACTACATTGTTATCAAAATGCCAAGTCAGTTTACATCGCTCCGGCCATCAGAAGGAGTTCGAAGTACTAACAATTTAATAGTCCCATTGGCTTTAGCAGCTCCAGCAGCTTTGGCTGGTTTGGCATACGCCAATGCGAAACTTTCTTTAAGCTACGATTATCAATTATTGGGTGCTGCATTAAAAGCATATTCCTTTACCAGTAAAAGAGAGAAAGATGATCGTCTCAACATGTTTTACATACTCGAAGAGCATGCAAAAGGAAAATTCGCAAACGATACATTCATCATATTCGAAGGCAAAAAATGGACATTCAAGGAAACGTACGATATAGTCTTGAAATATGGAACATGGTTGAAGAATACCCATAACGTCAAGCCTGAGGAAATTGTTGCTATGGATTTCACTAATTCGGATAATTACTTCTTCCTGTGGTTTGGATTATGGAGTATAGGTGCCAAACCGGCCTTCATTAACTACAACTTGACGGGCAAAGCATTGTCCCATTGTGTCAAAGTCTCCACTGCAAGGTTATGTATCGTGGATCCAATGGTCGAAGAGAAACTGACGCAGGAAGTTCGGGATGAGCTTCCGGATATCTCTTTTCAAATCCTCACTCCCGATGTAGAGGCTACGATCATTTCCACTGAAGGTGTTCGAGAGCCGGATTCTACTAGATCCAAGCAAACAAAGTCAATGATCGGAATGTTGATATACACCAGTGGTACCACAGGTTTACCTAAACCCGCAGTCCTGGCTTGGGGGAAGGCAAACTTTGGATCGACTATCATGCCGAAATGGAGTGGATACAAACGACCCGACGTCTTATATACTGTGCGTATACCTCTTCTTCTTGTTTCTTGCAATACTAATTTCCGTTAGTGTATGCCTATGTACCATTCTGCTGCCAGTGTTCTTGCTGTCTTAGCAGCTTTGAACATGGGCGCAACAATCTGTATCGGCAGAAAATTTTCCACAAAAACATTTTGGAAGGAAGTTCGAGAATCAAAGGCGAATGTTATTCAATATGTCGGAGAAGTCTGTCGCTACCTCTTATCCGCACCTCCTCAATACGATCCCGTGACAGGCGAAAATATAGACAAGAAAAACGACGTTAGAATGGCGTTTGGCAATGGCCTAAGACCTGATGTGTGGAACAAATTCAAGGAACGATTCGATATCAAAACTATCGCCGAATTTTACTCCGCTACTGAAGGTGCAGGAGCTGGCTGGAACTATTCTAATAACGAATTTAGTAGGGGTGCAGTAGGTCGTAACGGATTTATTTACTGGCTCGTATTGAGGAAAGGATGGGCTGTGGTCGAATTGGACGTTGAAACGGAACAACCCTATCGATCGAAAAGTACCGGATTTTGCACCAAAGTACCTTATGGAACTCCAGGAGAAATGCTGTATAGGCTTGATCCCGCCGATATAAGTGCAGGGTATCAAGGGTATTTTAACAATGAGAGCGCCTCCGATAGTAAAGTATTGCGAAACGTTTTCGAAAAGGGTGATGCGTGGTTTCGAACAGGCGATATTATGACGTGGGAAAATGGTGAAAATGTCTTCTTCAATGATCGAATCGGTGATACATTCCGCTGGAAATCAGAGAATGTATCAACAAATGAAGTCGCAGAAGCTTTATCCACTCATCCGGCTATTCAGGAGGCAAATGTCTATGGAGTTTCCCTGCCACATCATGATGGGCGAGTAGGTTGCGCAGCTGTTATTCTAAAAGATCACAATCCAAACATTATGAAGGATTTGGCGATCCATGCGAAAAAGTCACTGCCGAGTTATGCGGTCCCAGTGTTTTTGAGAGTCAAGAAAGAGGGAGAGGAAATGGAGATTACGGGGACGGTAAAGATGGTTAAACATGTGATTCGGAAGCAGGGGGTGGATCCGAAGGCAATTGAGGAGAGTGGTGATCAGATGTGGTGGTTGAGAGGGGATGAATATGTGAAATTTGGAGAGAAGGAGTGGAATGAATTGAATGGGGGGAAGGTTAAACTTTAGGGGCCTTTGTTTGGAGCTCGAGTTTTGGATTTTTTTGAATGCGTGTAGGCGTTTGAGCGATGGGATGGAGTTGGATCAATGGGAATGTGTTTGGTGTTCGGTGTTGTATAGGTACTGATCGACTGGTAGTCTTTATTGCACTATTTAAACCAGAAGAGAGAGAGAGAGAGAGATTCTTGAAAATATGTTAAATTTAATACATGCATTGTGCAAATTACAATTACTTCCGACTGATATCACAAGAAATTGTGTTCGGACCTCATAGTTGAAGGTTAAGCTTAATTGGATTTGTCATATCGACTTGGAAGTTGAGGTTATCAATGCGTTTCCTATTCAAATTATCACCCATAACAATAAGCAGTATGAGAAAATACATAAGAAAGAGAAAGAGAAGGAGAAGAAGAAAAGAAGAAGAAAAATAAGAGGAAGTTTTTACCAGTGTTCCCATACGGCTCTGAAGAACAAGTTCTTCGCCAACCCCCCTTAGCCATTATGATTCTGTTACTTCAATTGAACAATCAGATTCTCAATTCAAAACATCAAAACTCATTCCAAATTCAATCCATCACTCCCACACACAACTATCCTTCCAGCCCTCGAGCCTCACTCCTCACCCCTTCAATCTCAACCACCCCCCTTTGCTCCACTTCACCCCCTCCCTCCCATACACCAACCCCTCTCTCCTCCCCTCATCCTCGACACTCTTCAGCATCTCCTCCAACACCCGAAAATCAATCGGTTTAAGAATCCAGCCGTCAAAACCACGGTCGATATACTCGTCTCTTTTTGTTTCTTCGAGAGAAGCCGATACGGCGATGATGGGGAGACGACCGTAGATTTTTGCGCGCGGGGACATGAGGGGGAGGGGGGAAGTGGTGGTTAGGAAGGAGCGGATTAGGGTTGTGGAGAGGAAGCCGTTGAGGATGGGCATCTGGGGGGGGGAGGGGAGGGGGGTTAGTTGTTGGTTGGGTTTACGGGGGGATGAAATGGAAGTGGAGGGGAGGGGAGAGCACGAACCTGTATATCCATCAAAACAATATCAAAACCATCAGGAGTAGCCATCACAGCCTCCGCACACGCTTGCCCATTGATCTTCACCGTAACCACATGTCCTCTTTTCCTGAGACGTTCTTCCAAAAGTCGACTATTCAGCGGATTATCTTCCGCGACGAGGACATTGAGATTGCGGATCTCGGGTTGGGGAGGCAATTCCATGATGGGGAAGGGATATTGCAGTTGGTAATCGGGATTGGTGGTGACGGATTTGGTGGAGAGGGGTGTGGAGAGGGGGAGAGAGGAGTGCGAGCAGGTGCTGGGTGTGGGGATTGAAGAAGGGGATTCGTTGATTTCAGCTGTGGACGTGAGGAAGGGTTCTTTGAGGGGTGTGGGAGGAGGGACTTGGAATCGTTCGGGGGTGTCGCATTGGATGCCATTTTCGGAACTGGGACTCTCGGAACTGGGACTCTCGGCACTGATGGATGAATTGGGAGCATTTTCGCGGGAAGCTCTGGCAGCGAAGTGATGTCCCCCTTCGGATTTGCGGAATGGGATTGAAACTGTGACGGTGGTTCCGTGGCCGGGTTCGGTGTTGATTACTATTTTGCCATCGTTGAGTCGGACGAATCGTGCGGCGACGGCGAGACCGAGACCAATGGAGGATTTCTCTCCGTTGAGACATGGCTGTTCGTCTTCATCTTCGTCGTCGTCGAGGACTTTCTCGAAGTCTTGGAATATGCCGTCGAGTTCAGGTCTAGGGAGATGCGGTATTAGTCTCTCGTCATAAGGGAAGTTGAGCATTGTATCTTCCATGAGTGAAAACTTACTCAGTGAATCCAGAACCATTATCAGTAAAGAACATCTCAACTCGAGTCTTATCCTCATCAGATTCAACATTTTTCAACCCCACAACCACATCACCAGCAGTTGAATGTTTCACGGTGTTTGATAGTAAATTGGTGATTGTTTGTCTCAAACGCACCCCGTCACATTTTACCACTGCAGGAATATCCGTACTTCCGGCAAATCTAATGTTTAGACTCTTCTTTTGGCATTCATCACCGAAATCATCGATAACATCATTCATCATTTCTGCCAAGACAACATTATCATAGGACATTTCAGGATCTTCTCCTTCCGCCTCTGTCAAGTTGAGAAGATCATTCACAACAAAGATAAGAGATCTCGATGCACCTAAAGACTTCTCTAGGTGCAGACGGGCTTGGTCGTCGAGAACTTCTTCGAGTGCTATTTCGAGATAACCAATTATAGCGTTTAAAGGGTTTCGAACTTGTAGAAATCAGTAATACCCAACGGCTTCCGTGTTTTTAATACGTACCTTCAGCCCCAGCTTGTCGAATCAACAATCGTGTCATTCGATTTTGTTGCACAATGGCCTCCTTTTGTCTCCAGACCTCAATGAATCTTCCATACAATGCACTTAGAACACCGGCGGACTCAACTGAAAGACTCCAAATTAGAAACCATCAGTAAAACTTAGGATAAACCAACCTTGTTCTCGTGTCCATTCCCGACTAGTACCTATAACATGCTGACTCCATCTCTTGAAACTTGCCCTTGGCTCAAGATACTGTGTACCAGGCTTATATATTTTCTCATTTGGATTTCCAGCCCACTTGACCTCTTTTAGCTGACCCTTACGAAAAAATACCAGGAAGTCTGATCCTGACAGAGACAATGGAATCACTAGAAATCCCGAAATCAGAACAAAGCGCGCGGGAAACATAATATCTGTACAGTCCGCAGAAATATTCTGAGTGTGGAAGACAGACGTATGTGACTTCTTGCGGATATATTGGAGTAGAGAGATACTTTCATTGTAGGCATACAAGCGTCCGATTGTTCTTGCTTCATCTTTGATGGCCAGAAATCCAAAATCTGCTTCAAACATTTGCAACAAATCTCTGGATGAAGCAGCAACATATTGTGATGGTGAAGTTTTAGGAGGTGCTTTTCCGAGATGCCGTCGTGCTTGTATCCGAGAGAGGTAGATTAATTTCTCAATGTTGTTGCTTGTGCAATCTCCTAGACTTCGGCAGAGCTCCCTCATTGGGAACGAGACCCTTTTGCCTTCTAGGCCATAATCATGACAAGAGATTAAACCCCATAATCGACCTTCTACAATCAGAGAGATGGAGAATGAGGCACGTACACCCATGTTTGTCAGATATTTGATGTGAACGGGTGACATGGCCCTCAAATATGCCGATGAAAGGTTGAGACTTTTAGGATTATATTGCTCGGTTGAAGACATAAGTCTGGCTGTCTTTTCCGTCCGATCATAGAGTAATCTTATTTTATTGAGCGCATAGAGTTGCCGAGCTTGGATAGGAATATCGGTGTTCGGAAACTTGAGACCACGGTAGAGGTCCAACGATGCTCTCTCATCAATGTACTCTGCTCTAACCAGCCCTGCGTCATCTTCATCAAATTGATAAGCCATGACCCTGTGAAACCCAGTCAGATCAAAGACAAGACCAACGACTACGTCGAGTAGAGACTCTATGGAAGTAGCTGAATTTAACTGCTCCTGAACCTCACAGCCGAGATGAAACATTTCCATCTCGCCTAGCCTGTGCTTGGTTCTTTGTATCGTGCGAAACGGCTCACTGTATTTTGTGGTCGATACAATTCGCTCCTCTTCCGTCGCTTGATTATCAATAATATTGACCCGTTCTCCTGGCAGATTCCAATTCTCCGGAGGAACGTCAGTCATCAAATCATTTTTCGCCTCAAACTCGCATATGAACAAGCCCGCATCCTCGCGAAAATGTAAAGCGCAGTACATAGGAATATGAGGAATTGACTCCAGCATCATGGTAAAAATATCTGGATATGCTTTGAGATGTTCTTTCTGATGCCAGAGCTTTCTGGATTCAATTCGGGCTCTAAAGTCCAATTCGTACACTGGACTTAGCAATTGAGTGAAGCATGGTAGTGCGAAAAGATCCTCTGGCTTGCAACCAATAATACTTTTTGAGTTCTCACTTGCGATTCGGACCAAGAACCGGCCATCATCCTTTTCCTCGAGAGCTAATAATGCCCCGAAGCTTTGAATGGATCCAGGAATTTGAATGGGTTCATCCTCACAACGACGAACGATCTCATTAATAGCATAGTTGGGAGTGGGTTTACTGTCAGAGATCAAATGATGGGTGGACGTTGTGACGAAAGTGTGTTGAGATGGCGATAATGGCTGGCAGGATTCCGCCAAAACTACATTTGGATGCCTTTGATTGATGCCACCTTCAGTCTCAGGTACTTCAACGGGAACATTTGTAGAAGCTGTATCATCTGACACTTCCTGGGGTTTCGCAACAACAGAGTCATTGGGCTTCGTGTCAAGAACTATGTTTGTCGTTAGTCAATATACCAACCAAGGCTTAGAGGGGCAATATCTACCCGACTCTGTTTCAATTCGGATTGGAAACACCCTCTCAATTCGAAGTGATCCATCCGCATGCATCTGATCATTTGTAATGATGTCAATACTTCCTGAGTTATTGACTACGATAGGCGAAGGTTGCTGCGCCATGTCGATCTAAGCTGGTATGTGGCCCAAATATAGATACTTTTGAGATATCGTGGACATATGTATTGTTCCAGAGCATTCAAGTATTCATCAAATGGTCATCAGATGTGATTTGTCATGATCGTGATGATGCTTTTTTATAACTACCGTAGTCGCACACACGTGGTTGGTGTAGACAAGAACGAACCATTTTGGCACCCAAACAAAATGGCGTTCTCTAATTTTCAGCATCACATATTCTAGACCATAGCAATGAACAATAAAGCAATTTTTAAGACTCGAATGTTCAAGTAATCCTCAATTCTCACAGGGATAGATCATTCTCGTGAAGATCAACTCGAGGGAACGGAAAAAGAATGGCAATGAAAGATCCATAGAGACGACTTCGGCGTGCAAGTGAATCAAGGCATATTGCCAAACTTCTATGGAGGGAATAATGAGGGACGTGTCCAGTCACCAAAGATGACACTGATGCTCTGCGAGCAATCGATAGGCAGCCACTCTACCCCGATGTGCAAGCTGTGAACACACCAATCATCTTCAGGATGTTACTTGATGACATCCGGTAAAGCAAATTTAAAACAAATTTGTGTATCAAACCCATCGCCGCACCAAACGGTCTGATAAGCGCAACAGTTCTGGTAACTTTGAAATTTCTTTTGGTTGCACGCTCAGCCCCCAGAAAAGGATAATTCGAAGTTTAAGATTATGTATTGACAACACAACAGCCACTGACTTGGCAGGCTGCTGATTTCCAAGGGTTTCCACATACTGGCGTGAGCTGAATGAATATTTATCTGTGCTACTGTGGACAGGAAAATCGAGTCCACCGAATCGAATGTTGGGAGTGAGAAAGAGGGCGAGGAGTAGGGAGACAAAAAAAGATTAGGAAAAATGCAATAAGTGTGACTTCAACCGGTAAAGGTTACAGCTCGCCGGTCCGAGTGGTGGCTTGACTAATTTGGACGGCAGCAGTTAACCAGGCGCGAGCCGTGCCGGGTTCAGTATAATTCAATTAGCCCTGGTGCCTAAGGCATCAAAAGATCCTCGTCGCTTGAGACGTACTAGGTAGGTACTTCAGGCCGTTTGTGTGATCTGCTCGTACTAATTCTCTGAAATTGAAGCTATCCCCATATTTTGATCGCCTCTTGTACCATTTAGACGTGCCAACATGTATTACACTCTAGCTGAGAACTTCTGGTGCATTTTAATACCTAAAATCATATACAACAATGCGCCTCTTGCAATCTTCAATATTGCCGCCATGCAAGTCTATCAATGGAGCATATAATTTCTTATTCCCCGCATCCAAATAGGTGACCGACTTTTGAAGGCGTTGCTGAACCACACGCCATGACTTCATTGATATGAGGGGAATGAGGGGCAAACCTTCTCTCATCTTTCTCCCCTCTTCCTGTTCATAAACTCTCAGATATCTGCCAACAATCGAAGTAATTCATACTCAACTAATTCATAATACTCCCTCGCTGAAAATGGAGCGACTTATTAGTGCCATTCGTACTACTCCATTAATTGACAACCGCGCGCGTCCATTACTCATTCCTTCATCTAAGACCAAACATTCCCTATTAAGCATTACTACTGAGGCCAATGGAAATGCTCTAAAAGCTGCTCGTTCTACTTTGGCACACATTCAAGCTACAAATCAACTTGCAGACATTCTTGGTTGTCCCCCAACTTGGAATGATGTCTTGAAAGCCATTGCAAAAGAGAACGAAAAGCCAGGCTATGTGTGGATAAAACAGTGCCTGGAAGGAATCGAGACAATCATCCTTGATGATTGTTTGAGTATGGAAAATAAAGCTTTCGACTATTCATGGCATGACAACTTAACAAGAAGTTAGTATCTTCATATTTCCCCGCTCTCGTATAGATGTTGTGTTACCTCGATATGGTACGTATCTGCATATCTAACGCTCCGCTAATCTTGGCTATCATAGGTAAGTGCAGGAGGATAGTAAGAATCGAAGATTTTGCAGCAGACATAGTCGATCGGAACATCAATTTGTTCGCTATCTCTGAAGACAGATTCTTTAATTCGGTAGTCGAGGATCTTCAAAAGGGTATAAATGATGCGCTTTCTGATACCGATGTTGTCGGCTTTATATCAGCCATCTGTTATAGAACAAGGCTTGATATCCCTTGGGTTTGTCCTCTCGAACTGGTAAAATTGACCTTGATGCAATGTATCTGGAAACAACAAGCCGAGGGTCATAGCCGCTTCAAAGGGTTCGATTGCCAAATTTTGAACTCCTGGATCGTTCACATAACAGCTGGACTCATCCAACAATCCAAAAATCCCCACAAGAAGCCAATTCAATTCCACACTAGTTTGGGCGACGATGAAATACCTCTCACTCGCTCTTTGCCATCACATCTAGAAGACTTCATTCGTGAGTATTCAGATGTACCAATCGTTTTAGTACATTCTTGTTATCCATGGACGAAGGAAGCGGGATACTTAGCTACCGTACACTCAAATGTCTATGTTGACATTGGTGAAGTGTTTCCTTGTGTAAGCCAGGATGGCAAAGAAGGTGTTATTCGCGATCTTCTGGAGCTTTGTCCCACGGAGAAGATTGTGTGGAGCTCAGATGGGCATGATCTTCCAGAAACTTATTTACTCGCGCAAATTCAATCTCGCGAAGCTTTTGAAAAAGTGAGATTTCCCACCATCAATTAGGAACACGACGTATATCCAGTGATACTGATAGTCTCCAGGTCCTCGTAGAATATGTCAATAAGAAAGCATTGACTATTCAACAAGCTGTTGAAGTCGTTGAAAACATATTCTTCAATACATCTAATCAGCTGTATGCCCTCCAGTCAAAATTGAGGCCTACGGAAATACAGGCTGGTGATCGATCTCTTGATGGGTTGGACGGGACTACAATGGTCAATGGCGTTAACGTTACCAAAGACGTCTACCACACAAAGGGCATCAGCACCATTAATAAAATCAATGGGGTTAACGGAAGAAATGGAATCAGCGGAGCCAATGGGAGCAGCGGGACTAAGAGCACCAGTCATGCAGATGTTTCGAAGAATTCATCAGACCTGGAATTATTTGAATCCTTCATGGCACAACACCCGGAAATTAAATTTCTGCGTGTACAATATGTCGATTACTGCTCCATTACTCGACTACGGATTTTACCAATCAAACGTGTCCGTAATCTTCTTTGCGACGAAAAGGTTGATGTTTCTATTGGTATCACTAATAGTAGTTTAACCCTCACGCCAGTTGATCATCGGATTGATTCAGTTTCTCCCAGAGGTGTATCTAGGCTTTTAACTGCAGTCCCCTCTTCTATGCGATCCGGTCCATGTCATGGGTATGCTTCGGCACAGGGAGAGCTTCGCAATTCTGACAATTCGCCACTTGATGTATGCCCGCGAACTAATCTTCGGAATATAGTGAACAGAGCGAAGAATTACGGTCTTGAATTTCTTGTCGGCTACGAGATTGAAGTTATATTCATGAAAGGCACACTTAACGAGGACAATACCCAAGTTTATACTCCTCTTCCCGGTGCGGACTCTCATTGTTGGGGATCCAATAATGCACTCTCTCCTGCTGTCATAAACCTTATGGATGAGATAGTTGAAAAACTTTCCGATGCAGGCATTGATCTCGAACAATGGCATCCAGAATCAGCAACTGGCCAATTCGAGTTTGTTCTACCTGCATGTGCACCCCTCGAGGCTGCAGATATACTTTTACAGACTCGAGAGATCATTACCGCAGTTGCGCAAACTCATGGATGGCGTGCTACACTGCATCCAAAGCCTCTTCCCTACAAAATGGGCACGGGAGCCCATGTCCACCTATCAATACCGACGCCAGAAGGAGAGAAGGAACAAACGTATACTCATTTCTATGCGGGGATATTGAAACACCTTCGAGCCATTACGGCTTTCACCTATGGTAATCCTGCCAGCTATGATCGTATGCTTGCAGCTGGGGGCTGGGCCGGCAGTACATGGGTGACTTGGGGTACCCAAAATCGGGAAACCGCCCTACGTAAGATCGAAGGATCGCATTGGGAGTTGAGATGTATGGATGGCCTTGCCAATGTCTACTTGGCTTTAGCAGCTATCATTGGTGCAGGTGTAGAAGGCGTGGTTTCAAAAGACAAGATGACATGGCTTGACTGCGACATGAACCCTGCTAAATTGAGCCAAGCAGACAGAGATGTCTACAACATCGAAGACATGCTGCCTTGTACTTTGGAGGAGGCACTTGCCGCTCTCAAAAACGATCAAGGTATGTATAAGATACTCGGTGAAGCTGTGGTGGTCACATACATTGCGATGAAACAAGGCGAGCTGGAGCTCATGAATAGCATGAAGGATGAGCAGAGAAGAAACTGGTTGATTGAGAGATATTGAAGTGGCAGCTCCACAGTCTGTTGAGTCACCTGCAAGAGACTCAGCTGTCATTCTCTAGCGCTTTGGGGGCTCGTCTGGATTTCAATGCGATGAAGGAGGGGCTGAACCCCGCTTTAATGATAATATGGCGATGTATGTTCAGGCGTTATACTTTTTTCCATTAAGGATAGCAGAGAAGAATGTCTTTTTTAAGCCAACGCAATAATTTAATCTTTTTGAAGAACGGAATCGAAATTTATCTCCCGAGCCATTGATGGTCTAGCACTTTGAGCAACCCCAGTATCTTTTTTGTACACTTGTTGAACTCCCACAAATGATCATGCCCTGTAATTTTACACATTTTCCTGATCATCATCACCTATACGACTCTGCATAATAGCATGCCGCCCACCCTCCTTTCTACACATTCTCTTGCTTCCAGGATTCCACTCGATGTGCTGATATAGATACACTCTCCCGGTCTTCTCAAACCCCGCACAAAGTTCGCATCCTTGCCTCTCACAATCTTTGAAAGTCCTTCCACATCCATCCAAATTCTCTTTGTAGGTTTACTGATCATTGACATTTCACTCAATACCGGCTCATTATTCCAGTACTTCATTCCTAACCATAACCTCCTTGTTGAGATATTTCGCTGCGTAACAGGTTCTGGTACATATGTAGATAATTCATCCATAGGAGGAGGAGTGAGGCCACCGCGGGTGACCGAAGAGAGGAATCCAGAGGATTGGAGACCGAGCATGAGGGTGAGAATCATGTTCGAGGAGGGAACGGACGTAAGCCCAAGTCGGGCTTTAGAGGCATTTTGAAGATGTGATGATACGTGAGAGAGTGTGACGAGAGACATGATGAGGATTGGAGTCTCTAAGACGAATTCGCAAGCCCGCGCGGGCACAATTGGTGCGATTTATCGGGGATATATTCTTCAAAGTGGAGAGTAGATGAGATGCTGAAATGAATGTTAGCTCATTTGCCTGAAGACGTGATTGAGTCGCTACGTTCAGATTTTCGCAGGACTCACATTCGCAGATTTAGTAATTGTACCCTCGATATAATTTCATATACCCTTGGAACACCTTGAAATTGTTCGACTTGTTCGATTTCCTAATGAAGCCAAAAACCAAAATAATTTATTTTTGCCTTATCTAATCGCGATAAGGTTCTAAGGCATGAACTTTCCATCACCTCAATTCCACCCCTCATTGGTTCTCACTTCATGCAGCTTGCCGCCGACATGGCACTCGACCCCCCATGCCGCAGGTAGCTAGGTATGAAATATTGTGATAATAATAAGTCTAATCTCTTTCTGTTTCTCTTTCCTTTTCTTCCTCTAAGTATAATTTTTCTCTCTTTCTTTTTTGTATTGTTTCCTCGTCGCGCAAGAGAGCGTTTGACTTCACTTCTTTAGTATCTCTTAAGCTATCAATAATCGCAGGTCGATAAAATGGCAGTAAGACCAGGGGAAGATCTCGCAGCTACTTTGTAAGTAAGAGCTCTCAAATGTCCATAGACAAGTTGTTGATCCAATCCTCGATAGGTTCGCAGATATACATTATTACTATGGTCCACCAACAGTCAAACCTCCTCATCACAGATTTGATAAAGGCTCATATGTCTATCTTTTCGAAAATGCAGGACAGAGAAGAGCTCGACTTGAAATAGCTAATAATGCCGGTACTTCGGATCAAGATGCTTTCACCGGTCGTAAGTTATACATATACGGAATGAATGCGAAAGTCACATTTACTGATATCACAATTACCAGATCTTGATTCTGCTCATGTCAAATATTCCTATAAGCATACCACATTAGTTACTTTGACTATAGATGGATCAAACGGACAGCAAAGAAATAGTCCAATTGGTGCCCAAGAATGGCATTTACCAACTTTTGATCCTCGAAACGAGACTAAGTACATGTACAGACTTCACACTATTGATCTGTACTTCTGGAATAAAGAAGATGCACTTAATTTTGTGAATGGTGTGCGGAGAGTTCTACCTCAACACCAAATTACGATTGAGGACGAGCCAGCACCACCACCATCTCACGCAGACGATATGAGTCCAATAGTTCAGCAATTGGAAAATGTAGCTATCTTGGACCCTTCATATCATCATGGTAGAACCAAGACATCTCGGACTTCTCCTCCAGCTGCTATTAACGTTTCATTTCCTGGACCGCCAAATCCACCCAGTCAACCATCACAAACTCCTGCTACTTTTGCACCGATGGCATATAACCCAGCTGCACCAGCTGCTCCTGAAGCTATTCAGCATCGAGAAAAGACACCTCCGCCAGAAGATGGGGCTGGAAATCCACTTGTTCACGCTGCGACTTCTGATCAAGGACAATTCTCTCCACCTTCACAATTTCAGCAACATCCAAGCTTTTCGACACCTGCTCCACCACCACAATTCCAAAGACAGCAAACTTTCCCTATGATGTCTCCACCTCAACAGCCGGCGCACGGACAAGGAAGCTTCTCTGGAGCAACCCCACCACACCATGCCAACACTCCTCCGAACTCCAACTATTTCCCCGGCTCCGCTCAATCTACATCTGGACTTCGTTCCCCGTTTTCTCAACAGTTCGCAACCCACACCCCTTCATTCGCACCTCCACCCACGGCAAACTCGCCAAACACATTCGCACCACCCCCTACCGACAGCACTCCACCCCTCCCAACTCCTACTGGCCCCTCTCCTCCCGCCTACTCTTCTCCCCCTATCTCCCCCAACCAACCCACAACCCAATATGCGACCTTCCCCTCCACTCCCTCCTACGCAGCCCATAACCTTCCCACCCCCGGTCTCTTCTCTCCCGGTTTCGCCCCCCAACACCACAATCCTCCGCTTTCCTCTCCAGCCCCCGGTCTCCAACCTCTCTCCCCTCCAGGAGGCTTCTCAAACTATACCTACACTGGCGCGCAAACTAGTGCCGGTCAGCCATTGATGGCACCAAATGATTACAGCATCCATCAACAAGTCTACAGACCTACGGAGGTCGAAGCGAAGCTCAAAAGGAAGGGAAGCGGAAAGGGGAAAAAGAGCGATGACAAAAAAGATGGAAAGGATAAAGGAACAAGAGGTCGATTGGAAGATAATGCTGGGAGATTGGAGAAGGGTGTTACGGGGATTTTGAAAAAGTTCGAGAAGAAGTATGGTTAAGGGGGTGGAGTTGTGATGGGGTGGGGTGGGAAAAGAGGGATGTTGAATTAAAGAGATTGGAAATAGTCTGGATCTTGAGAAAATTTGATTCGAGAAGAATAGTTCAAAGTCAGGATGTTCTCAAGACACAGGTCTGCGGAAATCAACATCAGATCAAGAGATTGGACTGAAAATCTACAGCTCCGGACGAGAACGGGGGGATTTGCAATACATCATTCATTCAATTAAACATCCGATAAAGAAAGACGAATATCATGGTCGGCAAAAGGGGAGAGAAGGCAAGAAAAGGGAGAGCAGGGAGGGAGAGAGACTGTGGATGTGGAAATTAATATCGTATGTAATGTTGTAATAGCGTAGTATAGTACAGTTGTGATTTTATACATACAAATTGTTTACATTCTCTCTGATCTATTTATCTCGCTGGTTACTTTTGAGATTCGTCTATTCTGAGGATGGTAAAATTGAATGGGATTCGTTGATTTTGAGCATGGGATGGGATGGGATGGGATGGGATGGAATGGTAGGATAGTAGGACAGGCCGATGAAAAGAATTGGAATGTCATTCCATCTGCCGGTCCCCAGGTCTGCAAACATATCATCAGTACATTTCGTGTGATTCGAGACCATCCCATTTGTTCTACTTTTGATTCCTTTTCATGCCATCCCATTCATTTCCTCGCGTATGAGTGTGTGTGCCAGTGAGTGTGTCCGCGAGTTGATGTATAGGTACGTGTATATATACATATATGTAAGTAAATTTTGAAGCCTAGAATTGAAGCCTCGAATACTACATGTGCACACCTAGTATGATCAGCAGGTACCTGAGTACTTAGATATGTATATTCTCTCCTCTCCCTCCTCTCCTTTTCTTTCAAACACCTAGTAATGAATAAAGTTATAGATTTTGATTAACTTATGAACCATCTAATTATCTAATTATCTAATTATCTACCTCTATTCGTCCATTTCCCTCTCCCTCTCCATCTCCCTATCTATTCCTCAGATCTGAGTATCTCCCTCTGCATCTACCTCTCCATCTCCCGGTCTATCCATCGAGCTCAGGTATCTAATTCTCATCACATCTAATATCAACATAACAAGCAAGCAAGCATCAAGTCAGACAATCCACAAAACAATCAGACGAGTTCAAAAAAGACGCACACATGGACAGCAAGACACACACAGACACAAAACACAAAACACAAAACATGATCCGAATAAAATAGTATTCCCTTCGCTTCCCTTCTTTCCAACCCTTGTCGACCATTTCCTTCCCTTCCCTTTCAAAATCAATCCAGCCCAAGCAATCCCATCCCATCCCAAATCCGATCCCACACATAAAATCGCGAAGAAAGCGCCCTTCGCAATGCCAAGCCCAGTCCATATATATGTATGTACGTACACCCAAACTCCTAACCCCTTGAAAAGATCCGTTCCGTAAGAGCCTCCAACGTCCAAGTCCAGACCATGACTGTGGAAAAAAAAATAAAGCAAAAAAGCATTACTGATTGCAAATTTATGAGTGGTGATATGCTTGCTATGCTATGCACGTCTTCCTTTCCTCCCTTCTTTCTTTCATTCGTACAAGATATCTTCTCTCCCTTTCTTTTTCCCTTCCCTTCATTTCCCCCCTCTATCCCCCCCCTACGAACGAGTCTGCAATCTCGATGTAAAAGTCGAAACCCAAGGACTGGTAGGTGGAGCAATCGGTACCAATTCCGGCCTTTCTCCACTCTTCTCATCCACTAGCATTTCACTCGATTCCCCCGATGCAAAAAGCGCAAATTGAATATCCTGTGTTAAATCCTCCAATTGTTCATCTGTTTCCGTTGGCACCGCAAGATTATTTGCCTTGTCCTTTTGTTCTGCTGCTGCTTTCCTCGCTTCTCTCAAGAGACTTGCACCAATTGCTGACATACCCTCATTATCCATTTCAGCGTCATTATCGTCGAATTCATCTGGTGCTAAGACGCGAGGTGCGAGAGGTTCTATATCGCTTGTTTTAACTTTATATTCTAGTGCTCTTTTTCCTTCGTTGATAAGCTCTTCGGTCCAGCCTAAACATTTCTTGAGACTTTGATTCATTTTTTGACTGTCGATTAGTAGTTGTTGATGCTTTGATAAGTCGAGGCGTAATCTTTTTTCGTCTTTCTTTCGATGTTTGAGATCATGTTCGGCTACCGCGCCAGGACTTAATGTTCCGGCATCAATAAGATCTTCTTCAGAAGATGGGTCCTCTTCTTCATCATCATCTTCCTCGTCTTCCAGATCAGAGTTTCCCTGACTAATATCCGATAGACCATTACCCTCTCTCTCATCCACAACAGACAAAGTCCCACTTGTTGCACGTGATGAGGCTCCTGTGGCCATAGATAATCGACCCGAACGACTTAGTCGTTTATATCTTCGTAATTCCGCAGTCTGCCTCCTCATTTCTCGTTCTAGAGTTCGATTTATGGCGGCAAGTGATGAGTTTGTAATCTCCAGATCTAAAACCTTTCTTTCATTTCGTGCGATGGCTGCTAATTCGTTCATACGTTCTATCGACCCTCCGGCTTTGAGTACTTCTTCTATTACTTCGTCTTCAGAGGAAAGTGATTCCCCATCATCGTCGTCTTCCTCTTCCTCATCTTCCGTTTCCCCTTCTTCTTCATCTTCTTCTTCCTCCTCCTCTCCTTCAGGTATCTCATCTGTATGTGATATTGAGGCGGGACTTGATGGTTCTGTGATTGTTATTGGATTCGTTATATCTGTCGAATGACCCCCTGATGAGACCTTCCTTGTCAATACCAATCTCTCCATAGAAGATCCTGTGCTTGTGTTTCGTTGGTGTCCATACCCCCCATCTCCACTTGTTCTTCTTGACTGTGTAATATTATTCGCCGATTGTCCACGAACCACAGCTTTCGGTCGAGGTAAAATAGGAGAAGCCAGTGGGGTCGGAGATCTGGCTGTTGATATGGAGGCATACTGAGTATTTAATTTTTGTGGTGATGTGGGTCGTTGTGAAGGGGATGTCGTCGCAGCATGTGCTAATCGTGGCGATGTGACTCGAGAATGAGTTGAGAGAACCGAACTCGGGCGAGGAGGCGCAAATTGTGGTGAAGGTGATAGTCCTAATTCCGGTGTACCATTGGCATGGAAAAACTTTGCATGGCCTCTTTCCTCTCCAAGAGTTGATCCTCCGGTTGATGCTCCCGAACGCGGTGGCTGTTTCTTAGGAACTTTATCTCCATTGGCATGAAAGAAGGCGGAAGGTTTTTTAGTGAACGCAGGTTTTGTTTGTTGTGTACTGTGACTCTGTGGTTTTACATCACTCGCAAAGAAGAATTTGGAGTCGGCAGAGGATTGTGATGATTGTGAACAATTTAACTCTGAATTTGAAGGACTGAATGCTACGGTTGATCGTTTCGTTGTATCCCTCTCCATCCCTGAAATACCCAATCCAGATGCATTCTGTGTAGGATCATATAATCGAGGACCTTCAGAAGGTATGGGAGTTCCTGATGGTGAATGACTGATGCTATCAAATCGAGTCTTTCTTGTACCTGGTCTTGCGGTTACATTGTGACCATTCATGGATGTAGGACCGAGAGTCGATGAATCGTCTTTTATATTATTTGGCGTAGTATTTTCTGAACGTGATTGTCTTGAAGCCGGTCTTGCAGACGAAACTTTGGGAGTTAATGGCGTCTTGGGTTTGTTTCCTCTGTTCGCAGAAGCACTTAGAGTTGGTGCCAATGGTCGATTGGGAGTTGTCTTATCGTAGGAAGGCATATTTGGATTACCACTTTTGGCAGTCAACGGCGCAGAATCTTTCTGCGAAACCACTCGCATTATGACATTATGGTACTATATGGCAAATGGAGAAATTCGACCGGAAAGACGATTTATGGCGTAGAATGGATGATCTTTTGAGGGGTTGATTGTGAAGAAGGAATGGACTTTGTTTTTTTGGAGACGGGGTAGATGCAGTGATAAGTGGTAAGTAGTTGATGGACCACTGATAATAAGGCGGCCGATTTGCATTTGTATCAAGCGAATGAATGGGATGAATGGGATGAATGAGAATGATGACGGGATGGATGGATAGATGGATGGATGGATAGATGGATAGAAATGTGATATTCTTATTTTTTCAAGTAGAAAGACTAATGAACAACAATCCAAAAAGGAGTTCTCTATGCAGAGGACTGATTTAGATACTCGAGTCGAATAGGAATAATAAGGATTGCAGGAGCTTTGAATATCCACAATATTGGAATAATTGAAACCTCATGAATATCCATATAAATTGAATTTTATGAGAAGAGATGCATTTTATATGCATTTGCGGATTTGACTACGGTTGTACGGTAAGGTAAAACTGTAAAATTGTAAAAGTGTAAAGGTTCAACGTTTGTGTACATCATGAGATACACGGACGGGGTATAGGAGAAAAAGAGCAACGTTTTGGTCAAACTAATCACTACCTGGCTTGCAAGTAAGACATCTGGTACTTTATCATTTAAGAATCATAACATTTGATCGCCCTGTTCTTATGTTTATTCACAGGTATTTATACACTTTTACAGCAAATTGTCTAGATCTAGATGATAGGTGGTAAGTAGTAAGTAGATAGATAGTAGGTGATAGATAATAGGTAGCGTAACTAGACACATCAAGGTCTTTCTTTGCATTACTACGTCCTTGATGTGGAATTGATATACCGGTGTGTGGAATACCATCCTTTGACCAGGTTAGATTGATTCTCTTGTGACTCCGGATCTTCAATTCATCTATCCTACCTAGATTGCGAATTCATGCAACGAATCGAGTCATCACCTGGGCATCTAGCGAACAACCGACCTATTCTTCCTTGATAACTTCAATATACGAAGACAGTGCCAGCAAACTTCACTCCAATATACGATGACGGTGCCAGCAGACTTCACTCCAATATAACCCCTCATCTCAGCACTCTCATCCAAGTAAGAGCCAACTAGCCATCAAAAGCAACTTCCCAAACCCCCATCCCCCCTTCTAGAAACCCATTTTTGAAGATCATGGGGAGCAGCAAAAAGTGCATGAAGAGTCAAACACAAACATCTCTAGGCATGTGTAAAGATCCTCTTCCCTGTTTGATATTCCTTTCCCGGTACGTCTATACCTAATCCATGAGGGATTCCCCTGTTATGTGTATGCATAGTGGTGTTGTACATACGTTTAAGGCTTGGTTGGGAGGCTTGTCTAGGTGATGGGTGACGGGACGGAGTACAACACTGCGGTGACTCTCTTGTCTCGTGAAAACGATATCTGTCGGATGGATGGGAGAAGTGATACTTGGAGATGTTGTGTATCACTCTCGCATTGCGGAAGTAAAGGTAGAGGGATGTATTGAAATGTAACAACTATATCATTTACATACACGTATATACGTATATGTATATGTAAATACACGTATACGTATATCCACGCATGTACATGTAAACAAAAACACCAGACAATAACAACCAACAAAACATCAAACAAATTGATAATAACATATCAATCGCAAATAACACAAAAGCATAAACCACAAAGCATAAATCAATCCATACCTTCGTATATCCCATCCCATCCATCCAATCACAAATCCCCAACCCACCCGACCGCAAATCCCATAGCGTTACCGAAAGGGTCCTCATACTCCCTCACTAACGACTGCCGAAAGGCTACACTACACCATAAACGAAATATCCATATCCAAGTAAGGCTGAGAGATTGATGTTAATTACAAATCCATTTGTATATTTCTTTTCATCATCAGAGTTACTCGTACAAGTACCCGGACGTCCATGAAAGAATAGGAGTTTGATATCAGACACTCACTCAGTGCACATTCATTGATCCATTCATCATCCATTCATTCATCCATTTATTCTTTATTCCATACCTCAAACTACCATGGTCCTTCTAGGACTCGGTCTCCTGATCGCCTCAGTTTCTTTCTTATATTACAAACATGCGCCTGCGGGATGGTGGACGTTTCTCGAGAGATTAAATTTGCGAGCGGGGGGTAGTATTCAGGATGGCGATCGCAATCGAGATAGAGATGCAGATGGGAAAGGGGAAGAAGGGAAAGAAGGGAAAGATGGAAAAAAAGAAGATTCGACACCGAGAATTATAGGAGTAGAGGGACAGGAAAAAGAAAAGGAAGACAAAGTAGAGAGATCCTCAACATCATCACCACCATCAAACACCACAACCAATGCGCCCACCCAAAAATCCACAACCGCAAACAATGCGCCAACCTTCCAAATCTCCGCCCCTTCTCAAACCCCCTCAATGCAACCACCCTCTCCTCCGCCGAGCAAAGCAGCTCTCGACCGCGCCGCCATGCCCCCACCCCCTCCTCTCTTCAAAAAATCCACTCCAACCCCGAAACCCAAAACCAAAACCCCCTCATCACCAACTACTCCCCGCGCGCACGCTTCTCAGCCTCCTCAACAAACCCCTAATATCCCCATCTTTTCCCTCAATGCTACCAATTCTCCATCCACATTTCCAGATCTAGAATCCGAACCAGAATCCGAACCAGAAATCCCCTCTTTCCCCGCTGCCAACTCCGCACAACGCGCGTCGAATACCGGATCTCGAGTTCCTCCACGACTAAATCCCCTTCCCGCTTTCAAATCCACATCCACGTCCACACCTGCATCTCTCAGCACCCCCACCCGGGGCCCCCTCCCACTCCCCAACCGCTCACCCCTCCCCAACCGCAATCCCTCCTCACTCGCGGCCCCCTCCCTCGCCCCCCCACCAACCCACACCTCCATCCCCTCCAAACCGCGCAAAAAGGTTCTCCTCACCCCCAACCACTCCCCCCTCGACTGGGCCCGTCTCACCTCCTCCCCCAATTCCAATCTGCGCAATCTCCCCCCTTCCACTCCTCTCCTGCGCGTTCCTCCCTCCCTCCTCAAACAATTCACAGGCAGAAAAGGAAAAGATGCGTGGACGGTGCTCGGAGGGAAGGTGTATAATATTACGCCCTATCTCCCTTATCACCCAGGAGGCGAACCAGAATTACTGAAGTGTGCGGGAAGAGATGGGACGAGATTGTTTGGGGAGGTGCATCCGTGGGTGAATTGGGAGGGGATGTTGGAGGCGTGTTTGGTGGGGATTAGTGTTGGGGAGGAGGAGTTTGAGGGGGTGGGCGGGTTGGAGGATATGGATTAGTGAGGAAGTGAGAAAGAGGAAGAGGAAAATTTGTATGTGAGGGAGGAGAGGGGTTGTGATGTGTACATATGGGCTGGTGAGAGTATAGTAGATTAGATGGATAGAGTAGATTTGCTGGGATTATTACATAAATGAGCATAGCTGTATAGATAGGTGCTTCATGAATAGCAATGTATTATATAGACAAACAAACATGCAGAGATGAATATAGGCTCTCGAAGATAAATTAGAAGACAGAGACTTAAATCGAGCGCTGTAGAATCTACCAATCCAGATTAATTAGATCAAATGAGATCAGATCAGTAAGCAAATAGCCCTGCCATTTTCACGTCCATCCCCTCCTACCTAAAAACAAACCTATCCTCATCCTCCTCCTCCACCACCCTCCTTCCACTTCCACTCCTCACCCCCGTCCTCACCCTCTTAACCGACGCCGTCTTTCCCAACGAATTCGTCGCAGCCCTCTTATTCCCACTTGCCCCAAGACCAATACTACCGTCCCTTTCCCTTCCCGTCCCACTCAACCCACTACTCCTCAAACTCTCCTTCTGCGTCGTCGAAGCTCGCGAACTTCGTCCTGTGGATGCAGGGGTTAGGGAACGGAATACACCTGGATCGTCTTCATTTCCACCTCTATGTTCATTTTCATCCTCCGATTCCGGTACAATCTCCACTTCTGCGCTCAACGCACGCGCATCCATTGGATTTTCCGGTAATTCCTCATCTTCGTTTTCCGAGTTAATTTCTCGGAGTTGTGGTTTTGTTTTCGGTTTCGGTTTTGCTTTGGAGCGGGATGAGGAGATTGGGGTTTGTGTTTCTTGGGTTTCTGTATCTGCTTGTGTTTCTTTTGCTTTGCCTTTGCCTTTGCCTTTGTTTCTTCGAAGTTGGGTATCGTTGTCGTTTCCATCTAGACCCCAGTACTCATCACCGTTTTCATTGTCCCTCTTCTTGACTTCCTCGAGAGGCACGATGACCCTAGCGTGAGCTCTTACTGGTCCATCTTCTGCGCCTCTCCTTCTAAATTTCTTGAAGTTCTTCCGTCCATTCCATTTATCATCCCATCTGTCACCTTCATCCATATGCCTTGTTGTTTTAGGTGCCGGTCTAGATCGCTTAACTTCCATATCCTCCACTATCGTTAGCTTACGCATCTCTTCGATATCAATTGTTGAGACAGCTTGTTTCAGAGAATTTTCTTCGGCTTGTGCAGCTGCTTCAGCGCGTTCTCGTTGCTGGGCTACCAAAGCTTCGATATCGACTTCTTTCTTTTCTTTCTTTTTCGCCGATTCGGGAGCTACAACTTCTTTTTTGATAACAGGAGGTGGAGGAGTTGGTTCGCCTCTTTCTCGACGTTGTCGTTTGAAGGACGCGGTAGTGGGTGCGAAACTATCCATGTATGACTTTTCTTCGGCAATGGGGGGTGCAGACCTTTTTCTTGTTGATCGCCGTGTCGGTTGAGATGATTCTTCAGGTTCCACAGACTGGGACATTGCGCGGTAAGTTTGGACTTCGCGGTTCGGATCTTGAGAAACAAAGAGTCCTTGGGATTCTTCGGGCAGATCTTGTTCTACTACCATGGCCTCTGGTATAGAAGCTAGAGAGATCGGTGCTGGCGGAGGATCATCGTCGTCGTCATCATCAAAACCACTGAAACGACTTGTCACAGCTCGCCTTGATCTACCTCTTCGAAATTGAGTTTCTTGCGAGATAGCATCCTTAGGAGCAGAAGCTGTGGAGGAAGCACCAGCTGAATTAGGCTTGGGGGTCGCAACTGAATTATCCTTGGGAGGTAGAATAGGATGAGAGTCAGCAGACGCCTCTGTTGATTTACCAGCGTTTGGATACGTAGCTTATAATTGTCAGTCAATCCATTCACCGTTGAATTCAAAAGAAAGCTTACCTGGTGTTGAAGTTGGAGCCACGACTCCAGACATCTCTACTTCAAGAGCTCTTCTCAATAATCTTGCATCTGTCTTGAGTATTGCATCCAAGAATTCACTTTGTAATATGAGTCGTTGATCCAAAGCCAAAGCAACTTGACTAGCAAAGTCTTTGAACCATTCGACGCCTTCTCCTTTTGTGGGATAGAAGCCCACAACCACAACACCCTTTCCCTCGCTTCCATCCTCAAACTCACCGACTCCTTTCTCTCCTGCCACATTCTTTACATATCTTACAAAGTCATTCACCGGAGTTTGCGCAGGTGTGACTTCACGATATAAGGCTTTACCACGTCCATCCGTGATGGGTGCTAGAAGTGTCTCAAATTGAGCTTTATCGTAGAAAACAAAGGTATAACCATCAAACATAGTTTGCCTCGAGAGATCGGGAGCATAAGATGTTGCAGGTTCATCTGTAGGTTCCGTGCCGCGCTCAGGGAGATATTGAACAGCATCTGGGAAATTATTTTTGAAATCTTTCTCCAGGCTACAAGTGCCATCTGATTCTGGCGTAGTAGCATCAACAATTGCTTTGATGAATGGATCATTATCCACTATGTACTTTCCATTAATCAAAGCTCGAAGTCCTTTGGCCGTATTCCGTTTCTTGACAACAACATGAGAAGTTATATCACGTTCATATTCGGTAAGAACTTTTACGTCGAGTGGGCCAAATGCTGCATAAAGCGCTTTGAGAGGATTGGCCTTTAATTCCTTTGGAGAGAATGAAAACGATAAAGCAATTGGACACCAGGTAATTCTACATAATTCAGCATCACTCACACATGTCAAAATGATCAAGGATAGCTCTTACCGGAATAAATGCTTAGATCTCCCTATCATTATTTCATTAACTTCACTCCTGAGCTCATAGTCCTCAATGCCCTTAATTTGCTCTCCATTCACCGTGGTACCGGCTTTAGTCTTTTGGTCGTTCAAAATGACTTTTGACCGGCTTTTGGGGTTTCCCTTCATAAGGTTATCAGTAGAGATTCCAGATCAGACTTTGCTGGTACTTACACAATCATCTGGACCAGCAACTTTAACCTCTATCGTTAAATGCTGTCTCGAAACTGACTTGTCGGCGATTGCGAAGTGACCATCTTTGCTGTCATCAGCTGAGTTAGAAGCCAAAGAACTCGGGCAAACAAACCTTCCGAAACCGTCCTACCGAAAAGATATTTCTTCCCGGGAACGAGCCACCGTGTTTTACCTGCAGGATCTCAGTATGATTTTTGGTAGAACCGTGTACCAATATAAATATTCACCGTCGAAGAAGTCTCCATCATTCTCTATGGTCCACATAGTAAATAGAGTGGGATTGATCGTTGTAAATTGAGGACACTTTCTTGTTGACCCATAACATGTACAGAGCTATTCAGGAGGAATACTGATGATGATGATGATTTATCTTTGATGGTAATAGTGGTGGATGGTAGCTATACCAGCGTGATGTTGGGAAATTTATTGATGAATCGATTTATAGGCAGCACAGAGTCAAAGAGATGAGACGGAAGCTTGACACGCGAATCGTTACCTCGCAAAACGCCTGGTCACATGTAGATTACGATAAGGAACAGCACAAAAAGACAATGTGATTAGGTAAGCATGATATACCCATTCCATCACTGTACCTCACCGGGAGTACAATATCAAACAAGATACTTCACCAAAAGCAATCGATTTCAGTATTCAGTATTCTCGTTTTAAACTCCAGCTACTCACCAAAGCTCTTGTTACTACTTTGTGAAACTTCAACACGTTCATCAATAATTGCAGCACATGAACTTTACGTCTCTCCACCTTTACCTCCCCCTATACTTCGTTTCGGATAGGTTGGAAGTCATAATCTATGTATAGAATACTAGGTTGTTCGAGCGAGATCAATATCCATTGATAGAGAAACTGTTTTCAGTGACATTAATGCTCAATAATAGCAAGAATTAACGTAAGATGATTTGCAAATACCCTTTTTCTGCTACATTTCTACGGCACCGAAAGACATTTCTGTACACATGAACTGAGAAGAAAACAACTTAAACACATCTCCTCTCCCCGCCCATTTCAGCTTCGTTTACATATCCAACTGACCCAAACCATATCCACCTTATAGGACTGGTCCGGTATTATCGCTCGCCTGAATCAACACCACCATTACTTTGAATACTTGACAGTCGATGGAGTAATTTCGCTAAATGTACTAAGAGTTCTAGATAGAAGATGACGAGGTGTGATGACCATTTAATTGCCATTTCTGAGTCTTCATCGCTGTCTTGAAGATACACAGATCGAGCAAAAATCCATCTCTCCCTTTGACTACATCCAGGCCACATCCAGCTCCACATATAAAAACACAAATTGCCCGTGGATTGATCTTCTGAACTAAGCCGCCACAAGTCCGCGAGCCGCTCTCTAGCCAAGTAATTGAACAGTACCTTGAGGCATGATACATCAACAGTGTCACCCATGGAGTTATTTGTCCAATATGCTATCATATTGGCTAGTCGTATATCCGAATAGTCCCTTATAGCATGTTGGATATTGAACAGGTCAAATAGGATCGATTGGAGCTCGAGGCGTTCTGCTGGTAAATGTGGGGGCGGTCGTTGTGAGTTCGCTTGTGACCAGGCACAGCTTCATACGAGTCTAGCTCCCATGGACTGGACATCTTTACATCGAACAAGTATTGGATACCAACAAAGTGATGGAAGCGAATCAGCTTTTCCAGTCATTATATTGTTTGTCCTTCGAATTTATCCACTTGATTGAAGGTCGGAACATCAAATATAAATAACTACAGGTGTTGTAAACACAAAACCAGGGCCGAAAGACTATGCACTGGTTTTTCAAGTCATTGATGAAGTCTCTCCGCATATTGTTGAGAGGTATAGAGTCTCGCAATAGATTAATATGTTACGAGAAGTATCGGTGGCGAGTCATTGTACATCTCGAATTCCCATACAGGTTTTCATAATCAAAGCTTGCTACAAGATCTCACTCTGCTTGAATGATATATATCAAAAGGATATAATTGTCTTCATAGTGAGGAGGGTAGATCATTCCCCAAGATATGGAACTGAAAAATAACAAATCATTAGAACGAAGTAACGAAAGAAAGTTTCCATCAGAACCTGAGACAAGACTAAATTACAGTTCGTTTTTCACCGTGTATCTTGAATCAACATCATAAAATAGTGATGAGATACCGATGATCGGGAGGCTCGACATTTGACAGAATTTCAGAACATGCTGTCTCAGCCGTCGCCAGACCTTGTTCCTCTAGAGCTTGTAGAAATGGCTCGCGGAACTCAAGCTCCTTCCAATCTGCAGAATACTTGCGAAAGCAAAAAGATCCAATCCTTATGTATGCTGCCATTACGGAATTTGTATTTCGAAGAACAATACCGAAAACGTACAATTGGTGGATGATTTCTCCTTTACTGCCGAACATGAAAGAGCCTCCTTTGCCTCCAATTACTGGTACCAAATATATTGGTCGAGCATAGTTTTGGTCAACATCATCTAGACAATCTAAACAGCATGGAAACGTCTTCTTTTGGCCGCGAACATCTAACAAAATTGCAGTGGCATCTTCATATCCTGCCTCATCGAAAGTCTCTGTGTGAACAATATGGCCAACTGCCATAGTAGAGCAAGCAAGCCGGATAAATCCATCAATAACCTGTCCGAAAGGATTGTGACCGTAAGGAGTCGTACCGGCATCCACAACATGCGCATATCTAATATTGAGGCTACCATGGTATGATTCAGGCCATGCTACTTGCCCATCAATGGAAGTCCAAGACCAAGAAGGAGCTCGCCAGAGCGGTCGCTCCGAGGCGTTATTTTCTGTCAGACCCCAGCAAAGCTGCTCTTCGATCTTTTCTCTCCACATGCCGGCCAAATACTGATCGTCATGCTCATCGAATTCCGATTTTGCAATGCCAGAAAGTGCTGGTAATTTGTCTTTCCCATATGTCAGATTAGCTGCCGAATATAGTTTCACAATTTGATGCCACTTCCACTCAAGCATCCCTGTTCGGCAGACAAGTGGTTTAACAAATTTATCTCGAAATCCATCGGGGAAGAACTCTGAAGCAATTAGAGACCTGCATTCCCAAAACGCGCCACGATCACCGAAGTGAACGGTCCGTAGTGGCAAGATTTTCTCTTGTAACGCCCATGCTCTTGTTCCAAGATGGGCTTCTAAGGTAGAATAATTGTATTCCTCATGGCATAGGAAGTCTTGCACTCTTTGCCGTCCACCATCATTGATTCGTACTCGAAGGCCGCCACTGAAGTTTGGTGCTTCAAGAAAACAACCTTCGGTACTATCGCGGGCTGATGAAGCAGCAATTGTGATAGAAGAACCTCCATAGACTGAGCTCATTAGCGCAGACTCCTCTTGCCAATCATGGTCATCATTCTGTATAATGCACAGAGAGTCAATCCACAAGTAATCAATGCCCAGTTTCTGTGTAATCTTGATTGCGTCCTTGAAAGTCTTTGGAAGAACCTTCATTGATATTTCCCTCGTTAACTGGCCGATATTTTCGGAAGTAAGCACGATAGCCCTATGGGAACCCCAGCTATGAGATAGAGCTGCATATCGCAATCTCTCTTGATAGTCGGCCGTGAAGACAAGTCGTGGCGATTCCTCAGCGACACATATAAGTCGCGTGGGCAAATTTTCATGGCTATTGCTTTTGCAGGCTTCATGCTTTTCAATGCAATGCGATAGCCAATCATTCGCTGTGCTGAATACATCTGACGACTTTTCATGACAATCAACTTTTTTCGATTAGTAGCTTAAGCAACGACATTTAGCGATATTACAAACCTGATAATGGGAGGAAATGGGACACAAATCTCAGCCTAGGCGCTGTTCCGGCGTTGTTACTAGTGCAGATTTTGCCCGGTAGATTTAACCACAGCAGTTGTGTTGGGTTTGCACCCCAGTTCTGAATGGATAAAAATGAGATTGAACTTTCGCCCAAAAGTAACAATCGATTCTCAATTTTACGAAAGAGTTCAATGAGTTTCCTGTCTTTGAGGCGTTGGATCAAAAACGCGCAAAATTTGCATCCAACCCGTGTTGATGCTTCCAATTCGAATGAGTTACATGGCCTCACAGCAGTGTGCTCCCAGCCACCTTCCGAACCAGGCTTTGAATCGTGTTCTCTAGTTGAAGAATTGCCCAATGTCGGCCAATTATCAAAAAGTTCTTGACATTTGATGCAGAATCTTCCGAGAATGGGAGTGGCTGCCAAATTCGAAATGCGCTGTTCGAATGAATCCTCGTCTAGCTCATCAGAGTCTACAGCCTCAAATATATGATGATCTGAACCAAGTTTGTTGGCGTCTATTGACATATATTCTTCAAACCATTCTCTCAAGCCCTCATTTTGAGCGTTGAACTTTTCAGGGCTGGAGTCTCCATCATCAGAGATTTGGATGTTGCTGGCCATTTTTGCTTGCTTGCTAAGACACATGAACCATTAAACGTGACCAGGAGGAAATCTTATCGCTTTGCTGGTATAGGATAGGAACAGAGGAGCAATTCAAATGAAGCAAAAGGTCAAAATATTCTCAACTCCAATATCTCATCCACAGAAGCAAAGGTAATTTCGCCGTGATCTCAATGCATTACCCCTATTCCACAGAATAAACCATCATCAAAGATCGCAAAAAACCATGTATTGGCATCTCAAAGTAATAAATATTGTTGTAGAATAAGTTGTGAAATATAAAACGTTGCTGAAGATTGTCTGTAATTATGGCGTGACGTTCGACGTGAGCATGAGGTGAGAAATTAGTTTCGCGGCACGGACCGTGTAACATTGTGTTCCCCTCCTCGAGCTGTCCTGCCCCTTCCGTTGCCAATAAATCAGTGCCTTGGAGGCTATTGGGTGGGATTTGTAAGATTATTATCCGGTGTAACCAGATAATGAAGAGCACACCACTGTAATATTCCATGTACATAAGAATTCACATGGGTGACTAGGTATTGTTTCAAACTTCATGTATTCATTTTCTCTTGAATTTACAACTTTTGGCGATCTATTTATACTCAGGAACAGAAAAAATTACATTAAACACACCAACCAAAGCCATGATCATAAGATACAAACTCCGCCGCTGCAGTAGACCAAGACCAAATCATCATTCAACGTTGAGAAAACCATGAGAATCATTAGAGCGTTTCGCCAACCTACCCACTTCGTCGCATCCAACCCAAGAATCTCAATTTCCTAGAATCCGACTCAGCAGACTCGCTCCTTTGTGTCTGCGGTCCCGTGCTCGTGAAACTTCTCTGAGGAGCTGGTGCAGAGATCATAGGTAAACCTGACCAGGTCGTCGGATGTACTAATGAAACTGGCCTATGAACTTTTGCTGGAGATCTAATGACACTTTCGGTTGATGTAGAGGCAGATCGAAGAGCTCGGATACTCAAGAGATATTTGGGGTCTCGTTCATTCATACTATTCAAAGTATTGGGAGAGGTGGCCGTTGCTGGTCTTGCGGGCGGTGAAGGTGTGCGCAGTAGACTTCGGTCGATTGGTGTTTCGAGAACCAACTCCTGTGTATTATTATTGAAAGGTTGTGGAGAAGGATGAGGCGAACTAGAATTAGTGCAATCATTCAAGGCCTCTGGTCGAGAGTTCCTCGCTGAGTTTTGAACAAGACAATTGTCGTCAGACTTTGTTAAAGTTTCTGCTTTAGTAATTTTGATGGGAGAAGGCGGGGATTGGGGCTCGCTGTAGCCTTCATCGCTTCCCAACGTAGACTTTTCTATGTGAGCCCGGACACGATTCAAGTGGAGATCACTTGATGCTTTTATTGTTCCTGGTCTAATTTCCGCAGTGGAGATATGGGAGTTAATGCGAGTTGTGTTCACAGGACTCTCTGGAATATCAGGCATTTGTCTTTCACTAAATTGCGATCTTTTTTTGCTTGAGAAATTTGGAGCTTTAGGCAATGATTTGTCTTTCTCGTGGTATATTGATCGGTGACTCTCTTCTCCAGTAGGAAGGACTTCTCTTTGATTTGTCTTTTGACTGTCACAAGCATTGTCTAATCCTTGTTGGACTAGGTTAATCACAGCAGTATTCGATGTTTGTTCTTCTTGACTATTAAAATCAGCTTCAGGATCTTCTTTTATCTGACGATAGAAGTGACCAGGACTAAAATCTCTGGAATTTCGTGGGTTCAGCTTTTTTGTATGTCGTTTCGAGTTGTTACGATCCTCCGCCTCCATGACTTGGTAGGTCAACGCGGACTTCTCGGTCAAATCTAGTAAATATTTCACTGGGCTATGAGATGGATCAGCCGAAGCGATTGGTGGTGAAAGTTCCTGATACAGTTTGACATGGTCACCAACTGTCGTAACAGATAGCGGAGTATCTGGTCTCACTGGAAGATCATCGTTATATCCAGGGCGTTCAAGAGAGTAGACTGACGCCTCGTACAACCATGGACTATAGAGACTTTCCTGATAATCGGGAAATTGTGGCGACATCGGAGCAATAGAAGCACTATATAGATCTGGTGTCTGCTTTATGCCTGAATATTGTTGCGGAAGTGGGGGCCAAGCAGATCGATCAGGGACAATAAACTGGCGCGAGGTTTCTCCATGTCCGAACATAGCTTTGAGTAAAGTTCTGGTGTAATCTAAAGGAAACCCGGCGATTCTGACAGATCTAACAGTGCCACGAAGGTTTATGATTGCATCGCAGAACTGCATAGCTTCCTTCGGAAAGTATTCTGGTACAACAATTAGTAGGGAACGGAAAGACTTTTGAAACATGAAGGAAAGGGTAAACTTACCAAACAATTCATCTGCCTTCCAATCGGGATCATTTTCATCAACTGGACGATAACCGTTGAAACGTCTACACAATAGAGTAAGCTCAGCCATTCTACCACGTCGCTGTATCAAACCCCTAACAATATCAAGTAGAAGACTTTCCATTTTTTCCATGTTGTACTCAAATCGCCTAGCAAACTTCAGCGCATTGCCACCAAACCGAGTCAAATCGAGTTCAATTGTGAGGTGTTGAATTCTATTCAAAAAACTGGGCAACCAAATACTCGAGAGCGGAGTGAAAATCGAACTGCAAAATGGAGTCAAGGTAACATGAAAGTGATATTCGGTCCAAAAGTAGGTCAAAATATCATTTCTCATAAGGCTGAAAGATGCCAATGCACCAGAAACCATTTCAAGGACGCTCCACGGTGAAGTGAAGTAGTAATCATGATAGCAATTCCTCCAAGCAAATTCAGGGGATAGAGATACTGTAGTATCTGTGCTACTAGGCAAGCAGTAGGAATAGATCTTGCGGCGAACTCTTGTAGGCATATCAAAAAATGGAGAAAAATTGTCGTTCTGTCGGGGTGGAAGGCAATTCTCGAAACTCTCATTGGAATTCATAGGCACGCCATCGTTAGCGCAAAGGTCCCAATTCCTGTCGAAGGGAGGATCCCAAGGAAGGGTAGTTTCTTTGGTAGTTGTCGGGATGTAATTTTGTTGAGATCTTGAGGTTTCTCTACTGGGCCCTAATGCTAAACGCTGAAGTCGTGTAGGTTGAGAAGGTTTCTTGCTTTTTGTAGACGAGTTGCGAGAGACAGATAGCCAACTCGAGCGATTAGACTTGCTTGAATTTGATGGAGGTTGAAGAGTCAATAACATATCGTTCTGTGGGGGGCTGACTTGGACACCTTCTGGGATTTGAAATGAAACTACTGACGTTCGCTTTGCACTTGGAGGCGGAAGGGGTTGCTCGGAACTCAGTTTTGTCTGATTGATTATCGGTGGAACCCACACTCCTGCAGAATATCTGCTAGATGTAGATGATGCTCGAGTTGGAAGCGAAACATCTTTCTCCGGTAATTTTGATTCTCTTGTAGACTGAGTGGAGGATCGAATATTAGGAGTTGTCGAGGCAGAATGAAGTTTGCCAGGAAGGCGCGATTCAACCGAAGATTTCGTTTGAGTTGGAAGGAACTGATTGTCTTCTTGTGAAGGAACATCCTTGAGTGATTGAACAGAATGTTTCTTATCGGTAAAGAAGGTAGTGGAAAGGGATCTCGTAAGTTTGCTAGTAGTGGATGCTGCACGAGTTGGGATTTCTTTCTTGGGCGAAAAGATTTCTTGCATAGATTGCACAGATATTCTGTTGCTGAAAGAAAAGGGCCTCGACGTGCGCACTTTGTTGACTTCTGATGATGAATTATTCGGAGGCAATTGGCCTTGCTGTGAAGACGATATTTCAGTGGATTTAGTGACAACATGACTGTTGGGAGATAAAGAGGTGGACTTTTTGAATCTGCTAGATTTCGATGAGATGCTAGCTGGCAGAGATTGGCCGTTGAGCGAGGACAAAGAATTGTGAGTTGACTCAACAGAGCATCCACTGTTCTGAGACGTTGTCGGAGAGTAAGACTTTCGAGAAAGGGGAGACAAAGATCGTTTAATTGACCCAACAATAGAACGTCGCAATGACACTGGTATTGTTAGCAGGATATTGATACAACATTGACTGAGTGCTAACATCTCTTATTGCCAGAGCTTATCTTCTCTGTATAGTCCATGGTTTTTGAAATTTAAAGAAACAAGTTGTTTAAGATGTAGTGGGATGCGCCGAAAGATTGTTTAAGATAAATGATTATTTTAATCACCATGAACTGAAATTTTGTTAGCGAGCAATATCAGCAAGGCTGTGCAAACCCTGTGAATAGGTGGTTAAGTGAGGGATGAAATTTGTTTTCACTTATCTTCAGTGAATTTCACATTTCATATTCAATAGCAGATTTGTTAATAACGACTCGTTCATGTTAACCCGCCTCCTGAAAAGTCGCTGCACAAACTTAGCCTACGATCCAATATCTCTAAATACAATAACATGGCAAGAGAAAAGTATATTCCAAAGTGCTTATAGTTTCTCAGTAGATGACGGAAACGGTGATCTGGACTTATTTATCAAAAAAAAACTCCACAGCTCTGAACAGAAACCTTCGTCCAAGAATATTCCATAACTCAAGTTATGAATCAGGAACAGTCATAATTTTGCGAAAATGGCTCCACACTGAGAGACTTATAACTGCTTCATCTCACTCGAGAACCCTACAGATAGGAAAGAATGCACCGTGGTCGTGAATTTGTAACCATGAAACTCTGAAATGTACCCGCTACCTTAGCTACTGCCAGTGTAAGATACACCGGGTGGTTAGCCAGTGTATCTACTCAAGACTTGTGAGTAGATGTTGCCATGAGGCAAGTATCATTCATCTGTTCTGTCAACAGTGACAGTTTCCATTGATCTTCGATCAAAGCCTGCGTAACTCAAACATTATCACATCCTGTGACCATGAGCCAATAGATCCAAGTATCATCCGGGAGCGTCATGTTGATATACTGGAACAAGTACTCTCAGTGCCAGAGAGAGACTTTCAACATCAGGTAACACATGCTTAGATATTGATATGGCAGGTTCTGTTGAGAATTCCTGAAGTCTGTCAATTGTGAAGTTTGTGATGTCACTTGAAGTTGTAAGAATGCGGTAAGGTTATCGGAATAACAGATATTCCGGACCCCGCCATCGTCATAATTGATTTTTGAAAACCATTTCTTTCCTTTCACACAAACGAACGGCATAGAATTTCATCGCACATAACAGGCATATTCTTGGGACTTTCACTATTTGATACATTCTAAACACAAAAATACTAGAACTGCACTTACAAATAGTCTACCGCAATCGCAAGCATGAGTGCGCCACCTGCTAAGTTCGATGCCGAAAAGGCAGACAATTTTGAAGATGTAAGTTATCCGCCATTGTATGCGCACAGAACGCTCTTATATGCACGTTAATGTCCACGGAACTGACAAATATGTAGATTGAGAAACAATTCGCAGTCAAAGGTTCGCATAGCACCAAGATCTTTTTCTAAACACCCCGCCATTAACACCGAAATTAGCTGTTCAACATATGTCCACATATTGGGCAATCCTCGAAAAAGTCCGCGGATCCTCTCTCAGGCTCACAAAAATCGACAACGAGATCTATGAACATTTGATGAAGGATTTCCCAGAACTTGATCCCGCAGCCACAATCAATGAGGATGAAATGAAGAGCAAGACAGGAAAAGAGAGATGGAGAAACTTCATGATGAAATATGAGAAGACTGTGGAAGATTATAATTTCGGAACGATGTTGAGAACGAGTCCAAAATCTGAATATGAGCAAGATGCAACCATTTTTGGTATGTTGAAGTTAAGGTGGTCATTCGGCACTGATGAAGCTAACGATGCCCTTGCATAGTCCCAAGAATGCAATTCTATGCTTACGAGATTGCAAGGTTAGTCCATTTTACCTATATGAAGCAACTAATTTCTAACAACCTAATAGAAACCGCAAAGGTTTGAATGATTGGATCTACGAAAAAGAGCACCCAGAGGCCGAGAAGAAGGCTGCTTAGGAGAATGAATCAAATAATAAATTCCGTTTTAAAACATTATACCCTCGATCACCCGAAAATCTATTTAGCATTATAGTCTATAGCCGTGGTGGAATTCAACACGTGAGAACTCGAAGTCGACTCTTTTTTATAGACCAACGCAGCACGTTATCACCCATTTGAGATCTAAGTTTTTTGTCTTTGGCCTATGTATAATTCAGGTAGCAGATCAATTTATATGGGCATTTGTGTCCAGTTCTTACAGGAATCTAACAGACGTTCGATTTGAGCAAAGAAAACCTGTAACTCTGCAACCCCCAGTTTTATTTTATAACCCGCGACTCTGTATCCTGCATCTCAACGGCCTGTATTTCAACACCCTGCATTTATACATCTTTTACTTGTATAACCTGCGATTTTGCAATTGCTTGACCCTTGGCTTCAAATAATCCAAAAGGTTGAGCCAAGTGGCCAAACCAATTCCAGCTTCAGTGGCAATATAAATACAGATGTAGACAAGCGAATTGGCAAGAAGCCCAATACAAGCAAGGGATCTACGGACGAAAAGTACCACGCAGCGCAGATTCAAGTGATACAGTCCAGAGATCATCGTAGGGAAAGTGGAATGATGGTGGGAAAACCATACGTCGATTTCAAAAGAAAGACGATACGGATGATGGAAAGGAAAATGGGGTGCAAGGCGTGTTAGCTTATGCAGCTAAAGATGGAACGGATCCCAAGAAACAAAGATAAAAACATGAGCTATTGAAATGAGAAATCATGGATAAAGAAACACACGACGCGGGCAGATAGAAAGAAGGGACTATGCTAAGCAATACTCTGCAGTTCAATAGTGTGGCAACGGTTTCACCTAGGGACGGTACGGAACTGGGTTCTCATAAGCAGACGGGGGAGAGGGCAAATGGCATGGTAGTGTACAAGGAAATTTGCGAATTGAATTATCGAGTCCAAGGCTGGTTCTTAAGATTATGGGTCCCGCGTTTTGTTTGTTAGATTGGGGTTGTCAGGATATTCCGAACTACACACTCGGTAGCATATGGAATGGAGTTTCGATTGCAGAATTTCATCAGTGAGATTGAGAAAGTGCTTGGTTTGTGAATTGTTTGTAACACAAAGGGACTTAGACTTGAAAGCCTTTGAAGTATTCTTGCTACTTGCTAATATCGTTATCCCATCCCTAGCAGTTGAACGACTGAGACGTTTCGTTGATCCTGTTACTCCCACTTCGCACCTCATCACTCAGCAACTCCCATTCATGCATCAGTCTCGATATTAAAATATGTCTCTCTATACTTAGGACATATCTCATTCCATGCATGCTGATGATAGTCACAGGGCTTGACTCTCACAGAATTCCTGGGATCCGTTTCTACCTTCCACGGAGACCCCGCTGGTTCCCAAATAGCCTTCATCGTATCAGATTGAAGTCCATCTGCCCATAAAAGAGCATCGTCAATGCGGGCATCCGACTCTCTGCATTTCGAACCATAAAAACATCCTAATGATTGCGAAAGATAACATCTGGCTAAGAATCGTCGTGCCGTTGAATGTGTCCGAGTCGAAGATTCGTGCTTAGTATTTTTGTACACATACATAATAGTTTCCATTGTTGGAAAAGTATTCGATTTGAAATAGAAAGAAACAATGCGATTCATCATCACATCTTGCAAAATGATAATCTCTTTCTTCTCGGCAAAGATGTAGAGGTCCCACAGAACTTCAATGTTTCTGATAGTTTCAGGAAGCCAGAATCTGCCCTGATATGCAAATTGTAATAGTCCTGTGAAAATTCTTGGATCGACGACAAGTTTGAAGGATTTAGAGTTTCCGATGGGACCGAGGATGCTGGTAAAGAGTCTGGGTTGGTAGCGAGTGAGTAGCTCGCGATGTACAATGAACTCTTTCTCTTCGCTGTAATGTACGGCGGCTATCTTTACCATGATATGGTTTGCACTGGAGATTAGATTGGTATATCTTGCATGCGGCGAAATGTCGTACTCACCGATTTTCGCCAGGTAATGGGGCAAAGCGAGGGTCTGCTTCTTGCCACTTGCAGGTGGCGAGAATTTGAGATATAGACGGCATTTTGTTTGCTGAATTCTTCTTGGAATATGAAAAAAGTTGTCTAGTCTCTAGTAGAATATTTGTGAAATATGTCATATGAAGAAGTGGCTGTCGTTGAAGAAAATTCTTGGGTTTCTAACTCTCGTGGTATGTAGGTGAACTTGTGGTAGTATGCGGATATTGCAAACTTATCTATGAAGATGTTATGTTAGGGAATGGAGTCGAAAGTTCACATATATAAAAAGTTCAGTATCTACGGTTGCAACTCTACACTTTTCAGTCCGGTGCAGTATGGTCAAATAAGGGCTTCCAGTCATCATGATCGAGTATCTTCACATTACGGTTCTGCCGTACTGGTGAAGCCCAACGTATGCATCTGGATGCGATTGTATGGTAGAAGTCGAGGCAATGTGTGAACCACTTCTTTCAATGATAGCAAGGGCTCAAAATATAGTAGACTATTTTGAATACGGTACGTTAAGTCAACTTGACTGCAGTATATATCTTTGTATTCTGTTCCATAACATCTAGTAACGTTCCAGTCGTGCAATATCGACAGTCTATACTGACCCTAAGCTTAAGTGCACCCCACTCTCCACAATGAAAGCTGGTATTTTCACAACTGTCTTGATGGAACTTTCACTGTCTTTCTTTAAATGTACCACTGACTATGTTGAACTCCGGTACAATGCGTAAGCTAGAACTAACTGTATCTCGAAAGGAAGATTGACGAAAATCTCAGTTTGTTATTGATGCTAGCAAAGCCTCTGGACCAGGCTTGATGGTGTCAATTACTCGCATTTTGAGAAGTTAACTGGTAGCAATACTTACACGAGCAAAGTCACTTCCCACAGAGACCCTCCAGAGATCGAAATGGTGATCATAGCTCCTTGTCAAATCGGGGTTCTTGAATGACTGTTCGTTTAACATTAGAAAAACATACCACATCACTTAGAATCACACTTCAAAGGGAATCGATGGATGGAAATTCAATGTACAAGTGTAGGAAGATCCAGTATGCAAAATCACGATCTACTTTACTCGATTTACTTGTCATTATCCCCATTGACAGCGGAATATATGGTTCTATCATTCTAGAGATATCTAGATTTGTATTCCAAAATTCAACAAGCCTATTTCATCCCCGTCCTCGTAACTTAAATTGTATGCAATGCAGCTACAGTCTGATATCAAGAAATAGCGGGATATCCAAAAAGTTAGTCCTTTTGGAGAGACGGCACGCTCGGAACTGACCGTGTGTAAAATACAAAAAAAAAAAGATCCTTACTCTTATTTGTCTGGAAGTCTCACTGACAATGGGCAGCTAATAGACACAGGACAGCTAACTCACAAGAGCGGTTTCTCAGAGGGGATAGACTTGGAGCTGATTATGAGATTTCGAACATGAAAACCTCCATTTAGACATCTAGGAACTGATTCCAACTAGCCAACACCTTATCTAAATCCTGAAAACTGTTTAGTATGATATTTCAATATTGGTACAGCTGTTCATAGATCTTGTGACGGCTCTCCTTGTAAATTTTATCAACGAATGGCTGAAAAGCGCAAGTAGTAGCTACTACCCCTTCCCGGCTGACCATCATAACCGCAAATGGAGTTTCTTCGGCCTTTCCATGATACCAGCTTCAAAGCACTCACTTGCGGTAGTAAATTTCCCCAACGTTTATAATCTTTGCTTATTTTCATCGTTGAAAAATGCTGGAAAGATTCAGTAAGCCTTACCTCGCCACAAACTCACCCTATCAGAATAACAACATGGGACAGTTCTTAGTACGGCCTAAGGATATCTCACATTAAACCACAAGAAAAATCACGAGGCAATATGGTTCTGAAAGCATCCTCCCAATTGAGAAATACTCGGAGAAATCATGACATAATGACGTAGAGACCGTATCATAAATCTATCAAGGGATGACGGCTCAGTAAGTAGGTAAGCATGATTCATTGGAGCTCAGCTTTTGCCAAGCATATCTCACAATTATTCCCAGAGAACCGTCTTGTTCACAGTTGCTTTGAAATCAGACCAGTCATCATTCAAAGGCCTGTAGATTCTGCCTCCCTTGCTTGATGATCTCGGGTGGTGAGTGGTCAGGTGTAAAACAATCCCAGCTTGTCCCTCAGCCCCTTTCTCGTGCATCCTAAAGCGATCATGAAGCGAAAAGAATGAGATTTAATCAATGACCTCCCTCAGAGTCAACATTTTTTCTAAAGAAATGATAGAAATAGCCCTGTAATTAACAAGGTACTTGTGTAAATTAGCCAGTAAGGCTGAGTGTAACGTTTAATGCCAGCATTAGTTACAGCAAACAATAAAAAACACACTGCGCGTATTGGGGGTCTCATCTATACGTTGTATCAAGTATCATAAATATAATTGAGGCTGTCCCTCAACGCGGCACGAAAGATAATTGAAAAATTTAAATGCTAATCATAGTGAGATTCAGGCAGCTGTGTAACCAATCCTATCAAGCTGGTTTCTAATCATTCAATGTGTGAGCTCCAATACAACCATTTAGGGACACATATTAGAGATTTACGATGATCAGCTAAGCCGTATGACAAGATTTTGCCGTGAAAAGGGCGTTCTCGGTAAGTTGTGCCGTATCTTCATGCCCCATGAATGTAAGCTTACCGTTTCAAAGAAAAGGAATATCGGTAAGGCTATTAGGATCACGACAATATTGAAAAAGATACGAAGTCACAAGTCAGCTCAACGGTAAGCTTATAGGAATCTATACCATCCCATCCCGTAATATCAGTGGCGGTGTATTGTGCCCCGAAAATTGGAAGAGTCACGCCCATGTTCTGAGGTATTGCTTTCAGCTTCTGCGCACGCCTCTTACGCGGTATGATTGTCAAAAGAAATGAAACTATATTGGAGTATTGAATTCAGAAGCCTAGCTATGCAATCTTGCAAACTATAAATTAAACGTTGTCCCACGAACCTCTGCAACTACTACTAAACTACTCAAAATTACTCCATCTTGTTTTTTTCCAAGCAACAAACTCAATCTCTCACATTTAAACCAGTCCTAAGTAAATCAAAACAATATGGCTCAAGTACGTAGAGCAAGTCTTTCATTGGAATAAGCCGGACTAACAAAATATTAGAGCAATGGCGTAACGTCAGAACCGGCCATCACAACGATGAACGGTGCTCCCGTTCTGAAGCCAGCATCTACTCAAAGAATTGGCAATCAACTTAGGGCCACTCTTCTCCTTCAAGATATCAATCTCTTGGAATTGATCCAACATATCACCCATGAGCGAATTCCAGAACGGTAAGCCCAAGACGACACTCTACATTGCAAGTCTTTATCATGACCTGAGCTAATCCGATCATCTCCAGTGTCGTCCATGCAAGAGGTACTAGCGCTCACGGATACTTTGAGGTCACAGACGACATCTCGGACGTCACATCTGCAGCTTTTCTGAACCGAGTTGGGAAGCAGACCGATTTATTTTGTCGGTTCTCTACCGTAGCCGGCCGGGCAGAGTCTGCCGAAACTGTTCGGGATACTCGTGGTTTCGCTTTCAAAATGTTTACTGAGGAAGGTAACTTAGATTGGCTGTTCCTCAGCACTGTGAGTCAATTCGGATGAGTGAGAATCACTTCAAAAGCTTATGGTTTATCTAGCCTGTCTTTCCAATTCGAGATGGAGCTAAATTTCCATCTTTCACTCATGCTACCAAAAAGAATCCACGAAGTGGTTTACCTGATCACAAGGCATTCTGGGAGTACGTTTTGATCTTTTGCTCTGCTTTTTTTAACAGACTTTTAACTTCTTATAGCTACTTCACTCACAACCAAGAGGGAATTCACTTCCTTATGTTTCTCTTCAGTGATCGTGCTACACCAGTTGATTTCCAACACGCCGACATCTTCAGTATCAACACCTACAAGTTCACCAAATCAGACGGTTCATTCACATATGTGAAGATCCATCTCAAGACCAGCCAAGGAGTGAAAAACTTTACGCAAGATGAGGCCAATCAAAAGGCTGGTGTAGACCCAGACTTCCAAACTCGCAGTCTTTATGAAGATATCGAAAATCAGAAGTATCCAACGTGGGATGTCTTTGCACAGATTATTGACCCTGTCAAAGCCGAGCATTATCACATCAATATCTTCGACGCAACCAAAACATTCCCATTTTCGGAATTTCCTCTTCGCAAATTCGGTAAAATTACATTAAACAGGAATGTGGATAACTTCTTTGCCGAACAAGAGCAAAGTGCTTTTAGTCCAACAAATCTTGTTCCTGGATGGGCTCTCACTCCAGATCCTAGTAAGTTCTTTCTTCTAGTCAATAGAAATTGTCTTCACTATTCTAACAAGTATACCAGTCATTCAAACTCGTGCTCTCGCCTACGCAGATACCCAAAGATATCGCCTTGGAGCCAACTTCGTCCAACTCCCTGTCAATGCTCCATACAACAAGCCCTTTACACCTCTCATTAGAGACGGAGCTGCTACTATCAACGGTAACTTCGGTGGTACTCAGAACTACTTCCCATCATCTTTCTACAATGTTGGAGTAGCCGCACAATATGCACAACCCGACGAAGAACAATTCCAAGGAACAGTTGTCAACTTCGAGAGCCAAGTCGTCGATGCAGACTACGTGCAGCCAAGAATCTTCTGGGAGAAGACATTGGCTAAAGAGCCGGGTCAGCAGGATAACCTTATCAGCAACGTTGCTGGCCACCTAAGCTCTGTTACTGGAGACAAGGGGCTTGAAGTTAGGCAAGCGGTCTATGGTATGAGATGCATTCACCTCTTAATTTAAGTCAATCACTAACTTTTCAACCAGCAATGTTTGGCAAAGTCAACTCAGATCTCGGCAAGCGTATTGAAACTTCAACAGAAGCTCTGATCAAACAAAACGAGACTGTAACAGTAACCAAAGATCTGAACAATATCAAGATCAGCAAGCAAAATGGAGTGAAAAATGGAATACTAAATGGTAACAGCCATAACAGTGGTATGTTCGCTCATAAGAATTGGAACTAGAAGACGTCGGTTGTCTTGTATTTGTAATGCATTGTTGGCAGTTGAAGCGAGTAAAGTCTGTTTTCTGAATAAAACGGTTTGTGTAGTGATAAGTGCGGGGATGCATTTTCCCCAATCGTATGAACGAGAAGAGATAGAAGAAATAGAAGAAGAAGAAGAAGCGGATAATTTTAATTTATTTTGGATGTATTTGGCACCTTGCATTTGAGTATCAAGAAAACTGGCAGCTCTCATTGGAAACTTCCAGACTAAATCACATAAAATGTCCGGACCTCGTCACCAGTCACAGACGCCCTGCACTTTCATTCCAAGCAGCTTAGAATCTCGAATCAATCAACGAGATAAGGAGTGGTTCTATACATCACAAAAACTCAGGATAAAAGGCTGCAGAAACTCATACGAAAGCTATTTCTTGCTACTTGAAATGAAAGTCGTCAGAAGGATATCAATCAACACGAATCTCTGATAATTTCGGGAGTTGAATATAGCTAGATTCAAACCCTCGACCTAAGAAACCAAATACTTCAGCTGACATTGCTTTTTAATATAATTATAGTATAGTGGGATGAGGATAATCAGATTGCGCATCGAACAGGGATGGGGAGGTTAAACCAAACAAGCTTGAGAGGCAGCATATCCTGTCCCTCATTTTGTGAATCCAGATTGATTGTAATCGGGGCATTGATTACCATTTCAAATATAGCATGCAAGACAGTACTTGGAATCGATTGGTGAGATACGAACAATTAGAGGAATAGGTTAAGTAACAATTTCTGAACGAAAAGGTCTAAGATTATTTACAAAGCTTCGATATAATATTCTATTGTTTGGTTAACCCACGACTGTGTGTGCTTTCCTTTGTCCCTGGTATATGCCTCCCAAAATTCCGAACGCCACGGGTATTATTCTAAAACAAAAGCTTTCTGTGCCAAGGGTGAGCAACACCCATATTATGATGAATACCATATGGGAACTGGCATCGATAATTCCGTTTGAGGATGGTTTGAATCTGAATTCTGAAAACCATAGGTCCCTGCTGGCGGGATGCGGTACAGTTCCGGTTCATTGGGCTGTTCTTGGTAGCCTCCTCCAAACAACGAATAATGTATATGTTGCTGACTGTCCCACTGCAGTGGAGGACCTTGCTCCGGAGACTCACTGTGTTCTACTTGAACATTGCTTTGTGGTTGCTGAGAACTTTCCGGGATTTGGCCACTCGCGATCACTTTCTCAAATAAAGCCGCCCGTTCATCTTGTAACTCCTTCCTTTTCACTTGCAGAAATTTCTTCTTTTCTTTAACCTCCTCACGAAAGTTAACCAGACGTTCATTGCTATTCTTTATCTCTTGAGATAATCGTGACCATGCTGCGGCCACCTGCCGCTTGGACTTTTCGATGTTCTCTTGAATTTTGAGGTCAGAGAAAGTTTTGTCGAAAATGACATCGGACATTAAGCTTCCTTGTGCAATGTTCATCGGACCCAAAGGTTGAACGGCTGGTTGCATTTGTCGTGCTTGAGAAACCAACACTTCTACTTGAGAAGAAAGATGATGAGCTTTTGCAAATGAAGATCGTTCCATCATATAATCGAATCCTCCATCGACTCCCCATGCATTAATATTTGATGACTGTAACGCATAATCCAGAGTCACGATGCACTGGTTCATGACGGTGGAAGCTTTCTGCAAGATCAACAAAACGTTGGATTCGGTACTTAGCAGTAATTGTCCCTCGTTAAACGAATTTTTGGCACGAGAAAGGATATGTTCCTTTGTATCTTCCGTTGGGAAATCATGTGATGGACCAGAAAATATAGAATTGTAAAGAGCATCCAATTCAGCCTGTGCTGCATTGTGTTCTTCTACCAAAGGTCTCAACGACGAAGCTTTGGATTTAGCATCTTGAAGTGTATCGTTGAGATGACTCAAATGACGCTTGGCTTCCAACTCCTTCTGAATTGCATTCAACCATTCTCGGTGTTCTTGTTCTCCCACCTCGATAAATTTGTCTTTTCTTCCACGTAATTTGTACGCCAGACGTTTTACAGTGGAACCTTGATATTCGTCGTAGTCTTGGTGTTCCTTTGCACTTGCTGCAACCAAAGTTTTTACTCGTTGCTCTTGCTGGGTGATGATACTCTCGATAGATGATTGGTATTGTGTGATTTGAATATATTCAGACGGTGCATGATCCGTTCGTGAAAGTATGGAAAGTAGATGCGCGTTTTGAGCAGCTGAGGCTAAAATATGTTGAGTTGCCATAGATAGACCTTTATTTTGCATGCTTTTTCAAACCAAAAGAAATTATTAGGAAGGAGATGGAAGCTTTTCAATGTGTAAAAGCGACAAGGAAATGGGGAGGATGACGCACAATTGTGTATCTTCAGATCCATTCGAGCGGTTCGTTGTATTATGTCAGGGTATGTCCACTCACCGACAGGATCACTTTTTTAGCTGCAGTCAGCACAGCCTCAGCTTGTCTGCGCCTTGTATTTATGAATCATTCAGCGAATCAAAATCAAAATCAAAATCAAGGTACAACAATAGTGGTGACAAGAACTTTAGACCAGACTTGTGGTTCTGAGAAGGCTTTCGTGAGTCCGAATCTTTTGAATGTGGCCATTTACTTGAATGGTGCCGTCAATGACATGATACAAGCCTCGATAAGTTAACCAGATGATTTTTCGAGCCAAAAATTTGGATGATTTCTGAGAGACAATCAACTCCTGAGCGTTTTGAGGAAGGGAACCGCGCGCATACCAGTTCGCATCTTGTTTTATTCCATGAAGCAATCTCATCCTACCCCAATCTAGTGGATGAGCGTCTCCTTGGGAGGCAAAAAGACCCTCGAACCTTAAGATTGATCCCAGTTGAGTAACATCACAATCGATAGTGTTGCATGCTTATTTCAAGAGTTACGTAAGCCAAACTGTGTAAGGCTAAGCGAGGACAGTGTGTAGCCTTGCATGCTCTCAATCGACAGCCTTGTCTACATCTCGACACGAACAAACGGCATCGAACCCTTCCTCTCAAGCATCATATCTATGTATCGATACCCTCCCGATAATGATCATCTGTCTAACAAATCCCCATAGAGACAGGAGACTCAATTGTTTCTCTAAGATTCAACACTTCGAAAGGGAATCGTGTCTGACACAATCAACAAGACCATCGAGTCGAAACGTGAATCTGCAAATGGAATACCAGAGTCAACCCCAATAAATAATACCCGATTCCGCCGGCTCATGACACTTGCCTCAATGGCAGTCGTCAAACGGTTTCGTCGGCGTAGTCCTGGCGTTCTCAATATATCCAAAGGGATTTGCGTTAAATTTGGCACCTTCGGAACTTTGGTAGAAGCGTCAGCCATGAAATTCATTGGAGAGCACACGTCTATTCCAGTGCCTAAAATCTACTGTTCTTTTGTACATAAGGGAATGACTTACATTGTCATGGAAAGAATACGTGGAAAACAAATAGCGTGTGGATGGGCACTTCGGAAGCCCGAATCCCAAGCTAAAATACTTTCACAAATTCGAGAGATGGTTGCGGAGATGCGCAAGTTGACTTCAAAAACGTCACGAATTGCCAACATTGATGGCGCAAAATTATATGATGGAAGACTTGATGGATCGGAACAATTTGGGCCTTTCAAAAACACCAACGAGTTTCACCGATATCTGCGGTCGGATCTTCCGGCTCGTCCAAACAACCCGGAGGGTCTGAATGAGCTTATAGAATGGCAGGATAGACCTTTGCTCTATTTACCTGTCTTCACACATGGCGATTTGAGTAGTTTCAACATTCTGGCAGTCGACGACAAAGTGGTCGGAATCATTGATTGGGAGACTGCAGGGTGGTATCCCTTCTATTGGGAGTATACAACAGCCATGTACGTTAACCCGCAGAATATGTTCTGGAAAAAGGAAATTGATAAATTCTTGGATCCATTCCCTACCGCACAAGCTATGGAAGAGATTCGACAAAAATACTTTGGAGATTACTGAGTGCAAACCACATCAATGCTATTTTACAGGAGGCCGCTCCCTGGATCATGGCATTGTATCGTGTGAAGGTATCAGCATGATTCGAGGGCGGCCATAACCTCTTTTGACAATTGCTACAATGCTAGGCAAGTAACGCTGCCAAGTTGGCATGTGAAGACTATAATTTTCTGGAGGTCTATGTTTAATTATTTCTAATACCCAATTGCGAGTTCTAGCTGTTTTCTTTATCGCTCTCTAAAAGAGACGACTTGGCGTTATAACAAGCTAAGGTTAATAAAATATAGAAAATGTTATAAATTTACCATTATCACTTTGATTCACATTCGCATTCTCCATCTGGGATAATTTTGTTGTTTCAATCTCAATTAGGGCATCTCAAAACCCTGATACAGGTATAATTATTTGATCAACAAAACATCCTTACTATGCATCGAGATACATTGGATGAAGATGTATTCATTCACAAAAGTAGACCGTGTTTCCGAAATAGGAGGCTAAATTGCCAACCCATTCAACCAAAGATCAATGCCTAGTCATTTCGGCTCCTCCTAGCTACCCTAATTCTAAGCCTTGAAGCTCTTATTAATAGTTGTTTTGGTATGATAGCGATTGAAAAGATACAACCGGTCTAAATCACTGCCACCTCAACCCACAGCGGCGAGTAGATTATAGGCTGGTTTCAGATCAAACAATAAGGCAATCAATCAAAGAACACACATACGACTTATCTAATTCTGAATACCAACCGTTTGGTGCGAACCAGTATGCGACCGCGGTTCGGCTATTACCTCTATATCTAGCCGCGATGGAACGACATAACACACAATTGCTACACGACGACTCATACATTGGGCTATGTTCACGAAACAGAAAACTGCAGGAGCATTGTTGGTGGAAGGATCTTTGTATTAGTTTATGCATATGAGAAGTTACTGTGCTCTGTCAAGAGATTGGACACCAAAAAGACTATTGAATTTCACACAAGTGATCACTTCACTTCAGCCATTTGAAGAGTAAAACGGCTTTGAAGCAATCATGCCTTCTGGCAAGCATCGTCTCTATATCGCACTTGATGCTCGTGGTGGTAACCCCACCATGCCGGAGAAAGAAAATACGTAAGAATGCCGCTTCCACGCTCTCTACCAAACGTTAGCTAACGATCTCGAACGAAAGATACCATCGGGCTTTAATTGTCGGGCCTAAAAAAGAAGTTGAAGATTCACGAGGAACACGTTTTCACGCCAAGGAACTTTTGTCCGCCTCAACTGGGAAACCCGAATTTGAGTACGAAGAGGTGTCTATACCTCTTCGAGCAACGCAATTGCTTTTGGTGCGAGTGATGATTGTGAAAATAGAAAATTACGATCGCATGTTGCAAATACTGCGGGCAATCCTAATTAGGAGTAAGGATGAAGGTTGAAATTGTGTAGGGTGGGTGAGAGGAATTGGTAAAGTTGCAAAATGATGGGAAAACTTTGGGCACCGCTGTGATCGAATGGGCTACGGTCCGAGATGCGGCGATGAGCTACTGTCAGAGGAAGAAGGACGAGCATCGATTTGACGGGGTGGTTGAATGGGAGACGGATAAAGCGGCAACATTTAACTTGATCGATGGGAAGCAGGTAATACTTTAGAGCCTGATGGATAAGCTCTACGAAAAGGAGAAAGAGAAAGTAGGGCAAGTACCTACCAAGTCATGTCATTGTTCTCGTCCATTTAGACCAATAAGAGACTCTTGAATACTGAAAGCATTCTAGACTATCAAAGCATTATAAACATTGAAAACATCTTGGTTATCCAAACCATTTTTGAATATTCAAATCATAAGGAACATTAAATGTCTCTGAATAAAACTCTCTAGACAGCGGTCGAACTCATGCTACCCTCTCAAAAGTAAACTTTCAGATCTTTCGTACTCTCAGGCACATCCTTCTGTTCTCATCCCATCTTCTCGATAGTTTTAAACGCAGCTGTAGTGTTCCACTTTGATCCCGTTTCTTCCCCAGCTTCATGCCACATTCTCCGGATGACTCTGGGTCATGAAGCCAATTATCTCCCTTCACCAACTCTGTTCTTTCCTGAAAGAATGTCAGGCTCCCTCCAACTTGGTATCCGACCACCCATATTCCGACTTTTGAAAGGTCTACCAAAGTCTTGGCTGCCCTTACCTGTCCCTACCATGTCCATTGATGTAAAACGCAAGTCACCCAAATGATATACATTTTCCGTTGCGTTCTTTCGGACTCGAATTAGGATATCACCTTCGATACAATGAGCATGAAACTTCTCATGATCACGGAACATGTCGAATCCTAGACCCCAATGATTGACGGTATCTAGTCCATACATATTGGTGGAGGGAGCACCATCCAACACAGATTTATGCAAGTCTTGACTAATAAAAGTTCCCAAATCTACCAAAATCGCTTCAATTTCAAGACTTCTTGGAATTCTGTCGTATATAAAATGGCGGGAGATGGTAGGGTAGAGAAACATCTCGTGTCCAATGTAAGAGCAAACTGCACATGCCTTTTCGCGCTGAAGATGAAGGTCAGGATGAAGATTAAATACGAAAAGCAAAAATGTTTTGCATGTGACTTGCGATTATGTCGACATGTGTAGAAGCTCGGTGGATAGGACATTGTTGTATGTTTAGAAAAAATTTGTCATCTCTCGCTTTAACTTGTGCTCGGTAGTAGGAAGGTACCAGAGGACGTCAGTCGTATTGAAAATCCTTTAACCAATAATTTCTCAGGACATGTAGTGGTTCTCATAATGATACTTAGACAGAATTGAAAAGAATCGGGACTATGTTGTATTCGATTGGTAGAGTTTCAACTATAATCTCTACTTGGCAGAGCGTCTATACACAGAGTACAACGTGAAGTTGTCCAAGAACGGTATCGGCTGTAATAGTACATAAGGTTTCGTCCATTACGTCGTAGAACATGAAATATTATGGGTCGATGTTACACAGCTAAGGATGGATATAAAATGTTATAGAATGAGAGCTGTCTGTTTACCAATGTCTTCCAACTACCTACCACCTGGTAAGGTAAAGATCTGAGATACCGATTGCGCACTTGCGCGGCATAGTTGTATATCGCGGTTACCGATATCTTTCCCGCTTTCTCGGAACCTTGCTGTCTCAGGATGTATATACATTCGGAGGGATTTAGGGGAGAAGTAAACACCTCAAGTATCCTGATCAGTCCAGCAGAGACGTCAATCAATGGTGGTTGGGAAGTTTCCCATATCACTAGAATTGATCACCCTATCGACATATCAATTGGCAAAGCGCTACTTTGGGTCGCCCTTCGTGTCCACTGCCGCTAAAGTACCAGTTGTCATGATATCAATGGTGAATTGAGCTTGAGCTTGAGCTTTTGTTCAAAAATGTTGTCAGCCGTTCCCCACTTCTGCTGCCTCGGGTTATCCCCTAGCCCCTCTCAGCCTCCTGCATCAAGCTCGCATGCTCAACTTACTCGAACGCTGACCCCTCAGACGTTCCGTTATGATTCATGAAATATTGAAAATTAATGTTCTAATAAGTATAAGGCCTAGTGGTTTCTCGAATATGTAATAAATAATGGTTCCTATCTTCTCTTTTTATCTCCGACTGGATATCGCTTACCGCTACTCACGCAATCACTGCTCAGCTCAAAGTCTCGTCCTTTCTCAGCTGTGCTCTCCTTTCATGAACTAATGTACGCACTCAATACGTGGACGGCTGCAGATCATTTCGAGCATTTAAATATCTGTGAGGTGCAACATCGCGTCCTTTTTCAGTCCTCAATCTTTGAGACAGTTTAAATCGCGAAATGGCTACATCAAACCCAGCTCTAGATGTCGTTGATATCATTCATCAATCATGTCCAGTAGATACCACAAGTCCATACGATGCCGGCTGGGTAGCAGGAAAAACGATCATTATAACAGGTGGAGCATCTGGTTTCGGCGAAGGTTTTTTCAGAACGTGGGCAGAGCATGGAGCAAATGTAATAATAGGAGACGTCAACAGTGCAGGGGGGAAAGCATTGGTCGAGGAAGTGCGCAAGGAGACTGGCAGTCAAAATCATCATTTTTTGTATTGTGATGTAACAAATTGGCAATCACAAGTCGACTTCTTTCGTACAGCTACGGAGCTAAGTCCTACTAAAGGCATTGATGCCGTGGTTGCCAATGCGGGAATTGTAGAAGATCCCATGTCATTTCAGAGACCTGTGGGTCTAGATTTGCCGGAACCACCCAAGCCGAACTTCAGAGCCTTTGACGTTGACATGGTCGGAGTTATGTATACCGCACACTTGGCCATGTGGCATCTGCCTCGAAATCCCAGATCACAAACGGCCAAACCATCGGCAATCCCCGGCCCAAACACACCGGATAGACATTTACTTTTGATTGGATCGGTAGCCTCAATTGCTCCTCTTGCTGGATCGGTAGAATATTCAGTCGCAAAACATGGGGTCTTGGGGATGTTCCGCTCATTGAGATCTACAGCCTTTGCCAATGGCATTCGAGTCAACATGTTGTGCCCATACTTTATTGATACGGCTATAATCCCTGCAGGCGGTAGATTGCTATTGGCAGGCGGAGCGATGGGCAAACCGGAGGACGTCGTAGATGCCGGGACGAGACTCATGGCCGATACAAGAATAGTTGGTAGAGCTTTGGTCATCGGTCCAAAGGTTCGAGTTGATGGAGATTTTGACTTATTACCAGAGACCTCAAAAGAAGGAAATGAGAAGGCCGTGTGGGAGGCTTATGCTGATGATTTTGTCGAACTTGAGGTTTTCACTCTAAGATTTATCAAGTTGCTCAATGCAGTTCAAAGAATCAGAGGCTGGGGAGGTTGGATAGTTGATATTGCGAAAGCATTTTTGTATCCCATAAGCTTCCTTATACGTCGATAGAATAAACCACATTGGAAAGAATCTGGTTATATTCTAGATTGACTTGGGCTTATTTGATTGTCACTCTGGAATGGGCCATTCAACGGTGTTATGAGCTTTCCAGGTAGGTATATTTGGAATTAGTGTATGATTGTTTTCGTCTGCTTCGTGTTAGGGAGTGCATCATGTTAGATTTATAACACAAGAATTACATCTTGTAAAGACAGACGATACACTTTTCCCCGAATCTTGATCTTGTATTTAGAATCAAAAGGCCATATACTTCGTTCAATCGTGTATGTATGAGCTAGCTGTCCGAAAGCATGTTCAATGGAACTCAGCATACACTCAAGTGAGGAGCGTGCCATCCACTTTGTACTTGGGATTTGGCCCATCAAAATTTATTTCAACATTCCTGATTGTCCAAGAGCCCATTTCACAATTGAACTATAGATTGCCGATTGGTTATATTATATCAGTGCCTATATCTCTGTCCTTTACTCTTTCCTCCCTCCGCAACTTCAACAGATCATCGATTTATCTTTCCTTCAAAACATGAGGAGAAGGAATTCAGATGCGACTTCCCTATTCGTCTCGCCCACGACTTCTAAAAATGGTCTGGTGCAATTCACTTTTTCTAAATCTCTTCTTATAATGGATTTACATCGAGATCCATCATTTCTCTTTTAAAACAAATTCACGACTCCCTTCACCAGTATGAAAAAGTTCGGATTTATATAACCGCGCAACACAAACTTTCACTCTCTATCGTTCATTGTTTGCCTGATCTTGTTTCCTGTCGTCAAAATGTGGCAGAAAGAAGATCCATTTACGACTCCTGTAACTTCACCGAATCTTCCTTATAGGTGGGCTAGAGCAAACCGTCATTCGCGCTTCTCAGGCTTTCGTATAACCCCAACAAGAATTGGGATTGCCATGATTTTCTGTGCTGGTCTATTCTGGTTCCATGGAACCTTACGTAAAGTTGATGCTGTAGAGGTTTGTCCGCCCTACAAATTCCCAGACAGTACTAACATAATATAGCCTCCTTCAAAGTCTATTGTCGATTTGAAAAATAGCACTGTTCCCAGTGTCCCGTTTCAACCTCTAGAATCAACAGCTTATAGAACTCCAGACTCTGTTGACGCATTCGCAACCTATAAATTCCGAAACACTTGCACAATTTCTTCGTTGGATCTTCATGCTCCTTTTGGTCCATTGTGTAGAGATCGACAGTCTATGCTTACAGCTATGGCATCTGGTGGTCGAATTGGATTTGATGCTCCATATATGCCTAGGGCTTGTGATTTCCGCTGGTTCACATCAGAGGAAATATGTGAGATATTCGGAAGGTTTGAGAAGGTTATGGTTATTGGAGATAGTATGTTAAGACATGTTACGGGATGCTTCAATATCTTTTTGAGAAAGGATATTGGCTATGGGGCAGTAACGGATTGGAATTTTAGTGTACAAGAGAGGTAAGTATCGTCATTTCTCGCCCCGAAAATCGGAGAATAACTTACTGATATAAATTAGGAAGGAATGTTTTTGCAATGAACAGTTTGATGTTAAAGCTTGTTCAGTACAGGGTATATATAAGACCTCAGATGTAGAGGCTCATGATCCAGGAAGCATATCTTGTTCAAACTCAGTCAACGTTATAAGTGAGTCGTTTACCATCTCGAAGAGATTTCCACGGCTAACATACACAACAATAGTGGAAGAGATTGTCTACTTCAACGTACCGGAAGATGAAATTTCCCGCCTTCGCGATGATCTTCTCGTTCGTCCTACTTCTAAACCTATAGCCATAATCTTCGGTCATGGTCTTTGGTCTGATCTCGACCTTCCGAAGACAATCCAATGGCTTGACACTTTAATATCACTCATAGACTCTACAATTGGTCGGGAGAAATGGAAAGGTCTTTTTGTCACTCCAAACGCAGCAGGTAAAGAAAAGACGGATGAGTGGATTGTAAGTCAGGGAAATAAAGCATTGATGTTATACGAAGAGGCGGTGGGAATTGAAGCGGGAAAGAGAGGGCTAGAGCATCTAGGTACTTGGAATATGAGTATCCAAGCGAGGAAATACGATGGAGTTCATCTAGATCTGAGAGGTAATTTGGTAAAGAGCATGATGATTATCAATTGGTTGGCGATGTTGTGAGCAAGATGGGATGTAAGATTTCACACGAGAGGAAATACTTCAAGACTATCGGCATTGGAGGGTTTTTACAAAAGGTATTGGGATACAGTATTACAATCTCAACCTTTCGATTCAGATTTGACAATCCAATTGTCCTTTCTAGGTGACAGTGCTTTCGGAGGGCCAAGTAAATTAGGGTGAATTAACGACCGTGGATCTGAAGCAAGGGATGAGTTTGCATTTCCGCTTCTGGCTCTCCCATCTCCTTAGGCCATCTGGTATCAAGTGAACCGACGCCATCGACCTATTTCTTGAAACTATTGTTCTTGAATTATTAATCTACCCACCCACTAGGGAGACTTAAGAAGTTGAGATGTGATAGAGATCAAAATATTTACATCAAGTGCAAACAGGATTGTCCGTGCGTTACACGTCTTCCTCCCAACTCAAACGCGTTGGTCGAATTAAGTAAAGGGATGAGGGGCAGTAATGGAATTCGATTTTCCATCGAAGTATTACATTTCCGTATGGATTTATTGATTTCTATCTCTTTTCTGTATTCCGTTACTCTTGAGTTTTGCTGGCTGCTCTCATCGTATACTACGTATTCCCTAACACCACAACACAACCTGACTTCAAAATGGTGCTTCAAAACTTCAAAGATGATTGGCCTCTAGATGAAAAGTAGGTACTCCCACCTCGAATTGGGATCAATTTCTAACTTCCTACCGCTCTATCATCAGAGCCTTAGGGACAGAGTTTGTTACTGTCCAAGTTGGCAAACAAAAGAAAGAAGTCGCTTTCCATAAGAAACTCCTCTCCAGTCGTTCCACAGCTTTCGAAAATCATATGAAAGTACTCAAAGAGAAGGGGAAATATCAATTCCACTGTGAACCACGATTCGAAAACGCATTTTCAATTCTCGTCACATATTTATATAAAGGCTATGTCCCAGCATGTCCTACTGAAGATGGGCCCGGATCTAGCTCTTATGGTCGACAAATGAGAGAATTATACTATTTGGCCGAACGATTCGAAATCATTGATTTAATGGACAAGACCATGGATGCAATTCAGGCTCATGATTGTCGATTTGATCGAGATATCTACAAGCACATGCCAGAAGTCTACAAAAATACTACCAGGAAAAGCTCTTTACGGTATTACTGTGCTCTAAGTGCGGCATGGTATTTCGGTCGCCCGAGCTCTCCTAATAGTCAGAAACTGAAACGACTTGAAGCTTTCAAAGACAAAGCGGATATTCTTTACGATGTCATGAAGTTGCAATTGAAATTCGAATCTAACATCGCGAATGAAAAAAGCGATTATCGAGTTCCTTCTGATGAAAGTGGACTTGGCCATTGTACTTTTCATTCCCATGGGGCAGGAGAGATGTGCCAACGACTAGTCTTACTCGCGTCTCCTAAATCCTCTTATGATAGTAAAGCCCACAGGCAAACATATCCGATCAATATCAGGGACGGTAGTAACGGTAGAATAGAGGATAAGATCAAAGACTGTTTGCAGAGATGTGTGAGCGAAAGTGAAAGTTCCGAAGTAGTAGAAGAGGGGGAAGATGATGACGACCTTCCCATCTTCACACAGGAGAAGCCTCGGCAGGTCACTACAACGATTGGCACGAAGAAGATCAAGAAGGAAGATGGTGACGAGGAAAATGTCGTAGATCGATCTGCGAGTACAATTGTCTTAGGGAGGAGACCGAGGAGTGAAAGTCCAATACTAGGGAGCAACGAGGATGTTATTTCAAATCCAGGAAAACGACCAGTTGAAACCGACGGTAAGGAAAGCTCAAGTAGGAAGCGACCATTCGTCATAATCAGTGGGAACACTTCACGAGATAGAAAATCTGAGCCGACAGGCCCTACTCGAGGGGTGCAGCAACAACAACAGCGAATTTGTGATGCACTGGGGTTTCGGAAAGGCCACGATGAAGAAGCTTCGACCAACATCAAGCCAAGAGCCCCAGTGCTTTTCAATCAATCCAACGGTCAAATTACTACTATGAGAAACGATACGAGTCGTCTCACATCTGGCTCTATAATGTCGAATTCTGGTCGTGGCGTTGATACATCAAGGGTTAGTGCTTTCATGTCTAACAATTCCAATTCCGCTCCCACTTCTCCTCAAATCTCCACCCTTCCACAAGAAACTCGTAGTAACTTCAGCAGATTTTACCCGGGGTGCGATGATAACAAGTGCAAGAGGTTGCATGCATGTAGTCTTTGTAAAGGGGGACATTCAGCTTTATACCATTGATATCTAACATTAACCAATACAAATCCGAATCCAAACACAATGAATACATATATCTCGGAAACTAAAGTGACCACCTTGAATTTGTAACCATTTTGGGTGAGACAAAATGTGATAGTGGCTTTTGGAATATTCGATATTGAGAAAGAGATTTATCTCATGCTTTCGAGACATCGGCCCGCGCTAAGTCGCGTCTCCCTCGATTGAACCATCCACCCCTCAATTTCGCCCTTGACCTTTCAGCCTTGCGCGGTTGAATCGAAAATCCACTTGACTTTGGATCTTAGCTCACTTTTATTGACACTTTGGATTGGATTCTCTCAATAATTACAATATCTCACTGATATCCGTAACTTCAGATAAAGTCGATCTCTATTGATTCTTCCAACATGGCTTCTGATGAGGCAAACGACAGGAATGAATGGCCTATAACTCCAGAGTAAAGGATTCAATCTTCCTTCGTACCAATTGAATGCTAATACTCTACAGCATTCTAGGAATTGAAACCGCAACAATCTGCAACGGTGGAGTCAAAGAACAAGAAATCACTTTTCATACCCGGCCATTGACTCGACTTTCTCCCAAATTTGCTCAATTTTGTCGCCAGAAAAGGCAAGTTGATGGTCGATTTACTCTCACATGCGCTCAGAATAAATATGATGCTTTCACATGTATTGCTCTTTATGCATATCATGGAAAAGTACCAAATGCGCCGAAGGACATCGATCCAATCTATACCCAGCGTTTGAGGTGGATTTATTATGTGGCTGAGGAGTTTGCACTTAATGATTTAATGAACAAGACGATTGATGCCTTACGAGTTTATGATTTCAAGCACAAGCAGGAAATCCATGTCCATACAGAAGAAATATATCACAATACTTCAAAAGGAAGCTTACTGAGATGGTATTCTGCGGCATCCGCAGCTTGGTCATGGGGACGAGAAACGGGACCTGCAACTGCATCACAGAGGGATAATCGCAAGAAATTTATCTCTTCTGGTAGGGGTAACCCGGACATCTTTGCGGACTTTCATCTGGTGGATCTTTTTCACCGGGATTATATCAGAGGTTTTGATACTGATTGGAGAGATGTTCATGATTCTGGTCTTCCAGTTTGCGCATTTCATTGCCACTCACCGGGAGAAACATGTCATCGAACGGGAATTACCGAGCCAGCAGAAGTACCAGAGCATATTTCGAAGATTTTTGATGGGGTTGAAGATGCTGTGCTTTTGGATCGATCACAGATTATTGATACTCCTTCTGATCAAGATGTGCGTTCGAGTGCACGACAAAGTACACCGTCAAGGTCTTCAGAGCCAGAGGCTCTCCAGGCAGAAGATGAAAACCTTAAGTCCGGAAATGGAAGAAATAAGACTCCAAGGGCTAGTCATGAAATTATTCATCCGATTATGAATGAAGTAATCGACGGAGACCAAGAGATGAGGGTGCCTCAAGGAATCACAATGGAGACTTCCATCACAGAGAAAATCTCAAAGCAACCATCGACAACTCCACTAGCCCCCATCAGAAATCCACCCTTAACAAGAGTTGTTCCTCCAGAAAGCAAAAGAATTGATCAATCGCAGAAGCGTAGTTCAGCAAATGTTAAAAACGAAGCACCAACTGAAGATCTTTATGGGGCTTCTGATGTCGATATGGATCGTGAAGCTTCAGAAAATTCCGTCGAACCAGGAAAGAAAGTTATAGGTTCCAAGACTTATGATGAGCAGCTGGCAAATGCATGGAGAGTGCCATTGTCGTCATTCCCTCCACAAAAGACTAGAATTGTACCTGGTACCGTTGTTACGAACAAGCTTGGAGATATCAAACGCTCTCAGGCTATACGTGATATTCTCGATATTCGTGATAGTCCCACTGTCACGGAAGATGTAATTTCGAAGGGATCTTCAAGAAAAAGCATTAAGAAAAGAAAAGCTATTGTTACTGACGATGATACTAATCATGACGGTAACTCTGTCATCGCTAAGAAACCAAAGACCGCCAATTCAAGTCTTGAGTCTAGTATCAAAACTTCTGTATCGCAAAAGGTAAATGGAAAGAAACCGTCCAAAATCCAAGATTCCGAGTCCGAGCCTTCGGAAGAAGATAGTTCAGAGCAAAGTTCGGGAACTAGTTCGGAAATTAGTTCGAGTGACGAAGATGATGAGATGATGAATGGTTGGTCGACTGATGAAGGTTCAGACTCCTATGACGAACAATCTATCTCTCAAGCTATTTCCCAAGTTGAGATAAACCAGGAGCCTGATTCCAGCGATAGTGATAGCGATAGCGAATCCGAGGAACCGGATACAGAGCCGTCCTTTATTGATTCCGGAATCCATTCTCATATACCTTCGAAAGTCACCTCTTCATCAGTTCTCGTCCAATCTCAACCCTCAATCACTCAACCAAGGACTTCAAATTCACGAAATATACCTGGCGTAGCACCATTACGACCTGGGTATTGCCTAATCTACAACTACAAAGGACGTTGCAATAAAGCCTGTGGACTCCAACACTTGTGTCTGAAATGCGATCTTCAACATTCTTCTCTTCATCATCATCAATACCAGCCAAACTTTCGAGCTTCGAATAAAGATCCTTCCATTGAAACCTGCCGAGACTGGAATGCCGGTCGATGCGCAGTCAGAGTTACAAATTGTACTCTACGACATATCTGCTCCATATGCAACGGAGGCCATCGAAGCATTTATCACGAGCACGACGATGCTTTTCCCAAGAGTGATAAACAACGTACTGATCGTACAGTAGGAGAATCTAGTCACTTCCGTCGAGAAGGCCGTCTTGATCATCGTCATTCACAAGCAAATTCTCCGCACATCTCAGACAATTGGCCCGAAGATTCTCATTCCTCGTCTCATCGCCAACAAAATCATATTGGAGAGGTAGAACAACCCGATTCTGCAATCGAATTAAGATTTGCCTCGTGTCAAATGTGGCAGCGGGGTACGTGTATTAGGAAGAGAACGAAATGTCAATTATCGCATATTTGTGAAAGGTGTGGACAGTTAACTCATAGGACTGCGAAGCATGATACTTATATGAGCAAAACTGCTCCGCGGGCTTGATTTTTTCTTGATGACTGATGGGTTTATTTTGCTGGCTGGCGTATCTAGGTAGTTTAGCATGGCGAGTCTTGCTTAAGAGGGGCTTTATTGGGAAACTCTTACTTACAGGATTTTTTGCTGCTGTTGATCTTTCTGCGATCAATAGCCATTCTGGTACATGTATTTATTTACATTCCGGACAGAAAGGACCGGTTTGGTGGATGGATTGGTGGATGGATGGAAAGGAGACCTGCCTAAGCAAGCATCGCGCGCGATATACAAAATCTAATATTTAGCATCCATTTTGCTTTTGATGTTGTTTTATTTTATTTTATCTTTTCTTCTCTTATATCTCAAAGTCCGAGAATATAAATACATATACTCAAGATACCCAGCAAGCAACACCAAAATATGATCAGAACCCCTCACTCAGTACAAATTCTCTACTTGGGGTTCCAAAGATGTTTGGATGAGCTTCGTGTACCTACCTTACCTACCTATACCTAAGGAGCTAAGGTAATAAGTAGATTACACCCTCTGAGATCTGCCCTCCCAGCAAATCTAAATCAAAATCCAAACTACACAATTTCCCATCCCACTATTCCCACTCACTCACACATACAAACCCCTAGCGAAACCCACTCATCTTCTTTCTCCCCACTCTGAAGTATGCATGATATAATCCCAAAACCTTGCATCTCCAACATCAAACAACCACCAATCAGGGGCTGTAACTCAGTGGTAGAGTGCCTCGTTTGCAATATCAATTCTGATCATCAGAACTTGATAGTTGAAAAATCGATGAAGTCCAGGGTTCGACTCCCTGCCGCTCCAAATTCTTTTTGCATTTTTTTGGTTGGTTTTGTTGGAGGAATAGGGATTGGGAATATTGTGAGGGTTTTTGATATTGGGTGGTGAGTGGGGGAAGGTTTTTTTTATTTACGGGGGAAATGTTTGGGAAGAGTGGATGTAGCAAGAATAGATAGGTAGGCACGATAAGAAACACTGCTTTCGTGAAGGGAGGAGCGAGGAGCGAATGGATGGGTTTGTTGTCATTTCGGGTTTGATTGCATTTATTGTGTGTCTAGAAATGGTACTGTTCTGTTTTCCTTCGACGTTCTTTTCTTATGTAGTAGATAGATACAGGAATAAATCTAAAATTCCCCTGTTCTAGTCTTCAAGAGAAGAGTACCTAAGCATTCGTGTGCTAAATCTTGTTAGAGAAGAGATGGCTAGAAGGTAGATGTAAAACTCTAATAATACAAATACCATGCATGATTTAGTAAATATAATTGCATCGTCTAATGTACAACAATCAAGACTTTGTATTGTCTCTCATATTGATTCAATCAATAGTCAAGGGATATAATAATGCAGAACATATGGTTGTATGATCTGGGTTACGGTTATCATAACGATTGATTGTCTGGATTGAATATCATAGGATGAATGGGTGCGTTTGGGTAAGTTGGTGATGGGATTTGTGTATGCATTTCATTGTTGGGCGTTTAGATCGCATGATTAAATATCGAGAAGCTATTTCGTTGTAATAATCTCGAGGTGATGGATCATGAGTATATGTGAATGTTGTGTAGGACAGTTATACTAAGTAGGTATCATCTGCAATGCTTTTATTTTTAGTTATCTAGCTTCTCTCCCTCTTTTCTTCTCGTTACTGTCTCTTCCTCTCCTCTCCTGTTTTCTTCCATAGTATAGTGAAGCTGATCCAATCATCCTTATATATCCAATACGAAGTCGCTATCCTCTTTTGACAAAGCTCACGTTCTGCTGAAACGATTTTACTTAGGAAACAATTATTTCCCGTCAATCTTCTGACTGATACGGGCGACTGATACTTTGAACCCATCATTGAAGAGCTAACTCTATGTTCTCTCTTCCTGTAATAAGTTGGGCTCCTCGTCTTTAACAATGCCCGTTTCGACCTTTCTTCTAACTGATTTCTTGATGCTGCCCTCAGCGCCATTTCGATCGTGTCGTCTTTTCCCCAAGACCCCCCATTTGAGCTATCTCTCAAAGCTCCATCCAAATTTCTTGCATCGACGAAACTACCCGGAAGTCTGGGTAATCCGTCAAAATTGATATGATGGCAAAGCTTGTCAGCCTCATGGCAATGGAATTCGCAGGCATGAAAATCATGCATGTATGTGCCCGGCCAACTGCAGGTATTGTAAATCAGCTGAACTCGGAACACATCAAATGTAAATTCGGGACATTCTTCTGCTGCTCTCAACAAGTTATGCTCAATTGAGTCCTGTGAAGCAGGTACTTCTTTCGTTGAGGAACGAAGAAGAAACGTGGTATCACAAGCGCAAAGCCAACGTAGTTTCGAAGTAGCATCCGTCTTCTCGTACAATCGTTTAATGTCCCATGCTTGTAGACAGCGCTTCATAATTAGTAGGTGATCTATGATCCTATCCTGCAAGAAGCTGACTTGATATTTGGCTGCGACGAAATATAGCTCTAGCAATGCTGGCACCACCCCTATGGGAGTGGGAATATTCAAATCCTGATTTTTAAGGCAATAGATGAAGATCCCAAATTGTTCACATTCCTCCTCTATCCGGAAGCTGGATTCCTGGACTGACTCGGCGCAATTGTCGCAAAGTTCCCGAAAATATGGAGAAGTATCGTATAAAATGTCATGCGATATTTGATATCGTTTCCTGGCTTTTCCAACGACTATTACGGTCATTCTCGGCCCTGGCTGTCTGATCAAGTTCATTAGACTGTGAGATTGGAACAGTGAGAGGAGCATGTCACTGACTGTGCTGTCTTTGCAGTAGACTCAAGCGTCTCGGCAGCCTTCACTTTGGCTAAATGTTGTTTCCCAAGATTGTGCTGCTCCAAATGGTAGTTTGTCTTGCACTGTATATCACAAGTTTCGCAGGCGTAGGACCCAGCTTTCTTACCTGACGCTCCCCGCGAATAAAAGAAGGAGAACATCTCATTAGGCTCTGGGAACAAAAATTCCCGAGCACTGGATTGACGTGCTTGAGGGTTAACCGAAGGAGTCCAAGATGGGTTCCTTTCTGAATGGAAATGCAGCACAGGAAGGCAATGTTATGGCTTTTGATAAAAGATACTTCAGAGCTGCAAGTGTTCTGATGACGCAGCAATAAACTAGAATCTAATGATGGCAGCTAAGTATAAATTGATGATTGGATATCGAGGACTGAAGATCGAAGTCTTGTACGATGTAATTTAGTGATACAGTAGAATAGGAAATTGCACTTCTTGTCAACACAGTTGGAAGGAGCTACCAGAGGGTATATTGTGTTTCGACAGTCCCAGATATCTAATCGACCATACTGGTAGACTAGTTGTAAGCTCTCAATCTTCCAAAGGTATCAGAAAAGCGCTTTACACTCTAGACCATGAATGTTCCAATTGGATTGGGGGATTGGAGCCCCCTTATTGGACTACAATCCAGACCTCTATAAGCTCATAATGATTATCAAATTTGCATGATGCCACTTGACTATTAAGTCTTGAGACCTACAAGAACTTTAAGGCAAGGCTGCAACTGGTGATGTAGGACAGGAACTGGCTCAATGTTCTCAACAATGACGGTACTCGATCCGCAAAACGTATCATCTTCAAGAGGAAGAGACACATAACATTATAACTTCCTGTCTTTTTCCGCCCGACAACTTGTTATTCTATTAGACTCAAGGTAAGAGGGAGACCACTAGTCTTCTATAACCGGACCTATAGTTATATATAAAAGAGAATGTCTGCATTGGCTGGACGTCTTGACGTAACAGCTTCGTCGCTGCTGACATATAAGTGATATATACTTGACATAAATATTTCGCGACATCCAATTCAATGGTTTATCCATCATCAATTAATCCGTCGTGATTTTGAATGTCAATATTCAATAAACTAGCAGTCATGCCATGAGCAATTTCTAGCATCAGCATTTGTGGATTACCTAAAATTGAAGCCTCGGACATAAGGCATGAACGATTTTCACAATCCTCCCGAATTATGCTGTTCCGCAACCTCATTTTCAGTGATTGCTTTAAGTTCAACACCCACAGTTCTCAAGATGTCTATGTTTCGAGCCAAAAAGCTTGATCTAGGATGTTTTATAAACATTAAAGTCATTCGTGACCACACCAAGCGACAAGTGTTCGCTGAGCATGAGACTGAAAGGTATGTTCAATTCTAGCTTGTTCAAGTCCTGTCCTCTTTTGAGTTTCAGTTCATTATATTATCCACTGTACCGCATCTCGCACATTTCTACTTGGCTCATGCCATTCTATATTGCAACTTAAATGGCTGACATACAAACTTCTGCACGAATAGACAAGCTCTTCGCTACATAATCCGCAATCTATCACTTCCTCCTCGAGTTCGTTTCCAAGCACAATTGGAATTGACTCAAATGCATTGTTATACAAGACCAACGCAAATTAGGAACAGATGTATCTTGGGAGGTAAAGGAAGAGGTATCTTGAGGGATTTCAAAATGTCCAGGGTATGTGCTTCTTTTACTATGGCTCCGGAATATGAGGGATGTTAGGGAAAATGCAAGTGTGCGGACTATGCTGATCATGCACCTGCGATTACAGTATAACTTCAGAATGAATGCGCTTTCGGGAGATTTACCGGGTGTTAAGAAAGCAAGTTGGTAAAGAATGCATGCTTTGGCCGAATGAATGGAGGGCGAAGGACAAAAGATATACGGACCTGCGAGTAAGCGTCAAAGAACCTGAAAGCTACGAGCCCGATTACGAATGTACGATTGCAGAAGTACTCCGGCGTTTGACATGTAACATATATGGGCATGAAGATAAGATTTACACTGGTACCGAACGCAAATCCAGAGATGATGAAGTGGATAAAAAATGAACGAAGAACAGAACTATTCGATCTGTTCGATCTGTTCCATCTGCAATTCATGTAGCACTGGTAATTCTTCGCATCTTTGAATGGGATTCTGTTTGCCAAATACTAGAGTCGTGCAAAGATCAATCCTTGGCCAGGTTGTAGCAACACGAATCTCAACCTTCATTCACACAAGATGTAAAATATCTACAGATGTAGAGGGCGAAGGTCGATATTTCTAATGGGTAGTTGCCGTGAGAAAATTTATCGCTGCTGATATCAACACTGAATCTGCAATTTCCCGAATTAAGCATTTATTCCCATCTATACTTGGTAGCCTTGCAGAAAACTTCCACTTCTTCTTCCGTCTTGAATGCAACCCTCTTCCATTACAAACACCAACAAAGCACCATCCAAACATACAAACTTCAGGTTCACGCCAAACTTCAAAGTTGAACACTTATTAGCTATATTTCTCAAATAAATTGCGATACACGAATTCACTTTCATATCTTTCTATCTTTCTATTTGGTTTTGGTCCATCCATTCACTAGATTGGGTTTCTTTCACGACCCCTCTTCTCGTGATTTTTACCATTATCTCAACTCCTTCTGTAAGCTAACTCAACTCAACTCAACTCAACTTGTTCAACATAAATTTCAACGAAATCCAACTAAACCATACTGCAAGATACTACAAGATACACCAAGATGTTTCGTCGACTACCCTCAGGTCTTCCAAAAGACCCTAAATTTGAACCTACTCTTGACGGGCTTGGGTATATATACACCTTTCATATTTATACCTATTCTTTAACGGTTTCGAAGATCTCTAACCTGTACCCAGATACTTCATCAACGAGAAAGATGAAATTCGATCTATCGAGAATCCAAAGGCTTACTTCAAGTTCTTCCTTACCAAAAATGATCGATACAATCAATTACAACGTGAAGCTATGAATCGTGAGTTCCACTTACCTACAGTATTTCACTGAGGCTCACATGAAACTTAGATGCCATTCGTGATATTGTAATGGAGCGTCTTCTCAGCCTTGGCCTCCAAAAGATCCTTCTTCCTCTCAATGTTGCGGAAACTTCTCCACATATCCATATTCTAACATCTCCCAATCTCTCCACTGCCACTCGAGTTATCGTTCTATTTTACGAACCTAAGGACGATATTGGAATTTTGGCTCATCGTGTCTTGGGAGGGGCAGGTGGAATCGATATTGGCTCTGCCGTAAATATGGTCAAGTATATTCAAGAGAAGGGCGCGGCCCCAGGTGAATCTGAGCCACCAGCCATCATTCTCGCTAATATGGGCCAAATTTATTGGTACCGTCGCGGCCGAAAACCCGTCACCTTAATGACCTGGTCCGCATTACCTCAATCTAGTTGTGTCGAAAAGACCACCCGCCTTGATGCTATCAAAAATACAGTTCCCGGAAATCGTAATACAGATGAACATATCGATTATATCTTCAATCATGTAATTGAAGAACTTATGCCAATGGTGGCCAAAATCGATGTAATCGGGGTTTCTGAAGGTGCCATGGGGGTAACTCGTTTCTTGGACAAACTGGAAAATTGGAAGAAGTGGGGATCCCGCATGCAAGCTTTCGCAGCTTTAGCTACATGGTGGCAATCTATTGATTACCGGAATCCACTCCTTCTCGAGTGGATGCAAGCCCGTGGTCGTGTCTACTTAAACTCTCCTGAGCCGGCAGGTACCTACCTCGCAGGTCCTGATGGCACTCGGCGTGTCATGGCATTTGGATCTCCGGTGTTTAGTTTGAGTGAACCTTATTATACCGAATGTCTTTTGCCCAAAGGTTATCGTACGGTTATTGACTTCTTTCAAGAGGTTGCAGATTGGGACAGTCAAGGTAGAGAGTATGTAAATCCAACCTTTGTGAGAATGGATGATGGAGAAGAAGACTGCGAAGACCTGGGCTTTGGGGATGAGGGATTCGGTGACGAAGAAAGACAGGATGGAGTTGAGCTGAAGATTGAGGATGGGGAAGTTGACAAGCGGGTTGATTTATAAGGTCTTTTTCATGCATTGGTACGGAGCTACTAAGTAGCCACCGGTTTCCTACTCCTCTTGACGTATTCGACTGGATGCTGAGAGACAGCGGAACGACATGACATAGAGAGCCTTTTGGATCAACTGCAAATGAAGACCGTGGAATGATTCGAAAGGGTGGTGATAACTTCTTTCGAGATAATTAGTTTGATGGAATGGTTTAAAGTCATTGAAGTTAAGGGGATCATTACTGCAAGAAACCACCAGATGTAGTAGGAAGAGCAACGACTTGCATATATCAAAGATCAGAAATTACAACAGGATCATCTTGTGACTACACAATATCTATAACAATATTCGAATGCACCTGTACTAAATCAAGAGAAAGAACTCCCCCTGCGGGCTTTGTGTGATAGAGCAGCGTTGTGGGCAGTGCTTCACTGTGGAATATCAGGATATGAACCATTATTGGTATGTGATATTACGAGAATATATAGAGATTATTAGATGAGGGATTACTACTAAATAATTAAACAAAACACTTCAGTATATAATTGTACGATTAATATTAAAAGATTGATTTCTCCATCTTTTGGTAGGTTATTTATTTATCGCCGTTTGAAGTCAATGCAACTGGCGTGTAGTAAGGCCTCAAATCGGCTGGAAAAACTTGCGACCGAAGCCTGAAATTCAATATTTCCAAATATTCAACAGCTTCATAATTCAAATAATACATTTTGTGTCAAAATGCGTCCACGATTTCCAGTACGTAGAATACCTCTTCTTCGACCTTTCCGCCCACCGAATACTTCATCGCCACGATTCTTTACTCAAAGTCTTAAACCAGGCTTCTCACAATCTCTCACTCACACAACCTTTCGCCGTCCAACCCCTCGTCCTCAGTTTCCGTATCTCTCTTCCACCCATCGCAAACCTGCTGTCGTTCGATATATCTCTACGGAAACGAAAAATTGGCTTAAATCCGAGTTCATTAAAGCTGGAAAATACATAATATTTATTTATGTTGGTGTAAATTTGTTCTTATTTGTAGCATGGGGAATCCATCAAGAATGGCTCAATCACCAATTCCCAAGTCCCGGAGAATGGAGGTGGAGGACGAGGGTTATTTACAGGATGACTATGGATAATGAGGAAGGAGAAGAAGGGCTCGAAAGACTGATTCCAGTCAACTGGCAGAATTTGGGAATCGGATATAGAGAGCTTTTGGAGAGACTAGAGGATCCGAAACTTGATGGAAAGGATATAGAGGAACAAGATGAGGGAGGGATCTTGGTTGCTGGGGTAGGTAAAGCTGGTTACGATATTACCAAGAAATCAGAGGAATGGAGAAGAGGATATTATGGCGTATTGATGGGAGCTGCGAACACAGCAGAACATCTGGATGATTGGGTCAATGACACGACGAGAGATATATGGTTCCCGAAAAATCAAATGCGCGGTCCATCGAATCCTAAACCTAAACCAATCAAAGTCGGTTCTCCTCCTCCTCCAAAAGAAGAAAACTGCGAAAAGGCCTACGATCCACCGGAAAAGTTCTACATGCGCATTCTTACCACTAAAGGATTTACAGAAAAGCAGAGGGTGGATGCAGCGTTGGCATATGCTGCTTGGTTAGATTTCAAGAAAACTCCAGAAGCAGCTATGGAGATGTACAAATGGGCAATGGATATTTCGACATCTTCCGACCCATCGTCTTCGTCGATCGATCCCCACACTCACACATTGAATATTGATGCAGGCCCGCCATCTGAAAACCTATTGAATACAAGCACAGCACTTGCAATTCATCATGCGACACATTCTAACATCTCAAAATCACTTCCAATCTTTCTTTCAATCCTTAGGGCGAGGAAAAGTCTTCCAGCTCCGCAGCAACATATGATTGACACTCTCACCGTAGATGATGAAGAACCACCAATGTGGAAGACGGTATGGAAATTCCTCAAAGAGACCCTTGCACCACCCGCCTACCCACCTGCTCCATCTGATGGAACATCTTCACCGTTGCGCAATCCTAAGGAACTATGCGAAGAAGCAATTCTTATGACATATATTGGAGAGATTCTCTACACCTCTAATGCTGGCATTAAAAGCAAAGAAGATGGCCTAGCTTGGACAAGGGAAGCGGTTGATATATCGGAAGTAGAATTAAGGAAGAGAAGGGCTTTAGATAAGGAGTCGAAGAAAGTGTGCAAGTCCTGTCTGGAAGTTGGATTGGGCAACTGGCAAAAGATGGTCAGAAACCTAGCAGAAGATGAGAAGTTGAAAAAGGGTAACGGAGAGAATGCCAAGGGGGGATGGTTAGGATTTGGAGGAAAGCTAGAGACAACCGGTCGATGGGAGGCTGAAGAAGGTGTAGTGAGCGATAGGATAAGGAGAGCAAAGGATGTACTACCTGAAAGGAGAATTGGAGAGGTGGAAGATCGAAGACCACCGCCACCTAGTACAGGAGGCAGAACATGGTAATGCTGTAGAATGTATTCGCCACCTGATGCGTTTAATCCAGTGTCTGTGCTGCTTAATGTGTCTATTCTATTCAAAAGAATTGTGTTCCTTTTAGGAGCGCAAGCGTTTCTCTTGTTCAAAAATCGCAGCTAGTGCTTTCGTTCTACATCACTGATTAGTCTCTAACCTCGATCCTATTTCATTGGTGGGGTTAAAGCATGTAAATGTTCTTTGTCTCTCAACTTGATGCCAATTTCTTTCGACCTTTTGCAGTTCCTCGATCGAGAAACCCCAAATAGTTTCTATAAACAAAGAGTATGTACCTCGCTGGACAGCATTCACCTAAAAATATTCCACAGCCAGAAGAAATATTCTCTGAGGAAAAAAATGCGGCAACTACACAATGTTAAACTTTGAACTGAAGGAAGTTCCATGGGATGAACGTGTTGGGTTTGGAATTGAATTTGAATTCGCCCTTGCAACTGTCCCATTAGGAACTGAAGATCCGGAGCCGGATGAAGGTCGTGAGATACATTCAATCGACGTTCCTATCGATTCTCCCGCAACGGATCCCAACACACTATCAGATATCGATCGTCAACTCAATGTTCAATTGCATATCGCGAATACATTAACAGTCAACGGGTTTCGAGCTGCGTCTCAAATCCAGCTAGAACGAGATTGGAAAGCTTGGGAGAACGGCAATTTAGATAAGGAACCATACCCGAGTGACATATTATGGATAGTCAAGCACGATGACACCATTCAATTCCCAACCACCCTTGTCGATACTTACAAATGGCACAAAGTCGAAATATGTACACCGGCACTCATGTTTAGCCCATGGAATATTCGTCACATCTGGGATATTCTCTCCGTCTTGACACGCAAATACCGGCTGAACTGCAATCAATCATGTGGTTTGCACGTTCATGTCAGCACTGCAAAGAAAGACTTCAGTCTTGATGTTTTGAAGAACCTGATGGCTCTAATCTTCACGTTCGAACGACAGCTCGAGCTGTGTCATCCTCCGCATCGAATTCGAAACAAACATACGTTTCCACTTCGTGATCATGCGAATATCAACCAGAATTTTGCACCAGGGACAAACTTCAGCTGCAGTGATGAGAACTGGAAAAATAACCGGGCGCTCCTCAAAATACGAACAAGATTACCCTTGGTTCTACCGCCCGTCTATCCAGAAAAGGACTCGTTAGCAGCGATATTCAATGCCAAGTCCAAGGCGGACATTGTCAAAATGTTCACGTCGGACGAAGATGTTCGGTTAGGTTATAATATTCAATTTCTCAATGAACCATATCCAGACCCCTTTAAACACACGATTGAGTTTCGACAACACGAAGCGACTACGGTTCCGGAAAGAATAGAACGATGGCTTAATATCTGTTGTCGTTTAGTCGAAATTGCGCGCCAGACAGCTAGTGCATCGGATGAGGAAAAAAGCATCTTCCATGCGTTTTTGCTTAATCATGTAAACGACGATGTGGACGACTTCGGACTGGTCATCTTGTTGGTTAATTTGGGGTTGACGGAAGAAGCGGGATACTATGGTGTGGAGATAGCTCTTAATCCAGAATTGAGGCCAAGGAGGAAAAGTATGTTTAGTTCGACTCCTTCCGTATGATGAGGCTACGACTGGGAAAATTCGGTTTTGGAGGGGTGATTTTTGTACGAGGTTTTATTGATTACTATTCTCAGAGAAGTTCATGGCCGTTCCCCGGGTGGACGATGAAGCTTTATAATCGACTTCGTTGTGTGCTATTTAAGGTAACTGACCCGAATCTATGGAGACGGAGATATGTCGCTGACACTTATCTCCTGGCGGGTTAATTACATTCTATATTATTCGAGATTGGGTCTATTTTTGTTCTTGTATACATAGTACTGGTGCCCAAACTGTATTTCAAACCCAACTTTCGGATTTCACTAGCAAGTACCCGTTATAAATTTTCATACGAGCTTTTGGCGTGAAGTTTTTTTCTACCATCTAAACTCGGAATGAGTACCATATCTGAATTGAAATTTCAAGAACAGAATATAAGAGAGTTTAAGACATACTCGCGTAATGATGTATCCGGAATGAAAATATACATGCGTAGCTTCATTCGCGCGAACGTTTGTATACTATTCTGGCCTCGTATTGGTTAATGGTGGGAACGTGCATGGAAATTGAAAAAATAAAGTTTTCTGGGCTCCATTTTAATGACAGAGATCAGCACTGCTACGAAAATTACATCCCCAAAGTGCTTTGAGTAGATGAGGCATGACCATGCGATTCCCAGTCGAAGTGATAACATGCGTCATGAAAAAGTATATGCAGTGTGGACAGGAACAGCATTGGGATCATGCTGGAGTGATCCCAAGAGGAGATGCAGAGATTTCATCGAGTCTTTGTTGCAGTTGGTAGTAGAAGGACACGCTACTACAAAAAAGAGACTGACAGGAGGTAGGTTCATTGAGGACAAATGAGCTAGAGTGATGATAAAGTCTCATTCTCCTGACTGCGTCGGCTATGAAAATTGGTCCCGACCAGCTATCCACTCTTCAAACGGCATGAATGAAGCCGTTCAGGACATCAATGGATCCTGCAGAAGCTACGGCTACTACCCGACAATTAGGCATTTCTTCGTATCTGTTATGATACCGATGAGATTAAGAGACCCTGGAATCAGATCGCTCCAAACTTAATGCCATCTGGGGATTCGCTCATATTCTATCTGGATAACTTTTCTTCCCACTTGCTGCCATTGAAGAAACTACTCGGGCAACATATTTATTATTCTTGGTCCCATGAAGAATCCTTTCCGAAATCATGCCCGAAAACTTCGATTTAGAAATATGGATAGAATATGTCATCGGAATGTCCGCATTTCTGCTCCGATTCTTCGCAAGATGGAAGCACGTTGGCTTCGAGAAGTTTGCTCTTGATGACCTCTTCTGCTTCATTGGGATGGTAAAGTTGTCACATTCACGTCGCTGTTGTGATCTTTCCCTCGCTAATTGATTGCAGATAATATTTTCGCTTGATGCTGCCTTTCTTTATACAATTGGTGAGGCCCGAGTATTCTTACCATGTATGTGTATTGCTTAACCTAACTTTCGCTACAGGCAGACTTGGCAGTGCCGCCGGCCTTACAGCGGACACTGCGCCATTGGTTACCGCGCAGCAGGCTCATGATTTCCGTATCGGATCCAAGTGCTTATTTCTTGCTTGGATATGCTTCATCACTCTTACTTGGACATTGAAGGCAATACTTCTTTCACTTTATCACCGACTCACGTACGTGCATCTTGGGAATCAATCGAGGCCCATGTATTCTAACTCGGTGGACTTGCAGACTCGGTTTACAGCAACATAAGATGATAAAATTCGTGGCCGCATTTTGTGTCGTCTCATGGACTGCCTGCATGATTGCTCATTTTGCGGTATGCGTTCCAATTGAAAGAAGTTGGCAAGTCAATCCGTATCCTGGCGGTAGGTACTCCATAAATCCTTTAGGAAATGTCTCGTTGCTGATGACCGTTTAGACCATTGCGTTCTTCGCAGGCCTAATCAAGCACTCGTTGGAGTTTTCAATATCTTGTAAGTGATTCTAAGTCTATCAAGAAGATTTATAACTACTAAGACCCAACTTCAGATCATACATAGGAGTTATGGCCATTCCCCTCCCATTATTGTTTGCGGCACGAATACCTCTCTACCGAAAGCTGATTCTCGGAGGTCTTTTCTGCTCTGGTGTCTTTGTTACAGCCATAGTTATCTTACGGGTATATTATGCCCTCAGTGGTGTTGGAGATCTAGGAAGTGTTGTCTCTTGGGCATTTCGCGAGTCTTTTATATCGATCATTACAGCAACAGCCCCTGGAATCAAACCACTATTCAATCGATCGAACTGGATCGATACATCTTCACTCATTGAAACCGGCACGAATGGTAAAACAGGTGGAGCTAGTCGCGCACATCATTCCACCCACCAATTCGAGGGGGGGAACATTACATCTGCGATTGGTACTAAAGATGGGCAGAGAGGAGTTAGTGGTCGTCAGTACATCGAACTCGGACATACTGAGAATTGGCCCATGACGGGCAAGAGAAATAATGTCGATGTTAAAACTAAGGAACTAATGACAGATTCGTCGAGTCAGGAACATATCATTGCTGGAAGTGACGAAATTCATGCTATTCAAGTAACCCCTGATTATCACACATCGCAACGGGAGTTTGGTTCAGCTGACCTGAGCGATTCTAACGAAATTGAATTTGAGAAGAACAAAGCTAGTACGGATTCACGGTAAAACGTAGCAGTGGACTACCAACACGAGTTTGGCAAATAGCTCACTCATCACCAGACACGAATGACAAGGAATGTCATCAGAGAAGGATGTGTACCACTTGCGATTCGCTACTCGAATCATCTACTCATTGCTTCTTCCCTCCGTCGATATCTTCCCTACGTCAAAGTACGTAGCACTCGGTTCATTTGATTAGCGAATCCTCAATCTGATAGTTGGCTTTTTACTTCAAGCGAATACCCATTTGATTTACTTGGATACATGTTTTGTATTATAGCTTGGAATGATTGTACACTAGAGAACCAGATAATGGTATACAGAATAGAGTGTCTCATAGATGAGCTTTGAATCTCTGAGATTTCGAACACTTCCTTTTACCTTGTTGAAGAATAATCCATCTTGTGCTTAATTCCGCGGGGGTCTTGTCTCTTATCACGGCTGATACGCACGACGCGCATAACGCGCATTGGACACATTCATAGCGTACTTTACTCTTAGCTCTTTCACGAACAAGCTTTCCTTACCATTAGCTTCGAAGGCGTCCTAGTAGAGAACATACATCGAGCCTAGTAACGACAAGACGGGTGTTCCATCAGAACCGTCAACTGTGCCAGAAACTACCGAAACTAATGTGGTATAGCCCCTGAAGAGTGGTTATAATCGGGAATGAATCTGACGTGGGGCGAAGGGACAAGGCTTGAGCTGAAACGGGAATTCTGTGCATGCCGACCAAGCCGTTGAAAATATATTTATATAATATATATCACAAGATTGACCCGAGTTTCTTGGATATTTCGACCCTGGGATAATGAAACAATAAGCTTTTGGATAAATCCATCTGAACAAAAATAGACAGAAATTAGCCAACGGATTAATAATTGAATTTCCAGAAGGGTGTATGTGTGATTTTGGTGTGCACCGAATTCTCTTCAGCTCGAGCAGGCCTATCTTTTGACTCGCGGTCACTAAACCGGCAAATGACAAAAACATCCCTACTAGCCATATCTACATCTGCGATTGAATCCGGGTTGCATTGTTGCCCCATTGCCCCAAATTTTTCTTCGGATGTTACTCGATTCATTCGATCCGTAATCCGTTGCACCATCCATAAAGCAAAAGCGTGCAGGTGTTGAATGCAACCGACCTAAGGTTACTTACTGTACTCCATGTCAGAGACTCGGATACCCCACGGTATACGATCCATACTGTTGCAGTAAATTTATGGGATTCCAATTCCAATTCAAGCCTTATTCTTATTCTGTACACCCGATATCATGGTTGAACATTGTGCGCCTGCAGTTTCATCGAGGAAGGCTCGGGTAGAACCTGTAAATAATGCGGCATCGGAAAATAGGTAAGGTCCGCCCTGGCAGCAAGCCCCTTCATCAACTTTCCCAATTTCAACCTCCCCCATGCTCTATTTCCAACCATCAACCTTCAGTCTCCTCTTGCTACCATGGACATTGCTATCACAACTTACTCTCAAGTGACTAACAACTAATTGGAATCAGAAAATTACGAAATCGTCTCTCGCAGAAAGCCTTTCGAGCTCGACAATCGTTGTACATCAAAGATCTTGAGAAAAAGCTTGAATGGGCCTCAAAGCCCGAATCAGATCAGAATGCCAAGCTGGAAGAGACAAACAGTATACTGCGTGGTCAATTGCTCGATTGCCATAAGAAATTAGAGAGCTTTCAAGTGACGTTAAAAGCTCTCGCGGATTCTGTGGCATATGCTTTGGGAATCGAGGTAGGTTCACCTTGTTGAGTCAAACACACTCCTCGACGCGTCCACATATACATTTACTGTGGAAACTTCTCGATTGTGATAACCAAAGTAACTAACACGTATTTCAACAGAAAACTCCCTTGGACGTTGAACCTACAGCTCACGCGAACGATGATAGTGATGATGCCGAACCCGAAGGACCGCCTGCGCAAGATGAAGGCAAGAATGAACGAAACGGACAAAGTGAATGGACTCCCAATAATGAACCATCATTAAGCTCTAACTTTTACGATTTTTCCGATATACCTGCTGCGAATGTCCCATCACAAAATGTACAAACTCTCCGTCTCTCCCCGAAACCGCGAGCACCCCCATCAAACCTTCACGACAAAGGCAATATCGAAAACGGGACACTCGTCACTAGCAACTTGCCACGATTGGCTTCAAATGATTTGCCGCATTTTTCTGCACGTGAAATCTATAACCCGACACATTTGACTATCTCCAGCTCATACGAACAAATGATGGGAACAGTTCAGTATAACAGTTACCTTGGAAATGATTCTTTGATTACTCAAGACCAACCTTTACAGGTCAACCATACGAATTCAGCCTTTTCAGATCACATCACCGTTTTCGAGAATGTCTTGAGGCAAAAATTGAGCAAGTCAACAGCACTGATTCGAAGTAATGAAAGGTGCGCTCCTCTCCCACTTGAATATTATTCTTTGGAAGATCACGATCTAATACGACCTGAGCTTATTATTACTAGCATTTCGAATTCGGCATATATCATGCTATCTACTTTCATTTGTGCATCATGGCCTGCTATGACAACCTGGCATTGTGCTACTAAAGCTCATGTACCTATTACCAAGGTCATCACGTATCATGTCAATCCAACAGCTGCTACATACGCTGACCTCGTCACAAACGGAGCATGGCTACCAACGAAAATACAAATGTCCATTCCCCACCCAGCAATAATAGATTGGATACCATTCCCATCGTTACGAGACAAGCTTATCCTTTGCCACTCAGCTAATCCATGTCTGGATCAAATTATTTGTGAAATTGGGGTTAGTTATGTAGTGGAAGCCGATGTTTCTAAACTCGTTATGGGAACTGGTGCCGCAACGGGTAATATAGGTGTCTGGGATTTGGTTCGAGCAATGTCAGGGGGAACGAAGGAATCAGCATTTTCAAGCGAAGATAATATTTCATGGGATGAGATTTGCAGAGCTAGCTTCGAACTCAACAAGCAAATGCGAGAGGGAAATGTCTTGCAGGGTCTCCCTATGGAACCGCTTGCAACACTGCCCGCACCGAATGTCGCAGCTCTGTTCAACTCAAAGCAATTGGCTCTTTCAACTTTTGTAGCTCTGGGAATGAATCAAGGCGTGGCACAATACAAATTAGATTCGGCGTTTTTTGAGAGGCATCCAGAACTTTATGATGGTAGTGCAGGGATAGTAGCAAATGGTACACGATTAAGACCATCTGATCACTTTCCAATGCCAGGGCCGAGATTATTGAATGAGGGAATTTTGAATTGCTATAGGAACTTGGCTGCATGGGCATTGGATACGGGAATCTGAGTAGGCATGGGGATTAGGCGAAACGGATAAAGGAGATGAGTCTCGTGGTGCTACATACATCATGAATAATTCGGATGGGTTTTGGGTGGAGCATTTTCGGATGATTGGGGACTCGATGATTTAAATTTGTTGGAACATTCACAGGGTTCAGGTAGGATATACCAGGCGAAAGGGGTGATTTTTTATATTTTTCTAAAATGAGCTGGAGATTCCAGAGATGGAATCCATGGCATTATATGTTCTTTTGAGTTAGCTGAATAGATTTTTGATCAAGTGTTTAGTGCGGTGTGCGGACCTTTGAGTCTTGATATTCATATATTGATGATTGGATTTAGAGCAATACTTTTTATAAATGCTGGAATATATTTACGGGGCTTTTATTAGTTGGGGGTGGGCTCATGATGATGTTGGTGCGGCATGTGGAGATGTGAGTTGAATCGATTTCGTGTCGCTTATAGGTAGGGTGAAGTCGCTCTTTTCTTGTTATGGTATAGTATGGTATGGTATGGTATTGCGTGTTATGGAATTTGCTTTGAGGTTTTGGGTTTTGGGTTCGAGGTTTTGAGGTTTGAGGGGTGAGGGGTGAGGGGTGAGGGGAGGGAGAGGGAGAGGGAGAGGGAGAGTTTGTGAGTAGGGCTCTTATGGTTTCACGGTTTTTACGAGAGATTTTTGAATGGAAGGGGGAGGGGAGGTAGAGAGATCATTTTTCAGGGAGAGGCGGGTGTTGACATACGCTGGGAAGAAGTCTGAGGCAGGTCGAGGGCTTTTTTGGTGTTCTGGGAGAATAGAACAGGACGGAGGTTTGGAGTGGGGTTGTATGATGAGGGAGGTGTCTTTGTTTTTCGATTTTTTTTTGCTTAGTGAGTTGAGAGATACGAGAGAATAGCATGAGGATGATTCAGGATGGGAGTTTAAAGATTTCTTTTTTTCCTTGACTCCTGGAATAGGAATGGATGGATACTATTTCGAGTTTCATAAGTTGGAAGAACTCGTGGATTTTCTCATCAGTTTGTTTGTTTGTTATATATGCGAATAGGGGAGGGAACACAATTATTCTCGTTGTGTATACATGATAGTCCATATGATATAACATGATATAACATGATATAACATGATATAACATGATATAACATGATATATTCCTATATGTATTGTGTCAGGTCACTCCATGATAATCCACATTGTCAAAGGAATATGGACTTAGAATTGGAATTTAGCTGTCTCCTCGCACGTCGAAGAGATATACTGAATGTAGAATATTCGTATCATTCTTGTCTAAACGAAGGTCCATTATGAGAATATCGGCGGGTGGGTACGTACTATTTGTCGAGTCTTGAGATTCGATATAAGTTGATGGGGTTATTTGATTCTGGGAAGGAGGGATGGCAATGTTCCTTGGGTTTTGTGGTTTGGGTTTTGCTGTTTGGATATTGAGTTTTGTGTTGGATCTTGTGCTAGTTCGTCTTCGTTATACACTCATTTCGCTCTCGCGCGGGACACGGATACAACTTCAACCTCAACTTCAACTCATCTTTCTCCGAATCGTAAATTGGGGATTTCTGGAAACTTGAATAAAAGTTACATTGAAAATTTCAATGTAATCTTCCCGTCATGATCTATGGATTGTAGGGAAGCTAGGTAGTTCTAATTCGTACTAGTGGAACTCTTATTTTATACTCACCTGCAGTATTCATTCAATATTAAGATCGTTGTTATTTGCATAGGTAGATTAGGTACTCATACAAGTAAGATGTTTACTTGTACGAAGTTGAATCATTCGATATTCGTATTTATATCCACGTTCATATTCACATCCGAATTGTATTTACATCTGTCCTATTTCGATTTGTATTTCTTGTATTTTAGAAGAGTTGAAATCTTTACCCTCCATTCTACTCTACTCTATCTTAATATGATATAATACGATTCGATATATCACTTCTCATATAAAACACATCTATACACATCTATACACATTGACTATATAGTATATAGTATATAAAGTCTAAGAATTGTATACTCTTTTCTTTTTCTTTCACTCTCTCTTGATCACATCCAAATCTCAATCTCAATCTCCCCCTCTCCGATATCTCAATAAACAAAACACAACACCAACACATCCGCACAAAGCAAACTCAGACCCTACACTCTCTCACAAAATAATGTTCATTCAAATCGTAGTTTTCCTATCCATTGTATATACCTACACACAATACATAGATTTTCAAATATAAAATTTCAAATCTCAAATGTCAAACTCCAAATCCCAAATCCCAACCCCCCAGATGAAACCATACCCAATCAAACCAAATCACACCCAACCGACCTTAATCTACTTTTCCGTATGTCGTGATTTCATATTCTGGTTATTTTAGATGTAGCAGTGATAATAGCAACCCTAATTCTTCCCTGTAGCTAAAAGAGAATGCTTGGTGATGGATGAGTAGATATATATATATATATATATAGGAAGGCAGGTAGATAGGTAGATAGGTAACCTAAGCATCCAACATACCCATACCCAATTCTACCCAGCTCATCCATTCCGTCCCCTTCTCTCCCCCACTAAGGCAACCCCATAAAAACCTTCACCAACTTCCCATAATCCGGCGTCCCCAACCCCGTCACCGGATCCCACCCCTGCACCGCCTCAAACCCATCCGTTCCACACCCGGGATTCCTCCCACTCGTAATATCATTCATCGCCGCCTGATTCTTATACAACACCGGGTTCACAAACCCGACCGTACTCTTCCCCCCCGCAATCCTCTCCTCATTCACCAAATTCAGCATGGCCGCAAACGCCGGACAACTCGCACTCGTTCCAAACGCGAGCGAAAATTGTCCATTCACCGCCGTCACATAATTCACCCCATTTGCACTCACATCCGGGTACCCCCGTACCAATTTCGAATTATTGTATCGCTCGGCCCCATACCCCGGCGGCGACTGCGCATAATAAGCAGCCATGGCATCTTTCTGATACTCTGGAATCGGGAAAACATTCGAGAATCCCCCCCGCTGAAAATGACTTTTGACGCCGCGCTCTCGGGACTATGCACCGTACTCCCGTTGAGAATCTGCGTCGCGCCCACACTCGTCACATACGGACACGTGCCTGGAAAACTGGGGTTGAACATTCCCGAGGACCCGTTATTATATGCTCCCGTCTTGGAATCAATACACTGACCTCCATTTCCCGCGACGCCGAAATCGCCCGAGGAGTACAGCACCGAGACGCCCTGGAGCCCGAGTTTCATGTACTCGTTGCACTGACGCATTTCATATTTTGCGCCGAGATCCGCTTCGTTGGCTGAATACGAGGTCGAAATCACTTTGGTGCTTTGATAGCGTCCGCATTGGAGTTCGCCGGGGAAACCGCCAGGTTTGGTATCCGGATATTGGCCATCGACGTTGGGATCTTTGGAGTCGCCGCCTTCGGCTGTACAGTAGGAAGCATCGATTGCTTCGAGGAAATTATTGAAACTTCCTCCCTCGACCAGATCGCCGACTTGGAAGACGGTCACTTGTTGCGGGTTTATGAGTGCCATGGCAAATTCGAGATCGAGTGCACTTTCACCGTTGAAGGCGAAAGATTGATTGGTTTGTTGCACAACGGCTCCGTCGATTAAATCGACAATTGGTACTTTATTCGCTTGATTGGGTGAGAATTGGTCAAACCACATATTTAAATCTGTTTGGAGAAATGCCTGCGGTGTATATTCGACAACACCCAGTGTATTATTCGTAGCGGATTTCGAACCCGGAGGGAAATTATAAAGGGCTTGGAGACAGGCGGTTGTGATCATAGTATCGCAATTTGCGAGCGTCATTAGAGCATTCTTGACATCGGCTCCTTGCTTAGGATTCGACGCATCTTCGGGACTTCCCATTTTTCCAACGGGCTTTGTATCCCCAACACCCATTCCGATTCCAGCACCCATCCCATCCCTCCTTCTCCTCTTCACCTCCTCCGCCCTCCTGTTCAACGCTTTCAACGGCTCCGGCAAATCCCTCTCCTGCCTCACCTGCTTCCTCCCACCTCCACCCCCAACTCTCCCATCAAACGCTACCCCAGGCGTCACAAAATCCACATGGGCGCTCACCCCACTCGGCACACTATACTCCCCACAGGCAACATGCCTCCCCCCCTCCTCATGTTCCCAAACAAAATACCTCGTCCTCAACAATCCCTCCGCCTCCTCCGTCGTCGCATTGAAGCTAATCCACGCACCCCCCTTACTAACCCTCACCCTCTCCGGTGCAATCCCCGCCTCGTGTAGCCAAGTCCGCACGACCTCCACCGTTTCCCGAGACGGAGCAAACATATCTGCGATCTTGGATGCGCTCCAGTGTTGACCGTAGAGCGGGGATTCAGGATGTGAGACTTGATTTATAAATTCCTCGGCGCGATGGAGGTTTTGTTGCGTGAGACCTATGCGGACGGGGATGACGGCTTGAGGATGGAGACGTGCGGATCTTTTCCATTTTGGAGGCGGGGAGGATCTTTTTTCATGCACTACATGCACTTTTTCTTCCCTTCTTTTGGCCTTTTCTTTCCCCTCCTCCCTCCTCACACCATCCACCCTATCCACCGCATCCACATCTCTCCCCCCAACACCTCCAACACTCCTCCCACTCGCTCCATAAAAAGTCATTCCCTCCCCCTGCCCATTCCCATTCCCTTTCCCCCCCTCCCCCCAACCAACATCATCGTTCCCTCCGTCGAAACTGGCGATGCACAAATCGCTACCACCAGGGTAGCGAAGACACCCATCCCAATGCCGAAATGAAACCTCATTATAATCCCTTCAAATCGAGTCCTTCCCTTCCCTTGGATGCTAAACCCAGAGCATCTAACTATCAAAAAAAAAAAAAAAAAACAGGGACGAAAGGAAGTTTATTCATAAGTATCACCACGGTACATTCATTGATTTGGGGAAAATAGCGTTACGCTAGTGTTTGCATTGGCTAAAAATTCTGGATACTGAAACTATGGATGAATTCGATAATCAAATCGAAAGTGCGTTGTTCTTATTATAGATACAAACCATGTGATTAAGCTCTTGCGCACTTTATGCCATATCCACATCATATAAGGCTTTCACGGATATGAGGTGACCCTTTTGACGATAAAATATGGATTCGAAGTTTTGGACAGGAAGCTCAAGACCAATAAAAAGACAGGCAAAAGCTTAGACTTTCGAGATTGGCGAATATTTGGTAAAAGTCCATACAAAACTGGTTTCCAACCTTCTTGTAGGAACCATGTCTTACACGTGCAATGCACCAAGTTCCCCGAAATCCAAGAGATCCAAGGTCTTGGGTGAGGCTGATGAGGGTATCTTCGTGGTCAAGATCAAACCATTGACTTGCACGGATCTAATGATGATCAAAGAAAGAGCTTGCGAAATGACTATTACCAGAGATGAAATGAATTGATGAGATAGTGGATTCTCTTCTTGTATTGATAATTCATTGTACCAATAAGCTGACGCGGTGAGTTCGAGGTCAGTGGATACTAAAAGCTTGTAACAACAACACGGACTTCAAACCACTAAAAGTAATGAATTTTGAAACAATCAAGATTCATAGTTCAAACACCACCAGTTTTCAATGCGGAATACTTCTCAAAGGTTTTCTTCTGAAGAGCACGTTGCTCATTAATAACCTTCCATAATTCCGCATTTTCTTTTCGTAACTTTTCTTCCTCGCTGGAGGACGAAGATGAAGACGAAGACGTAGCTGTGATTTGAGGTTGAGCAAAATCAAGTAATGCTTTCTCTAGCATACCCTTAGGAAATCCTTGATACTCCATGGCTTGATCAAACGTTGTTGACTTTTTCGTCCCATTCAATTGAGCTGTGAATGCATAATTACCCTCGGCCAATTTAGGCTTAACTACGTTTATTGATTTTGTCTTTGGTGTCGTTGGGAAAGGAGATTGCATAACAAGGTTTGTTACGGGAGCATTCAAATCCGAAAGTTCTACCAAGAAAGCACGTCTTCCAGTATCCCAGTGGGCAATCTTTCCAGAAGAATGTCCCGAAAACAAACTTGTTCCATCATAACTCAGCCCTAAACAATGTACAGCACCAAGATTCTCTGATGGTGGGGACCAAACCGGCGAGTTAACTTGAACTGGGGTATTTTGTAGTCGGGTATCATATAATGGATTGATTGCTGAATTTGGTTGAATGAGTTCAATCATTTGTAATGAGCCGTCTTCGAACCCCGTATAAACAGCTCGGTCGCATGGGTCCAGTGCCATGCATAATGGAGTTGATGGAAGTAAGAATGTTCTTAGAAGATCACCCGTGTGATAGTTCCAAACAATAATTGAATTGTCCTTACTCGCAGATATGCATATATTTGATGTGCTGGAACTATGACCCATGACAACGGAAGTTATGGCAGCTCGATGGTTTGACAAGGTTCGAATTGGCTCATGCGGTTCATTCGTATTTGTATGTAATGATAAAAGCTGTGGAATTGACCAAACGTGGAGATTTGAATCTTCGGAACCCGTAATAATGTGTGTTGAAGTTGAGGCCATACATGAAACCGGTTGTAAATGTGCAGCTGATGTTGAGACTTGTCTACCTGTACAGACCTAGACCCAGAAGGAATTAACACAAATGACTCCATGCATTCGCCGTCGTGTCGCCATCAATGTCGCCATGTGGTAGCAACACCAAACGGCACAACACGACACGACGTAAGCTGCAGATAATAGAACGGGCGAAAAGACTCACCTCCCATAGTATGACCCGCCCTTCGGCTGTGCCCAGTACTAAAAGATCATCGCCGACCAAAGTCAAAGTGTGTAACCTTTCTGGAAAAGAAATTAAAGCTTCTTGATTTCCGCGCTCCCTTGAATAAACATGGACAACCGCCTTATCAGCTTGTGCCGCGAAAACATGAGTCGAATTTGCCGCGAGGGCATTAACTGCGGTCGAACTTTTCTTGAAGTTTGATTCGATCTTCGGGGAAGGGTGTAATGTATGAATGTAAATCCCGATATCTTTTGCGATGGCAGTATTCGCAGTTCTTGGCTGAGCTCGAATGGATGAGATGAATTGTTCGGATAACATGATTGCCGACCGATAAATGTATTCTCCTCTTTGGTTGATTGATTGATTGATTGACACGAAATTTGATTAATCGTGATTGAGATTGAGTACTTGAGATTGTGAAAGGGATATTTTATTTTGTGTTTCGATTCTTATCGGAGACACCGGTAATTGTGGGTATGAAGCTCTTGCCCTCGTAGATTCGTCGTGTTTTAAGATGACCTGGGGAGATTCCAATGTATTAACCTGTCGGCGTCTTTTCAACGACGCCTCTTGTGGTGAAGTGCAGGAAGCAGGAAGCAGTAGGCAGTAGGCAGTAGGCAATATTCAGTAATCAGTAATCGGTGACCAGTTGCCAGTTGCCAGTTGCCAGTTGCCAGCCAACCAGTGTAGTTCAACGGAACGGGCGCCAAAATGTGTAAATTTTTGTTTTTCCTGTTGCTGGCGGGCTTGGAATTGATTGACAAATCAACAAGGGAAGAGATGGGACGGATTGAACCGTGTTTGATCTGTGGTGGTGTCGTAGATGTTTTAGAATTTGCTTGAGAAAGGCATGAAAATGAAAATTTGCATAATGAAGATTAAATTTGATGTTTCTGGGGTAAATGCATGTCGAACCAATCAAAGGCCAGAAGAGCATGAGAAGGCTGCAGGAGGCTGCAGGAGGCTGCAGAAAGCTGCTAGAGGGTAAAAGAGGCTGCAGACACTGATGAATCCTAAAATAGAATCGGGAACGAGATATCCGTTTCCAGGGCTAGAGGAGGAGGGGGAGGGGGCGGGGGAGGGAGAGGAAGAGGGAGAGGGAGAGGGAGAGAGTTTCTCAATTTTTCATCGGGATTTAATTCTAATACAAATGACAGTGCCAATGGTAATGTCAATGACAGTGCTAATGGCAATGCCAATGTCGATACCTGATCATCAATACCAATATCAACATCTACATCGACGTCAGTTCCGATTCCGAATTCCCAGTCGACTGGTTAACATGGGGGTGAAGGAAGATCATGAATCAATCTGCGTATGGAACCAACTATCGGACATGGTATTGGTGTGTGGATGAAGTGATGCCCGTCGAGGCTGACAGTGAAGGAAGGAGAGAAAAGGAAGTAGATCTGAGGCAACAGAACCACAACCATGGAATCAAGAGGATGAAGGATTGGATGCATCTACTCGCCATTTTCTTCGCGTATCGTGACTTTATCTGGTAGAATGACAATCTTAATGAACTCCATTGACTCCATCGACTCCATTGACTTGCCCCCGAAACTACTCCATTGGATGCGTTACCCAGTCATAGCCCTGGTCGCCGCCCTGGTCGCCCTGGATATTCCAATGCAACCTTGGAGACGCCAGCATTCTCAGCCAGACTTCGAGGTTCAACCAGATTTGGGGAAAACGATCACCATTGTCCATGCTGGGTGAATGGTAATTGCGGATATCATCATTTGAGTCAAAAGTAACGCAACGAATACGGAAGAAGGGCATTTCCGAATAATTGGATAAAGCATGAGCACCTCTTCACATCCTGGATGTCTTACTTCTTAGTCTGGATCTGTCAAACGATCTGTCAATTATTACTCCCAGAGAAACTTATGGATCTCATGGGTATCATGGGCCTTGTTACTCAAGTCGATTAGACTACTCCTCTGGTAGTCTCGCAAGTGATGAGTCGATGATGGCACGATGGGTCAGGTCATCGCCGTCGACTAATCAACCAAGCAAGCAACCAAACAAGCAAACCAGTATGATGCAAAACGATTCAAACTTCAAAAAGCTGAGATCAAAACATTATCTGTACTTTGATAACACTAAACACCAAACATGGAGGAACTCATCAGTATCCAGGTATCGAATCGAGACATTTCTCGTTTCTTGATCTCGGAATTGCCCTTTTCTTTTTCCTTTCCCCCTTTCTCCAATCATTCGCGCCAATTATCGCCCCTTTAGGACATTTTTTTTTTGGATTTCAGGTACCGGAAGCTTAGCTGTTGGGTTGTGTAGAATCTATCTTTATATCTCACTGGTGATTGATTCGAGTTTGAGGAGAGTGAAGGGTTATACTCTTAATTCTCTTGATTCTCTTAATTCTATTAATTCTATTAATTCTATTAATTCTAGTGGCTTTTCTTCTTTCAGAATAAGAACAAAATGACATTAAGATCCTCTCATTAATTCCATTTATACATTCATTAATTTATTCATTCCCTTGTCACGATTCGTTCATTACTGACTAAAGCGTACTAAGTACTTTCTTCTTTCTCCAGATCCTTTTCGCTTTCGTGCATCGGACAACTTTAATTACCCAATACAGCAAAGGACAGTAAAGTAAGTTGACGGTTGGACCCAGTCGCCCAGCTCCACCGCAACAAGAGGGCGCAGCTATCGTGAATACGGCAACAGAAGCGAATTGAGTTTGAATACCTTGTTCCCACCTACCAAAAGTTACAGCTTGGGTATAAAATTGAGGACTCGTTGAGAATACCTGGTCCATCTAGTCCTTCATTTTTCGCGTCACTGACCAATAGAATCATCATCGGGGATCCATTACACTTTCGGCTTCGGGCTTTACCTTTTTCCACAGGGCTATTGCAGTATAGCAGGGCTTGAGGATTAAATGAGCTATAAAAGTCAAACGAACGGAGCTTTCGTTGATCAATGTGATGTCTAGTAGCTGGTAGCGGGTAGCGGGTAGCTGGTAGCTGGTAGCTGGTATCTACTCTGTACGGAGGAGTCGCTAGTATCTAGTAGCTAGCTGCTAGCTGCTAGTACGTGATGAATATGATGAATCTGTGATTGAATCCCCACTATGTATGTGATTGAATGTAATCATTAGATTGAACAGATGAACAAACGAACAAACTAGTGAGGCTGAACTTTTTTGAAGGGTGGCCAGCGTCCGAGAATGGCCCAAGTGGTTGTAACTTGTAAATCCGTTTGTTACACATGACCAGCTGGAAAAGTGTAATGAATCCACTCAGATAGATTACCTGGGCAGTGGCAGTGGACACTGGGCAGTACACTGGGCAGTGAGCACCTACCTAGGTACAATATTATCCACTTATTTCTTCCAAAAGGCTTCTTCTTCTTTTCATTCTTGTCACCCATGGCCAGTCATACGTCCTTTACATATTATCCATGAAACATCAGTAATCATATCACGACCCAATCTCATCGAAGCCATCTTGATCCCCCAGATCGAAAGGAGCACCAAACGTATACCAAAGACGGGATCATGGGTAGGGGAAGGGAGAGGTTCACACAATGAATGTTCTGTGCGTATGTAGAAAGAACAAACAACCTTCATTAAGCAAACTTAGTTTCTACTAAGCAAAAGCTTATTCGCACAATTTATATTCACGACCACGATTGCATACAATTACGTACCATTACATACTACTATGAACAGGGCAAGTCCCCGAACCCCCATAGTTCGTTGCGCTCGAACTCATCTCATCGATCTTGATAAACTTTCCGATATTCTCGAGCGCAGCGAGGACGGGGGTTTGGGGGCTTGCCCCCATAATCATCATCAGATTCATTCAACGTGTACGCAGTATATGAAAAAAGGAAGTGTGATCTCCCCCTTCAATCTCCTACAAATCTCATCACTCAACCAATCGCAATTCTGTCCTACCCTCACAGTCGCCTTATACTCAGGGACACATTCATGCACTTCTACCCTTATGCAAGCGAATATGGATTGATCTACAATGTCCCGACCCGAGTAAGGCCCCAAAAAACAAAAGCAAAGATATGCTTCTGACGAATGTTGGATCTCTCTCGTTATATTCTGCCTAATTCGTGTTAAGTTATTTGTGTCTCAACTACCGGGTCTTTCCTTAGCTCTTGTAAGATTATCACCAGCATTAGAACACGATCAATTCGTTCCCAGCGCTTTACCCTAGAGATTTACCCTAGAGATTTAACCCTTGAGCTTCATTAACCTTGTACGTATACCCCTTCTCCTTCCGTGCCCCTGGTCTATAAAAAAACAATGACGCCTAGAGAGTAGAAAGTCATGGCCGGGTCATTTATAGGTAGACGATTCCACTTTTACCCCAGTACATAACACAGACCACACATTTGAATGTTGTGGTTCTGATGGCTCGACGGCTAGATGGGTAGATGGGTAGGTGGGTAGATACAAATTTAGTAGGAAATACTAATGAGCCCGGCTATTGTTTATTATTTATCATTTATTGTTTATTTATCATTATTTATCATTATTTATTATTATTTATTATTTATTTATTTATTTATTATTATTAATTTGTTGTTCACTCATTATTTCTTCCCTCCCTGGCTATATCCTCGTACATGGGTCCCAAAAGAAAAGAGTGGTCTGTTTTTACTTTTGCCATGCTTTACCTCATTCTCGGGCTCCAAATGGTTACTAGGTACACAAAATGCACGGCATGTCAAAAATCATCGACAGGGAAATCCAAAGATCCATGATCTTCAATCCCTGGTACAAATCATCCCAAGGGGGAGGTCATAAGGTTCCACATAATTTACCTTGCTTTGTTTTGGGATGATTTCTACCCCGGGGAAAGGAAGATCATATAAACACTTCCTACATCTCATCGCATTACCATCAGACTATAATATGATATCGTTTTTCATCATCATCTTTTAATCTACACTTTTGTATACAATACACACTCCTTAGACCTTTTTCATTGATTGAGTGACACATACACCAATCATAGTCACTCCTTTTAAAACATCACCATGGGTTCATCAACCACACAAAACATCAGTCAAAGACAAACCCATACGTATCAAAAATCTACCTCGTCCATTCTGCCCAAGGTACATGTGCTGCGCAAAACATATCAAGCACCCCCAACCCACCCTTTGTTCACCATGAAAATGAATATACGGAATCACGAACACTTTCTACGAGAGCTTCTCTGCCGAGTTTGCACACCACCATGTTCAAGCAAGCAAATGCCACTTCGGCTTTGTTGAGGCCTTCATCTGCACACACATCCAAAAGAGCAGTGTCTGGTATGAAACGACTTTTACCCCTCAGGCTTGCCACTCCACCACTGTCAGAAGATTCGGAAGATTCAGATTCACACTCCGTGTCAACACCCTCTAAGAGGTCAACTTTTGGACAACTAGAACGTTTGGGAGACTTGTCGGATCTGGGAAATATATCACAACGGAGATTACACGGTACATCACTTTTGGCGATCCGACCCGAGAAATATCGAGACACTCCCATTATTTCAACTGATGGATCGCCTTTAATCGGAAGTCCTCTTTATCAAGAGAGTTGTACCAAGTGGGATGAGATTGAGTGCACTACATCTAGTATCATCGATGCGTATGAAGGATTGAGTGACTCGAGTTCAAGCAAAGGATGCGGTTGGGATGACTCAAATCATGACACACATGAGACACAAAGTGCGACACTATCACCTATGTCCCCAAGAAGACGTCATCGAGCAGATTCGGAATTGTCTTTCAAGTGTTTGGGCGAAGAAAATGAAGATGCTGAAGATGCTGAAGAAGGTGAAGAAGGTGAACAATCTGAATCTTCGTGGTTTGCTGGTTCAAAAACCACACGCCGAATCGCTCCTAGATTGTCGACTTTGGATATTGAAGAATGGCTCGACGATAGTGAAAGTAGCATGTGTGAGAGTTCAGATGATGATGAGTCTGACGACTTTTTCGTAAGCTATTCATTCCAATCAATTTAACAAGTACTAATGTTTTCTAGGCATGCGCAACAGCTCTCGCACCAGCTAAAGCACAAGTTATCCACGTGAATCATAAAAAATCTCAAAGCTTGTCTATTACCATTCCAGAAAGAACAACCCCCACTGGAATTTTAAAGCATTCCGATTCATCTGCTCTTCGAAGATTAACCTCTCGTTCTCCGATTGAGACATCCCCAATGGATGATCTAGCCATGTCCAGTCCTCCAACTTCACCCGATGAACCAGAACCCAACAAATTTTCTAACTTTAGTCAACGAAAGATCTCTCGCTCACCAGCAGATCTTTCTCCAACACCTGCCTCTCCAGATACGATACTTGATATCGTAGCCGCAATCGAAGAATGCACTTCGAACTTTCCTACCAAAATGTTATTAGCTGATACCCCATGTATATCATCCATTCGTTCGCATCTTAAAGCTACATCAACTGCCTCTTTCAAATCATTTCAGCGATCAAAACAACCACCACCAGCACCATCAACCACAACACTTATCCCACCCCACCAAAAAGGTATCAACCGTCGCAATCGTCCTCAAACAATCTGTCTCTCCCCAACCGAGACCAAATCCTTCAACTTTTCCATTCCCACCACCCCACCCGTCACTCCTCCCTTCAGTCCCGATTTCTCCTTCTCCGCCCTCGCACCCGCCAACAAACCCAGCACCACCAACGCAGGTCCCTCTCCCATCCTCCCCACCTTCGCCTACCAACTCGCAGCCGCCAATCTGCAACCTCTCCACGCCATCTTCCCCGTCTCCTCGGATTTCCTCCGCTCCGCTCTCTACGCCCACATCCTCGCTTACATCTTCCTACAATCGCTTCCCTCCTCTCCTACCCCTCCATCCAGTACCCCTCTCACCCGCACTACCACTATCAAACATTCTCACTCCGCTTCCCACAATCTTCGCAAATCTTCTTTCCACAATAATACCTTCTTATCTTACACATACAACAATACATCTCTCGTCGGTATTCCTGCCAAAGCAGCTTCCACCCTCGGTCTCTCAGCATCAACATCCATTCGTCGTAATGGAAACATGGGAGCAGTTGCGCAAAACAAGAAGATCGAATTCAATCTCAAGACTTGCATCGGCAAATTGTTGAAAGGCATGCAGGGAAGTGTGGATGTGGATGGAAATGGGAAGGAAGTGGAGGGATGGGTTTTGAGAAGTTTGGTCGAGGTTGTGAGAGGGTGCGAGGGGATTTAGTGAGATGGTCTTTCATTCTTTGATGATAAATATCTATTTCTTTTGTATAGTTTATTTTTATTTTTGCTTTCATCGTTTTGGGGGATGGGAGGGAAGGGAAGGGAAGGGAAGGGAAGGGAAGGAGGGTAGGGATTGATATCCAGCGGTTAGGAAAGGGCAGGGTAGGATTTATGGTATATTATGATACATATATCTCTGAAATACCATGGTAGTAAGGAAAGGGACAGGATAGGATAGGATATCTAGACCAGGCCATTCATTTATCGTCATTGTCATTGTTACTGTCATTCTTCTCGTTATTTTGTGTTTTCTTTTTCTTTTACTTTTACTTTTACTTTTACTTTTATTTTCTTTTTTGTTTATTTATATCCATCATCGTCTTTATCCGTAACTTAGCAAGCAAGGTGTTTGGGGAGCGGGAATGGGCACTGGAATTGGAATTGGACTTTTCATCGCGAGGTATGAGTACCTATGTATATATGACTTTTGATTGATGGGATGGATGGGATGGGGTTGGATTAGATACCTAGATACTTACTTACTTACTTTTAATCATGGATTCTTGTATATACTTTATATTTATTTGATTATTTACTTATATCTGTCTTGGATTGTATTGTGTTGTATTAAATCATATCTATATCTCATCAATCAATCAATCAATCGGTATCGATGTTAGGACCGATAACCTTACCAATCGAACGGAATATAAGATTCCGAATGATAGATCTGTGTGGGAAGATATGTTTGTATGTATGTATGTTTGTATGTATGTATGTTTCACCTCCGGATTGTGTATTTACTCTTACCTTTATTTACTTTACTACGTAATTATGTTGGGATTTGTTGTTGAGTTGAGTTGCTCTGGATGGGGATGGATGGATTATGTAATGTGATATGATATGTAATGTGATATTGGTGTGGGTTTGTAAGGTTATGTAACTTACGGGTTGTAGGAAATTTAAGGTTGGATAAGGTTAAGGTTGTATATAAGGTTAGATTAGGGTTAGATCTAGATTGGTTCAGATGAGATCCGGTTAGTCCTTTAGCGAGGATTAACTCGTTGGGTGTTAGGGTGTTTAGAGGATGTGCGTATGTTTGGGGATGTGGTAAGAGGAGAGGAGAGAGGAGGGAGGAGGGAGGAGGGAAGGAGGGAGAGGGGGAGAGGGGAGAGAGGAGAGATTGGAGAATTGGATTTGATGGTGGGTGGGTAGGTATTAGGTGGTAAGTATGATTTGTTTCTGACCTGAAATTAGATTTGTGATGGATGAATGGATGGATGAGTGGAATGGTGAGTGAGTGAGTGAGTGAGTGAGTGAGTGAGTCAGTAGATGGGTAGGTAGGTAAGGGTAAGGTATGCATTTAACAATCTCGAGTTTCTTAGTTCGGCGGACTAGATAGATGTAATTAATATCACATAGGTATGCAAACAGAATGAAATTGGAAATTTGAAGTAGAGCAAATTTATGAATTAGAGGAGAACTGAGTTTATAATCCCCGTGGGGAGGGATGGAGATCGGAGAATATTTTGGCTCGGAGGCGGAGAGGGGGTTTAGTGGGTCGGAGGGATGTATATGTGGATAGGTAGGTATGGATATGTGCCTAGCCGAATTTATATTTTTACCATAGACAGGGTACCAATCACATAAAATTCGAAAAGATGATATAATCTCACAACTTCTTTATAAAGGAGGAAATATTTGTGATATGAGAGATGTAATGTTTCTTCAGACGTTCGGAGTATGAATAGATAGGCAGGTACTGAGATACGTTTTGTCAAGTTCTTCACATGGGGATCATTTACTTCTGGATGACTTCACTGCACTTCATTTCACTATTCTAATGAACTGCTTTGTTTAATTTCTCCCATTTGTCAAATGTTAAACACCATGTAACAGTCTCGTGCTTCTCGTAAACTGACTCCAATAACAAAGTGAATAAAGACCAAGATATCCCAATAGAACTCCCAATCCCATACCACACCATGCCGTACTATCAGATTTGTCTTGTTAGGTAACGAATGATAACTACTACATGGTGATTTGGATACATGGTGACTCAATATTACTTACCCAGGTAGGTAGATATTCACGGTGAATAAGGTTAGTGGGTAGGCGACTGGAACATCTTTGATTGATGTTTATTACTTCGAGTTTCTGGTATACTTCTTCGAGTACATATGTCCACAAGTCAATACATTACATCTATCTAAACAGACATTGCAATACCATTCCCGGGAAAACTTCATCAGTATCTCAAAGCAAACAGCACTTCCCCAAACGCTACTCTCGCCCCCAAAGATGCTTTACCCCATCTCCATCCTCCTCCCCCTCTACATCTATCCCCTACCTCTCGCCTGGAACTGGCTCTTAACAACCATCCCCCTCTACCCCTCCATAACTTACACTCTCGTCATCAACCCATCCACCGGACCTGGCGCTTTCAATTCATTTCCTGATCCCAGCTACATCGATGCCATCGCCTCCCTGAATGCATTTGATAACGTACAGCTATTGGGATATGTAGATACGGCGTATATGCATCGATCTGTTGAGGAAGTTGTTTCCGAGGTAGACACTTGTATGTATTTTCCTTCTCACTTCTCCTTTCTTAAGTATAGATCTTGAGTCTCGAGTCTCGAGTCTCGAGTCCCTAGTCCCTAGTCCCTAGTCTTCCAAGTTTTTCCATATCCTCCTCCGTCATTTAAAACCACAGAACCAGAGACACACTAACATCCTCCTCTCAATACTAGACAACCACTGGCAAAGCAACCCTTCAAAAGATATCCACATGCACGGCATCTTCTTCGACGACTGCGTCTCCAACTGGAACGCTAGCACCTCTCAATTTATGTCCACCATTGCCACCTCCGCCCACCAAGCCAATCTCACTGTAACATTCAATCCCGGTGTTCTTGCCGATCCCGCATTTTTCTCTCTCGCAGATAACATCTTAATGATTGAAGATGCATATAATGTTTCTCAAGCATTACCGAGTATTGATTCAAGTGAGTTTTCACTTCTCTCTCTCTTTCCATATTCTGCTTCCTCTCTGAACCTTGAAGTTGTGACTTACTCCGCACGTAATCTACTAACACAATTATGAAATTAGTTCCCCCAAACCAACGTTCCAAATCTTCAGTGATATTCCATCATTTTCCCGGCTCGGCAAGCGATCAATCGACTTTTGTTAAGGAAATCTTGAAAAAGGGTATTAATTCGCTATACATCACTACCAAAGATTATGTGAGCCAAAGTGATCTCTGGACACAATTTCTCGCTGCCGTATCCGCAGGTACAAGTCTTACTTAAGATTTTTGTTTGGGAGGGAGGCGGTGAGATGAGGGAAGAAATCATAAGCATTAATGACTGTTCATAAGAAAAGCATCGTCAATATGACTCAAAAAGCTAGCGTGGAAATCTGGTATTTCCGTCAAATCATTGATCATCAAAGACACAAGGAGATAAGTTAGCATTCATCTCGCACGCTAGCTAGTCATTAGATTCTCGATCGCCCTATCTATGAATAATATGTTTCACCCATCGATCTCCCAAGTCGTTGAATGTTTCATATTTTGCCAAATCATGTGATTAATTCAATATGTTTCACCAATACCACATTATATCATGTAAAAAAGAATGTTAATATCAGTACTGCAACTCTAACAGTCGGTCAACTAGTTCCTCGTGGGGAAAAGTATCTTCCCCGCTAATATTCCCGACGAGAATCGGATATCCCACGCTACTCCAAACCGTTAGACTACGTGCATGCAGTTAGCACATACATACCTCTCTAGTATAAGAGCTTATCAAGCACCGAGCGCATCGAAGTTTGAATTATTAATGCGAAGGAGGAATTATTACTTTATTAATTCAGCCCTTTATCGTAATGGCATCATAAGAAACATATTGAACTCATATAGATAGTATGTGAAATTTTTCATCTAGTATAAAATGTGTATTTGTGAAACATAATTACTATTCGATTTTTATCGATAGTCATGAACTTTGGGGGAAAGTATACCTATCGTGTTGTTGGATGCAATAAGGTTGGGGTATTGAGATACTGGTGTACGGTTGAGATTACGATTCTCGAAGAGTATATGAAACGAGATGTATATGAAGATATTCGGACTATTGTGAAACTAGGTAGGTATTGATAGAAGAGAAGAATCTCGTGATTCGAAATCTTTCCCGAGAAGATAGAGGGGTTGATTCCGAGGAGCGATTAGGTTGGAGATGATGGTGATGGGATGGTTTGGTAAGATGGTGTATGTGGTTTGGAATTTCGGGTCGGGTATACACTATATTCTTTCGACCTAGATATTTGCGGATGTTTTGTTGTATGAGTGTTATATGGCAGTAATATAGATCTGGCTACTTAACTTCTTGATATTCCGAGTGTGTGGATTAGATCCTGTGCATATATGGATAGATCTTTTGTTAATTGAGATTGAAATCGAAATCGAACTTGGTTCATGGGTTTATGATAAATAAGATATAATAGGATAGGAATTTAGAGATTCTCGTCTGAAAAGCTGGAAATTCGTTGTCGATTTTTGCCGCTGATGTGAGTCTCAAACTTTTGGCGTTTTGCTATTTTCTTGTGATTCAATCTTGGAGATAGTGATTGGATCGAATACAGATCAGTTGTAGTGATTAAAACGATAAATATATAGCGAATATGGAAAGTTATGGTTTTCTTTGGAAGAGTTATCGAAATGTTTGACTTGTTTCATTTATTGGAGCCTGTGGAGATACTGATATTGCACTTTGCAATATGGAAGACTTTTATATGATTGAGGATTTGCAGTATTCCTAGAATCTGGAGAGGGAATCCTCTATGGAAAGACTCGAGGCACATTCATGACCTCGAAGAACTGCAGGTAATTTCAATGAACAAAAGGGTATACGGGAAAGAAGTCGCCAATTTCGCACTTAACTCTGCTATTTTCATTTGCCATCACATAAACATGTATGTGGATTTTCCTAACACCTGCTTCCAAGAATCTACACTCCAAACAAAAAGTAAAAACAAGAATAGAAGGATTTCCACAACATCCAAATACAACTCTCTGTCAGTTCACCCGCTCGACGTTGTCTCCCTCCCCTCCTCCGGTCCCTGCCCGCCCCACTGAGCCTTACGACCTATCTCTTCAAACTGATACTCTAATTCCCCACTGCACTATTGACCGCAGCCACGAATTGAGTCCACATCTTACTCTGACTTGTATATTCCACGGTCGTGATATACACCTCCGCAACCCCAGAAGCAACAATCGAGTTGACAGTATTAGTCTGTTGAGATTGGGAACCACTGAAATCGTAAATAATGACCGAACTTTGCTCTTCTTGGGTACTTGCAATTTTTTCCAACGAATTGCCTTTCTTGGAGGAATAGGCGGAATAGTTATCTTCAATCATAACGACTTTGTCAGCGATGGTGAAGAATTCGGAGTCGGCGATGGTACCGGGATTGAAGTGGACGGTGAGATTTAGAGCGTGTGCGTTGTCTGCGATGGTAGTCATGTAGCTGGAAGAGGCGGATGTCCATTCGTTGACTGCGTCGTCGAAGAAGATTCCATCGACGGCGATGTTCCCTTTGGTGTAGGTAGACCAGTATTTATCTATTCCTTAATTAGCATTGTCCTAGCTCGTCTGTTTCTAGGAAGGTTTTACTCACAAGTCTCGACTTCTTGGTCAACGGCAGCAGTACTCTTGGCCATGTATTGGGTATCCACATATCCCAAAAGTTTGACATTATCATACTTCGTCAAATTGGTGATACCAGAGATGTATTCATCTTCTGGGTAGTCATTGAGAGCTCCTGGTCCAGATTCTGGGTTGACAATGACGGTGAATGCAAGAGAGGGGTAAGCTGCAATTGCATTGGTGGCCCAGATCCAGGCACCTTGAGTAGGATAAAGGTAAAGAGGAAGAAGAATAGAAGTAGCGAGAACCATTTTTGCGAGTTTGGAAGGAAGAAGTAAATGTGTGAATGAATGAATGAATGAATGAATGTATCTACAATCAAAGAGTGTCCAGACTCTGGTAAGGATTGACAAAAGATCGTAAAGATCGAAAAGATTGAAAGGATTGAATGTAGAAGTAGAGAGCGACTAGAGAAAGAAAGAAGACTATATCGTCAAAAAAGATGATGTGGTACACATTTCTAAGGAAAGTAGTCTCAATATATATGACATGAAATGCAATGTAGATACTCGCTGTGGGCCATGTCGATCTCCTTAATTTCTATCACCCGCATTTTTTGGACGCGGGGAGAGTGGGCCAGGGCTGATTTGAGATTGATTAAATTGAACCTCTGGGCAGGCAACCCCAAGAGAAAAAAACCGCCTTACAAACGCGCGGAAACCATTCATTCGTAGGGGATATTGATGTTTAGCCGCCTCCATTAGGGCTCTACTCATATCACATCCTTGGCTGTGGGTCGAAAGGATCCGAGTCTAAGCTTTGAATTCGCCGATTCAAGAACTTTAAAATTGAGGAACAAATAGAGATCTGATAGGATTTTTGACTGTAAATATTTCAAGGGGGTACTTTCATATTCTAATGGTTGTGTAGCTCAATTCAGTAATTCAGGATTTCCAACCACATCATGATCCGGCTAAATGCTTCTTGGCAAACAAAAGTGTCTCTTGTGCCACTGGGTAACATAGTACGAATGACTAAGAACTATTAAGCAGAAGCCATTAATTGGTTATTGTCAAAGGATTTTGTTCGCGATGAAACAAACCATTCTATGCATGGCGCTTTCTAGATGGGATGATGGAATTTTTTTAAACCATCTAGATCGTGTAATCCTGTAGTATTACTCGAAGAATAAGTAATTGATGCAGGGGCAATTGAAAGGAATTCTAATGGTGCCTTAAAAGCAAACATACGCTGAACGAAAGCCTGGGAGATTAATTGACATCAGACGAATTTCGGTGACCCCTTTTAAATTCGAAAAATGATGCAATAATTAATTCGAATTCGTGTTCAAACTTAAAGTATATGTTCATATCCATATATTGTACTGCGTAATTCGTGCGACTTGTTGGGAAATATCAAGAAGATCGGATATCTTAATGACCTCTCAATTACTTTTGTCGCGAAATCATTCGAGGAGATCAATTCTTGGACTATAGAAGGATTCTAGGGATAGAATGTGCCATGACAAAAGCATATGAAATAAGAACAATAAACACGTGGGGTTGGATTGCAACCCTGAAGCCATCCCTCAGCTTCCTTCTTCCCCATGTAAAGAGCAAGGAGAGGGACTTCGCGGAGCGCCCGTTAGCTTCAGGAGAAATGAATCGGGCTCCGGGAAACTATTTTTTCGATTAAAGCCGAGCTATAAGAGGACGAGGTAAATTTACACGAGTAAGAAAGGCACAGAGTCTGTTAGGTTTGGTGGGCGGACAGGCAAAATGCAACATGAGTGGTATAGAACATTAATTTTGCGAGCAGCGCCCAAGCCGATTGAAATAACATACATGTAAAAGAAGGAAATAGCAAATTATGCATAGTACTGAATTATTGTGATTTTAATGTCTTAAGACGGTTGTGAAGAATGCCACATGAAGATACAAGATACCTCATAATATCCACTCGCAGGTAACGGAAGCGGTTAAAAGTTACACACGTCGTCAAACTACTGATTCCGATGTCAATCTCTGATACTGATTGGAGATATCCAGGAGGCTTATTAGAATAAGACATATGTTTGGTAAGCGCTTACCTTCCTTCGCGACGGGACGGCACGACTGTACAAATCGTGTTTATCAGTAGTCATGCCCAACGTAAGCATGATAGATATATATCACCGATACCACGCCCATAACATTGGCATGCAAACTATAGACGGATTGATAAGCAGTCGACGTCGTAAAACAATAACGATGTCAAGATTCATACTCACTGAGAGTAGGCGTTTAAATGTCGACACTTTGATTCGTACAGCATCGGAAGCATTGTGAAGCTTTGGTATCTGCAAATAGCCCTGGAAAGACGTATCGGCCGAAGATGAACTAAAATGGCTAAAGTCGGCGTTCGGAAGATGTTATACAATGGATGATCTGAGCCCTTGCGTTGTCAAAGTCCACAAGTATAGATCTACTAGTCACACTTGTATAGAGTACTTGAAAAAGGATATTGATGCTAGAGTAGGAGAATAGCTGGGCTCAAAGCGTTTCAGAAGCCATGGGACTTGAGATTAATTTCGGACGAAGAGAAGAAGATAGTGATTTCTGATGACGCAGAGTAAATTCCATCTCACTTAGCAAGGCTTCTCATGGAAACATGAGGATCATTTTAAAAATTCTAACAGGACCAGCTGACCATGACTGACTATCATCTACCGACAGAGTTTCGTATGTCTTCATTTCATAATAATCCATATCAAAACGACTGCATTCCCAAGTATAGATTGTGAAGACCCAGTGACATTGCTCCAGTCTTATGGGACATGTAAGTTGATTATTGAAATGATATCGCAGAAGTTACAGGTAACAGTGCCTTCTTAACTGCCGGCGAATATCTTTTATCAAGATTCCGAGAGCTCAGGTTAGAGGCTGTTCGGTTGAGCGAGGCACAAGTAGAAAGATGGGTGGTAGATATGAGTGGGCAAGATATCCAAGTCTTGGCTTGAGGTGCTTCTGAGGAAGGAAGTAATCTAGTATGACCATATGAGAGGTCTTCTTGTAATGTGAAGACGCACGAGATTGAGCACTATTAGCAAGAAACGAACAGAACTGAGTAAAAGGAAAGAGTGAAGCTCAACGCGCATAGTAAGAATGGTGGATAGAACACCCGAAACAATAACAAACATGCATATTCTGTGAACAAAAAACCCTCGATCAATACGCTCAAATTATTGACAGCAACGAGTTGGGAAGTCTTTGGAGATCTTGAAAAATTGACGCGATTTACACATCCCTCGAAGGCTCAACATCTATTGCACAAACACAACTCAATTAGGACATGTCGGTATGTAAAATAAAGGCAGTTGTGTATAGAAGTGTGAGAATCACTACCAGCCATGAGATATGATAATGAATGGGCAATCGTGGGTCGCGACCCTTTGAGGTGTTGTAAAGATGAAGAATAAATGTAAAGCACCACGCGACGCGATCAGACCTGGGTCTAACTATTTTGGGAAAGAGGGGGTAAATAACCACGCTAGGCCCATTTGACCTCATCACCACTGCCGACCCCCATTTAATTGTAGTTTGGATTGCTAGCTATCTCCGTTTCTATGAGGAGTTCCTCTGCAAACCCCAAATCAAAGCAACCTTCAAGTACAAAGAGTACTCGAGAAATGGCCTTCTGGCTTGTCTTTTGCACTACGCCAGTGTCTTACAAGGTAAGCCAAGTCATACCACTGGATGGAGTGACTCTGACGATTCTTCAGATAATTTACCTTGAAGAAAATAAACAGGCATGATAGTCAATTCCTCACAAGCAGAGCAGTGACTCTGCGAGCAATTTAATTGTGACAGAACTTCCTTCGAAACGATTCATTGCTAACGCGATCGGTGAATACCACTTTGCATTTAGATTTGCAACGAGTCCTCCATCTGATTCCATGTCCACGAAATTCTTGATTCAACACAAAATTTATAATTACACCTCGCCTGCAAGCTGCCAATGTTGGTTCCAACGTGATGACAACAACAAAAGAACAATAACAAATAGTAATTAAAAATTAAGTTGCCCGCAAGCAAAGCAAATTATCCATCATCTTTTTCATAACTCGTGAGCGAATGTACGAATTTTCAGATACTCCAATCATCACGCTGCAATCCAGTTCTAAAGAACGTAAAAATAATGCACCATCTTAAAAACGCCATCATGCAAAAATCATTGACATCAAGTGAGCGAACCACGAGAGCTGTTCCAGTACCTCGATGTATCAAGTTAAAATACATTAGGTATTCCAAGAATTTGTATTCTGTATCGAGCTCGTATCAGGAAATCCGGAACCCACTCGTGGCTATTGTCCCCGTAGAATTCATGGGTATGCGAACTCCTGAATTCGCTTTAAAGAAACACTTCGAGTTCATCTCTGGGTGATTTGGAGAAAGCTGTATCCAAGTAGCTGCCAAGCATTGTCCATTATTATATTGTGCGCACGATTCCAAACAGTTATTCAGAGTCGGAGTTGTGACGTTGGTTAGTTCGATATCTTCTCCTGGTGAAGAGGTCAAGTCGATTGCACAAGCTATGCGAAACTCTATACTCGGTACAGGTGTTGTATAGGTAGTATTGTTGACGTTGGGGCAGCCAGCAGAGTCTACAAATTCCGTGACTGTTGGAGCACATCCTGAAAGTGTTCCCGTTGATTCGGACTTGGAGGTCTTGCTGGAAACACTTGTAATCAGTTTTGTCCCTTTTTATTGTCGCATGAAAAAATACCTCGAGGGGTTGTTATGCTTCCCAACCCATCCTCCAATAGCACCGCCAATACCTCCTCCGATCAAGAAAGACACCACAGCTATGAAAACAATTGGTACCAGCCCGGACTTTTTCTTCTGTTTTGGCGGAGGTAGATAACGCGCAAGATCGTATGCTCTTTTTGGTGGTGGAAATGAGACTTCTTGGAGCGGAATATTATCACATTGTTTACTTAGTGGTGATATTATATGATTTGATGCTCTTTTCACGGAGTATGAACGAACGAAATATTTATCGGGCGAGGTCAATAAGTACGGAGACTGTTCCTCGGGAACAACTTCTGGCGCCTCACTTGATACGTGCAAGGGTTTAATTTGGTACACCATTTTGGCGATTTGATGATGACATCCAAATTATATTAACGAAGGGCTGACAGGAATTGCATGGTCGAAAATTAGGAATAAAGGAATAAAGATAGATTACTTGGGAATGCTTCACTTGTACTTGTATCCAATTCTAGCTTCTTTCTAGAACCAATTTTCGAAATAGCAAACTTCCGTCCATCGGTTCTGGGGCGCAGTTGCGCAAGAATCAATATATATCCTGCAGATACTTTGCAGCATGGTTGTTTTTATACGCAACGTAATTGGTATCAACCGTTTAAAGGTTGCGCCACATTGACAGGATGCGAATCAGGAACCAGATCATTGCAAGGATTCGCTGGAGGAGGTGCCTATTTAGTAAAAGCTTGCCAAATATGGTAGATGTGAAGCAACCCTACCACATGGAGGGGAAGAATGATCTTCACTTGGAGATCTATAGCAGCTATGAGCCTCCATAGAATGAAACTATCATTCATGAACCCACGAGGCTAAATGGATGTGTTGGCTCCTGCATCTTCTCATCTCTCACGAGAGAAAGTAGAGTCTGAATTCACACCGAGTTCGGTCGTACCGATCGTGAATGAAACCAATTTTTCTCTAATGCGCAGTGAGGTTAGGTAAACAAATCATCAGGTATAAAATATTTCGGAGGGGAGTAATCTTCACCGCTTTCTAGGTTTGTATGGGCAGGAAACGTTTGTCGGCAACGAAAGAAAGCGCTCAAATATACGTGTGCGCTAGCTCTATCTTTTCTCGTCGCGTCCTCATTGTTTGATGAGATCCATACTTTGAACCCTCAAATTTGCTGTTGTTGATGAAAAAGATTCCCTCTTTGACTAGAAACATGTGACCGCAAGAAGTCAAGCCACATCCGAAAAGAGCACTCGGGGTTAAACCTCACTACCGTATGCATAAGCAGCTCGGAATTCCGAGCTAATTGAAAAATGGGACCACCGCATGCATTTCATCCATATTCTCCTCCTTTACAACAATTGGCCTTCCACGAGTATCACTCAATCTCCGCCGCGAAGAGATGGAACTAGATACTACGGAAGGAAAGCCAGGCTGCTTGTCTTGTGGAGCAAAGTTCAACCACCGTAAGTCACGAGACATTCCCTTTCCGTTTGGATTGACGTCGAAACCTTACAGCATCGCAGAATCATCGCTCAGTCGCCATTTAAAAAATCAATGTAACAAGAACCAATCACGAAGGCGTAAAGCTTGTCGTCAGTGTGTTATACATAAAACAAGGTGTAGCTTAAAACGACCTACTTGCTCACGATGTCATGTGCGCGACATTTCCTGCGAATACGCTATTCCTGAAAGCGCGAAAACTCCTGCGAATGTGAGACACGATCTTTCGGAAATTGAGAAGAATCCGACAAGCACCACGCCTTCAGATATTTCACCTATATTTCGACCACAATTTTTACAGTCAACGTTTGATCCTAATCTATTCGACACCTTTTTCTCGGATGTAGGAAACTGGTCTTCAATGCCACCATTAGATCTTGATGTATATCCCCAAAATATGGATCACTCAGGACTGTCATCTTTTGGTCGCGAGGACGGAGGCATTTCTGAGCTTGGCCGACTCAGCAACGTTCCATTCATTGAGCTGCAACCTCCTCCAGAATCAAGTTCGGTTGCTTTAGCAAATCACAGCATGGAACTGATTTTCCGTGTTTTTCGTACTTGGCCTCAGATGCTGGCCGAGGGATTTCAACTACCTCCAATATTTCACTCCACACATTTTGCTCAGCATGATGTTCTGCCCCGGCCACTGGCGACTTGCACAACTTTAGTCAAAATGTGGCATGGGCAAAGCGTAGGAGCTGAAGAGATTGTAAGGAAGACAATAATTTCAGAGTTAAATCTTATTGTCGATCAAGTAAGTCTCGATGTACATCTTTCTAGGGGACCGTCTAATTGGTCGCCTAAATTAGCCCGAAGAACTTGACGAAACGATGCTTTTAGCAGTTCTACAAGCTGTAGTGATTTATTCCATTATTCTCCTCTCTCCATCAAGAGCCTCAAAAAACTCTACTGATGATAATGAAATCGTCTTTCAAAAAGTCGAGTCTCTTGTATGGCACGTCGTGCGTGATGGCCTTTTCCTTAACGAAGAGAGGGCACAGACACGGCCATGTTGGGAAGCTTGGATACATGTCGCATCGAAACGTAGAGCAGTGCTTACTTTATATCTTCTTCATTGGGCACACTCTGTGTTGCATAAAGTTCAATGTTTCGATTGTAAAGACCTTGGCTTCATGCCTGCACCGGCCCCAAAGGTACTTTGGCAAGCAAACACTGAAAAAGAGTGGAACACAAAATACATACATTGGCTTTCGAGATGGAGTGGTCGAATTTACCTTCAAGCCGAGATTGGAGATATCCTACCTGGTGCTACTTTGAATAGTAGAGCAGAGAAGTGGTTTGGGGAGGTTGACGAGTTTGGATTCATTATGGCTTCAATTGGTAAGTTCTCACCTTCAATGATTCGAAATCTTTTTATACTAACATTTTGGAAGTCAACGCTACAGAATTTGACCCGCCATCACTTAGAGTGTTAATGCGTTAATCATACAAATACGTGGGACAATTCATCATCTTTTCATTTTTCTATAGAGGAAGAGCTCACATGCATATGAGACTTTACATTTGATTCCAAGACCCTGTTCCTCCATCTAACTTCCCGACATTTGCTACGATTCAATAGTTAGAACCAACTACTGACTTCGCGATCTTCGTTCTATTTCTGTCAAGTTCGATCATCTGTGATAAAGTGGAACTAACTTGGGCGAACAACCACTTCGCTCATAGACTCGAATTTCTTTCACGCCTTTAGGGTGTCTACCCACCCCTCTAAATTCATATTGAATATGGAGACATCACCCCTCGGAACACCCATCATGGTAGTTAATCGATAGTCAATCAACCACTTCATATTTCCTCCCTCGGTCACCTTGACAAGTTTATCGAGATATCTGGCTTCGGCAAAGAACGACTTGTCGTCGGCGAAGTGGCTTGCTGAGACATACGTGGTAGCTTCAGCCGTGTCATTTCCAGTGAGCCGAATCACTTGTGTGCTCAAGCTATGGAAAGTGCTGACGTGCCCGATAGTCTTCTGCAACTGCTGAATAACAGTGTCAACGCCATTCATGAGACCAAGAGAGCCTGTGTAGTCCGCTACGCAGTCTTTTGTGAATGAATCGCGAAGCCTCTCGAAGGTGTTCATATCGAACGAAATTGCTACATTTGCGATTGCATTTCTGATGAGTTCCTGATCAGATGTAATAGTCTCCATTTCTATGGTACTTTTATCTGTATAAAATGTGTTGGTTTATTTGATGTTGTGAACTAGAGCTTGAGGTGGTGAAGAGGAGAGTATTGATATTTGCCTTATTGCAATTCAAACATAACTTAATGCCAGGAAGTCTTGTCTTATATATGTCTTCTCATGAGCATCTAGTTCCTTGATTATAATATACAGTCATCAATTTTGACGTTTTGATTAATAATGCTTGAAAGCAATTGAGATGGACGGTGCCATTTCCCAAATGATAGATCAGCAATCTGAAATCCGGAGTTCTCTGTTTTACAAACATTACCGAATTTAACAATATCCTGACAAATTGCAAATTTTTACCCCCAGATCGGCGGAGTAGTTGATAGAAGGAGATAAAGAATTTATGAGGATTCACATTTAAATAGTATGCGTATTTTCAAGTAAAGATTTCGTTATTCATCCATGAGATATATTTCATTATTTTTCATTTTCTAATGTTGAGATATACTGCTCGAATCTGTCATATTACATCGCGAAAAGCCGTTCCATTCATTACAAAATCAAGCCAAGTATCTTGATTATATGCAGAACTATTCGGTTGAACTATGGAGATCTATGATCTTGGAACCCGGTATAGCGAGAACAAAATCCTTGCCAAATACTTCAACAGGTGTCTGAAAGCCGGATTCAGTCTGATGATCCATCACTTGTTTGGCAGCTTGTACTGATGCCATTGAAGTGAAAGTATAGCCATTGACTATGTGGAGAGCGGCTCTCTGGGTAACTCCGTGTTCAGATGTGACACTGACTGCTGCATGATATGGTGTAGTCTTCCTCTCCGCGGCCGTTGGACCTTCCGGCAGCAAAGCAAGATCTCCAGTCGGAAAGTTTGCACTAGAGATATTCACATATGTTGCGATGTTAAGCACATTTGTAGATTTCTGTATGGTGAGGAGGTCGGGCAATGTAACCGGGAACGATGTAACATATCCATTGCCATCATCAAAATCGAATTCCGCCGTATTGCTGATATCTTGTCCAACCAATGATCCATCAACAAGTTGAAGGCACTGGCTTGTTATACTTTCTGCCGCACTTGTTGCTGATCCTCGTGAAATTGATCCAGCGATGCGCATGGCAATGTCAATCTTGATCGGGGTTTCGATTTGCTCGACAACATGACTAGCAAGACAGCCCAACATCACGACGCTTCCTCCACATCCGGGCATAAGTGTAACATTAGCACCTCTTGCGTCTTTGTCAAGCCTCTGCGCATGTTGATAACTGTCTAATTCTGCTGCGATATCTAGGTAATGCACTTTATTTCGGATGCATGCTTCGATAAGCGGCTTGGAAGTGTGTGCGAAAGGACCGGCACAATTAAGGAGAACGGAAGCTTCTTTCAATACTGAATCGGTCAAATCAACTTGGTTGATATCAAAAACCGAATAAGAGACGTCGAGTAGAGATGCTAGGCTCTTGAGCTTATGCTCTGTCCTGCCAGCAATTGAGAAGTTGAGATCGAGGCTTTTTGCGTATTCGCTAGCCAATCGGCCGGAGTACCCTGTTGCGCCATATATGATGAGTGGTGCCATATTATCTACTTTTTTCTTCTTGGAGAACTCTGTGGAAAGTTCGATAGATATGGGTTCATGGTGAAATATTTCAATCGTTTTATACAACTTATGGATCCACTTTCTAAATTTCACTGAGTTCGAATATCAATACTTACCAAGCTTCGGGCTCTGGTCTTGTCATGGAGTTGAAGTTGTGAGGTAAAAAACGCGATGTCCGGAATGACGTTGTGTGTTACCAACGTACTCGGAACTCCAAGCTGCTTATCCAGCACGCCCGCCAAGTAACCCCTTACATTCGTAATGCAACGCAGGTATATAAGTCAGCACTACCTAACTTAATTCACTAAGTTTGATCATTCATGAACTTATTATTCGCAAAAATGACAATCAACCATATCTTCTTCAACGCTTCCGCAGCCAAATTCCAAGCTTTACGATCATTCTATGAGGCGGTATTGAAACCCATTGGCTATACCGAGATGATCTGCGCGAACAACGATGCTCTCATCGGTTATGGCAGTGATTATCCTTATTTTTGGCTGAAGAAATTATCCGAAGGTCAAACACCGATGCCAACGCATGTTGCGTTTGATGCTCCGAGTAAGAATACCAAGGATGGAAATAAATGCAGTTGGCTGATGAAATGCACATAGATCGAAAGGCGGTAGATCAGTTCTATGAAATCGCTTTGTAAGTTGGATATATAACTTATCAATCTCTCTTGAATCTCTTATCGTTTCTCTTGTCGCTTGTTAAGAAATTTGTATTGTGGATAACTGACCATGTTTTAGACAAAACGGCGGACGTGATAATGGACCGCCGGGAATTCGAAAGGAGATGAGTCGGCAGCCGTACTATGCGGCCTTTGTCTTGGATATAGATGGGAACATTGTGGAAGCAGTTTGTGTTTTGAAGTAGTTGTATCTAGGAGCTACATACTCGATGGCTTTGATCAATTATCTCCTTGGAAATTTAATGCTAAAGCACCTCGTTCTTCTTTTCATCATGAGCTTTTATGCATACGAGGAAATAAAGCTCTTTTTTTGGCAGATATTAAGTTTGTAGCCATACTGTCGGACTACACTAAATAAAAATTACTTATTCTTCAATTTTTTTGATGCTTTCAATGAAGTTTTATCTCTTCAATCGGTGTCATCCCACTTCCCACTAAGTCTGCAGTCTCCCCATTCATTAACCCATAGACGAAGCACTCTCCTATAAGTCTCCAACCTGTTCCGTCTCTTCTCAAGACTAGAGGAACACTACATCCAGGTAGAACCACAATTGAATCACCTATCATAGCAGATGCGACCGTGAGACCAACCCTACCATTCTGAGTTCCAAACAATCTCCTCCACGCAAGAACATTGGCAGCCCACGTTGAAGAATCCCGCAAGTCATCATTACTTGTGCTCCTTTCTTCATCCCTAAATACCTTTCTTTCCTTGATGGTTTTAGCATCGGCTAGAAGATCTTTCAGATGTGTTCCACAAATGGCCAGTTCCTCATTGCGTTGCGCGAAGCTATGCAGACTGAAATCGAGACCTGAACCGCCACCTTCGGTTGTACCAAATACCGTCCATAATCGTGGTAAGCGAAGAACCGCCCATGAAGGAGAAGGTTTCTCGCCGTTGGGCGTGGTATCCGCTACAATAGTCTTCCAGAATGCTTCTTTGAGACCATCGATGGTTCCATATGCATTTTGAATCGAGGATGCATTGATATGGTTCTTTGGGAACGCTCCATCGTTCTCGTGAGCGTTGAATGCTGAAAGTGTAGCTATAGAGTCGACAAAGACGGCATGTGATGATATAATGTTATCACGAAGAAATACTGGAGGTGAAGGATGTGTGAAGCCACGATCTGCTTTGTAAATACCAGGAAGAAACATGACCGGTGCGGCTGAGCATGACCAACAAACCACCCAAGAGGGTAGTTTGTGAATACAAGGTGCTGCAACCTCCATGAACCGACCTCCTATTATTTTACGCATCCAACGAGGATTATTCGCAGTTATTGATGATAGCATAATTTTATCAACAGGAGAATGAACCAATCTGAGAATGTCCAAGCCGTGATCATTATTTGAGATTATTTCACGTGTGAAATTGGTAAATATCTCTGGGAGCTCGATTCGGTAATTGGGCGATACTTTCGTCAGTTCTTTCACGCAAGGTATAGCAAGAATCCCATAGACTTTATCCCGTGCATCGGTAGCTTGCGCTTGTCTTGCCAACTCAAGAGCCGGCAGAGCGGTACTGACACCCCCATGATTCCACTCACGCATGTTTTGAATACGGATAAGATGTTTCCACTGTTGTCCAGGAGTTCCCTCGCGATCTTCTATTCGTCGATCTATCGTGGCTATGGTTGTACGCCGATCAGCATCATTTGTATGTGTCGTAATGTCTTGCAAAACAGTATCTTCTTGTCTTTCTATCATCTGACAAGCTTTCCATATATCGCGTAGACACATAGAATGATCTCCCCAGATAACAGGTGCATCCATTCTAGCCATGGCCAACTCTTGCAAAATCCAAAGACGATGCCAATATTGGCATGCAAAAAACGAACGGAGAGATTTATACGCAAAGTCATGCCATGGCAAAGTGTAGGGGGCTGACTCCACTGCATTGGCGGTATTATGGTGCAAGTTGCCATATTTGACAGCGAATTCTCTCAGCTTTTCATTCGACCCTATCTCATGAGCTAGCCAGTGTAATATTGTATATGCCATGGTCGTATTTGAAGTACTTGGACCAAGAGAGACTACCACTTGCCATGCCATAGCATAGATATCTCTCATGAGCTTTACTTGCTGCTCGCGCTCATCTAGATCATCCTGATTGATACATAACGCATCAATCCACAAGTTAACACGTCTTCTCACCCAATTCGACTTTCGCAATTCTATTAGGGCAGTGCGTAGATTTTGTGTGACTTGCATCTCAATTCCATTGACTAATATTGTCTTCTTGTCCGCGAGGGATCCCCAGACATATGATAAGGCAACATATCTATCTGAGAGATGGGGTAAACTTTCAGTGGGCGCAACAGCTTCATTGGATCTGCTTTGAGTCTCTTTCAAGGACTTGATATATGCTTTTAAAGGGCGGTCAAAAAGTCCCCTTCTAGGTTTAAACAGCGTCGTATAATCGTATGGCTTCGGATTAAGACCTCTCCACACCCGCTCGGATGCTGTTTCATTGTCGACGAATTCCTGAGATACACCTAATTCTGTGAGTTTAATCGGACGCATTTGGCATGATATCATATCAGAATCATCAGGATCAGAACGAGAACTTGGCTCGAGACATAAGACTCGAATTTCATCGGCACCCAAAGGTCGGTAGAGCAATGCACTCCAGGTTGGGGAGTCGGTCATGGCGATTTAATGATCAGCCAATTTACCCATGAAAGAAGAATATTTTGAGAGGATCGCTCGAGGAGAGACAGCAAGTACAGCGCATTTCGCGATGATTACTTTCACCCCCACCTATGAAGAGGAGGATGCGGCAATCGATATCAACATTGCTTATTGGGCCAACTTAAGGCATATAACGAGTGATTCCATCATGCAAGCTTCTGTGTTTTCAGAACAAACTGATGGATGAATTACCCTCGTCTCTGAATCACTGTCATAGGACAGAGTCTTTTCTGCAAAGTACTCACGTGCTAGTCATTCTTCTACCATTAGGGCACATACACCACCCCTGCACTCCGTCAAACTTGATCGGGACTAGCGCATTAGTAATCATCATCCTATCTTTTGATCTCGTCTCATCCCTCGTTTTCATTCTTTTCAATGTTTACAATCAAACTTGATTACAGCCTAATCAAGAATCGTTGCAACAAATATGATTTATCGTTATGGATGATGCTTACAGGTAGCTAATTAAGTGGCTGTGAGTCTTTTTTGATATTTGGTAATCACATATGTATTTTCTGGATGAAGCTCTAATCTTGAGATTTCATTGGCTTTCAGATGGTCACACCTTGATCCTTGTGTAGTTACATCGCTCTTGCCCCCATGGCTTACATTTGCTTCAATTTCTTATTTTTGTCTCGCGTTGTCCGTGTTGGATGGGGCTTCAGATCCTGTGCCTCACAGATACATATTACGGTGAAGCTTCAAACATTCACAGGTTAATAATTATCACATCACTTGGAAACAATCTTGGAGACATTGATATGGAATCGAAACAAGTAAATTCGATTCTAGAATGTATAGTCATGAAACCCAAAGTTAAACACGCTATGCACCACCATTATGCTCCTATAATGCGCCTATTGTATTTCGAAAATGCAGTCCATCAAATTCAATAATCCACGTAGTCAATTTGTCCCCAAATCCACAACATATTATTCTATCCCACCACGAGAATCAATCATTCTTTTTGGTCTGCAATCTCCTTCATAATCCTTCACATTTAAATCAAGAAACGGGCGAAAGCAAGTGCGATAACGGCGATAGCACCCTTGGAGAATTGCTTGACGGTTGGTTGACCAGCGTTGGCAGTGGTGGAAGCAGTAGCAGCGGAAGAGGAAGCCGAAGCTGAAGTCTTGCTTGTTGTCGAAGGCTTTGCGCTGCCGGAGGCAGAGGTAGAGACAGAGGTTGAGTTGACGGCGATTGTTGCGGTGGCTTGGCCAGAAGTTGCGGTAGTGGTAGCAGCACCAGAAGATGTAGTAACGGTGATGGGGACAAGAGTGGCAATTGCAGCTGATGACTCAGTGGAAGTTGGGTAGATGGTACCGCTGCCAGGAATCTCATGTCCTGAAGCGTCATCCAAGGTGCAGCCGTAATCGACATCTGGTGTAATACCAGCACTTGAACCGAAGCATTGTTCGAAAGCTTGTTGATCAGCACTGCTAGTAACATTGCAGTAACTGTAGCAACCGTCCATGATAACGTTGACGGGAGCACTACCGCAACATTTTGTCATGGCGCTCACGGCGGCAGAGTTGGAGGTGATGTTACCTGCAGTGCAAGCATTGACATATTCGTCGCTGCCGGCGAGCACGAGAACGGGGAAGAGGGTGTCGGAAGGATCAGTGCAACTCATCTTGGCGGTTGATAATTAAAGAGTTGAAGTTGTTTTAAAGGTTTTATTGTTGTGGTGTTTGGAAGTTGTGTGTTTGTAAGGTTGATGGTTTGAGTTTGTAAAAAATTGAAAGGTTGTTGACCTTAAATGAAGAAGGATTTGAAAAGCAATGAGATAACCGAAGCAGGCGCAGTAGCTGAGTCGCTAGTGCCGTAATTTGAATAATCTCAATTGAGAGGAAAAAAAAAGCAGATGATATTTTCCGTTTGCTTAAAGGAAATTGGCAAAAAAGTGAATATTGATAAGAGAAAAACTCTTTGTGAGGCGGAAATCGTAAGGATTCTTAAGACCTTTTAAAGCTCTCTATTCACTTCGTACTCAGTATGACATTCTAAAATCCTGAAGGCTTATTTGAAAGGATTCTATAAATACCGGATGGTCATATGCAATTACCGGGGCAGAGCAATTTGTGTAATACAACAGTTGGAATAAGCAATCAAGGCTGTGCCGGGTACCTGCAGCAATTACAAGCCACAGAACAACATATTATTTGTTTCCAGTGAATTGGCAGCCAATGGTATTTCTCGAAAGAGGCCTGTGTTATTGAGAAATCTCTCAACAAATATAGCTGTAGCTACATTGCATTGATGTGGTTGTATCTCACAGGCGCAGTAATTTTAAGTCAGCACAAAAATAGTTTCCCGGTTTCACAAACCAACAGCCCCCAACACGAGCAACTTCCATTTTCTGTCTTCTGCTTCTTTTCCTGAATCGTCTTTGAGACGAGTAGGATCGATTTGTCTCCTCTCTTAAATCACAATTGATGATTTCTCCACATTAATGTTATGGGCCACTTATCAGTAGACCTCTGAATTGATTACTCAGCTAGTTTTGTAAGCACATAGTCATATAATCACTCCTATAATCCTACAAAAACTTCCACACAAATTTCGAGCAGGAACTTGGGGACTCGGGGCCAATTAGTGATTGTCGTATGTCAGATTTCGCATTATTCACAATTTGAACACAGAATTAGGCGTCCACTTTTTTTGATCGTAAAGTTTCAGCCAATTACAGTTACCATTTGTGGTTAATCATTTACTCTATTGATGGGCCGCTGCTGATCAGGCCAGTGCTTAAACTATGGCAGTAATCGTGGGTGCGGGGGAGTTCTCAAACCTACAGGGGAATATAACCATAAGCACTAGCGAGTTACTATGGGCCAGTCATCATCGTCGTCCTTGTGTTCTTACTTGTGCCTGTAAGCATTTTCCACCCGCTGTGGATATTGCCATAGATCTGTTTATTGGTCGCTTTACGTACAGCCTCAATTAAGATTAGCACGTTATGCCCCTGGTCTCCCACATTCTTCCTTCAACATCCTTCTGTAACCTCATCTCTAGTTGAGGCTTACGTACTCATATGAAGAACATCTATTCTTGACACTTTTCCACCGGTTTAGGAAAATACCTAGTGATCAAGTTGTTCCTTCGAAAACGTTCGAGAATTGAGGTTGATATGCCGTTCAAGCCGATGTGTTTGATCATCCCGAGAAGTTAGCTTCTCACGTGGATACCACCATGTTCTCCTATGTAATGCTGTTGAAGGAGTACCCGAAATTTACTCACAGTCAGCATCCTACGCAGAACACACTGCTTTTTTACTGTTCATGATAAGTTTTTGGGGGAAGTCTTCTAAAAATGTATCTCCATGACTCGCTTGGCTGGGGGGAAAACACATACACTAGAATCCAGGCAGTTCTTGGCACCTCTCACCACCAGGTTCACAGAAATCCTTCTATGATCATGTAAATTGCGTGATGATTGATCTGATTATTCCATCTTGTGAGGCTCGAGGGAGAGAGGATGGTCGGTATATAAGACAGAGGAGTGTTACTGACTCCTACCTTCCTCTCTCCATCTCATTTCACATTCTTTTTACAGCATCTCTCTAGTCATTCTTTTTTTCTATCCTAGGATCTATTGGTCCGTTTCATTCATTCATTGAGTGCTGTTTTTGATACGAATAACCTATTTTCACATTTCTTCCATTTTTCTTTGAAATTGCAATTATAATATCTATATCATGCGTCAATCAGTCCTTGCTCTTGCGGCTCTTTCTTTATGGCAGAGTTGCACTGCTCAAGCAATCAAGGAAACTCTAGTTCCATATCACCCGAGAGACCTTGGTCTTCAGAGAAGAGATGCACCACCTAGCGTCACTCTTCAAAATGAACTCAGTCTTATCTGGGGATCATCGAATGGTATGTTGCCTGCTCTCTCTCAATTTCGAAATGATGATTTAACAAACAATAGGTTCAACTTTTGTCAATGTAACCCTTAACACAGGCGAAACCGAGCTTGTTATCTCCACCGAGCATTTTGCCGACAGTCTCACAGACGTGCAATGCAACGGTGATCTTGTGCTTACCTTCAAAGACAACGCTACTTTCCAAGATGCCATTTCCGATTGGTCCTGGGTCAACTTCCATGAGAATCGTACATTTTTCATGATCAATAACTGGGGTGCGTGCGCTGCTGCATCGGAATCCGGTAGACAGCCATGGATTGTTCATGGAGTCGATGTTTATGATGAGCAAAACTTCATCGTCAACTTCAATGCTACTCTTTCAGACTGGGATGATGTCATGTCTGGTGCAGTTATCGAGTTTGGTGCCATGTCAACATCTTCATCATCAAAGAGAACCGACACTGTTAGCAAGACCTTATCCCTCAACATGGCCCACAGTCTTCCTCAGACCTTCTTCAGCAAATCTACCAACAGTGGACTCGACTTCTCCATCGACTGTCCTGGTTGTGCTACCACCGGTACTATCGATGTTCAGGGAAAGATTATTATGAACACCATCATTGGTATTCCAACCAGTGTCAAGTCTATCTCTATCACTGCTACTCCAAAAGGTGTAGGTGCTAACTTGGCTCTCGGATTCTCTGTTTCTGGTACCTTAGGTAGTGGATGGACCAAAGACTGGAACTTGGTTACTGTTAGTCTTCCAGGATGGTCTATTCCAAAAATCATTGACTTGGGTCCTCAATTCACCGTCGATGCCGGTTTTTCTCTGAGCGGTATCGAAGGAAGTGCTTCAATCAGCGCTGGTGTCAACGTTGCCATCCCAGACTCTTCCTCCGCTGTTCTTGGTATCAGCGGTGTTGATTCTAGCTTCAGTGGATGGATTCCAACAGCGACTCCTCAAACTCCTAAGGTCAGCGTTGAGGTCGATGGAAGCTTGGAATTGTACACCGAACTTGGTCTTGATGTCGGACTTACCGTTCTCAGTAAGTGGGGTTTTGGAGGTGGGCTTTTCCTCAGAATCCCAGACGTCAAAATTGATCTCGGAGCCGAATTCAACACCCAAGGTGTGTGCCCTGGATCAGCCGATGTTTTCGGTGTCACATTAGGTGCAACCGTTGGTGTCGATCTCAACCTTGGTGTTTACACTGAATCTGGCGGAGACAAGAGCTGGAAAGCAAAAACCTCCATTTACACCAACAACAACTTGATCACTCCTATTGACAAATGTTTCCCTCTCGGCCCAACTCTTCCAGCCGGTGGCAAGGGCGTCTCGATCAAGACTGTCGGTACCGTTCCAGTTTCTTCTGCTAAGGCAGTTTCCACCACCAAGGCCGCTGCTACCACCTCCGCCAAGCCAACTAGCGCTGCCACTTCATCCAAGGCATCATCTGTATCTGCCAGTGCCACTCCCAAGACTTCAGGATCAGCATCGGCTACTAGCATCAAGGTTTCTGGAACCGGTGCGTCTTCATCTATCAAGGTCTCTGGTACCACTGTGCCTTCATCTATCAAGGTCTCTGGCACCGGACCCTCCTCAAGCAAGATAACTGGCACTGGTATTTCTGGATACAGCACCAGTAAGATCGTTGGAACTGGCGTCTCTTCCAGCAAAATTGTTGGAACTGCCGTTTCATCATCTGCTCACGGATACGGATCTGCTCCAGCTTCCTCCTCTGCACTTGGCTACGGAACTGCCCCAGTTTACCCTACCACTACAAAACTCTCCGGAACTGGAGTATCCTCATCTAGTAATGTCGCTGGTACTGGTATTTCCTCGGTCGCCTCTTACGGCACTCATCCGGATACTACCGCTTCATCGATCAAGGGTGCCAGTACTTCAACTGTTAAGACTTCGGGTACTGTTGTGATCAGTAGCTCGATTTACATCTCCGCTTCAGGGGTTAGCTCGGTCAAGACTGCTATCGGTTCATCTGCCTCATCTGCACTCGGACTTGAGACTAGTAAAGCTTCCACATCAGCAAAGGCAACCACCGCAACTGGTGCTCCGGTTTACGCAGGATCTTCCACTTCTTCCGCTCTTGGTCTCGAGACAAGCAAAGTTTCTTCTATTGCTGCCTCTTCGACCAAAGTTTCCAGCACAGTCGTAGCAAGCTCCACCTCAACCAAAGCCTCCACAACCGTCATCCCAACCAAGACTGCCACTGGAACCGTTGCCCCAGCTCCAACAGCCACAGGTACAATCTCCACCTGCGACAAATGGGTCACCATCGAAGATGACAACTGCTCTTGCACAAACATTGAGAACTACTACGGTGTTAGTGCCACTAATCTTAATCTCTGGAACCCTGCTCTCGGAAGCGAGTGTAAATTGACTGTTGGACAAGCCGTCTGTATTGGAGTCAAGGGCTCTTACAAGCGATCTGTCAATGGTCGTCTTGCTCGATTCGTTGATGCTTAAATGAAATGCTCCGGATGGGGGCAATAAAAGGACAGATTAGATGTGATATGAATGATATTTGCATTTTGAAGGGTCAATGGATTGGATTTTGGATTTCTTTATATTTCTTTTTTGTTTTCTTAGGGATTGGATTGGATTGCATCGAATCGGATCGGCCGATTTGCATGGCTAGATTTGATGGGACTTATTTACCTATTGCATTGATGCATTTTTGTATGAATAGAACTAAAAGATTGGGGGTGAAAGAAAATGAAATTTAAGTTGATGATTTTATAGTATGACTTTTCCCTCGGCTATTCTGATATGTGGAGTGAAATTCAAGATGAGATGAGAGCTTTTGAGTACCTCCCGTCTACAAAAGTCAATGGCAAAATGTACAATCTGACTGACTATTCTTGAACAGGGTAATGATGCGAAGCGAAGTGGGCTGTGAAGTAAACATCGTTTCGTTCTCATCTTACACGGTTGGTCATGTGAGCATGTACAAGCACCGGCTGAAATGGATAAAGCTGGGTACAAAAAGCTTTGGAATATGATTTCTAGCACTGGATCTAAAAACCTTTCAAGCAGTTCATTCATTGAATATTAATCAATACATAGAATGAAAATGGAGTTCTGAATTTCATCTTCAATTCCGTGTCTCCGCAGTGAATGTCATGTAACCTCAACACTTCGCTAGCTCATTCTTCACAACCAATTTTGACCCCTGCTTCACAAATTAAAAAGTAACCAAGGTTTTCCGATTTCGGTATCAATCTTCACGATCAGTAATTCGGTTTCTCGGAGTTGGCTATCTCATAGCACTTTTTAGTGCTCTAAGCCTGGGCTGAGATTCAGATAATCCTTTGATGCATATTCGCCATCGCCCGTCAACAATACACACGAAAAGTCAAGTCGAAGGTGATCGAGCTTCATTCAGTTAAAAAGATCACACCATCTTTTTGCCAATATACTGTGAAGATCCAGGCGTTACATACAGCCATGTCTTTGAAACGTAGCCGATTGCCCCCCGCCGACGAGGAACACGATGATGATCCTTTCAAGGAGCCTTGGACGCCATTTACAGAGTAAGCGTTTGTTCAATCTTTGATCTGGAAACCAGGGCTAATGCTTTGATCAGCGTTTTAGGAACAGAGTTGATTCGGGTCGTTGTAGGCAAAAACAGTTATCAGAAGGTCTTTCATGTGCACAAAAACATACTTTTCGACAAAATACCCTGTTTCAAGCAGCTTTCCAAAAACAACCGCAAAATCGTCGAATTCCCAAATCAAGTACCCAGTACTTTCGACGTGCTTGTTGAATGGGCCCACACAGATTGCTTGCGAGGCATTGAGATGCTTGGTGGAGATGACCAAGATTTTGTTCAATACAGATCCTGGGATCCCGTATGTCTCTACCAACTCGCAGAAGAATTACTTCTTCCAGGGCTTATGGACCGAGTCATGGAGGTTCAGAGAAGGTTCGATGATCTACACTGTGCCAGTTACGATCCTGATGGTCTTAAAGAAATCTACGGAAAGACTTCTAAAAACTCGAAATTCAGACAGTACACTGCAGAAGTGGTTGCACATGTAGTCCGCAACAATGCAGAGGAGGAAATTCCAACGCCCGATTTGGTGTCTGCCATGGAGAACAAAGATCTCGCTAGTGATTATTTAAGTATAAGTCGGAGGGCGACCATCAAAGATCCACGCAAAGGCTCAGGCTGTCGATTTCATATGCATGAGAAAAATGAGAAGTGCTCGGCAAAAGATCATCGATGGGAAGGAAAGGCCACTATTCTATCACTTGAACAAATAAAAGAGAAGAGACTACCCCCAGCAAAGAGACCAAGGCTCTTCAGAAGCTCTCAAGAGTCTTGAATATAGTCCGGAACAAGATAATCGAGGTTGGGGTTTTAGGTTACTATCACACTTCAAGATCATTGAGATGTTGAATTTGTATGGGGTACTAAGGTCCTTTGATCCTGTCATATGTATCTGGATGTTCATGAAGCTCGGGCATGATCGTTTTCCAATGCTAAACTGTACTCTGGACTTTGGGCAGCTCAAATCTTTCTCAGTTGATCTCTTCAGATACTTCGCGGGCTCAAAGAAGAGATCAGCTAGATGACATCTTAGATACTGGAAGGATTTAATTTTTGGGTGTTTAGACACGGATACGCTTCTCAATTGAGCATGGAACGTTTTGTAGGAATCTCAAGACTTCATAAATTTAAGGAAACAAAAATAGGGGCAACGCAGCTCAACTTAGCTTCCTTTCCAGAGTAATCAATGCATATGCAACGTCTCTCAATTAACTCTACTTAGCGAGATCCGGTGACTGATTTTCAAATGGTGCCACTTACTTACATGCTATCTATCAATTTATGGTTCCAATATGTTCTTGATGAAAAGATTTTTGGGACCCAATTGAGGTGCTTTGAATCTCAACTGGTAATGGTCATATCAGAGAACACATCGCCCAAGATTATAGCCATGTTGGTATACCTCCTTCAGCCAAAGTATGCGTGAACTTTTAGTCATTGACCTAATCTGATCACCAGTCTAGATCTAAGAATGTCCAAGAGCACCTGGCAGATCTCTATCATACATGTTATCCCAGGTTCGGATGGGGATATAATAATGTTTTGAAATGAACTGTCCGTGGAAAACCATTATCCCGCAAGGTCGGCAATTTTGAGGTCAAGTGTCTTCCTGATCTGTCTGACCAAAGCCCCTCGACATCTAGATTGCGAGGCCGGTGGCCTTTTGTTTTTGGTGGTGAATAAAACGTCACGTGATTTGGGAACTTGTCGATCGAAAACTGCGTCCGAAGGGCGCCCATCCATCGTAAATGCATGATAGTCTTAAATTATATCACATGATTGTGTGCTCACGAAGATGATGGGATTCAGATGTTAATTTCAATATTCACTGATTGTTGATTATAAAAGAATTTGCTGCAATTTTCTGCGCCTGGCATTGTTCTCGTTACTCCCAGGCTATTCAAGCTTATGAATAGAGATAAAATAATTGTACGATCATTGTTCCTGGAAAATATCTTTTCAATTGACTACCAAGTCATTTCTTAGGGCTTGGTGAAGTCTCTACTATTACTTGCAAACAACATAGGCGATCAATTCATGTGCCAAAATCCTCTTTCATAAATCCAAAAGTTCATTGAAAAGTTTTACAATCATATACGGTTGTGGGATATCATTGACAGACTGCTGCACCATGTCCCGAAAGCGCAGCCACTCTGATGTCTCTTCGGGATATTCTACAACCTCAGAAGATAAAGATTGCGCCAACAGTGAAAATCTCACTTCTCCTTTCTTCGTAGAGTAATTCAAATACACACCCAAACACGAAATTTTAAGCTGATCGCGATATATAGTTCGGTGGGATCAGAGATGGTCGACATCCACGTTGGTCGTGGTAAAGAGAAGAAGCTTTTTCGTGTTCACAAAAAAAGGATCTGCACACAATCTTCATACTTCAAAGAATGTTTTAAAAACGGAAAAAAGGTCACGAAACTCCCCTTTAGATCTCCCAAGCTCTTCGATATGATAATTGAGTGGGTTTACACTGGTAACCTGCATGCTATCGAAGATACAACCCCGCATAGCACAATGTATTCGTTGTATCAACTTGCAGAGTTTATAGAACTGCCGGCCGCCATGGATAACATTATGGACCTAATTCGCAGCAGACATTATGAGAAGGACTTCTATATCGGAGCACGCAGCGTCGAGGATATTTACAACAACACCTGCTTGAATTCACAACTCCGAGCTTATGCTATCGAATTGTTTGTGTACAATCTTCGAGGGGATACTGATGAAAAAGAGGAGGTGATTCCGAATCATGCTGTATCATCACTTCTCGGAGTATCTGGTTTCACTGATGATTTCATAAGCTTGAGTCGGGAGATCACCATTGAGGATCCTCGAAAGAGCGGATGCCGGTTCCATGTTCATGGAGAGGATGATGTCTGCGGAGAAACAGAGGATACTGATGAGTTTGGCGATGACGAATACGTCTGGAAAGCTGCAAGTGATGATGAGTTTGAAGAAGATGAAGACGTCATTGGCAGCGATGAAGGCGGAAATGGAACTGAGATTAGGGATGTAAAGATCGAAGTAGACCTTGAAGCTTAGATTGTTGAAAAGGACCGGATTGAGTCTCGAGGCCAAAGAGACTTGTAAGAAAGGATGATCGAAGAATGGTGTAACTTCATAAGATCTAAGACCACTTGTTTCTCCCTTTAGATGGCCATAAATTCATTCTTGTTGTTTGTATTTGTGCCCCATGATTTTCCTTGTTTGGTGAAGATGAATACCGTACCTCGAATCGACGTTCAACCTAGTTGTTCCCATAGCATTCTAATCAAATGTAAGCTATTTCTGGTCAAATGTTGGATGGAGAAGGATCAGATTATAAATGAAGGAAAAATGTTTTGGCGCAATTGTGAAAGATGATGTCTATCCCAGAGCCGACGCGATATAGCTAGCGGGTGGTTAAGAACATGTTACCACCAATACCTAGTAGTTACAATCAGATCTCGTCATTACAGGCGATTTACTGAAATTGACAAATAAATAACATGGACTCTGTGCCCAGGTGTATACCACACAATACCATGTGTTCTGGTGTCAGTCTGACAAGAAGAAATGATTTTCGACGTGGCCCAAACCACCTTGGCAAGGACTACCCTAAAGAATTTGAATACACTCGCAGGAGAGTGATTACATTTCCCTCTCTTCCACGTGGCTCTGAAAGTGAAAAAATAATCAAATTTAAGTTTCAATTTAGAGGATTAGAGTTCATCTAGTTCAGACATAAGTCTGAAAATCACTCCTCTTAAACCTTTCGCGCTACTCAATACCATCACCGTCACCTACACGAAGATATTTTAAAGAATTGTATTCAGGTCATTCTAATTTGTTCTTGTCAAAGATATTGTTATACAACACTTAATTCTTATGAAAAAGATATAGTACGTCTTCAGCAGACGTGTCGCGAAATTGACAAAGTTCCTTGGAGCTCTTGAAAGAGCTTCCAATTTACCACGAATTTTGATGTTCTGAATTGTCTCATTTCGTAGGTAGTTTTGATACAATACAGCATTCTGCAGACGCCATAGTTCTACTTCCCAGTCTGGTTGCATGAGGAATATATGAAATAACTCGGAGTTTTAGATGGATAAAAAGAAAACAATACAGCATGGTTTAATGCTTGTGATACGTTCACTTTCTATTCTACGGCGTCGAATCATCTTTCCTGGGCCATTTTCTATCTTAAATTGAGTGGAAACATTGTGATATGAGATGTCAGGATAAATGTTACAGGTCTATCACGCCATCTTTCATACAAGCAGCTGACTTTTTGAGTTGTTTATCAATTGTGCGTCAGATCGGTTTACTTTTATGCACAAAATGCACTATTCATTCGCTAGACAAATCAATTTGGAGGAGCTTAACTAGTTTTTCGCAAGCGTAGGAATATTGACTACATACACACCTTCATCGTGGCTGTCATCATCGCCCTTGAAGATGCCAAGTTACAACCGTCGTCTGAAGATCTTAGCTTCGTTCAATGGCGCTGAGATTTACACTGAATCATTGAATACACCGTGTTCTCTTGAATTGAATTGAGGTTCCAGTCAGCATAAGATATATTAGATACCACTAAAACGTCACCTTCCAGAAACTCGAGATATAGGAAGTATACAGCCAACCCATTGCGAAATATGAGCCGGTCAAGATCGCTTTTCACACATAATTACTAAATTAAAATAAAGACCATCTCAACGTCGAACTGTAGTTGTAAATATACGAGATTGTGAGCACATTAACTACTCATCATGATATTGGACCGGATTCCCTAGTTCATAGGGTTGAGGGAAGTGCACATGCCCTCAACCTCTGACACCTGGATAGTCATTTCAGAATTGCTTTCCTTCTGCAATCAAAAAAAGCCTTGAGATTATTACTGTTTCATGTAGTACATCTTGAAAAATGTAATGAAAAGAGGCACGAGTGAAGTTTTGCATTCTAGGTGGATAGATATCACGCATCTGGGGGATGCTCTTCATCAAGACAACATAGTGTATACGGATAGATATAATTTGTAAGAATTAACACCAGATTTATAACCATTTCAAACTAGGACTTTCTATAACGAGTTATTTTAAGTAACCTAGTTGAACAAAAGGTAGTGTATGATAAAATGAGTCACCCCTTTGAGCTAAGTGTGAGGTCGGACAATACTTGAAAGCTGCTGGATTGATCGAAATCTTGAATTTGATTGTAGGGACAATCATATTAGCTTTAACGTGAAGTATTCGAATGTTTAAATGTGATAAACTTTCTATAAATCATGATTAGTATAAGTTTAACCTGTCACTAGTTCATAGGGCTAGAAAAAAGAACGAATCTAGCATTTCCCACACAATTTTTCGAAGTCTATATAAAGATGACAGACCCCCTCTTTCTTCTTAACTTTTATGTTAATCAATTTCTTTGTTTCAACTTTCATCATGCAATTGTGTTCACTCCCTTTGGGCAAATTAATATTTAATATCTAATTCAATCCATTCGCTTCGATAAAACTTACCGGTCTACACATAGTTTACTTCCGCTATTGCGGTGTACCTGCTACGGAATACTCGCATTCGAACGATCATATATACGATCTCTCTACTCCATCTTATCACTGTCTCATTGTCTTGAACGGCATTGGATACCATCTAATATCTTTTATATTCGCTTCATATACAAGCATTTAAGCGAGAAAGCTTCACACCACGCAACAATGTCGGATAATTTACAAGAGGTACAGATGGAGGGCTTGACTGCACAAGAGTATGTCATAATTTATTTCCATACACTTGATATGTTTTACACGATTGGATACATACAATAAGCTCTTCTTCAAGAAATCACACCTCAATATAATCAGTTGAATGCTTTACAGATTATTTAATCTTGAGCATCGATGGATGTAAACTGAAATTATTACTAACGAGATTTTACTGAGTACAGGCTCGAGGAAACTGTCTCTTTTTTCGTAGAACGTCAAGAGTTCAAGCTTAATAGAAGCCTTCTATTTCGTAAAGTTGATATTTTAAAAGACGAAAACTTTCCCCTCCCCTTGAGGGTAGATATCGAATCATTCAGAGCATTTTCAGTATGGCTACACCATGATCATTTACCAATGTTGCAGGGGATTTACCACGAGACAAGTGGCCAAATAACATACTCAGGTTATGACCCCGAAAATTTGTATAGATTAGCCACATTCTTCGACCTGTGCTCTCTCGCCGACAATGTCATGGATTGTATCAGAAAAGCTCACAATTCTTTGGGTGTTGGTTTCTCCAAAGATGCCATTACGAAAATATACAACCAACAACTTCCGCATTGGGGACTAACTCTTTATGCCGCTTTATGGATACATCTCGAGGATACACGTCCAAATAATTACATGAAACTTACCACCAAAGCTGAGCGTGACGATCTTTTGGAAAATCAAATTATCGCTGCTGATGTGAATCTACATCGCGGACCGTGGTATCCGGGAAGCCAAAGCGCATGCAGATTTCATCTTCATCTTGCTCATATGAATGAAGCGTGTATACGAAATCACAGTGTCGATCTCTGCACGTGGGTTATTGATAAAGATGGCATGGTGGAAGAGTTGCAAAATTGGAGAACAAAGAGGCTTCTGAATCCAGTAAACACTCAAAGCAATCTAAGCTCGCAGGTTTCAGAAGCTTCAGTTGATACTAGCTCTGATTAGGTACTACTGAGAAATCAAGGCCCTCAAACCGGGTTAGAGAGTCTGCAATTTCTTGAGCATGCATAGAATTTCATGTTCAAAACAGCGTAGTGGTGGTATGGCTAGGTTCTGGCTATCCTGTATAAATTGGGTTTTGATATATCAGCGAATCAAGAGCTCATTTAGTAGTTTATACAGGAACTTAAGGACGGAAAATTACATCAATTTGGGGCATAGCCACACTTGAATCAATTCCCCACCGATCTGATATCTTGATATAACATGCGATTTGTCAGACTAAAACGTATATAAGCGTTTAACTCGGAGTTCTTAAAAAAACCAAGATTAACACAGACCAATAGTAAAATATAATCTTTTGAATAAGTTCTATATATAAAAGAAATAGCAGAAAAAAAATCTCTCAGAACTCAAAAGCTGGTCGTTATAATAAAAAGTGCATATATCTACAAACATCGAAGAAGCTTTGTAGTTCTATAAAGGCTATCTTGAAAATAAATGGTTACTAGATGATAGATTCAATTCTATATAGTATACAAAATAAGTAGTTTTGACCCATGTAGTCATTCCAGTTATGTAAATATGGAGAAATTCATTCTTGGTTCAATATTAACAGGTCTCATTTCACAACATCAAGCCTTTGATATAAAATTTCTGTTTTAATTTTTTTCATTTCATAAATCTCAATATGCCGGAAGCTTAGAATCCCTCTCCCAACGCCCTGTAACACGAGACTTACAATTGGAGCTCCTGCTGTGTACCTGTAAATGTAAAGTGACGGGCATGGAACTCAAGATCTCGTCTTTCCCTATGTCCAGTCTTCACAATAATAAGCTCATCCACATACCTACTGCCATATGTCAACCCCAAAGAATATAGCTTGTGAATGTCAATCGACAGAGTGCAGCTAGCATCTCAACCATGCCACTTGTTTCCTACGCAGGAGGAGCATTGAATTGCCATTGAAAAACACGCATAAACTTAGAACCAAGAGCCTCCACCAACTCTTCGCCGAACCACCATTCCTCAAATCGCGCAAAAACAATCTAAGAGTCCTCCCTCCATCTCACAACCCCCTCACCATTCTCAGAACCCACCTCCGCATTCATCCTCTCCTTCATCCCTCCACAAACCCCTCCATAAACTTTCTCCAACACCTCAAACATCTCATCCGTATTCTTAAACTCAAACTTTTTATGAATACTCATCCTTACCTCCAGATACGCTCTCGGTTTTTCCCCCAACCTCGACAGCACATACGCCATCCGAATCGAAAAACGTGCGTCGCTATACGCCTTCAATTTTTTCTTCATCTCCTTCTCCCATTCTGCATAGGGGATTCCGATATAGGGGATGGGATATCGGGAATAGTTGGGATTGGGGTTGAAGATGCGGGGGTCGGGGATTTGGATGGTGTTTGGATCGAGGGATCCGGGATAGCTGGGATCGGAAGGGTTTCTTGGGAAGACATTTGATTCGGATGACCAGGCATCGAGTGCGTCGGTTCGGGGATCGTAGGATGGGGTTCTGTTGGGGTTGAGGTGTTAGTAGGGTGTTTGATGGGGGTGTTGTTGATTGGTGTACTCACGTCATTGTGTGACTTTCTTGATGTGAAATTTTGATGCTGTGGGAAAGATTTCGCTGTTTGAATATTCATTTGTTTGTTCTTGAAAGATCGTTGGGGGAAGGTCGCCTATAGGAGACGGTATAATTGTGAATCTTGAATGGCAAAACTACTCGAGGCCAAGCTTTCAAGGTTTTCCAGAACGGGTGTCTGCTTGATTTCTAAGTGATGTTCACACCATGGATACGACATCTCTTATTAAAAGTGAATTCAAGTCATTAATTAGCCGTACTCGGGATGAGTTCGGGTTCTTTCATCAAATGTTTGACAAAAGTTCAAACCCTGAAACTATTGGGGACATTCATACTCAAGAGAGTATAATTAGGTGAGACTAATATATCAAAGATTTCATTGAGAACATTCAGGTTCAAATCAAAACCAGAGAAGACTTCGATCTTTTATAGTATGTCTGATTCAACATATCTTTAACCTCAGTATCCTATTGACCTCAGTATCTCATACCATAGATGCAGTTCCAGTCCCAACATACCTGATATATCGAGCATCAGACAAAAGAAAAAACACAACGCCAAAGCAACCTTAGCCTGATCATCGCATCTACAGCATAGCAACGCAAGTTTTACAGCAAACTACCATTTCAAATACATATACAACGCGAGTTGAAAACCAATGAGTAATTCATTGGATGATCCAGTACAGACCCGTAAGAGGAGAACAGTAGCAACATCAATTGAGCTGTATGTCTAAACCTTGACTTCTACCAGCATAAAAAGACCTTTCTTCATAAATCTCAGAGAATCCCGCGAGAACCAAGAAAAGGACATTTTCGCAAGTGACGTAAACTCGGAACAGACTCCATTCCTCCAAGATGCTGAACCATCTTCCTACCTCAAACCCATCTACTCCCCTCCCGCCCATGACCATTCAATAAGACTACCCTCAATACCCCCTCAAATCAATAAAATCAAAGTTCGCGAGAAGTAGGAATAACTCGACTGAATAAACACAGACTAGCATCGCATGGCTCCGCTGGTGTTTCCACTGGTGCAGAAGTAGATGTACTATTAGTTGATTCCGCTTCAGACAATGTAGAAGATTGTGCTGTTACTGGTCCGATGAATGATGAAGATATGAAGTTGCTTACGCTAGAAGAAGATTGCGAGGGGGATGAAGTGAAATGAATGGATGAGGATTGCGATTGCGATTGCGATTGTGAGATTTCCAGTGAGGAAATGGAGGACGATGAAGATGGTATCGAGGTGTTAGATTGTGAGACTGAGGGGGGACTTTGGTTGAAAGCGGATGAGGAAGGCGAAGTTGCAGTGAAAGTTAATGAAGTGGAAGACAGATTGTCTGAGACGGAAGTAGAAATCGAAATCACAATCGATGAAGTACTGGACGAGATTGTTGACGAAGAAAAGGTCGGCGATTGAATTATTTGCGTCGTGGAAGTCGATTTCGATATCGAAGTACTGGAAGACACGGATGATATCGGTGAGGTAAGCGATTGAGTTGTCGAACTGGAAGTAGGAGATAGAAGTATTGAGACTGAGGTAGAAGTACTTTTGGATCTGGTAAAAGTGATTAGAGAGTCTGGTACCAGAGTTGAACTGGGTCTAGGAGATGTCGATATTGAGGTAGAGGTAGATGCAGATTGAGTTGTTGAACTGGAGCTAGAAGATGCGCGTATTGAGGTTGGGGTAGAAGTAGAAGTGGATCTGGATCTGGTAAAAGTGATCGGAGAGTCTGGTACAAGAGTCGATGTTTGCGAACTCGAGGAACCCGATCTCGTACTTATACTTGATGAAAGAGTAATCGAGAGGACAATACTTGAGGTGCTATAAGAACAACTTCCCGATGAGATGGCACTGACAGTGGTATAAAATGCAGGACGAGCCGTTGCACAGATACCAACACTATTTTGACCTGTGCTTTGGTATACACCGATCGTTCCATTTCCGCAGCAGAAATTGCTAGTACTAGCGCCGATTGTGACCCTGTATTGTTGCCATGACGTATCTGCGCATTTACCAAGCGAGCTGTAGCAGTCTGTACCTTTGAGATGTTAGCTTGAATCTGTGAGTAGTGATTATAAAAAACGTACTATCATTGCAACAATAAGGTGCAGAGCCGGTCCTTGTCTTACAAGTTTGGCCCGTGGGACAATAATATCCAGTAGTTCCCGGACATACTGATTCCCCTGCAAGCTTTACTACACTTCCGAGGATACTGGATAATGGTGTGTAGAGTGCGTATCCTGGACCAATTCCTTGTGAATCTGTACATCTAGAACCGCAAGCACCGGGAGCATTAGCAGCTGTAAGACAGTTGCAAGCATTTGTGACGGCGCCAGAACCTCCAAGTAGAGCGCAAACACCGCCAGCAAGTCCGTCGAGTAGAGGGGAACCGACAGTCTTGAGTAGCGGACACTGCACAGCTGATAAAACTGCTACGGCAAGATAACAAGCGTTTAAGGGACAGCACGACATCGTAAATTTCTCGGTATACTTCCGATGATGATGGTTACTTTGAAGATTTTAATAGGAGATAGCAGATGTCGGATAGTTTCACAGAGTTTCGTCAATGGAATGTTATGACCTCTACGCAACAGCATGAATGGGAAATGTGCAGATGAGCAACTACTGAGGACACGACTGTCTTGAAGTATATGTAACTTGGCAACATACTTGTCCAGCATGCTGGTAAATTCAAATAAACGGGCGTTCCGGTGGAGAAAAATCAGGCCACAGTTGACCATTAGCGAAGCCTTTCGATAATCTGATTACGCTCCCAGACTGAATTCTTCGTATGGAAATGGTGCTGAAGAATGTTTCGGTATTAAAAATATTGAGGTTTAAGACAGAGCCGCATTGACTCAAGACGAGGAAGATATATACCTCGTCCATGCCATTTGATGTACCAAGCCCCTCTACTTTATCCGTGTGATCAGCAGGATATCAGCCCGACTGCTTCGCTGGTGTGGTAATCATAGAGATTCTGTAATCAATCGAGAGTTGAGTACACGACTCTTATCGTACACAATCTAGAGCTTCCATCTATAGGAAAAGAAGGCAATGGGAGTGCATGGCAGCTACCTGTGTGAAAAAGGGGAATCAACAAACGAATGTTGAGATTATCCAGTTACTTGTATGATCACTTTGTTATGTCGCAAGCTACTAAGCCCAAATCACAATTAAACTAGCATTATCAACGAAACTTCTCATCCAATGCAATATGCACTTGTATCGTTTTCATCGCAGAACCGCTAACAAGGGGGGTGCCAATTTTTGTGTACAAATATGTGTTCGCCTGACTGGTAGTTATGAGTCCACAATGTGAATGTTTTTCACCTAATGGGGTACGATAGACGAGCCTCCATGAATGTAAATGCCTAACAATAACGTGCGTAAGAGATGAGACATCTGCCACAAATTCTTTACGCGTGTAGACCTCGACATGAAGAATCCAAGACCACTTGAGATAAATAGTAGAACTATCTACTATCTACTATCTACTATCTATCATCCAAAAATGTTCGTTGATAATACCAAGCGAGGTGGTTTATACATTTCCGGATATCCGCGGGGTCATAGGGTATGTTTAATTGAAGGGCAATGATTGGACATGATGACAGTGGAATGGTCACCAATCCAGAGAAAGGGGGGGCGACGTCGGAGGCTGCTGCTTTAAGTCTATCCGACTGATATTCATTTTGGTGAGCGATGGTCTATTTCAGTTGCGCGAATATGATATAGAGTGGAACTGAAAGAGTACATGAGTGGAGGTAAAGATCTCTTCGCCTTGAATCCGTCTTCCACTCGGTTCAAAATTACAAAAGACTAATCACTTACGAGCTTACAATGTCCTCCAACATTATACCTATCTAGTATCTAAATCTTGTAATCTCTGTCGTCACCGCAAAAGCGGCACCAGAAACATCCTTTTCTGGATTAGTCTCCCCCATCCATCATCCCGCATGGAGGGGCAATATGAAATCTCTTATCGATGGCGTTATTTCACGATAACAGCTACTGAGCAAAAAAACCCCAAGATACAGTCAAACACCGAGAAGACGACGGAATTGGTAAGGAGATAGTTCGTTCTTTGCTTTTAGTCCTCTCTCTCTCTCTCTCCCCCCCCCCCTCTCTCTCCCTCTCTCTCTCTATTACAATTGAATGTTGGTTATATTTAACATTTACTCAATACATCTATGTATTCATCTTGCTTTCATATCTCCTACAACTTCATTCCTTTGATCATATCCATCTGATAAGATTATTTCCTTCAATCTCCCGTCACAACTCATCATATCCCTCACTGTAATATCAGATAGGAGTTCACAGTTTCATCATGACTCCAATATCTCTTCTTACAGCTATTGATGCAACATCTCACATTCATCTGGTAGTTGGATGCAATCCATTAGCAGGTGCCAGATGTACGAAATCTATCGAAGTAGGAGCGAAACCAATTCTCATTGCGCCTGAGTCCTCCGAGTTACATTACACGTTACAAAAACGAATTGAAACCGGGGAAGTACAATGGCTGAAGAAGTCGTTTGAAGACAATGATCTTATGACTCTGGGTAGAGAAGAAATTGGAAGAGTAGTCGATGCAGTCTTTGTTACCTCTGGACCTCGAGATCCATTGAGTAAGTATGGTTATCAATTTTGTGTGAGGCCATTAAGTTAATTCATCCAGGCGCACATATCTCACAACTTTGCAAACGTAATCGCATACCGATAAATGTGGCAGATGCATCAAATCTCTGCACATTCTCCCTCCTTTCCACATACACCGATGGACCCCTTCAAATCGGTGTAACAACCAATGGTAGAGGTTGCAAACTCTCCTCTCGAATTCGTCGCGAAATAGCCTCCTCGCTCCCCAAAAATTTAGGGGAATCATGTTTACGACTCGGTACAATTCGCAGACGTATACAAGAAGAAGATCACTTAGCACATCTCACTGCATCCGGAGACTTGGATAATGAGGAAGAAATAGATCAAAGTTCTACTTTCAATAAACTTATCACGGAAGCAGATCTAGATGCTGCAAAAAATAGACGCATGAGATGGCTTTCTCAAATATGTGAATATTGGCCCCTTCGTCGACTTGCATCAATAACCGATTCCGACGTCGACAGTGTCTTAAAATCTTACGCCACCAATCCATCAACTTCGGCTCCTCTTGACACATCAACCCTCGATTCCCGCGTCTCAAAACTCCCACAAATAATCCTGGCCGGTTCTGGACCTGGCCACCCTGATCTTCTCACTCGCGCAACCCACAAAGCCATTCTTTCCGCCGATATAATCCTCGCCGATAAACTTGTTCCCTCAGGAGTTCTCGACCTAATCCCCCGTCGAACACCTATCCACATTGCGCGCAAATTTCCTGGCAACGCCGAACTAGCACAACAAGAATTATTGTCTCTTGGATTAGCTGGTCTTCAAGCTGGTAAAACTGTTCTACGATTGAAACAAGGTGACCCCTATATATATGGAAGAGGAGGAGAAGAGTTTGAATTTTTCCGAAAGCAGGGATATGGAGATCGAGTTGTTGTTTTGCCTGGAATAACAAGCGCACTGAGTGCGCCACTATTTGCTGGAATACCGGCGACACAAAGAAGTGTTAGTGATCAAGTACTTATATGTACCGGGACCGGCCGAAAGGGAAAACCTACCGTGCCGCCGCAATATGTGGCGACTCAAACTGTGGTCTTCTTGATGGCGCTTCATAGAATCAAGGGATTAGTGGCTGATCTCACCACTCACGACTCCGAAGACGCGAAAGTGGTTGATGAGAATGGAAATGTTGATCAAAGTAGGAAGTTGTGGCCACTGAGCACACCATGTGCAGTAATAGAAAGAGCATCATGTCCGGATCAAAGGGTCGTAAGGACATCTCTAGAATGGGTCGTAGATGCCATTGAAGAAGTGGGCAGTAGACCGCCTGGATTACTCGTACTTGGAGCTGCATGCGAGGTTTTGTTCAACCAGAATTCTAGTAAGGAGGGGAGAAAGTGGGTTGTTGAGGAGGGATTTAAGGGGTTGGATGATTTAGGGTTAGGAGAAGTAGGGCTTGTGAGTTGCGGTGTTGAGGGCGAGAGGCCGGATGTCGTGAGGGGGGATAGTTTTGGGAGAGAATTGAAAGTTTAAGGGGAAGAAATATGATACCATAGATTTTGTGATAAAAATTCATTCATACATTCACAAACGTCTTCAGTGAAGCTAGACTTGGGAATTGATTTTCACTTTCTATTTGCTCCAACTAATTTCCAATAGAAGGATTTTTACAGGACTCAAGTGCCATTAAAAAGCGGCTTTGATTTGTCGCTAAAAATTTGCATCTCCAATGCTATACACATCATTCTGGGTATATCCGCATTCCATCATCATCATCATCATAAATCATGTACAAAACGCCGCGTTGGACATCTCCCTTTGGCGCCTGGGACTATTTTTCTGAAAAGTACCGGATCCCTCCATAGTCTACACTCTCGGATCTGGTCCCTATGATGGCTCCAATTGAATTGCCATGACGACCTTGACTTAGATCTGATTATGATCATTCCACTCAAGTTATGGCATTGGATAGTGATCAGGCAGATCGATAAAATCCAACAGGACCAGCTCTCCAAACCCAATGCATACACAATTTTCGATCTGCGCCATCGTAGCGTAGTAGAAAGCTTGCGATCAAGTGTGTGCTTTTCCATCCCTTTCTGCATCTACTCGTCCATAATATCTGTAAATCACTCATCATCAAACGACGGCGGCGCAACACTCATCCTCAACTGTCTCTGTCTCTGCTGACTCTGCAATCCCAATCTCTCCACCGCATACCCCAATCTCTCCTTCTTCTGCCTCAAAACCTTTAATCTCATTGCTTTCTCTTCATTACCCCCTCCACTTCCAAAGGGACTTTTATTCCCTTTATTCAGCCCCAGTTCCCAGCTCTTCTTGCGACTTAGTTTGCTGGCTTTGGAGGTAGGGTTGGACATGGAATCGGAAGATTCGAGACGGCCTGAGAGAAGCTGGGAGCGCGCAATGAGTTGTTCTTCTTTGCGCTGCAGACGGGAAATTAGGGATTCGGAGCGGGAGAGAAGCGTTTCGATGGCGGGCTCGAGTTCTTCGGCGAGGGAACGTTGGGCGGCGTGCAGGGTGGTGGAGGGGGTGAGTTCGAAGTGCTGGGTGGGGGGGTTAGTTGGGGTTATTTTTGTGCGTGGGGGAGTTTGGAGGTTGAAGATCTAAGTATGGATGGGAAGATGATGAATAGAAGGCATACTCTTGTGGTACTCAGAACAGATTTCAGACGGGGAAAATCAGAGATGCCGGAATCGAGGATCGAAATACTGTTATCTAGGGTACTTAAAGAGGCTCGTAGAGAAGCTACAGAAGAGGAAAGAAGAACGGAGGGGTTTTGCGAGTTCATTTTCGGAGATGCTGTGAGTGTACTGGTTGAAGGCAAAACTGGGGTTCTGGGGTTGAGAGAGTTTGTGGGCTTGATATGTAATAAATTGAAGTTGTTGATGTTGGCGCTGGAAGACGCGATGGTTGCTGTGACAGGGATATTTACTCCCTGTGATTTTTTGGCGGGGTGAATGAAGGGTCACCGGGTGATATCTGTTACTACTAAGAATCTCATAAGTTTTATGATTCCTACAACTGAACCATCCGATAAATAGTTGCACAATGGAATAATATCTATGAAACCATATCAAAGACAAGTAATAAGATAAAATTCTGTTAATCTAAACTCTTGATGTCAACATGCACTCCTGCGATTCATGAACTCGGATAACAGCGGTCTTGTATCTTACGTAAGCAGCATCGATTTGCAAGCATCCTTATCAGAAAATAATCTCAACATTTCAACAGTGAACATCTCTATTATCAGCATATCACGTCGGGATACCCAAGATGGCATCGATGGTACCAAGATTCAGATGTCTAAATGCACCTCCATTGAGACAGGCATCAAGGAATATTCTTGCAATTCCTTTCACAGCTACACGCTCCCTCGCCACTGAGACAGATGCATCCAAGCCAGAACCTATCACCAAAAGACGTCCTACATACTTCAAAGACAAGATCAATGCCGTTCCATCGTTTTCCGAGTTTGTGGGCTTGCCAGACAAACCCTTAACCCCTGATGATGCACTCGAACTGCGAACTGCGATGGTTGGGCCACCAGGAAAGAAGAGACAAATCACCAGATTACCTGAATGGTTGAAGACGCCCATCCCCGACAATTCGAATTACAAGAAGATTAAGAAGGATTTGCGAGGTTTGAACTTACATACTGTGTGCGAGGAAGCAAGATGTCCGAATATTTCGGATTGTTGGGGTGGTGGTGATAAGAGTGCTGCGACTGCGACGATCATGTTGATGGGAGACACTTGCACAAGAGGATGTCGATTCTGCAGTGTTAAAACTGCAAAAACGCCAGCGCCATTGGATCCTCACGAACCGGAACATACTGCCGAAGCATTGTCGAGATGGGGTTTGGGATATGTCGTTTTGACATCGGTGGATAGAGATGATCTTGCAGATGGAGGGGCTAGACATTTCGCAGAGACCATTATGAAGATTAAACAAAAGAAGTCGTCGATATTGGTTGAGGCTTTGACTGGTGATTATGCGGGAGATTTGGAAATGGTGAAATTGGTTGCGGAAAGTGGGTTAGATGTTTATGCGCATAACATGGAGACGACTGAGGAACTCACACCGTTTGTTCGAGATCGAAGAGCGAAATATAGACAAAGTTTGAAGGTTTTGGATGCAGCCAAGAAGGCTAAGCCTTCGTTGATCACGAAGACAAGTATTATGCTTGGGTTGGGAGAAACTGAAGAAGCATTGTGGCAAACATTGAGAGGTATGATATGCATGTCCGTCTTCCACACAATTCATTGCTAATAATTTATGATTAGATCTTCGAGAAGTCAATGTTGATGTCGTTACGTTCGGTCAATACATGCGCCCAACTAAGCGACACATGAAAGTAGAGGAATATATTACGCCCGAAGCTTTCGAGATGTGGCGTCAACGCGCGCTAGATCTTGGTTTCTTATACTGTGCTAGTGGACCTCTAGTGAGAAGTTCCTACAAAGCTGGTGAGGCATTCATAGAGAATGTTCTCAAGAAGAGAAAGGGTGTAACGATATTGACTGATGAAGCGACGGGTATGGCTAAAGCGACTGTATAATATCATCTCAGTCTTACAATTAATACTTCAACGTATGATAAGATGAGAACGGCGTTTGGGAGCTGTTTTTGGTGGCGGGAAGGTATAGATGACAATTGCATCTGAACACCGAATTAGATATCTGTTATAAATTATAAAACTTTTTTCAACCAATCTATTCTGCTTTTTGTAATTTCTCATTTTTTATGTAGTGTTTCCTACATGTTTTCGGCTTTGGGGAGTCGTTTTGTCGAGTGAGGCTGGAAATCTTCGTTTCGGGTAATTTTGCATCGAAATAATTCCGGATTAGGCCTATGAATCTGTGCAAACGAAAGTTTACCACTGCTAGGAATGAAGTCGCAGCAATTATAAAAAATAAATAAAGGCGACTATAGAATGAGCATTCCCCTCCTAGTCCCGACGCTCCTTTCCCAGCCTATCATTTCTACAACAACAATTCCCTAAAGAAATCGCCAATCAAAATGTACCTCCGTCTCCCCCTTACCTCGCTTATCCTCAGCACCTTTACCCGCAGCTCCTTCTCCCAAACTTCCCCCTCCGATCCCGAATCGTACGCCTCCCATCTCCTGCAAGAATGTCTTCAAGCGCGCTCCGTTCCCTATTCGAATGCTACTTCTCCGAACTGGGCCAATTTGACTACTCCTTTCAATTTACGTCTGCAGTATACACCTACGGCGGTAACGTTACCGAAGACGCAGGAGCAGGTGGGGAATAGCGTTGTTTGTGCGGCGAGTGCGGGGTTGAAGGTCCAGCCGAGGGGTGGGGGTCATAGTTATGCAAGTTTTAGTATTGGCGGGAGGAATGGGAGTGTGGTGGTGGATATGAGTGGTTTTGATGAAATTTTGGTGGATCGCGGTGAGTTTCTGTTAATACGTTTTATAAGGGAGAATTGAGGTTTTGACGTGTTGGATATAGAAACCTATATTGCGAAGATAGGCGCGGGACAGAGATTGGGTAATGTGGCGTTGGGAATTCATGCGCAGGGTGGTAGAGCTTTGCCGCATGGAACATGTGCTGGTGTTGGAATAGGTAAGAAAGATCCTCATGCCAAAACTGAACGATTGGCACGCATCCATTCTAATCTAGTAATCAGGCGGACATGCAACTCACGGCGGATATGGATACGATTCCCGTCTCTGGGGACTAGCCCTCGACACAATCGTCGGACTCGACGTCATCCTCGCCAACGGCACATTTGTCCACACAAGCGAAGCTGAGAATGCCGATCTCTGGTACGCATTGCGAGGCGCCGCCGATGCTTTTGGCATCGTCACACATTTCTATATGCAAACACTTGCTGCACCAGCTGAAGTTACATATTTCACCGCCAATCTCTCATCTACGCTTTCCAGCGCCGAAAAAGTCTCTACTGCGTTTTTGAAAACTCAAGATTTTGTTCGCAAGAGTCCTTTACTTACACCGAATATATCATTTGGATTTAATGTCAATAGTGCAGGCGGTCTTGCTATCACAGGAATGTGTACCTTTTGCGATCTTGTCCATTTCCGGGATATTGTTTTCCCGGAGCTTGTATCAGGTTTCGATATCGATTCCCGGAATATAACGAATCTATCCTGGATCGATACACTCGCTACCCTCGCCGCACCTGATCCTCTCGCTCAGCCCCTCTTAAACTACAATTTACACGACACTTTCTACGTCAAATCTCTCGTTACCAAAAACGAAAATCCCCTAACCCCCGAAGCAGTCTATGCATTTTTCTCCTATATCCTCTCCCATCAATCTCCACAAATCCCCTACTTCTCCATCATCAATCTCTACGGAGCTCCCGGCTCCGCAATCGACAGCGGAGAGATATCCTCCTCTAGTCATGCAGATATGGATGCTCTCTGGGTATTCCAAAACTACGGATACACGCCCACTCATCTCCCACCGTGGGATTCTCGCATCACGCAAGTGATTGAAGGGATGACGAATGTGGTGATTGATGCGCAACCCAAGGGGAATTTCTCGGGTTATGTAAATTACGTGGATCCGGATTTGGACGCGGAGGAAGCGGCGGAAATGTATTATGGGAATGCGACGTATGATAGGTTGTTGGGGATTAAGACGGAGGTGGATAGTGGGTTTGTTTTTTGGAGTAAGTTTTTTTTTTCTTTTCATTCTCTCTGAGCTGGGACAAATGGTGGTGTGGATAGTGTCTGCTGTAATTTGAGGAGTAATGTCTAACGAGTGTTTGTTGTAGATCCACAAGCGATTGGGAATGTGGGGATTTTGCCTGTGGGAGTTGGAGAGGAGTAATTGGGGTCGGCTTGGATGGGTTTCAACTTTTGCATTTTATGGTGTTTGGAGTTTGAGTGTTGGGTCTTGGGTTGGGGTTTGAGTCTTGGGTTGCGTAGCGCGGATTGAATTCAGATAAAGTTGCATATAGATGATGTTGAGGTTGATATTTAATGGTGGAGTAATGGATTGCTGTATTTCTGTCAAAGCGCTGTTTTTCTCTTCATCGCATTATTCTGGGAGAGATCTTGATGAATCGTTTCCATCTTACTTCCTAGATTCAGATTTACAGTTTCGAAATTCTTCTGCTCGACTTCGATTCATTGACTATGGTGCTCCAAATATGACTACAATCATTGTCGTGTAGTCATTGAGTGACAAAATTTAATCGGCTGCTCTAGTCACTTCTTCCATGATCATTCATGCTATGATTCGAAGATTTTTGATTTGAAAGGCTTGTATTGTGGCATGTTCGAAGTGATATTCCCTTTACTGGCAGTTGTGAGCAGATATTCATGAATCTGGAGAACTTTGCGGATCCCACGTGTCTAAATTGGGTTCACAACCAAGAAACTACAATTCACTTCATCAAATCGACTCATTTGACTTAACACGATGAGTCGTAACGTTCGATTTCGAAACGTTTCTTGAGACTGAGTAATCTCCATATCCAGGTCTTACGTGCACATAAAGATCCTCCTTTCCTTCGACAAGATTCAAGGACAAAATCTTCACCACTGTTCAGCTTCGTACAACCACTTCTGACAGCTTTTGCAGAATATTTTCGCAGGCGACCTTCAATGATCTATGGTCAAAACATATCAAGAGTCCATTACATATTTTCTCGAAGACAGATCCAAAGTTAGGCTTTAAGCACCTTAAAATGATGATTTTTAACAACAATGGGGCATACGTTCCTCCTCAACAATGTAAGTCTTTTGCACAATCTTATACAACCTTGAGCTGATTTGTTACCAAGCCGATACCTACACCTTCCCAGTAGACGACGAACAAAAAATGAAACCAGAGCGAAAAGACTACATCGAGCTTGCCCGATTTCTCTACGGAGATAACTGGCAGTTAACAAAGAAAATCCTCACCTTCGTCCTTGACTGTGGAAGCCTCTACAATTTACACTTTCTCGCATCCAATGCCCCAGAGCTGTTAGGTATCGGTACAGATCTGGCTTTCGCGTACAGAATCGATGTATCTGGAAAGAACACGATGGGTGGATCAAGATATACATCTATGGAACAACGAATCAACGAGAACGATGTATATGCGACATTAGACATTTTACGTTTTGTGGCAAAGATTGCCAAGTTTGAAATTTGTAATCAAGATTATTTTCTGGCCATTCTGTCATGAACATTGCTGATACCAATATCTTGCAGATCAACTTGATGACTCTATTCGTACATTCGTGGCAGAGTTTCGACACCCTGACTTTGTTAACACAGTCTGGAGCGATCACCCTTATGAAGCCACAGATATTGAACGGTCGACAACAAATCCTCCTAGAGTGATCAAATTAATGAGGGTACTTTACGATGATGCTCAGTGGGAATACACAAAGCTCGCTCTTGAGTGGGGTTTTGATCGAACAAATTACACAAGAGCAAAAGTAATTCGGCTTCACGAAGAAGGATGCAAAGTAGCCGAGGAGTACAGACATCTACTGACTTCCAAAAACATTACGGAAGAAGAAGTAAATAGAGCCTTGCGTAATTATCTTGACGAGTGTTGCTTCGATATCAACGAGGCTGATGTGGAAGCCACATTGGATATTGTGCAGGCGTGGGATTACTATATGTCTCGTCAGTTCAATCCTTACTTTCATTCATACCTTCGCCAATTGTTTTGCTAATATATCGCTTAGGTAATGGAGACAAAATTTCTAAGTTTTTAGATGATATCAGGAATGTTGACATGGATTAAGAAGTATAATGAGAGATGTAGTGGAACTTAGTGGGAGCACTACTGTGCATTTGTCACTTCAACGCGAGAGTTTATAGTTTGAAGAATTCATATTCTTTATCATCAATGCCTTTCGATTACTGGTGACTTGGGAGTATGTTGATGGCTGAGATCTAATTACGAACTATTTGCGACTTGTTCATGTTGACCAAACTCTCCTGGCAATGGCACTTGTCAGATATACGAAGTGACGCACGCTACTACTTTGCTGCCACTTTTTCTTCAATCAATTACTTCTCTGTTAGCCGTATCCCGTATTTGCGATCGTATCATATCCTTCGCCTCCGCATTAGGCACAAAATACATCTTGTTAGGGAGCACTGTACTTTGACCGATATACATGTTGACTCTCCTAGACTCATACCACAACCACTTCAAGATACCTCCCATATTCTCTATCTTACATATACTCGGTGTATATTGATGGGTGCATTTTATATCAAAAATCAAGATATTCGAGAGCTTTTAGTAGCCATCAAGATGACAGAATAGTAACTCAAGAAACTTCATTGAAACATAACACTTATAAGTGCAAAGATTCAGAGAAATGGCACAAAGACGCCCAGGATCTCCGGCTGGTAAGGATGATAACTTCCAAGTTCGAAGGTAGCGTGTATTCATTGAATCCTGGTCGATGCTGATTGGCTTGGCAGATAAGCGAGCGAGCGCTATCAACCACCGCATACTTCACTTTTGATCTATTCTTCGATACTTTTACACAATAAATCTTCGAGAACGGTATAATTTGCTAATAGTGTTAAATACCAATTCAGATTAGAAAATTATTTGGAGGTTTCGATTGCATTTACTCGGAGCTATCTATGGGGAATCAATACCATGATTCAATGCTTCTCCATTTGATGATGGTTGATCCCATGGTTCGTTTCAAAAATGGGAGGAGATATGTCGAGATGCCACTCGTGCAGAAAACACGCTTGATTACCTCTATACTCACAATGGCATGTTAAGCAAGGACTCAAAATTTTGTGACTCGATGAATTTAGGCCGATCTTTTTGTTGATATGAAATTAGTGGGTAGAACTATACACATTGCACAAGCAAATTTAAAAAACATTTATGCGCACGAATTTTGGCAAATTCATGGATGAGTTAGAACACGTCATAATTTTGCTCCTTGCGATCTCTCCTCAGTCTGGTCTAAATTTTCACAGGTCGCATATTAGCAAAGTAGTAGTAGTAGACGGCCAGGCCAGCCTTTTACTTTATGTAATTTCGCCTAAGAAAATAGGGTACATCTATTGAATTAGAAAGAAGCTTGAACATACGCCATTACGAAAACCAGTTACCGTGGCTCGACGGAGTCGTCGTTGACTACACATCTAAGAGTCGAATAAAAAGTGACACTTAGAGGGGGTGCGCATCTGCTGTCCTTCTTGGCCTCGGCTGATGGTATGGAGAGGTAAACTTCACTTGAGTTATTGAAGTGCGTTTTATGAGTAACAAGGTATCAACGACTGATATGTGTTGGGTATTGAGATCGTTCCGCGGAAGATCATGAACTCTGTTAAGGGTCTGGTTCTGCCATGTACTACCAAATCACTCGAATGGTAGGAGATTTCAGAACATAACCAAATCAGAGGTGAGATCAGAATTTGAAGTTGCAAATAGACTCGTGGAACCATGATGCAAACAAAAACAGGCCATGGACCTGTAAAATTTTGAAAATATGGCAACACGCTAACGGCTCTTTAGACAACAAACTCTTAGAATTGGATTCTAGCCCATCAAATGAAACTTTAAGCGCTTGATATTACTACATCAAGCTTTTGATTGGGTAATTTGGCGATAGATTTACAAGCAAGAAGGATCCATCATCTACGACAAGTTGCAGTAGGGACCATTCGTCAAAATATCAGGTAAGGAGACAGTCTAAACGTAGTTTAAAAATGGGGAGAGTTGCGATATAGATGAACGTGTCATGATATACGAGTGATGCGTATTTTATGGGTACAAGCCATGCCGGTTCCAACTCTAGAACAGTTCAAACACACCATATCTGACACCAAGCATGAATGATCGAAGCGATAGACGAGCTTTTGATAATCCTCATGGTTCTTAGATCAGCAAGATCTTGATTCATCCCACTTGATCTAATGACTTACATCCAAGATGCTAATATTCCCTCATCAAATGGATGTGCAAGTCAAACATTCTTTTCAGATCAACCCTATCAGGTCTTAAAATCAAACGTTTTGCGGGTGGGGTTCCTACGCGGGAAACGGATAGAATTTAACAAGCAAATTTTGCCCAACAGGTAGTCCTGATACTCGGTCCCTAATAGTCGTCAGTTCTACAAGAACTTTGGTATAAGTTCCGTAAGAACAGATGTTCATCAGATCTGTTCGATTATCTCAAACCCACTCAGCTCCACAATGATGATCGAAATTCACTTATACAATTAAAGAGTGAATAGTCTACGCAGTCACTTGGAGCAATATATATATATCGCAATTGAGGAGATAACTCTACACCAAATCGAGAACCTTGCACCCTGGCCGAGTTAGTCAACAGGTTGCTTGCTCGTCAACGAATAAAGATCGAAACACCTTAAGAACCTTTGGGTGACTGTGCTGCTGGTTCCCCTCGTGGGGTTTGATTCAAATGTTCGTCCTCATTCTCAGCACCCATCTGAATTTCTTATGTCTTTGTTCCATTCTCAAATCTTTGTTCAATAAAATTCTATTACTACTCTTTGCAATCAATCGGCCGTCCCTCAACATCCATCTATCACTACCTTTGTTCAAACAATTACAATTATTATTCAATCCCATACTCTCCTCTCCACCACTTTCTATTCACCATTCTTTTGCTTTCTGACTCTCCAGTTTTCTCAGGTGACGCAAATATGTACGTCCTTATATTGGCTTCGCACTCGACCTCAGCATGGATATTTGTAGCAAGTGGATAATTTGAAGGAAGATATGTTTGTATATGGATATCATGGGAATAGTGTCTAGCTTCATAGCTTTGATGCTGACTCTGTTTCCGTCAAAACTCGCTCCAAGATCTTTCGAACGTAAGGC